CTTACACCTTCTCGGATAGCTTCAAGGGCGGAAGCAAACAAGTTACAAAGTACGAAGAACAATAGTACCATTATAGGTTGTGCGACTAGGCCAACTAGCCTAGGCAGAGCTGGAGTCGCATCTGGGACAATGGCAGTCATCATATATGACAGGGCTACAGTCTTCGGGTTTGTACATGGGAATGTGTGCTGTCCGGCATAGTCAGCTTGCTAGGTACTAGGATCAAGATGAAAGAGGGAACTACAAGCGAAGACTCTCGATCGGCAGCTCGCCACGGCAAGGCGGTTTCTATCGGCAGACACCGGCGAGGCCGAGTCCCTGGTCGCCCTGGTCGCCCTGGATGGACATATATTCCTGGACATTATCACTGCATTGCATTGCTGGAGGGCAATGCTCTTTAGTCGAAAGCGGGTCATGGAAGGGGATGGGGGTTGAGCTAGAATTGAGGTTGTCCCATCAACTAGCGGATGGCGGTTGAACTGAGAAGGGAAGAAGCATACGGGTGAGGGAGGTGTGGAGAGTAGAACAAAACCACAGAGCCCCTTCCTTGGGTAAGACAAGGAGATCGGTGAGTGTCATCTGGAGTTCCGGACGAAGATCATCAGCGGCAAATGCTGCCATCAAGATCATGCTGTTCTCTCCCCGCCAACTCGTGGCCTGTTTTGGTTTGCCACTTCGCTGCTCCGGCTTCGCGGGGAGATCGCCCTCGAACAAAAGCGCCAAGAGCAAAGCGCAAGCACACTCGTTCTGGCTGCAATGCCCAATAAATAGCGGAGGGGGCGAGGCGACAGACCATCTTATGAAAGTCGCCTAGGAGCGTTGTCCCGGGAAATAGGGACGGGTTCCCGCTGATGGTTGTGGTTCGGTTCCATCCCTTGAAAATAGGAGGAAGGGAAAAATCCTTCTGGATAATGCTTTACATGGTTGGTTTCAACACTGCAAAAGCTGGAAAAGGATAAACTTGAGGCCCTGGCACCCACCCAGCTCAACTGGTGGTCTAAGCGCAGACAAAGATGTGCGCAATCCAGTAAACACCAGCGCAGTTTTGCAAATGGGTTCGTGAAATTGGCATAGGCCGTGGAGTGGCCGATGGACAAGGACGTGGGCTACTAGAACTTATTAGTTAGCCGCGTTGAGGAGCCGCACACGACATGATATGTATTGGGAAATGCAAGCTTCCGCCCCTCCATTAATTTTACTCGGTAGACCAGCGACCATCTGTGTGGTCAAATGCTAAAAAGACGGTTCTGCAGAGGGGCCGTGGCTTGCGGGGCTGCATCGGTACCCGCCCGGGAGCTTCGCCGTTGGGTCGCATCTTGCGGTCGAGAGGGGCCGCTCGATATCCGTGATCCATCACGCGCCGCCACAACAATTGAATGGTCCGGACGCGTCGACTGGCCAAACGAAGCCAAACACCAGTCGAAACCTCAATTTGAGCCTTGTGTGTCTTGTGTTTTGTGTCTTGTGTGCATCTCCAGAACTCCTCTGGTTCTGATGCACTATCTTTGGATTGCGGGAAGAGGCAGGGCGAGACCAGGACGGGCGACAGCAATTGATGGCTGTCCGTGTTTCTGATCGCTGTTTGGCTGTTTGCCCAGCAGCGATGCTCCGTTCATGGTTCATGAGCCTGTTCTTCTTGTTTGGCCATTTTTCCAGGCCGTCTAGCGGCAGCGGCAAGTGATGCTATTCTTGGGCGATCCGAGAGGGACATCCATGAACGGAGGGGCAACCTGACATAAGAAACTGCAACTGATATTGGCTTGAATGGAGCGCTACACGAAAGATACATGGATAAGAAATAGTGAAGCTGTCGAGGTCAGGAGGTCGGTATCTCGGGTACTTGCCGTCTGCGCATGCGGACATGCGGAGCAAAAATTGCAGGTCTCCATTAAGCTTTTGCTGCATCGGCCCTGCACAGGCCCATTGTCGCGCCTCTCGATCGGGCGATGTTTCGACGGGCGTTTCCTTGACCGGCTGTGGTCGACTCGCCTTGTTTAGGCCCGGCTGCTGGTGAGGCGTTGGTGAGGGTCGAGCCAAGGTCCGCCGTCCCAGTCCGTTCTGATCGTGGGGTCTCGGCGGGGTGACCCCACCAGGGCCCCCCAGGGCTTCTGTGGGGCAGGCCACATCTGGTAAAGCCTGAAACCCAAGGCAAGGTGAGATTGCGCCAGCCGTTTAGCGAGTTTTAAGGACTCTCCACCCAGGGCCGGAAGCGATCGGAGCCTTGCAACAGGGGCGCTGCTGGCACAGGCTCCCTGTGATAGCAGGCTCGCATTAAGGAGCCGCTCGTCACGAACCTCCCCACCACCACCACCTCAAGCGCTGGCCGAATCGACGCGAAGCTCAGGAACGGCAGCGGGCCAGCGAAGAGCCTGTTTGGAGTTTTGATGACTTTTTCCTGCGAACATGTCGACGTCTGTGCCGCTGGGCCAGTTTACGCCGCACCGGAGCGCTTTGCGGAGAAGCGGGAGCCGGCCTCGACTGCAGCCCAGGTTGCCCCGAGGGTGAAGTTGAGGTTGGCTTGGCTTCGGGAAATGGCGATGGGACGACGATAGCTTCTTTGCTGTGCCGCCGGGAACTGATGGATGCCTCTTGGTCTGCCGCCGACCATAAGAAACGGCCATTCCACCGCACGAGGTAAACTGTGTTTTCGGACCCGTGCCATTTCTGCTTCGGGAGAGATGATGTGCACAATGGAATGGGCGGCCAAAAATTGTTAGTCTCAACAAAGTGGGTAGAAACACACTCATGTTTCAACGCTGCCAAATGTCAAACCAAACGAATGGATTGCCTCTTCAGCGAGTCGCAGCGGAACTTGTCTTGCACAGCGTTCCGTGCTTTTGGGCAGGAGCGCGGGGTCAGCCCGCCCCTGCCAGGACTGCCAAGACCCCTGCCAGGATCCTTGCAAGAGCCTCAGGACAGGGGGCTCCCGCCAATCACGGGCGGCCAGCCGAGACCAAGGCGTTTTTGTGACACTCGGAGCAAGAACAGCCAACAACGATGGCCTGCAGTCAAACGTCAGACACAGACCTGCCACGCAGACTTCTAAACTACCTCGATGCGACTCTCTAGCCTACCGACGCTAGCATTTCCCAGCGCAAATTTCTCCTCCCATCTGCTGCAATGGGCGACGCCCAAACATTCTGTTACGCCATTACGGGCCTGTTGCGACGCTGGGTCTTCCCAGGCCGCCAGGTATCCTCAAAGTCCTCTGCTCGTCCCTCTTTGAGCCCGTCGCCCTGCGAGTACGACGCCTCTCGACCCTGCCCTCCCCTTCCTTGCCCGCCGACCTGAGATGGCCGCCGGGCGGCAAACCGCTACACGCTCTACTGCATCTTGCCTCGATGCAAACCGTTGAGGCCATTGAGGCCGTGGACAGAGGCCGCGGTAAAGCTGGCCCCGGTGGCGTCGGCGCGTCCGGACAATGAGAGTAGTCTTGCTGCATGGAGCTTGCGGGCAATTGGAACATCACAAGGACCACATGGGCAGCCGGCGGCTGTTTGGAAACGCAAGCAGCTATTTTGGTCTCGTCCGGGTTTGCCTTGATTTTCGAGTCAGCGCCTCGTGATACTCGACTGAGTCGGCTCTGCCTCTCGGCAGAACAGCAAAACATGTCGTGACGGGCCATTGAGGGATGGGCAGAGACGGCATGCCGTGGCAGCAGGTGGCAGTAGGTGGCCGGTTTCCTCCTTCCTCGCTCCCTCTCCGTCTGTCTCTTTCGTCTTGATTTCGCATGACTTGTCCTGGTCCCATCATCTCGAGTCGCTCAACCAGGCACTTCGCTCCCGGGCATCGTACAAGGGCTCGAGGATGACCTGCACACCAAATCCGACCTGCGCACGTCCGTTTTCCCGAACTCCAGATCCGACTCGACATGGGTCTCGACGGCTCATGGGTGACCCTACCCTATTCTCTACTCTGTCCTAATTTGGTGGGACGGGATCACGGGCGTGTCTTGTCTGCAGTTGTCTACCGTCCCCGTTCCCCTCCTTGTGTCTCCCCTCGACCTCATTCTTGATGCCTCTGGAGAAGGCTGTTACAGTATCCACTGGCGTTTGCTCGCGAATCAGCTCCGTGCTTCGTTCGCAGTCTGCGCAAGCCCTTTGTCAACAAGCTGCCCGGTTTGTTCTGGCCTGGGTCGCGGCCAGTGGGCCCATCTCATCGCAGTTCCCGCCCTTGCGCGGTCTGCCCACCATTCCGGGCCCCTCCAGGGTCTCCACATTGGTCTGTAACAGGTCTAAGAGTTTATGGTGTGCCTACCCCCGGTCCATCTCAGTGGGATGGATGAGCCTCCGCCCGAGCATCATGCAGCAATAGCGGCATTATTATCTATCCCCTCCCCCTCCGGACGTTGCTGGCTTTTCTTCTTGTTTATTCTCCCTCCACCAAGGTCTTACCTGTGGATATCTTCACCTACAATCACGACGCTGTTGCGTGTGTGTCCCCCCCATTTTTCCTAATTTCTCTTCTCGCAGCTAGTCACTGTCGCTCATTCACTTCTTCACCAACTAGCTTGGCTGCTTACGTTCATTTTTTTGGAGACAAAATATCGCCTTCTTGCTCGGTATAATCTGGATTATTATACTTCACTATTTTTGCTACTAAACTTTTACCGACCGGCTCGCAAATACTTCGATTCGTTCTCGTGTCCCTGGATCTCCTGTTCGTCGACCGATCGCCCACTCTCATTCGTCGGCCAGTAACGACTTTCAACTTGATCGATTAGGACGTTTAGTGCAGTCACTCGCTGTTGAACGGTGCAGGTTATCACGTGTGCACGATCTCTTGGTCTATACCGAAACGAAGACGACTTTTTTTTCTTGACAGCAGCCAGTCCTGCTTGTTCTTTTTACGAACAACTCCTTTCAACCAACCTTCGATTCTTGGGACATACCGCCTGGTACGACAGTTCGTCTAGACGACCATCTTTTCACTCTCACAAGTAGAATATTCGGGGCCGACAAGAACCTGAACCGGATCACAGAATGTCCCCGACCATGCAGATGACGGCACCACCCGTCAACTATGCCCCCACATCGGACGCCATGGACCGCCACGAATATGGTGTCACGAAGAACCGAAAGGCGACTTCAACCGGGGGTGGGCGAGCGTGGAGCGAGGATGAGGTACGTATTGTGTTACTGGGGAGCTACGTGGTTTCTCTTCCGACGGATAAGAACAGCTTGCACTGGAGAAGAGCTGTGGGTTCTAACTGTTTTCTTCCAGGAAGTTTATTTGCTCCAGACTCGCTTGCAGAAGATGCCTTACAAGCACATCGCCGCACACTTGAAGAAGACTGAGCTCGCCTGCCGGCTACACTACCACCAGCTCAGCCACGGGAGCAACCGTCGGAAGCGCACAACTTCGATTTCGTCTGGGTCTTCGACTGGTGGGCGATCGCCAACGATGCAGCCGTCGATTCCCTCGCCGATTCACGAGCACGACAGCGCCTCAAGTCGATCTGCCTCCCCCCCTGGGTCTGTGATGTCGTTTGGACCTACAAGCCCCAACGGCATCCAGCTTCCCAGCATCATGTCGGCGACGGGCCAAAGCAATAATACCTCCCCCCGCCTGCCAACTATACTGCCGAAGCCGGTTTCGATGACGCTGGCTCTTGCCTCGATAGGGGCTACAGGCGTCAATGGAGTTGCTTCCCCAACTGCGTCTCGCGGCTACCCAACCCCTCTCCATGAAACGCACCCTCCTCACAGCGCCCCCCTGATGCCCCCTTCGGGATTCCGCGGGGCCATGACACCCACCAGCGCGGCTGCACCGGGTTCATCGCGTAACTCCAACGGTGCCCCGTCCCATCATCTGCCTGGTCCTCTCCGCCTCGACTGCTCTGCTCTCCCGCCTCCGCTGCCTTCGGCCGGGCTGCCGGCACCGGCCTTCTCCACATCACACCCCGTCGATATGGGGAGGCTCGCTGCCGTCTACAATGCGCACCGGGCGTCGTTTTGGTCCGCCATCGCGGCCGACTATGGTGGGGGTGCCAACCCCGTGGTGCTAGAGCAGGCATGGCGTGGTAATGTGACGAGCAATGGGGCCACCTCAAACAACATGGGAATCGCAGCGCAGACACCAATCACTCCCGTCGGGAGCCCTGACGACCACATGTACAGCGCACAAAACAAGCCAGACAAGACGAGGATCAGCGCCATCTTAGGCATTGACGCAAACCCGAGGAGTCCGAGGGAGAGGGAAATGGTGAGGAGGATCGAGGAAGAGAGGTGCTCAGTTGGTATGGTCGGGGCTTGAGCGCTATGTCTCTCCTAGCCCGCCCGCCATGCCTTTTTACTGCACCTCGGCTACTTTGTATATCTTCTTGGCGAGTAGTAGCTTTGCGACGAGTTTTGACTTTTCTTTTTGTTTATGAGCCCTTTCTCTTCTCTTCTCTAACAACCCCTTTTGGAAGTTGATGATTTGTTGCCAGTTTGGCTAGCGAGTGGTACCAAGCCCCCTCGACTGCCAGAGAAGAGACGCAAAAAGGGTGGCGGTGTTTATTTCTTTTTTCTTTTTAGTGCTGGAAGTCTCAAAGTTTTCCCTCTCCCTGTGTGCGAGTGTGCTCCTTGATGTTCTCCTCCCCTCTAGCCGGTCATCGTTTGTAAAGTCGGATGGCATGATCATCCTCCTTACGCTTTCCCCCCTATCCCTTTAACGCCCTTTTCCCGGATCGATGTTGGAGGTTCTTGATGTCTGGTGTTGTCTTTTGTTGGTTCGTTGGGGTGGATTGGCGAGAAAAGGATTCATGAATGGGTGGATAAGGATGGACGATATGGCTTGGCATGGCATGGCCTGAATCAAGGCCGGATGACCGTGATGACATAAGCATCAGACAAAGTGGCAAAGCGATGAACACACAAAAGCACATTATATAAAAAGCCCAACCTGCTGCCTACAAACTCAACGACAACATCATCATCAACGACATGTGTGCGGGATTTCACTTTTCTTTCCCTTTTCCTCCCTTCCTGGACAAAAAGGGCGGGAGGGATATGATGTTCGGAAACGATACGACGAAATTTGGCATGTCTTCCTAAACTTCTCGTTCATACTACTCCTCGCCTCCATCTTCTTTCCTTACTTCTATCTCTTCTTTCTCTACCCTCGTTCTTACTCTTTTTTTTTTTTTTTTTTTTTTTTTTTTTTTGGAGACTGGAGTGGTGTTTTGTGTTGAAAAGGGGACGACGGCGCGCCGAACAAGGAGGGGGAAGGCAATGAATGAATCGTGTTTGTTGTTGATGATGTTGCTGCTGCCGCTGCTGCCGCTGCTGCCGCTAGCCAGGTGTGCGTCTGTGCTAGTGTGGTGGCTTTTTAGAAGGGGCAAAAGAAAAACGGAGGTTATAAAACGGGCGGCGGGCTTATCCTTATCATTATCTCGCCCCTTGACATGATACCGAACGAACAGACAGACAGACAGTAGTGTACGATAGCATTGGTGTTGTGTTTTTTTAGCTTGAGAAGCGAAATTAAAACATGGGATTGCATGTCTGCAAAACATTCTTTTTTTCCTTTTGCCTTTTGACTCGGCTGGTGCATGTATGCTGTGGGACATGTTCAGGGCTGGAGAGTGTGGGTAAGGTGTGTGGCCGTGTCTCAGAGAAGTAAGTACCTTACCTTACCTATCGCAATATACTCAGGTACCAAGTTGAAGTAGAGGTACTTTGTATCGCTACTCGTAGAATGTGGAGTTGTGTGTCCGGGTCCTCCTACAGGGGATTATTCATACGTGTATTATTTGCTATTAAGTGTTTGCTTCGTTTTTGCCAACTCGGTGTTATTAAGGCTTATCTCGTCGGCTTTGTTGAAATAGAAAAGTTGCGACGAGGGTGGGATCCGAGATAGCCAAGACAACTTAGGTTGGGGCTTGGCTTGTCTTCCAGAAATGAGAAATGGTTATTTCTGGGATGGAAGCTGCAGAGTCGAGGTGATGTCACTGGTGAAGATTAGAGATGAAGGAAGGTGCGACGGCACGGAAGCGTTCCGGGAGATGCAGGCTTCCTGCCACTGAGAGTGGCTGGGCCCTTGCCTTGCATATGCGTGCCTTCCCAGGTCTGGCCAACTGAGCACGTTCAATTTCTTTCCGAGGTTACTGCGGCCTGTCTGGGTGAAAGGGAAGCTGCTTTGCCTTATCTTGCTCGTCGTCTCGAACGAGCAAATACTGTGCTTGGAAGGGAGCACCACCCAGCACGCCCGTCGGATGGCGGACCAGCAGCAGACGCAGGTAGGCCATGGCGCTATACTGTACGTGTACGGGCGGTCTGACCAGGCCTGCGAATGTGATTGCGACTGCGACTGCGACCCAGGGCCACTTTTATCCGTCTGGCGACAAGAACAGGACGCACGAATTAAGCCGTCGGTGCTATTTTGCTTGCCGAGTCTCCTTAGACCAAAAGGTGCAAGCTGCAACATTCATGCGCCTTTCCGATGCCCCGTCTCTCTTTGCTGCTGCTTGGGCCTTTGGCTCCACACACCGGGCCGAGGCTAAACGTCAAGAAGGAGAAAAAAGAAGAAAAGAAGAAAAGAAGAAAAGAAGAAAAGAAGAAAAGAAGAAAAGAAGAAAAAAAAGGGTTAGGGAAACCCCACGCTTCTTGGAGATTTCCCGCTGGCGCCCTACTTTGGGACTAAGCACGGCAAGGCGGGCGTTCTAGCCATGCCACCCTGATGGGTCAACAGCCAAGAGCCAGAAAAATAAGTCAAAAGCCTCTCGAGGACCAGATAACACGTCCGCAGAATGGGGCAGCATGCAGCACGCCATGCCCTGCCACGCCACGCCATCCGGTTCCCATGCCATGCCATCCCATGCCGTCTTTGCCATGCCCTTCTCTACCCTGCCATGTGGCAGGGACAAGCCAGTCGTTCTCGAGCTAGTGAACCATGCTAAACCCAGCGAGCCCGACCCGGTGATCCTCTATTTGAGAGGGCCAAACGGGTGTTATAAAACGTCAGGGGTCGTCGAGGCTTTCGATAAACACTGCCAGCGTCGAGCGGCTAGATCGGACCGTTACCGGAGCCCAAGCTAGTCGAGATGGCCTGTACTGTTCTGAACTGCAGCCGCCAGGTTCGGTTCCTGTCTAGTTTCGTCCAAAATCGGTGACCAACCACGAGCTTGGCTTTGGGACTGACGAACCGGTTCACCTGCTGGGCGTCAAGGGTATGCAGTCCCTAGGCGTCTTAGCTATACCCGTTGTGTATCAAGAGCTACTATGTAGGCAAGGTAGTTTACCATAATCTTGGGCAATCGGGTCTGCGGTAGGTCCAAACAGCTCCACTACCGTTGTCCGTCATGTGGACCGCCGAGTTCTAGGCCGACCCACAGTCCACCCTTCACTCTTCACTTCAGTTTTGAGCCTCTACCTCACCGGGCACCTCACCTCCTCCCTCCGAGAAACATAAAGCGCCCGTTTATTGCACCAACACCCGCTCTCTCAGAAACGCTCTCCCCTTTCATCACCCTCGTCACCCTCCGCGAAGCCGCCAAAGAGCTCCTTTTTACCTCGGTTGTGCGTGACACTCCCGTCGCCCCAGCAACCAGTCAGAGTGTGCCTGGCAAAGCCACCACCAAAGAAACGAACACTCAGTCAAGTCACATAGAGTGTGGCGTTGACCTCGACCAGCCAGACGCCATGTCGTCGTACAAAGACGAGGTACAGTCACGACGGACGCCTCGCGAGGGCGTTCAGGAGGACAAAGGCAAAAGCGGCGGCGAGCGGAACGAACCCCGTCCCGGAGACTACACCCAGTTTGAGCGACTGCCGCCCGGTGGCCCCCTCAACCGCTGGTCCCAGGTCATCACGCGCGGCCATGACTTTCCCGGCGCCCAAGTGAGCTTATTTTCTCTCCCACCGACTTCAGTCCTCCTCGGCACAAGCCGGCTTAGGGAGATGCGAGCCACACCCCAGCTACTAGACCCAGCCCTCGGCATGCGGGCAGCCCGAGTCGGTGACGCGCTGAGGGGTATCCCGGGTAGGGTGTGTGTGTGTGTCAGGGGGGTGGGGTGGCAGCTTTACGAACAGCAACTGACATTGAACCTCACCTCGCCTGCAAGGCAATGCTGTACGGCGCGGGTGTCCCAAACGAGGACATGATGAAGAACGCCCCCCACGTAGGCATCGCTACCGTCTGGTGGGAGGGCAACCCATGCAAGTGAGTATAGCCGCCTCTTACTGCCGCAGCCCGCATGGTGGTGGTTGCAACGCTGACAAGCATGTGCTGCTCCAGTACGCATCGTGAGTAAAGAATGACACAAGCTCTGGCGCGCGCCCAGCGCTCACCTCTGACCGCCCAAACTAGTGCTGGACCTGGGCAAGATTGTCAAGAAGGCCGTCCAGAAGCAGAACATGCTGGCATGGCAGTACAATACCATTGGCGTCTCTGACGGCATCACCATGGGCGGAGAGGGTAAGTTTGGCCCGAGAGAACGAACCCCTTTGGCGACCCCGCACCCCTTGGGGTGGTCGGAGGTGTGGCAAACAACCGGATAGGAGTAGGGACCGACTTGGTTATTCACGCCGCTCTCTCCAAACAGGCATGCGCTTCTCGCTCCAGAGCCGCGAAATCATCGCCGACAGCATCGAAACGGTGACGTGCGCCCAGCACCACGACGCCAACATCAGCATCCCGGGCTGCGACAAGAACATGCCCGGCGTGATCATGGCGGCCGCGCGCCACAACCGGCCCTTCGTCATGATTTACGGCGGCACCATCCGCAAGGGCCACTCCAAGCTCCTCGACAAGGACATCAACATCACCACGTGCTACGAGGCGGCCGGCGCCTTCGCCTACAACAAACTAACCACCAAGTGCAGAAGCGGCCCCGGCGCGGCCGCCACGCCGTCCGACGTCATGGCCGACATCGAGCGGCACGCCTGCCCCAGCGCCGGCGCCTGCGGCGGCATGTACACGGCCAACACCATGGCCACGGCCATCGAGGCCATGGGCCTGTCGCTGCCGGGCTCGTCGTCGTACCCGGCCACGTCGCCCGAGAAGAGCCGCGAGTGCGAGCGCGCCGCCGAGGCCGTCCGCACGTGCATGGAGAAGGACATCCGGCCGCGCGACCTGCTGACGCGTGCCGCCTTCGAGAACGCCCTCGTGCTCACCATGGTGCTCGGCGGCAGCACCAACGGCGTGCTGCACTTCCTGGCCATGGCCAGCACGGCCGACGTGCCGCTGACCCTCGACGACGTGGCGCGCACGTCGAACCGCACGCCGTTCCTGGCCAACCTGGCGCCCTCGGGCCGATTCCTCATGGAGGACCTGTACGAGGTCGGCGGCACGCCGTCGGTGCTCAAGCTGCTCATCGCGGCGGGCATGATCGATGGCTCCGTCATGACGGTGACGGGGTGCACGCTCGCCGACAACGTGGCCTCGTGGCCGTCGCTAGACCCGGGCCAGACGCTGATCCGCCCCCTGTCGGACCCCATCAAGCCGTCGGGCCACATCCGCGTGCTGCACGGCAACCTGTCGCCGGGCGGCGCCGTGGCCAAGATCACGGGCAAGGAGGGCCTGTCGTTCACGGGGCGCGCGCGCGTCTTCGACAAGGAGCAGCGGCTCAACGACGCGCTGGCGCGCGGCGCCATCCGCCCCGACGACGGCAACCAGGTGCTGATAGTGCGGTACGAGGGGCCCAAGGGCGGCCCCGGCATGCCCGAGCAGCTGCAGGCCAGCGCGGCCATCATGGGGGCGGGGCTGGCAGGGTGCGTGGCGCTAGTGACCGACGGCCGGTACAGCGGGGCGAGCCACGGCTTCATCGTCGGCCACGTCGTGCCCGAGGCCGCCGTCGGCGGCAACATCGCCCTCGTGCGCGACGGCGACACCATCACCATCGACGCCGTCGCCAACCGCATCGACGTCGTCGCCGTGGTGGGGGGAACAGCCGACGCCGACGCCACCGCCGAGGATGCCGCTGCTGCTGTCGAGCGCGAGCTCGAGCGCAGGCGCGCCGAGTGGACGCCGCCCAAGATGGCGCCCGTCCGTGGCGTGCTCGCAAAGTACGCCCGCCTTGTCGGCGACGCTTCCCACGGCGCCGTCACCGACGTTGGCGAGTCCGCCTGGTAGGTTTGTGGGGTGCTGGCTGGGTTGGCGTTTGGGAAAGTTTTCGTTTTTTTTAGGAAGGGAGAGGCTGGGGCGGAGGTCGGCTATAGAAAAAAAAAGAGGGGGGATGGTTGGGTGTTACAGGCCGTTTTCGTTTCTTTTGTAACTAGAGGTTATTAGAGGGAAGTGTTACTGCTTCGCCCCATTTGCACCCAGAATTTGACCTGAATCAACCATGTATCGGTGCATGCTTCCCATGCCTTGGTTTTTATCTCGTAGGGGTTTCCCGAAATGTCCGAGACGTCTGCCGCGGTGATAGATGTAGTGAGGACTACTAAGAATATGTGCAATAATTTCTGTGTTCGGAAAAAGTGTCAACGCCTCGTTATTCGCATCCTAACTAGGTCTAGCTGTCTCATGCTAAGCTCCATCCAAGCAATGTATAGTTTCTACCAGAGGAATGGCAAGAAAAAGGCAATGACCCCTTTTGTGAAACCATGTAGTTTGCGTTTACATGTTGCTCGAGAGACGGGGTTATCCCAAGCACGAGGTAGGCGACCGACAGAGACGCAAGGCAAATACACGTTCACGTTACGCCAGAACCCAAGGTTTGATCAAGAGCGCCATGGCTATCCACCCAGCAAGCATTTCACGAGCACCTAGGTAGGTACGTAGGTTTGTATCGTATTGTACTGTTGCTGCATGCAAGCCAAACCATCCATACAATGAAGCAGCGACCCAAGAACCCCAAACCTCCATTCAATTCCATGCCGCCTATAATATTACCAGAGAGCCAGACCAACACAAAAAGACTCGACTCTAACGGCAAGCAAAGGCGCGCCCCCGAACCAACGAACGCTCTCTCTATGGGATTAACAATATAATATGCTGCTGCTGCTGCCGCCGCCGCTGCAGCAATCGCAACGAGGTGCGGTGCGGCGGTGCGTGGCGCAGAATCGAGAACAATCCACTCCGTACGGACAAACGATGAAAAACCTAGGACAAGATATACATGACATGGCCAGTCCCAGACGCAGGTGCCATGACGCACGCGTGGGCTGCTGCAAAAGAGACAGCCGCGACAAGAAAAAAAATTAACCATGGAGTACCCTAAGCAGAAATACAAACACCAAAAGCAAGGTTTAAACCCCCATGCAATTGTTTTTATTCACGTAAACGGTAATACAAGAAACCAGGGTTTTCAAGACAGCAGGCGCGCCAGAGGCAGAGCGGAAGAGATAGACGTGGAATCGTGGGCGCGTCGTGATAGCAGCGGCGCGATATAGCTGTGGGTCAGGCTAGGCCGGGCCGTCGGAGACAGAGCGGAAGAGATAGACGTGGACTCGTGGGCGCGTCGTGATAGCAGCGGTACGATATAGCTGTGGGTCAGGCCAGGCCGGGCCGTCGGAGGCCGGTTTGTTATGGCGTGGCCCATCCGCCCGCCACGTCGACCCACTCGGCCAGGCAGCTGCCCTCCTTGCCCTCGACGTCGACAATGTCTGTGTCGCAGCGGCAGCGGCAGCCGACGCCGTTCTCCTTGGGCGTGTCGAACTCGTCCCAGTACTTGTCCTCGTCGTGTCGCTTGCGCTCATCTAGCGTTGTTTTTTCTAGGTATGGATCGCGCGGGAGCTGGAGTGCCGGCGCGTTGGCCGGACAGTGCTGGATTGTGGTGTGACGATAGCCAAAATCGCGGAAGTAGTGAATGTCGCGGGGCGAGAGGAGAGCGCCGGCGGCGAGGGAGTGGATGGGTGCGTCGCCCCACTAGAGCCACAAGTTAGTGTTACCGCCCAAGGCACAGTAAAGGAAGATCACGCAGGGCTATAACGTACCCGCTCCATCCAAAAACCGCCGCTGCGGTCCATGACCTGGAAGAAATCCTCGTATTCCTTGCTCCGGAAGAAGTCAAGGCGGGCAATTTCAAAGTTGGACCAGAAATGGCACATGTTGTACTTCTCGCCCTCCATGGCCTCGTAGTCGATTTCGGGCAGGCCGTTGCGGCCTGGCTCACTGCGCAGAATCTCTTCGGGCAGGGGCGCCTTGTAGTTGGGGTCGTCCTCGGGCACCTCGGGCTCCTTGTCCGGCTGCGGCTCGACAAACATCTCCCACAAGCCCTTGGAAGTCAGGTTGTTCATGCGCTTGTACGCCGATGCGTAGCGGAAGATGTTGGGAACAGTCTCGCGCAGTTCCTTGACGGCGATGGTAAACCCATACGTCTTGTTTCTTTCGATCATGGCCATGAAGGGGTCGCTATTTGCCTGTCAGTAATCGGCGACGGGCTCGCTCGCCGGGTTTGAGGGGCGCATACTATGTAATGTCGCAGAAGTACTTGATCTCGGGCTCCAAGCGCCAGTACCATTCGTACTTTTGCAGAAGCTCGTGCTTGAAGAAGAAGCTGCGGCACCTATTAGCGTCGGCGGCAAGTTGAAGGTAAGGAGTTGTGTCTAGGCGCACCCCGAGTAAAAGCGACACATGGCATGGTAGCTCTCCATCCCGCCGTACATGACGGCGGCGTCTCCCTGCTTGGCAATGCCCTCCTTGGCAACCTTGGGGTCGACCCAGTCAGGGAAGCCCCACATCTCGGGTCCAACCTTGCCGAACTCGACAGACGACGACGTGTAGTTCTTGACGGTCTCCTTGAAGGTCGAGTTGAAGTCGCCATCGTTGAGAAATACGTATGGGTAGTGGTACCATCGGTTAAAGTGGCGCTCGATCGACTTGATGGACTGTATCACGCCTTCTAATTCCGAGTTCCGCGCGAGCACGACAAAGGCCGCGTTGGCTTTTGGCTTAGTCGGGTCTGGCACATCGCAGCCCGTGACAAAGACCGAGTCGTACTTTTCACTGATCTTTCTGTATCCAGAACGGCGGTCAGCACCACGTCAAAAACCATTCGGCTCACCTCCCCCAAGACGTTGACCAACCTTATAGCAGGCGGGGCACCGGCGGGCATGAGTATGTGCCCAGGAGAGCTGGGGTGCTTGACAAAGAGCACCAGTATCAAGATGACAACAATGCAGGGGAAGAGAACGACGATGCCAAGAGGCACCGAGATGCTCGAGTTGCCTCTTAACCTCAGCGGCCTCCTAAGGTAGGCGAGGCGCGACTCTATTGTCCTCCGCGGCTTGTTCCTCTTTTTCTCGTCCATGAGTGGCAGTTGGGGACGCCTCCGGGCGGGAACGAATCTCCCGGCTCGGCGGAGGAGATCCATGGCGATGGACTCCAAGGGAGAGATGTCGGGGTTGGTGGCGTGTTTGTCCTGTGGGTATGCGCGCACGAGTGGCACGGGGAAGGGGGTATTAGGTGTCGCTATGGACAACTGCGGGAGTTGCAATCGCGAATGCAGCGTGTTGAACGGAATCCTCCGCAATCGTTGTCGTCTGGTATCGAGGGGCGTAGCCGTGCGACAAATCGAAATGGGCCGGCTGAGCCGCTGGGAGAGAAAAAAGATGTCACCGACAAAGTCCAATCCCGAAATCACAGACGCGAGAAGCGAGCGGCAGGGAATAAAAAATTCCCTCCAAGTCGAGTCGAGGCCGGCCGGAGGGGGGCGTATCGGTTTGTCGCTGGGGCCTCGTTACGCGTCAGGGACAGGGCCGAGATGGCGAGAATGGGTCACGCTGCAGTGTGACCAAGGCCGCTGCGATTGAATCGCGTTACGCAGGGTGCAAGCCAGAGCGAGTCTGGCCAGGCAACATGGATGCCAAGGCCAATCTTGATCCGGCGTGAGCGCGCGGGCGTGGATGCGTTCAATTGCCGTCGTTAATCGTCGTTTGTCGGAAAGATCTGACCGGACAGCGTTGGCGTTGGCGTTGGGTGAAGAAGCGCAGAACCTGCTTCAATCTAGCCCATTTGCCCTCTGCCAGAAATTGTTAGGGCATTGGCAGCAAGACGCAGTGCAGGCGTGGGCGAGCCAATCAGCCGACGAGCACCCTGAAGCCCCTGCCAGGGACGGCGTAGGACAAGATTACCACATCCGCCAGTTGCAGGATACGGCTGCCGGCCTGACGCCAGCTGCAAACGGCCATTCAATCCCCGTACGATTACAAATGAGTGGGCCGTGCCGAATCATCTGCCAGCTGTAATCCGTTGTCCCACGGCCCGGCTCCCACGCTCGAGCCAAGCCACGCTTCCAGGTTACCACGGGCGGTCTCGGCTTTGCACAAGTGCCGGGTCGGGTCTGGGCAGGGCAGGGCAGGGCAGGGCAGGGCAGTTGAGATGAGATCGGGCGACGCGATTGGATTCGTGAGCCAATCAAATTTACCAAAACAACCCAGGTAGTGCAAGATTGTCAACTCCACCTCAATCTTGCCACTGGAAAGGGGTTCAGTGCCTTCGACAGCTTTGCAACGATGAAGGCTCGAAACAACCAGGCCCACTCCTTCAGAAAGCAAAATATTAGTATGAGCAGCAAAATCAACAAACGAGATGCCCGAATCGCGCACGCGTGTCTAGCTGGCCCGCCAACCTGATTTGTTGGTGGCCAACTGCCAACTGCCAACAGACGTCAATGCATTCCGTGGACATCACCAGCCTAGGCTTGGCCCAGGATTACGTTGGTGTGCAAACGACTCTTTTGTCGAACGGCAGAAAAAGGAAATAGTAATTAGAGAGCATTCTTAATCAGTAGCTGTGATTAAGTAAGTTTCAGGGAAAAGAAGCATAGGAGGATTGCAAGGTCACGTTCAATATCATCGGAGTCCTGCTCTCAAAGATTGGAGTCTCCGTGTGCATCTAGACACGGCTTCACGTGAAGGAATTAATTAGAACTAGATAATTTACATGACTTTTCTCCCCTTCTTAAATTTGTTAAGAGCCTTGATAAACCTAGTCTCACGTCCCCTTGTTTGGTAAATAATCATTGCCGTCGAGATATGGAACCATTTTGGATATCCAATTGTTTACCTGTCTCGTTGGTCCCCGAAGAGGACCTCGTTCGGTTTTAGGGAACGCGAAGGCACGCCGACTGCCTTGTACCCTAATTATTCACCGTCGTGTCGGGTATTGAACCAGCCATGACGCTGAATCTCGCCGGTTGTCGCGCGCTCCTCGGGCTTCCAGCAGAATATCTTGAGCCGGAGGTCGTGCAGTTCGTCAATCTCGGGGAACGGGGCCCTGTAGTGTATGAAGTTGCGTGCGGCTGTCAAATTGTCGGGAAAACTGGGCCTATCGAGCTTGCAGGCAGGCAGGCAGCCGTCGCTGTTGCTGTCGCTATCACGGCTGTGATACACGCTCTTAATATCGTCGAACGCGTATGGGTCCAACTTTATCGAGCAGCCACGCCGCATCGAGTCCTTCAGATAGTCGGACGACTCTTGCACCCCCGTTTTCCTCTTAGTTTCCGCGCGGTACTCCTGCAACCGCGCCTTATCCTCCACTTTGTCGTAGGTCCAGGGAAACCCCTCGGTGTAGCCGTGCCGTCGTTTCACTGCGTCTTTGGTCCTAATGGTGTAGGGAACCAGCTCATCACCCCAGCAGCCCTCGTTGCCGCAGCCAGCGCCGTGGGGGCAGTTTGCAGAACCGAACCCGTATTTCTTCAAGTCCCTGCGGAATGCGAGCGGCATGGGCCCCATGGTGAGCTCCATGTTTTGCAGCGCGCTAATGGAGGTGTTGTCGAGGTCGTAGCCACAGAAGGGCCGGTTCCCCAGCCGCACTTCCATCATGGAGCAGCCGAGGGCCCAGACATCATACGCGAACCCGACGGGCTGCGAGGGGAAGTACACCTCGGGCGGCGCTTGACCAGGCCCGGCAGGTGGCCGTAGACAGAGTAGATATCGGCCAGCTCGGGCCCCTCAAGGGCATGACCGAGCACAGGTGGCGGCCGTTGGGGCCGCGGAGCTAGAAGAACTCTAGCGGGGCCTGTATGTTGGTGCGACGCCATCTGAGCGACGTCGACGCCGGCGTCGTGCAAGAGCTCGGCCGTGTCGAGCTCTGAACAGTCGGGCGTCGAGTGCTTTGCCGTCGTTATCTTGACGGCACGCCACTTCCGCGCCAGCTTGTCGTGGCAGAGCCAGACGGTCCCGAAGCCACCGGTGCCAAGTTTGTGCACGACGCGGAACCGCCCGCCTCTGCCAAGCAGATCGCCCAGTTGGACGGGGTGGAAGCCGCCCTCGCAGTAGCCGTCGAGCTCCTCAACATCGATATCACCGTCCGCAGGCATGTGTCCGTATATGAACTCGGGCTCCGTGTCTGGCTCTTGGCTCTGCTCAGGCTGGTGATAGGGCTCCGAAGACGTCCTTGACGTCGTTACTGATGAGGCATGAGATGTCATGGTTGCTTATTATTGGAGAATCGAAGAATTGAACCAAGTTAGGCCCCGCAAAGGGTGTGCGTTTCTGGGTGATGTTGCGGCCGGGGAGATAATGGTCGGCAGTTTAGGCTCGAGCCGAGGGGTTCGAGCCTCTGTTTCGCGGCGAAAATGGGAGCATAGGTTTTAAAACAAGGGCAAAGCTTGCGGTCAAGCTGGGATGATAATGGTGTGGGAATCTGGAAAGAGAGACCGACAGGCCGCGGGTCTGGTTGTGGACAGAATCCGAAGCAGAGCTCGTTGTTGCCTGAACTGCTGTCTGTTTAGATATTGTCCAGGCTCTTTCTCTTTCTTTCCTAACGCCTTGGCGGTCGCAAAGATCCCATAGCCTTTTGGCCAATGACTTTCTTCCAGGTGTTTATAAACATCTCTTGTACGTCCAAGCACGTGCATCGCCGGGCGAAACAGAACTGCCGGGGCACTAGGAGATGAAAGGGATTCCTGTCGTCGACAAAATCTGGAACTAGTACCGCGAAGCCCAGTTGATCAAAAAACAATGTACGCAATAGATCTAAATGTTGGACCAATTCCTTTGTTTGATTAGCGCTTGAAGACTGGAGCTTGAAGTTCAGTTGTGTTATTCAATCTTCGTCCTCGAATGGGCTTGTCCCGCGCACGAGTGGTCTTGAATAGCTTTATTATTTCACTCTCAGTAGTGCGATGCATGTGAATATAAAAAAGACTGAATCCCACCGTGGTCTGGTGAGCTGGCATATCTTGTCAATATCGCAGTACCTGTCACGACGCGTTTACACGATATTAGCAGCTACTACGTCCCCGGTAGACCCAATTTATATTATTCTCCTGTTCATCTGGCTATCATTCTCCTGTACCTTCATTACCTACCTTGCCAGCAGACAACATGCCCTGTGGTTCCACGACCAAGACACCCTATGTAATCGGCATGACACTGGGCGGGCGCGGGATCAAGGTTTCACGCAAAGGAATAGTTCACTCGGTTGGCTCGGGAACTCTGACGGACCCGCAAGTTGCGTTTCTCTACCAGATTCCGTCAGGACAGAGCATGCTCAACTCACAAATGGCCGTTGCAAAGCAACTTGCTATTGCCCATTGCCAAAGGTGCGTCCTGATCCGCGGACCACCCCATCCCACAAAACTTGTTCACGATGCCGAGGGCAGACGCATCGCCAAGGGCAGACGCATCGCCACGTCGTGGAATGATGACACATCCGAATTCGAAACGGACGAGGATGACCTCCACGTCACCCTCTGGATGGGAGTCTCAGTTAAGAGGATCCACCTCGCCGCACACATGTACGTGCAAGAGACGCGCGATGCCAACGGCAACGAGATCGTGAAGCTCATGGACGACCCCCAAACCCAGCGGAAGCATGCGCCCGAGGGGTGTGCCCGTGTCGGCCCTGTGGATTTCTGGCTGACCAAGAACACATTTCCCGAGACGGGGAAATGCTGGCAGCAAAACCAAGTAAGAAACCCATCTGTCCCTGGATTTGACCGTGAAAATTCTTCCCTTGGAGCCCCTCTCAAAGACCCTCGTCAGGCCAGAGGCTCACGCCCACCATCTTCTTAACCTTTAGTGGACGAGGACGACATAAAGGGAGTATAGTCGGCCAGAAAGGTCTCGAAGGTCCACGGCTCGTCAACCTCCTTGACTGTCTGGACTGGTTGCAGCTTCGACGCAGAAGCTGGGGCTCGTTCAGAGGCTGGAGAAAGGCAAGTAGGCAATTTCAATCAAGTCTTGGTCAGCTCTCACCGCTTCTCCACAAACAAGGGGCGCCAGCGTCAACAGCCAAACAAGCTCTGCAGGTTGCCCCGCAACAAGTCAACAAAGCCAAAAAGGAAACGCGACGTACCAATCTCCAGCCGCCTGAGCTTCCCACAGACCCTCTTGACGTCGCCCTGGTCCTTGTCTAGCAGCGCATCAACAATACGAGCCGTAGTGCTCAGCAAACGGGCCTGGGACGCAGTGCCGAGGGCGCCGGCAGCGGTCGTCTGGGTCTGCAGGTCGCGGGTCCACGCGGCGAACTCGTCGGAGCTCTCCTTGAGCGCCTGGTACTCGGCGAGGCGCTCGGCCACGAGGCCCTGCATCTGGCGCGAGCCTGTGCCCATGGCCTGCGCGCGCGCCAGGAGCTCGCGCGCGCCTTGCACGGCTGTGCTGAGAGTCTGTTTCTGTTGGGCGAGCGCGGCCGCTTCGGAGCGCAGGGATGACTGCCGCGTGCTGGCGGCGGAGATGGCGCCCTGCAGCCGCTCGCGGTTCTTGCGCATGTCGCTGTGGGTCGCGCGGGTTAGGTCTGGATACCTAGGGAGGGAACAGGAACAGGTGGGTAGGCTCGAACCGAGCTGGAGAGTTGAGAGGGACGAGGTGGGATGGGAAAGAACGAGGTGGGATGGGAAAGGACGGGGTGGGATGGAAAGAACGAAGTGGGATGGGAAAGGACGAGGTGGGATGGGAAAGAACGAGTTGGGATGGAAAGAACGAGATGGGATGGAAAGAACGGGAGGAGTAAGCATACTATGCGGCGCCCTCCAAGGCGCCTGCGGCGATGAGCATGGGAGGGAAGACCAAGCCCATTCCCCAAGTGGCGACGCGAGCCTGGTTTCCCGCCCGCCTCATGTCAGTAGCTATACCATCTGGCTTCCGGGAGAAACAGGGCAGGCACGCACCACGCGCATGGCGTCCCGGTCATTCTTCTTGCCCTTCATCTGCGCCTCCAGCGCGCTCAGTTCCTGCTGCGTTGTCGCGAGCGACTGGCTGGCCTGGTCCAGCTGCGTCTGCTTGCCGCCGAGGGAGTGGCCGGCGCGGTCGAGGGCGCTGGCGGCGCGCGCCGACAGCGACTCGAGCTTGGTGCGGATGGCGCCTAGCTCGCCGTGCATGTCGTCGCCCGTCTTCTTGATGGCCTCGACGCGCTCGAGCCCCGCGCTCGCCGCGCCGTGCAGCAGCGTGAACTGGGCGTCCATGTCCAGGAGATGTCGCTTGGCTAGGGCCTTCTTGGAGGCGGCGGCGGCGGCGGCGGCAGGCTGGTGCAACTCGAGGAGGCCGGCCAGGCGGCTGGTGCCCGTCTCGAGATAGACCACGGTGCTCTCGACGGCGTTGACGCTGCTCTGCAGCTTGGCGAGCATGGCGCCGTGGTCCTCCTGGATGGTCGCCTTGGACTTGGTCTCGAACGCATCGAGACGTGCTTTGAGCCCGTCGAGATCCTTCTGGATCTGCTCAACCTCGCTCTGGAGCGACATGTTTGCGCTGGGCTGTCTGGCGGTGGGGAGTGTCGGATGCGTAGGTAAGCGGTGGTGTGCAAAGGAGGCGGCGGATACGACTCACCAGAGAAATGGGGGTGGCCGCCGTGAGTGTCCCAACCGCGGCTTATGCCGCCGTCCAGCCGGGCTGGGAATTCACTGACCGACCGGCAGCGAGCCTCTGGCTACATGTATGACTCCCACGTGCTGTGGGAGATAAGGATGCGGCTGAAAAGAGGTGCGTGACCGGGGCTGACTATTCATTTATTGTCATGGGGCTAAATTCGGAATGGTTGTCACACCAGTGCTGGCCAAGACTTGGTTTTCCCACAAGGCTGTGGGCAGAGAACCCCTCCATCCTCACCGTGGGGTGGCTCACACAAAGCCACAATGATACCACAGCTGCAAAGGTCTAATTGAGTCAGACGAACGTGGCACAGCATGGGGTCACGGCCAATGCCGTCGATTTGTCCCCTCCGCCAAGCCCTCAGCTTTCAGAGTCGCAGTTGATCGTCGATCGGAACTTCCAGACACGTGGCTGAAGGCCAAGTCGACCTGCGGCGCAAATTGCCCTGCCACCTTGACTTTGACATAAGCAAGCGGCTGACGGAGAGAGAATCCCGAGGAACGTTGCAATGGAATCCCAGGAATCCCAGGGATCCCAGAGCCTCGCGGCGCTGTCTTGGCTTCCGGCTTCACATAATTATGTATATGCGGCTTGCCCGGCCCGAGCCTAGTTAGTCTTGTCTGGGGCTGCCGTGTCGCTATTCTTACCTTCATCTGGGGAACTGCCACTTATCTAGATCAGAACAACCGCAACCCGAGTCCAAACTTTCCTTGCCTTTCCCTGGCACCAACACCAGCAACCATGAGTGCCAACGCAAAAACCCAACACGGCCACGCCAACCAACCGGCCGCTGACCCGAACATGGACGACGCCGTCGACGTGTCCGACTCTGACGACGCGGCCGAGGGCTTTGACCCCGGCAGCGCGATCCAGAACCGCGACCTCATCCGGCTAGTGCGCACGTCGGCCGGGTCTGAGCTGTTTGTCAACCATGTCGCCCAGGAGCAGCTCAAGGGCGTCGGCCAGAGCAACTGGGGCGGCCTGCTGAGCGCGGCCCCCGATGCCCTGGGGCGGCTGGGCCAGTGCTTCGTGCTAGCCTCGGACCCGCTGGCCTCGTCGCTCGTGTTTCCCGAGAGCGCGGGCTTGAAGTGAGTTGCCAGCCGTGTGTGCAGTTGCCCAACTAGACGCTTGAACTGACCACCCTCTGCACAGATACACGTCTCTCAGGGCGAACCTCGTGCACTGCTCTGATCTCGGCCGCAAGGCGTTCCGCGACGCAGAGGCCAGGATGAAAAAGGTGTCCATGGTCGCGCAGGCCGTGTGCGAGCCTGACGGAACGGTACGTCCACGGTCGCTGGCCATCTGAGATCCAATCATGGCCTGGCTGACTCTCTGTCCCTGCAGATCGACATGATCATCCAAGCCACCGAGGACGAAGACCTCGCCGAGCTGGACCTTCCCGAGCAGCTTGCCGCGTTGAAGCGCGTGTCCAATGACTGCGTCGAGGACACCAAGGCCATCAAGGAGAAGGTGGCCGCCTGGAGCCAGTACGCGGGCCTGGTCTACCAAGCATGCGTCGACAAGGACGGTACATCTCCCTTTCTCGACACTTGACCTCGTGAAGCAGCTTGCTTACTGATCGATCCTATGCGTGTTTAGAATCTCTTGGCAAGGAGGAGCACGACCTCGACGGCCAGATTGTCGATAGGCGGCTGACCGTGGGAATGAAGAAGGAGCGGGTAAACAACGTCAAGTCCCAGACAAGCCACTACCGCGGACAGCTCGCCACCCGGCAGGAAGAGGTGAACCGCGCAAACAAGTCCATGCACAGAGGTGACCAGGAAAAACCAAGAATCCTTCGTTTGTCCGTCCGTCCCGGCTAACCCAACCTCACCCACGCAGGGGGCTTCACCGACATCGGCACCAAGCTGGGCGACGCGGTAATCGACACGGCCATGTCACTCATCAACCCGTTCAGCGGCTTCAGCATCAACCTCGGCTTCGGCGGCGGCGGCGGCAAGAAGGACGGCAAGAAAAAAGACGGCAAGAAAGACGGCAAGGACCAGTTCTACACGCCCGACCCCAGCGACGGTGCGGCGCAGCAGGACGCCGGCTTCGCGCTCGCGGACCGGCTGCTGCCCGTGGTGCACCGATTCGCCGAGCTGCTCGTCTCGGGCCCCGACGACCTCAACGGCGTCGACTGGGAGGCGCTGGGCGGCACCGGGAAGCACGTGGGCTCGCGCAAGGACGCCGTCTGGAACATCGAGGACCACATCAAGGACGTGCTGCAGCAGTTTAGCCGCGAGAACTCTACGCTCGTGTGGCAGATCCGCGAAGAGATGAAGCCGGTTGAAGAGGTGCGTCGGAAATGGACATGGATGGAAATGTGCTGTTTCTCGCGCGAGATTATGACGCTGACCCGCGCCGCAGGTTGCCGAAGCCATCCGCGGCATGATGAAGCAGGAGCGCAACGTCAACGAGCGGACGCACGAGCAGGTCGAGAAGTCGGCCAAAGCCTGGCGCGGCGAGGTCAGAAGGACCGAGACGGCCCTTGGTAAGATTTTGGGCGCCCGCGCGAAGAAGGAAGAGGAGAGGAAGCAGGTAAACAGTGCCGATGCCTTTACTTCCAACGTCTTTTTTTTCTTTCTACGTGATTTCTGACCCCTTTACCCATCGAACAGCGCACGGAAATCCGACTCCGGTCGACCAGTGAGTTTGCATGTTTTACCCCTGATCCCAGAGTCGGCTCTGACACGAGACCAGAAATGTCACCCGCCGAAATCCGGTTCGAGCGGTTCCGCATGGCGCAGCAGGCGCTGTTTGACGCCGAGACCAAGCTCAACCAGCGGCTGGAAGACGAGATGCGGGCGCTGGAGGAGTTCAACGCGATGCAGCAGGGGCTCGAGAAGCTGCTGACGTCGAAAGCAACTCTGGTACGGCCCGTAGACTCCAGAGCACCGACACTAGCTGCCACTGACTGACACGCAATCAGGCCCAAGTCAAGGAGATCGTGGGCGAGTGCGTCAAGCACCTGCAGCTGTTCTGCGAGAAGCTCGACCAGCTCACGACCTTCTTCACAGAGATGCAGAACTACATCAACGACATTGACAAGCACCGCGTCGACCAGTTCAGCCAGGTGGCGGCCGTGGCCAAGAAGCTGGGCGGGCTCGCCAGCGAAGCCGCCAGCGAGCAGACGCGGCTGCGGCGGGAGAAGGTGAAGCGGCAGAAGCTCGAGGTGACTACGACGTGCCCATTTCTTTCCACACACCCCTTCGCGGGACAAGCTCAGCTGCTGACCCCTCTCGCGAAACAGCAACTCCGCCTCAAGGCGCTCGAGCTCAAGGGCCACTACCTCGTGGCGCAGGCCATGGCCAACACGTACAGCGAGGTGTCGGCCAAGTACATCCTGCCGGGGGTCAGCCGCATCGACCGGCTGAGCCTGCCCGACCCCAAGAGCATCTCGGCGGGCGAGCGCGCGCAGAAGATTGCCGAGGTCGGCGCGCTGGCTGCCCAGGCCCGCAAGGGCGTCAAGTTGCTGGCTAATGCTGTGGGTTTTTCTTTTCTTCGTCTCTTTTTTCTTGACGGGGTGTTTCGTGCTGACATGTTTTGGTGGTGGTGCTGCAGAGAAAGGAGCAGTTCCTCACTGCCATGACGGAGCAGCGCGGCGTGATCGAGGAGGCGGGGCAGCTTGGGATCGAGAACTAATTTGCTGCAAGCAATGTGCCGAAGTAATAGAGTACTCCTGTGCGTGGCATCGGAAGGAAACAAGGTAATTAGGTAATTGTTTTATTGTTTGGCTTTGTAGTGGTCAGGGGCTCAGGGCCCGGAATAACAAGGGGGTTCTTTATACCACTACCCAATGTATTCTAGTCTAATTCTTTTACGCTGAACTTGTGAGTGGCCAAAAAAAGTGCAAAACGACCAGAGATGCCGCGGCGCCTCCGGCTGAACAGCCAGTGGAGTGAACAGCCAGTAGAGACGATGCTGAAGATCTCATCGTCGAGGGCCAGGGTCAGTAAAAGGTTGCGGTTCAGTCCGAGAAAAGAAGAAGAAGCCCTACAGAAACTCCGCTTGCATCTCTTTCATGGTGCCCATGTCGTCGGTCTTTATGGTGAAGCAAATGTGTAGCAACTAATTCTTGCGGTGTGGTGGGGTTGCGTCGGAGGGAGACCGTGGATTATATTCTGTCACTCTTTCACTGGGACAAGATAAGACTTGGAACGAGACTTCCCTCGAGGGCGATAAGCACCAGATAGTAGGCCGGTGGGAATAGGACAGGACTGTCTTCCAGCTTGCCATGCACACACGGCCCCCTGTATTCCGTGATTGGGGTGGGAGACCTGCTGTCAACAAGGCAGCGAACAAATGCAGGAGAGACATGCTTAAATCAGCCTCTGGTCAAAATTGGAAAACGGTATTCGGGTCCATCGGCCTCTGAAAAAGAGGTGTGAGATGGTTATGCAATATTTTTACGTCATGCGTCTGTTGAGAGCTATGAAACTGATGCAGGAGCTGGTTACCTAACTTACTCGAGAATGTGAGGGGTTGCTTGGTGTGAACGAAAAGGCAGTCCGTCCCAGCCGAGGAAATGTGAGCGGCATCAGGGCCACCGCGACAGCCGCAAGAGATAAGAGCAGCCGCCCACCGGGCTTGAGAGGCGCCACCTCCACCTCGAGCGGGGCTCGGTTCGGGTACCATATGCCTCGTTCTTGTTCCGAGATTTACCTCAATCCTATATTCTTGTAATCACCCCGACTTCATGGTCTTTGCCTAGCGGTTCGGGTCTTCGGGATAGGGCGTATTACCGTTGATGAGTTTTAGCCACTTGTGAGAATATCTTGTAGCAGCTTCTTGTGCGTCGGTCCCAGGACCGGGCCCGCGTCCCAATTTCTGTCTAGCCTTAATCACTTTGCGTCATCCCTGGCCACCTTGCCCCGCGAGGATGAATGCCTTCTACGTAACCTCGTCAGAGCCTACCGGCTCCCTTCTAACCAGCCGACTTCCAATTCATGGTGTGGGCTGCCGTGAATGCGGGTCCCTTTTGGGTCACAGCCTGATGGGTCGGAGAAGAAAGATGATGTGGTGGGAGGACGTTCCCCCGAAAACTCATGCACGCCCGGATCAGCCGCAGCTAATATTTAAGATATTGTGCACATTTCTCACGCATTTGCCCTTGTAACATTTCTTATTGGGCCGACATCTAGACGGGGTTGTTCGCAAGGCTTTCTGCAGCAACGCCACGTCCTCGAACAAGAACATGGCAGTGCATTCGATAAGCAGCGAGAGGCACTGGCTCGTGCATCTGAGAGAGTCTGGCGAAGAGCATGGCACTGAGAAAATATTGTTGGTGCCAGAAAGGTGTTCTACAAGCAGTATTTACTGAAGTGACCGGCTACTCTCCACTAATCACTTTAGCCTTCTCCATCTTCCCCCTTTTCCCGGCTTCCGACAACTTTTGAGCCTTCCCTGTCGTTGTCCATTGCAAGAAATCCTCATTTAAAGACTCACCATGGGCAACTCCAACGATGCGCCAACGGGCAATAACAACGGCCAACCATATTAACTAGTTCAGGACGCAGGAGGTCACCTACAGGCCTGCCAAGAAAGATAGCTTCTCCGACCAGACTCTAGTGATGTTTCTCTCGGTCGGGATCGGTGTAGGCGCCACTGTTGTTGGGTATTCTCTGGGTAGCCAACACAATAACTACCACCACAACGGCAATGGCGACTTCAACATCCAAAATATGCTCAATAGTTTGTGGAACTGATTCACGGCCCGCTGCAAGAGGTAGGAAAAACCTTAATCGTTGATTAGGCTGGTTATTAGGATGCTGGCATGGCTTTTTACGGCAGCGCATTGCCCATCTCGTGTCGTCGCGTTATAGTATGCTTGGTTCGACATGCCGATGAGGATTCAGGGGATAATATATCAGTGGCCTCCAAGAGATATGGTACGTACATTTGTTTTATTGATCGATATATGAGCAATCCACCCCGCGGCACCACGGCGATTTGCCTTGAATGTCTACCAACCTAACTATGAGCGGTCCCCCTCCCTCGATTGTAGATTCTGGTCACTCCGTTCAGTGCTACCCAGGAATTCTCCGCCGTCTGTTACAAGAAACAATCGTAGCTCTTCTTCTAAATCCAAATTTATTTGCGTTGCTAACGCGTCGCGCGTCACGCGTGTAAAGGTGTATCCATCGCTACACCAGCTGAGTGGCGGGATCAGTCAGCTCGACCGAAGTATTCCAGGTGTTGGTCTTCTCCTCCTCGGCGATAAAGACGGGCCCGGCCGCAGACGGCTTGGTCGACTTGGCAAATCATGTCGTACGTGTCGGCCATCTAGTGCGGGCCCATGTTCGCGGCCCTCTTGCTGAACTCGCCGGCGTCGCTGGGCAGGGCGCCCAATTAGACCGCCTTTTCCACAGGGCCAACGCAGGTCTTTTTTTCGTCATTGCATCAATCAATTCCAAGAGCTTGCCGAATACAGCATTCCTCCGACCAGGGGACCTGCAATTGCCCCAAACTTTCCTCTAACAAGGAGGAACGGTTTCCAAATTCAAGGCGAAAAGCATCACTAACAAAGCACCGGGATTTCAACCCAAATTGATAGACAGAAATCCTGAAGCAAACTTACGCTCTAATTACTCGTTACTATTCCAGTTCTTCTGGGGACCCGGGATGAAGTGAGCCCCTTGAAATCTCTTGAGCGGGGAGGTATAGTTTGTTGAAAGAACGCCGAAATTTGTCCTCATTCTCCCTTTCAAAGTTCCATGGGTTGCGGTGTTCTGGGTTGCGGTGTTCTGGGTTGATCAATAACTTGACCGTCTGGTAGATCCAGTACTGGCCGCCCACTCTAAGCTTATTGTCGGCCAGCATATAGTGGAAGCGGCTATAATTGGTACGCCGGTCAATCGGGATAGCCGCCAGCATATCGCCAAAGTTACCCTTGATCATCATTTCGAGCGGTGACTCCTTAGGCTCAAGATTGACCAACTCGCTGATTTTGACGAGGCTGAAGGTGAACCTGGCCATCAAATGCTGCGTGGAGGCCTCGGCGGGTAGGGCGTGGTAACAACAGACTTTGAGGGTTGAGTCCTGAATCCCAACGCGCACTGCGTCGTTTCCCCGAACGGGATCCTTAAGGACAAAGTAGATATTGCACTCGGCCCGAAGTCCCACAGGTCCACCGCTAGAAGACCTGGCAGGAAAGGCGCGCAGGGCCTTGACGTCCCGCTTGCAGGTGACATCCGGCCAGATAGAGGTTTCCCCCTTTGGCTTTTCCCCCTCTGGTTCAATGACTTCGCGTCACGGGTGCTTCTGAATCTTCCTTACAGATCCGGAAATTTCAGCTGTATGGTGCGAGGTTCGCTGAATTGATACCACATGTGTTTTTGATTTGTGGGTGCTGGGATGAACTTTTCCATCCTGGACTATTTGTATTGGGCCTCTGCGACTGTCGGCGGTCTGTCTGACTTTCGATTCTGCGGCAGCGACCTTGGAAGCATTTTCATCATTTCTAACCTACTCGAGCTCCTTGACAGCAAGGTCTGCGGCCTCTTTTGCGTCCCCGCGAGCTGCTTTGGCCTTGTTCAACATTTCATTTTCCGGGGTCGCCGTGATCGGGGCTTTCTTGGTGAACTCAAGAGCTGCGTCTTCGGCTTTCTGGATAGCAGCAGCAGTGGCAAGTTCCGTCTTGATAATCTCCGCCAGAGGCTCTTCATATGCCTGGCGAAATTTAAACATGAGGGAAAGCTAGTGGCTGAGGGCTAGGGACACTTTTTTTGGCTTGGAGAGGATGCCGAACCATGAACCAACTTGGCACTCAAGGCCCTTCCACCTAGTACTTATTATAGTGAGAGAGGGCACAAGAAGAATCGCCGGTAAATACAGACTCATACCCAACTCCCTGTCGGCATTTGATAACCGAGTGGCCATGCCGAGATAAGAATTGTTCGACACGTGTTTCGGCGGATTCACGTCGGACCCTTGCACGACGCGAGGCTGAGCAATTCAAGCATTATTAAATGAAACAAAATATGCCCCAACATCGGCGGCCCAAACATGGATGTGGAGTCCAGGCGCCAATGAATGCCCTTGCCATGTTCAATTCCACGAGAATACGCCACACGGGTGTACGACCCGCCACGGACAATCGGACTTGAGACGTCTCGAGGCCCAGGATCATTAAACAGCTCGAGTCCGACGAGATGTTTAAACACCATAGCCTAGGATAGTTTGAGTGCCGAAAGGCGAGAATAATGAGATTGAGACCGCCCCATCATCTAGTCGATGAAAGTTTCGCTCACGTATATGTAGCTGGTCTCATATGCAAGACAAAAGGCCCTCAGAGTCGGATAATAGAACTCCCGTCTCGACCTCCCGGTTCCACCCCCAAACATGAGATACAAAGAGCTCGGCACAAAGCAGCATCACGGCCTGACCTTCATGACATGAAACACGCCCGGCACGGTCGCCGCCGCGCCAAAGCCGCTGTATCCGGTGCCGAACAGCACGTACTGGTCCTGGACGGCGACCCCGCCGTGGAAGTTGGTACTCAGCTGCTTGTCCATGAGCAGGCGGCCGGTGGCCTTGCTCAGCGCGACCAGGCCGCCCTGCGTGGCGTCGTACGACGCGGTGCCGGCGGGGTCCTGGCCCGTGCGCGCGACGAGCACGAGGTCGCCGACGACGGTGGGCGGGCCGAGCGAGAGGGCGCCGGCGCCCGGGACGGGCGTCTGCCACAGGATGGCGCCCGTGGCCAGCGACACGGCGCCGTAGGCGCTGCGGTCCGTGGTGGGGCCCGACGGGGACAGCCGCCACGTCTTGTAGTTGGAATTGATGACGGTGAAGTAGGCGCGGCTGTCGTCGACGGCGATGCCCCAGCTCAGCCCGCCCGTGATGCCGCCGGGGCCGGTCGACGTGGCCCACAGCACGCGGCCGTCGAGCGCCGACAGCGCGTACAGGTCGCCGTTCTTGCGGCCCACCACGACCTTGTCTTTTGCAGCAGCGCCGGGAGCGCCGGGGACGAAGGTGGGCGCCATGCCAAAGTCGGCGTCAGGGCCGGGCACGCCGGGGCACAGGACGGGGTCTTGGGGGCCGAAGCCCGGGTAGCCGCAGGCCGCGGTGAAGATGTCGACGCCGTAGCGCTGGTGGACCCACTTGACGCGGCCGGTGTCGACGTTGATGGCGAGCACTGAGTCCTGCCACACGTCGGACGGCAGGCACGAGTCGTTGTTGGACACGTAGGGCACGTCGGGCGGCACGGCGGCGAGCTGGCACCGCACCGTCGCGTTGGATGCCGCGTAGGCGTTGCCCGTGCCCACGAATGCCAGGCGGCGCCCTGCGTCGATGGCCGGCTGGCTGCCCCAGAAGGCGGCGCCGGCCCAGCCCTCGCGCTGGCGCGCCGGGGGGATGGATGGCACGTCCCACACGACACGGAAGCGGCGCGCGGCTGAGTTAAAGGCCAGCGCCACCATGTTGCCGGCGAAGGAGCAGCAGTGGTAGCCCGGGATCAGCGGCACGTTCTCCTCAGTACTCGAGGCACCGACGAGCAGCTTGCCGTCGAAGAAAGTGGGCGACATGGTGACGATGGCCAGTGGGTGCGGGTTGATCTGGACCGTGCCGAGGGTGCGGCCGGTGGCCTTGTCGACGGCGACGACCAGGGCATGGGTCAGGGTGCCAAAGTAGACGACGTTGCCGTCAATCTGCGGGCTGGTGCGGGATATGGGCCTGGTGTTCTGGGCCTGGAAGGCCGACGGGGTTGCGAAGCCGTAGATGATGGCCGTCACGTTGACCCTCCACAGCACGCGGCACGAGCCGTAGTCGAGGGCCACGAAGGCGCCATCCCACGTGGGAAAGAAGACGGCACCACCCGAGACGACGGGGGTGGCGCTGACGCCGACGGGAAAGTCCAGTGTGCAGTGGTCGGCGATGGAAGGGATATTGGCCGACGAGACGATCCTGTTCTGCGCCGCCCACCGGTTGTTGAGCACGTTGCCGCCCCAGCCCGACCATTCGGCCGAGCCTCCGGCGACGATGCTGGCCCCGGAAGCCTCGGCGTCGTCGGCCTGGGCCCGCCAGAGGCAGAGAAAAAGGGTCAGAGCGTGTCGGAGCATTCTGCTTTAATGCTGTTGCTGCCTTTGCAGCAATAGCAGTAATAAGAACGGCTGGAAATCGCATAGCTTTATCTTCATTCCCCTCACCTTGTCTCATCGCATCTCGCCGTCGAGGCATGGAGTGCATTCGGATGGCTGGGAGCACGGCGGTGAGCCCGCATTAGTTCTCGAATGCTAGCCTACATTATAGCAGGAAACACCACTATTGGCTGAGCCGACAGGGCAAAGGCCCCTGTGGTTGCGCATACGCAGCGCTGGCATGGAGGGGGAAAGGACCCCAAGGAAGAAACATCCAATAGCTGCTGCTGCAGCCGGCTGCTTCTGGACTCTGGACCCGTCCAGCTGGGATCCAAGTCACCCGACACGTTACTTTACCAACCCGTTGGTAAACCCCCCCAATGCACCCCGCTGCTTTCGTGCATGTCCATTCCATTCCATGATGGCCACGCAGGTTGGGGTTGGCGGCGGGGTTGGGAGCCGCAGGTGATTGGGAAGCGTCAAGAAACTGGATGAAGGGAAAGGAAAAAGGAGAAGGGAGAAAGGAAAGGAAAGGGAAACGAGGAAGGGGCACATATCTAGAACCAGGGATTTCAGCGGGGACCATTCGTATTCATGAGTCAGCACGCTTAGGCTCCGGTATTTATTCATTACCGCCTAGAAAGTATTCGTACCCGTACGTACTTGTCTCCGCGCTCCCCCGCTGCCGCTTCCCTGAACCTTGATTCAGGACGGGGAGGGAAGCGGCGACTCCTGGCAAAGGCAGGTACGTAACACCTACCACCTCGGTTTGGCAGTGTGCGCCTCGTAATGTCCCCGTATGGAAGGCGCAAGCGAGGCCTGAGTTCTGGAACTTTTGAAATGAAGCTTTTGTCTGCCCGCCAAGGACGCCCTCCTTTGCTTTTTATCGATACCTGCCTGTGCAGTACGGATACAGACAGCACATCTCACACGCGAAAATCACAGAATACTAGAGCCACCTACGGATCAAGCCTAGCCTCACTCGGATTTCCAAAAGACAACTCACGCGTCTCTGGCTGCCAAGAGATATTCGGGCCCATTGGGGACTCGGAGACCGGGCGGACAGCGCGCATCAATTCAGATGATGGCAGACAGACTGCAGTGATGGCTGCACCCGGCTGAAAAGGGCGAGCTTGCCTCTAGCGGCCCGGCCGGGACACGGCCGTAGTGCCCCCGGCCATCTGAAGCGCCGGTGTGCGCCATTGGCGCTGAATGATTGGCTGGCCGCCGAGCTGACAAGGCTCTCGCTGGGATGTCGGGCATGGGTCCTAGAGGCTCACCCTTGCTGCTTCCTGTGCGGGCACTTGGCCCCCGCTTGGCATCACCAAAGGGGCCCATCACGCGTTTTCAGTAAAGGAAGACGGGTCTTCAAGATGCTGAAGAGGTACTCCCTCCCAGATTGCCAGACCAAGCCGGAGAGATGGCCCCCGAGCGAGTATCACTAATCTGCAGATGCAGAGATAGAAAATGATGCGCTTCCCAATTCCCACCCGCTTCAAGTCGCTGTCCGTTGATGCTCAGCAATACGTCAAGAATCACTAGTACTCGGTATATCTCCAGCAGGTGACATGCCCAGCCAGCTCTGGGTGACTGGGTCGATTGCGGGCACATGAACGAGTACACCACCACATTTTGTTGACAACCTGACGCCCTGACAACTTAACAACCATCGATCCCCGGCCTCGATCATGGCCTCGACCACGACCCAGCCCGACTACCCGGGCATGCTGCCGCCCCCTCCAGGCGTGACTCCCAACATCACGGACCCCGAGTCCATTGGGTGGAAGCTCGTCGTTGCCGGCATCGTCTGCCCTGTCATCACTCTCGTCTTCTGGACCCTGCGCGTCTACACGGCCCGGCACATCCTCCGCAAATTCCATCTCGACGATTGTAAGAACTCCAGGCCATCAGTGTTTCAAGTCTACGAAATAGACGGAACAAGGCGCCAGACCGCTAACTAGCGCCGAGCTTGCAGGGCTGATCACCGCGTCGTTGGTACGTCACGGACCAAGGCCCCGCTTCCTCCCGCCTGACGTCTCGGGCCGCCCGGTCTAACGATGCGCTTAATCTAGATACTAGCCATCGGTCTGTCCGTTGTGGATATCTCACGTCCGTACCCACGCCCCCGCATTACAGAGGCCAGAGCCAAACCCGAACCCAAAGCTGACGGGCCGAGTCTACAGAGACCAAGTATGGAATGGGCGTGCACATGTGGGAAGTCACGCCGGCCGACTTCCAACACTCCATCATAGTGAGCGCCCGCTGCCAGCCCAGTTCTGGCCCGATTCCGCAGGCCGAGACTGACAAAGCCGGCAACTGATCACAGGTCGGTCTCCCGGCCTCCATCTTCTACAATCTCTCGACGCTCTGCGTCAAGGCGTCCATTCTTTTCTTCTACCTTCGCTTCGCCGCCGCCAACCAGGCCTTCCGCGTCACCGTCTACGTCCTGCTCTTCGTCGTCGCCGGCTACTCGCTCAACGCCGCCTTCAGCTTCCTGTACCTGTGCACCCCCATCCACAAGCTCTGGGACCTCGCCACCCCGGGCTCCTGCGTCGACCTGTACTCGGCCTTTCTGGCCAGCGCCGCCATCAACGCCGCCACCGATGTCGTCATTCTCCTGCTTCCCTCCTGGCTGCTGTGGCCGCTCCGCCTGCGCTGGAGGCACAAGGTGGCCGTCAGCCTGGTTATGATGACGGGCGGATTGTCAGTCTCATTTTGTTTTCTCTGCTTGTTCAGGTACCGACGGTAAACTAACAGCCAGCTCAGCGTCTGCGCCGTGAGCTTCTTTCGCCTGGCATCCATCCCATTGGGCAAGGACAACATGGACACGACCTGGCAGTACTGCATCAACAACATCTGGTGGTAATGACCTGCATTCCCTTTCCTTGCTCGTCTTTTCGTGCTTCTGCCCGACAATGCCTGAGCCGTAGCTGATGGACCCCCCTTCCGCGCGCAGCCTCGTCGAGCTGTACGTCGGCATCGTCTGCGCCTGCCTGCCCTGCCTGAGACCCTTTGTCAAGGAGCACTTCCCGAGCATCTTCAGCGCCTCGCCCGACAGCGACGGCAACAGCTCCCCAGAAAGCGGCGGCTTCGGCAGCAGCCTGTTTGCGAGACAGCGGCGCCGGCGGCAGGTCAGCTTGGCGCCCGTGTCTGACCACGCGTCGCTGCACAGCCAGGACAAGAGCTGCCCTCCGTCGTCGAGCAACAGCGGGAGCGCGGGCTCGGCGAGGGAGAAGGAGCCTGTGCCGGCCGCTGCTGAGGTTGAGATACCAACCTCTAATGCGGCCTCAAAAGGTCAGGGGGCGGATATGGTATGATCGTGAGTGGGTTAAAATAACGGGCGTATTATAGGGATGAATCTAGTAATAATAGAAATAGAAAAGGACGGGATATAGATATTTGTTTGGTCTTTGTACCATGTACGTACCTGGCCAGGTGTGTGTATTGTTTTCTTTCGTCTACTCCAGGAGCGACTTCAAAATTAGGTGTGTGTATATAGCTTTGACGCTGCCAATTATCAGGAAGCAGCGTCTCGGGTCCATCACTCGATATATCGTCCCATGTAATTGGGGGACTCTCAAAATTCACGCTTCGAGAGGATACCGTGTAGGTACGGCTACCAATGCTCAGTCTTCCGTAGTCCAGTGGGCACTCCTTTTTTCTTTATCCTTTTATTTCCGTTTCTTTTCTTTTTCTGCACACAAGACAAGCCGTCTGCCAACGGCCTCCACTCAGTACATCACAGCTCGTCCATAAGCTACATCACAGTCGTCCATACGCAAAAGAAGCCTCAGCCCACCGCTCGCGGGCCCCCGCAACAGCCAGCGGACAGACCGAGACGAGCCCAAAACCGACCTCGCTCCTGCCCACCCCTGTGCGGATGTCCCCCGCCGCACATGCGGCCGCAGTATGGCCGGGTCGCCAAGCCCGTCGAGCATGAACAGCCAGTCTCGGTGGCACACCTGCGCCCGAGGGTACGTGTCGGACGAGCAGTGGGCTCGAGTAGGCCTGAGTGAAGTGGGTGCTCTTGCTGCGATTCTGCCGTCGCCGTGGTGGCCGTCTTGCTCATTTTGCCAATTTTCTCTCTTTGTTGTTGTAGCTGTTGTTGTTGTTGTTGTTATTGCTCTCGGCATCGCATCGGCAGCCAGTCGCGTCGTGGAATAGGGTCTGGAGAAGCAGGATGGCCATGTTGCTCTCGGCGGCTTCCTGCCGTCGTCGTCGCAGTCCGACAGCATAACCTGCGGGAGACGGAAATTGCCATCACTGGCCCGCCGCCTCCATTGTGGCCCACCGCCCTCTGCAGTGCACACCGCGGCGGCAGCACCTTCTACCGCACGTCGAAATAATGCTCATCGCGCACCTCACCACACGGGGCGGCAACCTCTGGCAGCGAGCGTTCCTTCCGCCAATCGCAGATCCACGACGGGAATCAGGGCTTGATGGCGCCATGCGTCAGCAGAGGATAGCGCCCGATGAAAGCAATCGGCACCTCGCCCAGTCCCTTCTAATCGTCCACGGGCGCAGCCGCAAGTCAAAGGGCGCGTCGACGCCCCGCGCGAACCTGAGAAACTCGAGGTTGTTCTCGTTGTTGATGTGGGCCCTGACGAGCCGGATGAACGTGCTCCGCGTGTCGAGGGTGTAGCTGGGCGCGAGCTCGGCGTACGACGACGAGGTCAGGTGCGGGCTGGTAAAGGCGTAGATCTTGTCGCGAGCGTCGGTCGCGTCTCGCGGCCAGCCGTCCACCGTCCACGAGAAGATTGAGGAGCGGTTTTTTGCTCATGGGGCTCGGACGGCTTTGCGCACTGGGGACCTTGGACATGAAGGCTTGCTCGGCGAGAAACCCGTGGAGATCGGAGAACGACACCCAAGAGCCCGATATCTTCACGGCACCAAGGGACTCGAGGTAGGCTTCGCGTCTGATCCGAGAGGCGCTGTCCTCATAGTGGCGGCTCCTATCCCAGATAAAGTTGTCGTATAGGCCCCGAGACGGGTCGCTCTTGTGAAAGGCTTTGAGAGACTCGACGAAGCTCTTCCACGGCATGAACGAGTCTCCGCAAATGACAGTGGCAGCTGTGTCTAGACGGATCTCCTGGTACGTCTTTGTCCCCTTGCTGAGGCGCCAGTTAGCAAGCAAGACGGCAGGTTGCCAGCAGAGTAGTTAACGAAACTCTTTCCTCCTACCCAAGCCCGACGAAACCAAGGGCGCTGGACGAGGTCCGTTAACCCCTGTGACAAGTCACTGCCCCGGCCTTCGAGGTAATCGCTCAGCTGCTACCTGAATTCAGGGCTGTCGAAATTCCCCTCAGACACATAGCTCTGGAGAAAGGCCCAGAACCGGTTGTCCCCCGCGAGTTCTCGACCAATCCACACGACGTATTCTGCCGACTTGTAGATGCTGCCCATCAGGGAGACCTGGTGGCTTCTCTCGGCCAAGCCGTCCTGCGTGATGCCTATCGCATCCGCCCAGAGCCGCAGCATCGGGCGGGGCTCGTCGGAAGCGCCGTTGGGTTGCTTGGGCCGCCACAGGACTTCACAATTTGTTGCATTCAGCTGCAATTACTCAACAGCGCTGCCGCATTTGACCTTCGTCTTCGATCATCAATTGACACATATTGGCCCCCTGGATGAACAAGAAACAGAAGCATTACACATATTATTTTGTCTACTCTAGGAGCGACTTTCATAAGTTAGATTTATCCCTGGAGTGAACTCCATAAGCAAGCTTGAACAGGGCGTGTCCTTGATTATTTCGTTGGTAAACACGGCCGTTTATAACAGCAAAAATAAAGCAAAAAGACGAGACGATTCCACGAGGCGACTCCAGGCATGCAATCGGCAAAAGAATAAAAGTGCCCAGTAACAGGATTGAACTGTTGACCTTCGCATAACCAGATACTGCCTTTCGACGGTATTAGTACGACGCTGCTAACCAAACTGAGCTAACCGGGCATGTTCTGCTGCTTAATGGACATGGGGTTTGGTAGGTGGGTATATGTGGATGCCAGCGGAGCTGCGGTTACGGTTGCTGTTCCACCCCGATCCACACGGTTATCAACGTTGCCATTGTTCCCTGGCCCGAGGCTTGACTTTGAAGCTTCTAGCGGCTTTAGAGGCTGCTTCTAATTGCAGGGATTTTCCGCTGTTATTTTACGCTCCTCAGCCTCTCTCTCGGCCTTCCTGCGCAGCTTCCACGCGCGGCGAATCTCTTTGAATTCTACAACTCAAGGCGTGTTAAGCCGCGTTCTGGGAAGTGGTCGTATGCTTGTAAGTACTCGCCTTCCCTGGTCCGCTTCTCGCCGTGCCCATTTATAGTCGCATGGGCATTCAGATGGCTCAGCGTTCCAGACGCTTTGGGGCATCCGTTCCATCCGCAATTGTACATGCGCTCGATCTCTTCCCGCCTGCACTTCCTAACTGGAGACCCGGTTGGGTGAGTAGCGGCTGCAATGGACTGCATTAGTTTATCAATATGGACCGGAAGCATCGCTGCACTGCTGTTTTAGCCTCGGGGGAGGCCTTCCCCCCCTTATGTGACGGTAAGTCGTGTCACGGCATCATTGGTCACCTGGGCAAAAGAGGGAGTAGCTGTTGGGCCAAGTGCCTCGAGACTGAGAGGTTTCTACAGTGTGAATCCATTCAAGATCGACATCATACCAAGAGCCGCTCAGAAACTAACAACAAGTCGGAACCCAAGCTGGATCCAAATTCGATTCGCTCACTAGTTCTACTCAATAATCAATATAGCTGCAATATTCCAAAACGCTATGCTCCAAGCCGATGCCCTCCTTTTGTGTTGCATGCTGCCGGACCTGATTCGGTCAGCTACATCAGCAAACCAATAAATGCCCAAGATGGGCCAGATCCATCCCGTTTGAAGCCGGATCCAAAGAGAATTAAAAGTTGAAACAAGGAAACGAACAAAAAGCGAGCAGAGACAAACACTGGGCCCCTTTTCCAGCTTCTAAAATCTTATTCCCATCCAAAACGATCCCGTGTTCCATTCGTTAACAGAAATACCACCTGATTTCCTCTTTACCGTATTGATCTTGGTCTCACACGCTCGGCAGCCCGCGCCTCGCATACGCCCACGAGTCGGGCTCGCCGGCCAGCAAGGCCAGCAGATAGCGCTCCCAGTAGCCAACCAGAGGCTCCTCAGGGAGGACGGTGGCCTGGGGCACGCCGTGGGCGACGGGGCGGGCGTAGACCCAGCGCCAGGCGCCGACGTCGTCAGCGGTGACGGGGTACAGGGCGTCGGCGGGGTACTCGCGGCTGGGGAGATCAACCTCCCTCGGGCGGGGAACAGGCGCGGCGGGAGGACGCGGCGGGGCGCGCTCGAGGCGCCACAGCGGAGCGCCGTCGTCGGCGCGCAGCAGGGAGTCGCACGGCCACGTGTCGCGGTCGTCGGGGCCGAGCCCCGCGCACGCCAGGCGTACGCGCACGCTGGCGTGGATCGACTCGGCCGTGTTTAGCAGCGGCTCGGCCGTGTCCTCGTTGGTGTCCTCGTCGACGCGCAGCGCTAGCCCCGGGCGCCGCACCGTGCGGCCGGCGGCCAGCATCAGCGTGCTGGTGGGGCTGCGCAGCATGCCAAGGCCCCACGGCCGGGCGTACTGCCACAGCTTGGCGGGCGGGGCGTCCGGGTGCGCGTCGCGGCCGTCGCACTCGGCGGCGTCGCGCTTGGGCGGCGCGTTCGGGTGGCTGAAGACGGCGTCGGCGCCGGCCCACGGCAGCGGGCCGGACGGGGTGCGGCGGAGCATCTTGGGGATGAGCATGCTGGACCGGCGGCTCGAGGGCGGGGCGTAAGGGAAGGGGTGCGCGGCCGAGAAGCGCAGGCCGTCGCGGAACATGGCCGTCATGCGGGCAAAGTTGAACTCGACGCCGACCGAGGACAGCTGGTCGCACATCCAGGCCAGGGTGATGTTGGCGGCGTGCTGGTCGAACCAGCCGCCGCCGACGTTGGCGTGGGTGCCGGGGAACCAGACCTGCTTGAGGTTGGTGGCGCTGCCGGGCAGCCGCTCCCACAGCGCCGGCCGGAACGCGAAGCGCGGCTCGTCCAGCGCCAGCGCCTGGAACGCGTTCTCCACCCTGTCCGAGACCTGCGTGTTCGTAAAGCGCCACTGGTCTGCCGATCCCCGGACGCCGATGACGGGCGCCGGCGGGATCCCCAGCGTGCCCACCGTGTCCCACACGGCCAGCGCTTTGATTCTGATCTCGGTCACGCCGTCGCGGAACGTGTCTCGCGTGTACCCGAGCTGGTTCCTCGCAAAGCTGTCAGCTTGAGATACCGGTTAGACGGGGCGGAGCGTCGGAGAATCAAAAACTTGCGTCCTTCAGGCCCTGCTTGTACTTGAGCATGCGCGCGTTCTCCCACTCGATCTTGGCCTGGCCGTGCGCCTTGTTGTAGGCGGCCAGGCCGGGCACCAGATAGTCGTCCTTGTTACGGGAGGGATCGCCCATGTTCTCGTAGTCGTCGAAGATGGTGTAGAAGTGGTCGAGGCCCTCGGGGGTCAACAGGCCGAGCGACGCGATCATGTCGGCCGTCGACCGCGCCGTGAAGGCCCCGCGCGAGAAGCCCACGAGGATGATGGAGTCGCCTTCGACGTAGTTGGTGCAGATGAAGTTGTACACCTCGCGGATGTCCTGCCGACGAGTCAGATTGGCTGAGAATCAAGACTCGAGACTTTCATTATCAATTACCCGGTCCAGCCCCATGCCAAAGGCGCCGCCCGTGAACTGATCAAGAGCACCGGCCGTGCCGACTCCGGGAAAGTAGTTGATAATCTGGGGAGTGCCGTCGCAGCAGTTGCGGCAGATGACGCGCGAGATGCGCGTCACATTGGACGGAGGCTCGAGACTGCTATTGAGACGGGTGTTAATTCAACGGGTGTTAATTCGACGGGTGTTAATTCGACGGCCAAGACCAGGGTGTTCTCATCCACGATTGATTAATTAAATACCTCTTCTTTCCCAACGAGTCCATCCACGTGCCGTCGCAACACACGATGATGCGCTTGGGCGCGCTGGGCACCACGGCGCTCGGGGTGGTTAAGCCCATTGCTGCTGTCATCGCCAAACTTCAGGTTGAGAGTCGGATTCTGACCGAGACAGCGAGATTCTGACCGAGACAGCGAGATTCAGGAGGAAAGGGCGGGGAGACAGAGGGGTCGTTGGACATTAAATGGAGAATGTCTGGCCTTTCGTGGTTCTTGACCGCCTGTCTCATGACCAGGTCGAGTGTGCTGCTTGCATAGTATGTGTGTAGTTTGTGTGTAGGTACATGTGCGAATCTGTGTCCGCGCATCGGATGCAGCGTGCCTGGTTCGCAGTACATGTACACATACTCCTCCGTAGAAGCATCGTGGGAGGCAGAGAGAGGCATGCTGCTTGCAGGGGCGCTGGAACTAAGGCGCGAGGGATCTGCACTGCACGCGCGCTAGCGGTCCTTCAGACTTGGATCGCCAAAATGGCCCATTTCGACATGTGCACGCTGGACTGGCCTCCACTTGGTGAATTCCGACAGGAACTAGGTGCGTGCGAGTCCCGGCCAACCGCAGGCGGCGTGAAGTGCACTAACGCAGTCGGAGCCAATGGCCGCTGCCCGCCCGAGACAGGGCGCTGCCGGGCTGAGCTGAATGACCCCAGCACCCGAAGCCCACTTCCCCGCTGACCGCGCCAACCAATTTCCAGCGCACCCACTCCGCACTGTCTCGGACTCGTGCTCAATCCACCCGCTCCAATTCGGGTCCTCGTGCCCCACCTCGACGCCCAGACGCCGAAGGCCATACACACCACGCATTTTGTCACCGGGCATGGTTCGTGCAACGCAGTTCTGAAGCCGGTATAATATTCACAGATTACAACAGAGAAAAGAGCAAAACATGCACAGAGTAACGGTGGAGGCTCAGTATCGAGTAAATTACGGCCATGACAATTCACACAGTCAAGTCTGGGGCATAGTAACCCCATGGCATCATGATATTTGTCTTTGATCCCCGTTATAACTGACTGCATACCTCGTTTACTAAAGCATTAATGGCTTACACTCCATTTTGAGACGAATCTGACATTCTTTCGAATGCCGCATTGTCCTGATATTTTCACTGTGTTCTGCAGGTTTCACTCGCAACTCCCAAACAGGGAACAACATCTCGACAAGTCTTCTACCCATGCCGTTCATAGCTGGAACCGCCACCACACAATTCTCAGCCATGAGCATGGCGCAGAGCCCAAATCCTTACGATTTTCCGCATGTTGCAAACCGGGATCCTCAGTGGCCATCCTTGGCCTGGGCCAAGACAACAAGTGCGAGAGCAACACCGGGCCAACAAGGCCGTGCAAAAAGATCAATTCCCTGACCAACAGACCTTTCGAGATAAAATGCAGACTATTACATCGAAATCACAACGGCAAGAAACTCGGGGAGCATATTCCTCGCTGAGCCGTCTTCTAAACTACAATGGAACCACTCCTCAGATTGCAAACAAACGAGAATCAGACTTTAGAGTTGCGTTTCCGGGGCCAGAAAAGGGAGCCGTACGAACTCCGCTCTACATGTGAGAATATATTGGAGTGGAGTCCCAGCCACGACGAGTCAAAGAGGCGGGGTAGGTACAAGATAGCAGACGTTAGATATCTTCCCTACTTGTTCAATTCAGATTGTAGGACGGGAAATATATTTCGTTCATCTGGGTGACGGACCTGGGTTGTCGAATCATCTAGAGAAGTTCTTCTTAGAGGGTTATATACGATTCCACTGTTGTAATTAGATCTACTTTCCCTCTTGAGTTCCGGGCTCTGGAAATATCTAGACTCGGATCTTTATAAGGGCTGGTGGCGAGGCTGCTTGGAAACGTGTTACCCCAAATGTTTTAAACATCCATTGTGTCCCTGCGGAGATGAGCTGAGACCGGGATGTAACACGGCTACCTTTTGTGAAGTCGATTATGAACTCGGATGGCGAGGGTTACACCACCTGATCTAGACGAGTCGTCGTAATTAATTAGCAGATACTTGCAACTACCTAGTTATTCTAAGCTAAGAGCCGCATAGTGATCGTTTAGATTTGGGGTGGGTCGCCTATTGATAGTGATCTTTTTAGCGCCCAACACTGCCCTCGAGGCAGACAGCATACTGTATGTACCTGTTTCAGGCAGTCACAGACTTCCAGAGAGCAGATCTTGCCTCAATCGAACACCTTTACCACTCACTGTCTTTCGCTCACCGTCGGCTTCAAATTAGCCACACCCGCAAAATATGAGCAAAGGTTGGGGGAAGTTCTTTAGACGCCGGGGCTTAGAAGAGCACTCGGAACATGGTCGTGAAGATGACCAGCCCGACTGTTGCGGCGACAACTCGATGGGCTGGGACTGGCAGGCATCGGACCAGTACGGCGGCCAGCCGCTCAGTCTCCGCGAGTTGCTGGGAGGCATTGAAATGCGGCCATCGCCATCATCATCATCATCATCATCATCATCACCCCGTCTATTCGGCAGCTGGGACATCTGCAAGGCGTGCAGCAATTTCGACGACACGGCCGCGCCGCACCGGCGACAGACCGTCTTTCCGAGCGGTACTCGCGATGTGTTGCACGTGATCGAAGTTGGCAGCGCATTGAATTGTCTGTCTGAAAAGGTCTAGAAATACAGGCCCAAAGTAAAGAGGGTAATTTCTTTGTTGATTTCTTGTCGATATATGCCTCAGGCCGGGGCAGCTCTTTCAACGGCCTCGTTTCTACTCAAATTCCCTCAGCATAGTAGGCACCGGCTAATCCTGTAACTGACATAATCACAAGCAGGATATCCTCGAAGACCTGTTCTTGTATTACATTGCCGAGATTAAACTTCAAAGCAACTGCCTCATCTCAAGCCGATGATTCCCCAAGGCACACTTAGGTTACGAGCGCAATGAGCCCATACGTCAAGTGGCAAGTGCTTGGGAAACTCAACAATCATGACCTCTCGTAGAATAGACGAGGCCACCGGTAACAGAGGGTTAATTGAGCTGATCCAAGATGACCTGACTCAGAGCCACGAATCTCTATATTATGGTGATGACCTAGAAGGCATTTGACTCTCTAGAATCACCGAACCCCATGCAGATGACCCCATGCAAATGACCCCATTCAGACAAATCCCATGCAGATAACTCGGTCCCGTTCGCTGAGCGACTAGATAAGGCAGGTAGGCAGGTAGGCAGGTAGGCAGGTAGGCAGGTAGGCAGATAGGCAGATAGGTAGGTAACTCCACCTAGAAAGTGACGCAGCCCTTAAACTCTAGCTGGCGCGCTGGCGCAATGCTCACCGGCCTCCGGGGACGACTTCTGGAGCTTGGCGGCGCGGTCGGCCGCGATGTCACACATTGCCTGCAGCGAAACCAATCAGCAAGGACACGATTATTCAAACAAGGGCAGTGCCCACTCGACGGCGGGAGGAGGAGCGGAGGGGCGAACGCACCTGGATAGCCTCGCGCTCCTCAGCCTGGGGGTCGGCGCGGTCGATGCGGCGGCGCATGTCGGCCATAATCACATCACGCGGCCGGCCGTTGACGAAGACGACGTAGCGCAGGCCGGGGAAGGCGGCCTCGTACTCGTCGTTGAGGGCGGCGAGGCGTCGGGCGTCGGCGTGGTCGCCGCCGCGCAGCTGGGCCTGTTCGGCGGCGCTCTGGGCGCTGAGCTGCTCTTCCTCTTCTTCGTTGCCATCGTGATCGGCGTGCGGGGTTGGCGGCTTGGCGGGGCCGAGGCGCGGGTGGCTGGCCAGGATGGCGTGCAGGGGCCGCCGGGCGTCGGGGTCGGCGTGGGGCCCGCTGACGGCGGCGGCCATGGCGAGCAGCTGGTCGCGGAGCGTGGCGATGAGGTCTGCGTACGAGCCGAACGAGAGCGTGCGCAGCATCGGCAGCGTGAGCGCGTGCAGCTGCGGCGACGGCTCGAAAAGCAGGTCGAGCGTCGATGTGAGGGCCGCGTCGGGCAGCGACGGCAGCGACGCGATGCCCGGGAGGAACGGCGTCGCCTGCGGGTTGAGGTTTGATGTGGGGGCGTCCATTTTTGTTACGGCAAGGTACTGTAGGTCGGTCGGGTGAGACTTTGTTTCACTTTCACTTTAAGGTTCTCGGCACTGTAAATGCCCACGGGGTTGTGCTGCGTCCTCCTTTTTATCTCTCTCGAATCCCCAGAAAACAGCTCAATCGGGTGGGGCCAACCTTCGCTCCACGGCTACCTACCTGCAGTCGCCTTGCCGCCGCCGCACCTCGCTGATTGTCATGACGTGAGAGGCTCGACAAACAAGATCGATCGCGGGGCCGCCACAGCGGGGCAGTGGGACAGCTCGCCAGCGAGGGATCCAAGCACAAGGGGTCGCGTGTAAAAGCCCAGTAGAGCAGCCAAAGAACGACGTAGACAGATTGATTCTCATCAGTCGCTACAGCTTTGCTTGTGTTGTGCATACATCCGTACTTGTATGTACATACATTTAATTTTCGCGGTACGAAACGACAACACCATGGGAAAAGACCACGCGGCATCGCCCGGTCCACCACGCTTGTCTGTCGGCCGGTACCGCACGGCCCGACAGCTGCTTGCCCAACCCCATGCCGGCCACTTTGTATGTACAGAACATGATCGGTAAGTCGCCTGGACATCAACAACAACAACAAACTCGGCTTTTCTCAGCCCGCACCAGTTTTGTGGATTCGCCATCATCCCAAAAAAGACATTGCCAGACTCCCCTTATGCAGCTTGTCCGCCCCTTTCCCAAACCCCCAACCCCGTGCAGCCTGCCTACCTCGCATCAAAGAGCGAGCACTTCCCGGGAGGCTCGTCAAACATGACATGCCTCGCCCAGACCAATGGAAACGTGCAACTTTTGTTTAACCGCCAATGCAATTACCCATGTCAAATGCCGGCACCCGCTCAGACGGGTGCAGAAACAGCGCCGGCATCCCACCAAGTTCAGCACCTTGCATTCCAGGGGATCCCGTCCAGGTCGTCCATGTAATCCTCAAAGTGTTCCACCACTTCGTCTTCCGACGAGTCGCCGTCTCCGCCGCCGCCGCCGCCAAAGATGACCCCAAAGTCTGCGTACACATCGTCGGGTTCATCATCGTATCGGCTCTCGTGTTCTGATGTTGGGAATGCCACATTCTCGTCGTCTATATCGTCAATGTCGTCCAGGGTTATTAGTGGCCGCGTCGACCTGAGCTCTGGCGAGCGCAGCGGTTTTAGTCTCGGGCTAGGTGGTAGCCGTAGGCCGGGCGTCGTCGGCTCGGTAGGCCGCAGACTAGATGGTGACCCTGGCGGTGATGGCCTTGCCCCAGCCGCTCGTGGTAGGGGGTGCGCATGGTTTGGATGTGGCAGTTGGAGCACTGGCGCCGGCGGACAAGGCGGTGGGGTGGCTGATTCAGACCTCGGGGGGAACCGTGCGCCAACCACCAAACCCACTCCTTCGCTTTGCTGTGCCGACGCAGCATCCCCTGCTGTGTCGGCCACCTCACTGTCGCCTCGCTCCGCAGCTTCTCTATGAACCCGCAGTCTGAAGCGGTTAACCACTGCTGCCCGTTGTAGCGACCATGTCGAGGACGAGGATGATAACTGCGGGTGCTGCGCCGGTGCTAGTTGCGACTGTGCAGCGATGCCCGTGACTAACCGCCTCGTCGCTACCATTTCTGCAAGTTTGAGAAATCTCTTGCTGCCCGATACTGCCGACTGCCTGGTGAGTATGTGTGTTGCCGGGAACGAAAATGGATCCGACAGGCGGGATGTCACGAGATTCCGCAGAAGCCGGCGCTTTTTGCAACCCAGAGATGCCGTATTTGGGCCGTCGACATCAGAATCCGGCCGCCGACGTTTGAGGCTTGGTCGAATAGGCGGAGGCCACTCCTTTGCTGGAAATGTAAAAAACACCTTACTCGAAGAGGCAGCATTGGAATTTAGGGACGACCACGGAAAAACAGGACCTGCCAGAGCCCTCGGCGCTGTGCTCGCTGCGATTAACGGCGACAACTTGGGCGACAACGCCACTGTCCCAGGCTGTGAAGCACATTTCGGTGATTTCGATATCGAGGGTGGCTCCTCAGCGCCTTTCGATGCACCAATACTTTGACGCTGAGGCTTGCTGGCCTTCGAGAACTGGCTCAGCCGAGTGTTCAGTCCAGGGATAGCTGCCGCATGCAAGATCGCAGCCCCAAGATCGACATGGTCCTCTTGAGTGAACCGAGCATCACGGTAATGCCACGGTCCATGCTGAACAAGTGAGCGGCCAAGGGGTTCGAACTGCAGTCCTCCCATTATCAACGACATCCAAGCTCCCTCCTGCCAGAGACGGCCGATTATTGCCAGCAGCCTCCTTTTCTCAGTTTGTGTGGTTGCTCGGACACATTAACGACGCATCTTGCACTGGTCCTTTTGCCAACCCCGCCCCAGGAATCAGTTCCGCCGACCGAGACGCAAAGGATTAATGATCCAGTAGACCGAGATCCCGGAAGAGCTGCGGGTAGTCCAGGGTTCTCGTACATCCAACACCGAGGTACGCCTGCGGGCAACAGAACTGATGACCTCTTGAAGAATATTGGTAGAGCCGCCTCAGGAGTCGCACACTTGGCCGAGCAGAAACAAGGGCCCAGTATTAAAGCAGACGACTTCAAGTTAGGTCTTCCCGGGAGACGGTGCACTGGATCGACTGGCAGCAAGGTAAGACCGGATATAAGCCCAGGGAGGGGCCCCAAACAGCGGCTAGGCCCGGGAACTCGATGACTTCAGTGTAACACAAGAGAGGAGGGGGTGGCCTGTTGGTCGTCCGACTAATAATGTTGAGCCGCTACTGTTTGTTTCTCGGTAGGTGGTTGTTAAGCTCGGCCCAGCCAGACGCGCGGAAGTCAGAGCCCAGCAAGAGGGTAAAAGAGAGGAGGGAGCAAAAGGCGGAACAAGGCAGGCTGACGGCGCTGCAAGAGGCACGAGATGTATTTATTCCAGACGGGCAGGGAGGGACACAGGCACCGCAGCAGCAGCACCCAGCCAGGCGGTGTCAAGTGGAGAAGACGGAGATCTCGTCCCAGGATGTGCATCTAGCGACGGCGGGGAGGTGAACACAGACAATGCAAGCCACGACACGACAGGGCTCCTTGTGGTAGTGGTTAATAACAATAAAGGGCTAGTGAAGCAGGCTGGCTGGCCGTGACAAAAGGGCGCTAGGGCGGCCCTGGTCAGGGATGGTAACACGACATGGGGCCGATGGTCAGAAAAGCTGGGGACGGGGGAGGGGTGGGACTGTCGAACTCGGGGAAGAAAAGGGTATGTAAGTGGCCGGCGGTGTTTTGTGGCGGACCAGAAGGGTTGAAAGGGAGGGGACGGAGAGGCCAAGGGTTCACTGGAGGACAGAAAGTATTTCTAGAGAGGCGAGGTGCGATGGAAGGCGAGAGGATGGCATGTGCGGGGTGCTCCGCGGACGACAGACCGGCTCGTGTGATCGTGAATCGCAGCTCGAGAGATGGAAGTGTGCGCAGAGCGAAAGACCAGGTGGAGTGCTGGCTGGTGAGAAGGCAGGATGCCGAGATGGCAGAGACATAGGCAGTCGAGTGAACGCCGAGCCTGTCTGGTCTGGTCTGGTCCGGTTCTCGCCTCAGCTCCTGGGGCGCGGAGCACTTGTCGATACGAGGGTATGCGCGCCGAGGTCCTGGATCATCCCGAGAGGCGGTATCCGTAGCGTAGCCCCATGGAAGTCCCCAGCAAAACGAACACCGCAGACAGCACAGCAGCAGCCGGGAGGGGGGAGCAGCACCGGAAGCCTTCGGTCAGTAAAGGGCGACGGGTCCAGCCACCACAGCAGTTGGCGACAGGTCAGGAGACGACGACGCCGAAAGCGGGTGGATGGGGTACTGCGAGTAGGGCTAAGACGACGCCCTCAGCCGTCTGCCTGCCCTGGCGTACTGTATGTACACGTAAGAGGCAAATGCATGGAAGTCTGGGATGGATGGATGGACGGCGAGTTGCTTGCGATCCAGAGCAATGGGCTGGCAGGTGCCGAAGCCGCTATTCCGTGCCCTAGCTTCTCAGTGGCCTGCGGCTGTTCTGCTCCTGCGCGCGCTGATGCTAGCCTGCTCGCGGTTGGGCGCTGGACCGTTGGGCGAAGGCAGAGACAATGCGGAACGCGCTCAATCAGCGGGCGGCCAGTAGTGCAGTTTCCATGGCGTAATGGGAAAGACCAATTCATTGCTTTTTGTGTTGGAGACGGAGTCTGGAACCCAGTAACGGCCCAGGCAGGAAGGTCGTGGTCTGCTTTTCGCGGGTCGCTCTTTCCCTGCGGCCCCTGCCTGCCTCTATCGGTTGTTCTCCTGCTCCTGAGCATCTGTTGCCACTTGCCAAGTGCCATAGATGAGCAGGCAGACAGAAAGGCGCGTGCCCGTGTCTGCTGCCGAGCGAGCACAGTCCCTGCAGGCGAGAGCCCCTCTTTTCTTAGCTCTTTAGTCTCCTTTTGTTTGGACAATTGCTCCTCTTTCCCCGGAAACTCTCCACCTTCGGGCCTAAAGCGTGTACTACCCCTTCCCTGTCGATATCGAACCCGCTATTGCTGCCAGTGGTCTGTCTCCCAGTCCATCAAACCAGCGGCCAGGCGAGCGGAATCTTTTTTTCTTGCTCATCGCAACCCTACTCCCAGACCAGAGCATGAAACGGCCAAGAACAGGTACTGTGCGGTCGTGCATACTCGGTACAGAGCCAGGAAGTCCGTCGGTAGAGATCCTGCCGACGCACAAGTCCGTTGTTGGCGCCACTGCTGTTCGCGCCCATTCGCTGTATTGCATTCACGCCTGCGCCTGACTTGGGATGTCCCCGCGAAATTACGGTATCACACTACTTTCTGCGGGGAAAGCAAAAGGGGGGCACGGCCGCCAGAGCTGCCATCTCTTTTTTTGCGCGGCAGTCTGGCCGCCGGTTCCGCACTCCAGAGTTGCTGTCAGATCGCGCAGGCACTACAGGGCTTCCGCGACACCACTACCAATAAGGGCAGAGCCAGAGCGTGCACCTCGAAAAATCCGCCTACCATAAGCCGACGCTCCCAGATATGCCCATTGTGAAAAAAATAGCTTGTCATGCAGATGGTTGTTCGTGTCACCCCGCTCTTCTCAGCATCCCGGCAGCCCAGGCCAAGGCGCGGAACGAGGCCGGACTTTGGATGTGGCATTTAGGCTTCACAGGACCTTGCTAGGCTGTGGTCCTGTGTCGACACGCCTTTTCTCGGCGTGGCAGCCGTTCGACAACATCGGTATGGAAACAGGGCTTTCACGAACCAAGGAAGTCTATTAAATTGGGCTTACTGCCGCTACTTGGGACGGCGCTGCTGGAATTGCTCGGCCTGTCAGACGATTCCGACCACACCAAGTTCGGCGAGGTGCGCCTGCCGAAGTCACACATTCAAATCAGCCGTGCAAATGGTCTTCAACCTCATTCGATAGAACGGGTCACGGGGCGCACAGGTTCGTTTCCCTCTAAGCCAACCAGCGTTGCGGTCGTCCAAGCCGAGAGGCGTTCCAAAGCCCGTTTCGAACGCCTCGAGCCCCAACCTCGCTCCCCATTGAGGCACCGGAATCTGGAAAATGGCTGGCGTTTGTAAGGAAGGTGACGTTGTATAGAGTCGTCATCAATTTGGCATGGAGAGCGGAAATATTCCCAATATTTCGCACCAAAACTCCCGAATTTGGGCGGGCTGTCGACTCGCGGTCTCTCGCTAGCCAACAAGTCGTGATTTTGTCTCGCTTCCCCTGCCCCGAACCAGACATGCTCGCAGCCCCTCCATCACCTTTTTAGGGTAGCAATCCCTTCGCTGTGTAGATTTTGTCCGTTTCCCCACCTCATCAGACGAATCCCAAGCGCCTGGGACTGCAGAACGGAGGGGCAGTTGCAGATGACCCCGGGCTTGGGGGGTATCCAGTGGCGTGGACGCTGAAGTCCGGACACACCCTTCTGCGCCAGCAGTCCAAACCAGACCGAATTAGTTAGGTGGAAGCTGAAAACAACCGCGATGACACCTCATTTCTTCACGAGCAGCACATGTCGCATAGCGTGGCAATAGAGCGTGAATGAGGTTGTCTGACTCTCTCTGGCGCCTTGCTTCGCCAAGTCCCGACAAGCCAGACACATCCAGACGCCCCACGTGAATCCGGGGAAGAGGGGACACATTTTCCCATCCCCGTTCAGATACCGTCCACAACACGTGGAGCCCGGCAAGGCTCCACCGCAATCTCTTCAACGCGCGGAATTCCCCGCCCGAGGCCGCTTGGGCTCAGAACTTGAAGCCGCACCCACAGCGCGCCGGCGAGAGAAACTTGAGACTACAAAGTGGAATGAGTTCGCTCCTCTTCCGGCGTAGCTAGACCAACCCTGTACACACTATTCCGTACTAATGTGGCTTTTGCGCGTGGGCGATCACCTTGAACCCCCCAGTCCGGTAATATTCTCCATACCCCTGAGACTGTCGCTTTTTGCGTGATTTGTCGGGCCTCAGGGCGCTAATCGAAGGACCGACCCGAAAAATTACGATCTCTCCATTCTCCCCTGCTCCCTGCCTCCGTTTTGTTCGGGATCTCCCCGGGAGGATTTTGAACGTCCTTCAGCTCCCCAATGCGATGCACCTCACGTACAATACGAGGCCAATACTCCTTGCAGTCAAAATTAAGAAAAGTTGAGAACAACGAAATGAGGAGCAACAAAGAAAGATATGAATAAAACACTGGACAGAAAAGGTATTCGCAGTTTCTCGTCATTCAAATCACCTGGCTTGGTAGCGAGACAGCCCTAAGCAAGTCTGATCGCCGCGGGAACTGGCCGAGCCGGATCTTCGGTCCTTCCCTCACGCGGCCGCCCCCTGGGTTGTGAAACATTGAAGATTGAAGTCTATCATTTCCATTCGTCACAGCATTGGCTGCGGTTGTCGTCGCACGATGTGTTCTATTTCTGAAGGTGAAACTCCTCTTTCGTTTCTTTTTTGTCTTTTTTTCTTGTTTGCCTTTCCTTGCGATTGTCGACCCATGATTCATGTGCCTGCCTTTTCCTGCCTGGTTCTTAGGTACCCACCCGAGTGGATGGTCTTCCCGGAATGGCAGCTTCCATGCCATGCTAACTTCAGAGCACTCTAAAGAGCAATCCTGGCATACCACCTAACCCAGCTGCGTTGCAACCTCTTGCGCCCGCCTGACTCGGAAGCTGAAGCTCCTTCTATCGCACGTGATGGGTCGTTTCTAAAAATGGACACTCGGAGAAATGGCCATGGCCTGAGCCTCGAATGGGTCGGCGGTGAGGAATGGACGTGGCGTAAATACCTCAGGTTGGCACTCACCGCTTGTATCGTTAGACGTGCTTTTGTTAATTATTCCCCGACTGGAACCCTTTGTCGTGTGACCGAATGGGAATTCATCTTGGCCTCGACTCAGTTCGTTTGGGATTCAAAGCATTCGCAAGTTGAAGCCAACCCTCAAAGATTGGTCAAACACAGAAACTTATTGCGTTTCTGTTTCTTCTTGTCGATCACCTCTCCCACTAGGATTGAAGCCAGCGATCCATCGCTCACGTGTTTGTTCGTTTGGTTTCAGTTAATGACTCGGGATTGATGGCAGGGTAGATCTAGAGTCTATAAGACTTGTCCAAGGGGGAACCCTGATGTTCAATATGTAGGATTGTTTTCATTCTCTTTTCTTTCAGTCGATCTTTTCTTTTCTTTTACTTCTTTTGCCTAGAGTTTAGGACTGAATATCGCCCCCTTCTCTCACATTTCCCGCCATGGAATTTATAATAGTCGTAAATAAACGGAATTTGGGATGTTAACAGTAACAGCAGGATGAAGAAGTTCTAGCCTAGACTTTGAATAATTATATGCCGGGAATATCCACTGCTCGGCTCAAGCACTCCAAGCTTTGCTTAGTGTCTAACCTGTAACCGACCAACAGCCCATACAGGATAGCTAGTCGATTTATCGGACCAATTGCCAGCGCAGGTGTTCATGCCGGTACCACAAACCCAAAGCTCTGGATCTGTATATTACGCTAGTATAGGGGGGTGCCTGGTTAGATTCCAAGATTCGAGTCGTAGCGATCCAGGGCCTTGGCATCGAGTCGCGAATAGACTTTCACGGTGTCAGAACGAGGGGGTTGTCGAGCCCGCTTGTGGCTACCTAAACAGAACGGCTCGCCGCCCGCTAGTCTACGGTCTGGCTCGTTGGCGACCAGAGGTGGCTTCGTAGAGGTGCGGAAGGTGGCCGAAGGGGGGTTGGGGCTCGAGAGGACACGAACAGTCCCGGCCAATGTCCATTATGGTTCTTCAGTTGCCTTTTCCTCGTCTTTTCCTTTTCCCACCACTCACGAGCCAGAGCCTCAAGTCTTTCTTCCCACCCCTGCATCTGTCACCCGCAGGATTGGTCCACCCGCCTTTTCCTCAACTGCTGGAGTGTGCGTATTTCCCCAGACCCCAAACCAGAACATGCAGGAGAAACCCTCGAAGGGAAGGCGAAGAACAAGCGAAGCGAGTTAGGTGGGGGAGAGGAGCAAGCACACACCCTAGGGAATGAGACCGGAATGGCATTCTCCAGCTGTGACTTCAAAAGTTCCAAACCAAGTCCAGCAACCAGGTAATTAGAGCTTTCCGCCCCCACCTTGATTTTGCCAGGCAATGTTTTCCACCATGGTTTATCCATTTCAGACACATGCCCAGCGCCCAATGCGAACCATCAACTCTAATTTGTCGGATTCTGTCTACTGTTGGCATTCTATGCACTGTAACCCCTGCCATGCCAGCCGATGTTTCAGAGCTCTCGGGGCGGCGTGCGGACCGTGCGCCTGACCCAAGCCTCTCAACGTCGCCGTTTTCCCACAGAAAGCTGTAAGTCACGGGAGACCGGCATCCTGGGGGCGGCTACTTCCTACGACTGGATGTCGAGTATCGACAACGGGACTATTGCTGCGTGATCAAGACTGCATGCTGGTAACATATGTAGGCAATATCTGGCTCTGTGGAACCGGGCATACAATATCACAGCTTGCGAAATCCGAAATCTGTGAAGTCATTTGATGCTCAGTGGGGGGATTTGACCCCCACCACCCGCCCCGCACCTAGCGTTGGGGGCATTGTGGCTATTTTCTGGCCTCATTGGGCGTGAATTGGCGGGGGACGGCCGGGGGGCCGAACTGTGACCAGCGACAGCCACGGAGATACCGAAAGCTGCAAGGAAATTATCGTCGTTAGCGGCACGGCCCAAGCTCTTTCTTTCCTTCGTCTGTTCATTTCTTCCATGGCATCCTGAATCCTTTTTCGTTCCTGCACTTTCTTGAGCCAAGAGATGTTGGGAAGCGGGGTAGGCATTGGTAGGTACTGGACTGGACTCTAAGGGGAGGTACGGATCCGTACATCAAGTAGCAGAGGGGAAGGAGCACTGTGGCTAACACTGCGCGGCAGGAGCGAGCCACTACAAATTTTGTGGTTTGCACACTTTCGGGTTCTCTCCTACACGTGCACACGCAGTCTTGGTCTCGAAACGCGTGGCATGATGATCGCGTCGTCCATGGCGTCAGCTCAGAATGGCTTCGATGACCTCTTAAGGCTCTTTCCCTGATGACAGAAAGGGCTTCCACTTCACTTGCCTCCATCCTATTCGGTGTGACGCTTCCCCGCTAGCCAACCATGGCGCGATGTTGTCGTGCGCGAACCTCGGCATTTTTGCAGCTTTGGGGGCTTGTCCACCGGGCAGTTCCATACTCCCGAAATCCGCCCCAGCATTTTCCTGTTGGCCATCCAATTCCATCAAAGCCATCTTGGGTTCGATATCTTTTGTCATTTTGGATTGCGGTTTCCATCATAATTAACGGATGAACGTACTCAACACTTTTCCCTTTTACCTATCTCGGCTGGCCTGGCAGGCCGTTTCGCCCTTGTGTTTCCGTGGCTTCTGATTCTCGATTGCTCCAAATCTCAGCTCACACGACGCCGGGTTTTGAGCCACTGGCCGATTCTGAAGCCGTTGCTGCTCGTAAAAGAGGCCGTTTAGCAAGTGCTTGAGCGGTTGCTGGCCTCTGACCCACCGCTTGCACCACCATGGCCTCCGAGAAAGATCCCCGGCTGCCCTTCCAGGAGGCGCTGGACATTGTCAGGTTACCCAATGCAACCCAGACTCAGTCGGTGCATCGATTCATGGGTCAAAGGGCTGCATATGTGCCAGGCAGCGATATGCCCCCGATCATGCCGCGACTCCACATAGCCGCCTTTGGTGGTCATGTCTTCGCACAAGCCGGGCTCGCTGTCTGCCGGGCACGGAAAGAACTGGAGGACAAAAAGGGAACGAAGCCGTCCGAGAGACGTGGACTGCATGTACGTATTGACGCTTCTTTGCGGCTTCAATGCCACACCAGACACCCTTTACCATAGGGCTATCTTGCATCTCCTTTCCAACCTGTGTCTATAGCCATGTTGTATTTCTGCCCCCTTTAACTCCTTACAGACTATTCACGGCTTCTTTACGGCATCTGGCATCCACAACCGCCCTTTCATTCACGAAGTCACGCCGTTAACCGCGACACGGAGTCTCAGCACACTCTCGGTTACCACCCGGCAACCCTCTGAGCCCAGCACTAACCCTAGTGGCGACAACTTTCCACTTGCTGACGCCCTGCTTCCCCTCGGGGATCCTTGCTTCACGGCCGTCTGCTCTTTTAAGTTGCCCGAGGAGCATAGTGCCGGCGTCGACATGCAAGACGATGCCCCACAGAAGCGGTTCGCAAGCATACTCGCAAGCCGTCAACCGCAAGACTGGCTGCCCGTGCCGCCCGTCGATGTCACCGGCATGGTGGCTATGGCTGGCAACAACATCGTAGGCGCGTTCCCTGTCGTAGACATGAAGAAGGTGGACATGAAGGGCTTCAACGCCGGGAAGCCCGCGCATGAGCGGCGTGAGCTGATTCTGTACCGGCTGCTACTGCCCCTACCCTCGGACGGCAGCGGCAGCCAAGGTTGGAACGCTAATGCGCACGTACTTGTGCACGCCTTCGCGGCGGACCGCAACGGCTTGCTGATGGGGGGTAACCACGTCGGCTTCGGCTGGTCACTGGACCGCGCCGCCTCCCTGAGCAATAGCTTTGTCATGCATGTCAACGCCGACTGCGCCGTCATGCGCGCCGAGGACGGATGGTGGGTCCAGGAGTTTTCCTTTCCCCGTGCCGCAGCCGGGCGGATCACCGTCATGAGCAAGATCTGGAGCCCGCGAGGCGTGCATGTGGCTACCGAGTTTCAGGACGGCATGCTGCGCGGAAGAGAGGATGTGGAGGAGAAGGGCAAGCTGTAATTACGGATATAGTCGGTGCACAATCTGGGGGCTTGCCTGGTTGATGGAATATTCCCTTGCAGTCAGGTTGCATAGAGGTGAGGAGCTGTCAAGGTTAGCCGGGATAGACCGTGTGTCTTTCGCAGAAAACAATAATTAAACCATCAAGTATTTATTGTACACGCGTTCTACCCCATCAACCTCAGTTGCCAATTGACAGCATCGACGTTCGGTAGTTGAGTGGTTTGCTGTGGTCAAGCCCTTGCTCGTCACCCCGAGCGTGGGAAAATTTGCAGCCAGAAAGGTAGAGATTGCTAGTATCCAGCAAAAAGAAAATTGATCCGAAAGAGCCCTGCAACAGCAAGAACGGCAAAAGGAAAGACAAATGCCCACATCCAGAGTCGAACTGAAGACCTCGTCATGTCGAATCCTTATATCAAGGGATTACTAGTGACGCGCTCTACCACTGAGCTATGCGGGCTTATCCTGGTGGTTGTTGATGGATGTTCGGTTCGTTTAAGCCCTCTATCCACCCTGAGTGGGACTGCACTGAACTCTTTGCAAATGGGTTTGGAGCTTCAACCTCGGCTTGTAACGGGACGCCAAGAAACTGACGCTCCCAAGAAGAAAATAGCAAGCAAGTCTAACCAAGGCCTTTTTATCAACCAGCTTCTAAGGAATATCTCAATATTTTATATCCTTTTGAGTTATAACTTGGGTGCCCGGAAGAAAGAGAGATCATTTTTATCGTATCTGTACAGTGCCGGGGTTAGGGTTCATGCCATCAAAGACGGACTAAAGTCTGCCGATCAGCTACGACCCCAATAAGGCGCCGAAACCGTTAGCGAGTCCCGCGAGAAAGATATTGTTCTTAATTGTGTCAGAGAGAAGGCAATACTGTAATGATTCGTCCCATGCCAGCATCGGCCGCAAAGCAATGGGAATGGCAAAAGCTAGCACGTGCGCGATCACATGGACTGTACGCTAGCCCCGATCGGGCGAGACCTGGGCAGTTGCTGGGCGGGCCGGAGGGTGGCTCCAACTGGTCAGTCAGACCATTTCGTCAAACCCCGTCCGGTCGGCAAACAGCTTCGTTCCCTGCTTCAAACAACCACCACCCACCTCAAGACACACCGCAATTGAACCACGCACCGCCACGAACGATGTTCTTGCAACGCTCCGCCGTGGCTGTCGCGCGCCGCGCCGCCTTCTCCCCCGTGCTGCGACGCACCCTGGCCACGTCGGCCGTACGCCGTAAGTGAAGAGGGAAATTGGAACCCGGAGCAAAAGCTGCCCAAAAATCTCGCGCAAGCTGTTGGAGCTGTAGCTAGATCTGGGACTAGAGCTAGAGCTAGAGCTAGAGCCGAGCTTGCCCCTCGAGATTGTCAGGACTGACCGTGTGAGCAATTCTAGGCGACGCCGCCACCCCCGAAGCGACGGCTCCGACCACTAAATTCAAGAGACTCAGCGGTACGGACACCCCTCACTGGAATGCAAGAGTAGATTGGATAGGCTGGCTTGCCGGGTCCTGTGCCCCAACCTCGGGACTGGCCAATTGAGCAATCGAGAGTGCGCAGGAGGAACAGACAGGCACAGGAGACGGCAAGCCAGCTGGGGAGGAGCCATTTGAACTAAATTGAGGGCTGTCGCTACGCTGAGGGGAGAACTACTTGCTGACGTATTCGGGGCTCTCGCCCCCCTGATCAATGTGTAGAGGTCAAGACGAAGGACGATCTCTTCGGCCCCGGCGCGGCTACCGGCACTGTCCCCACAGACCTTGAGCAGTCGACTGGTCTGGAGCGTCTCGAGATTCTCGGCAAGATTGAGGGCATCGATGTCTTCGACATGAAGCCGCTGGATGCGTCGCGTCTCGGTAAGGAAATCCGGGCTGCTCCTACGGCGAGGGAGAGGGTGTCAGGGCTGACTGCCGGCGGTCGATTAATACAGGAACACTTGAGGACCCCATCTTGGTCCGCTCTGCCGGTGACGAGCAGTACTGCGGCTGCACTGGTTTCCCGGCCGACTCGCACGAGGTTATCTGGCTGACGGTGCGTGTCTCCCAATATCGTCTGAACTCATTGTGCGCAGTGGTGCGAGGTTAGAGATTCTTTTTGCTGACATGGCCCTGGCTTCGTTTGTCTGCTGCAGACGTCCCGCGAGCGCCCGGTTGAGCGTTGCCCAGAGTGCGGCAGCGTTTACAAGATGGAGTATGTCGGACCCGAGGAGGACGCGCACGCGCACGACCACGGTCACGGCCACGACGAGCACGCCTGGGTCGAGCCCAAGACCTGGGCCGACCACGTCAAGCCCAGCTACTGGTAAGCGGGGCTGACGACGAGATGCGAGGTTGCGTTGCGAGGGGTTTCAGGACGAACTGCATCGCGGCTATGGCAAGATGGGGGTGGACTTGTAGATTACTTAGGGCAGACAGACGGCCCGTATAGATTTTTTATACGTCTGTCCTTGGACTGTGTCTGGGCACGGTGCTTGCCTGCCTCCTGCATGTCCCACTGTGCCAGACTGACTCATAGCCGGGTTATACGATGATAATTACGGGGCTTACGTATTGCCATGGTCCCAATCTCCCTGCCCTCTCGCAGAATAGATACCGGGACAGCGCCAGAGCTTGGAATCTGTGGGACAAGTAGTCCACCAGTGAAGAGCGGGCCGTAAGCTCACATCTAGCCGTTCTGTTCCTCGGCAGCGTCCGTTCGTCTCTTGGGCCTCGCGGGGCCTCGGTTTCCTAGGACAAGAGACTGTCTGTAGATGAGAGCCTTGGCAAGTAGCTCGTGCGATTCTGTCTTCCATTCCTCCCATGCCATGCTCAACCCTCGTCGTCGCCAAAACTGAGCTTGATCTTCTTTGCCTTCTTGTTGGGCTTTTTAGGTTTTGTAGCAGCGCCATCTCCTCCCGCGGCCGGTACCACCGTCCCACTCCCATCTGCTCGCTTGTTTTGCTTTGTTTTCTTGTTGTCTTTTCCGCCACCTTCGCCGTCGTCATCGTCGCTGTGGGCGCCAATCACCTTGCCCACCTTGCGCTTCTTGGCGCCGCCCACCACGAGCTGGCTCCCGTCTGCAACGTCTTTGCTTGCCGCTGCCGCGGCAGGCCCGGTGGCGGTAGCGGTGGCAGTGACATCGCCATTCTGTGCCGCGTCTGCTTCGTCCTCTCCAGTGCCAGTCCGCGTCGCCCCCATGACGGCGCCGTCGGCGCCAAACTGCACGTCCAGCCCGTCGACCGTGTGCCCCCGCTCGTCCACCACCAGCGGCGCGTCCTCGGCCTCCTCGCTACCCGACCGCTTCGCCTTGGTCGGCCGCCGCTGCGCCGCGAGGATCGGGTCCGGCCCGTCAGACCCGCTGGCGGCTTCGCCGTGCAGGCGCGCGAGGAACGGCGGCAGGCGCGAGTTGTAGTGTAGGTTCTTGGACGTGATTTTGCCGGACATCTTTTGTTGCCCTTTCTCTTGCGCCGTCGATTCTTTGGCAGGCGCTGCGACAGGCTGGCGCGAAAGGAGGAGGTGCGGTACCGGTAAGATATGACCTCCTGGATTGGGTGGGTTGGGACGTTGTCAACGTTTCGAGGAGGTGGCGGCGCTCGGGTTTTGGGGGTTGATGAGGAAGTGGAATTGGATGTGAATGTGAATGTCGGAGGTGGAACTTCCCGATCGTCTGCAAAACGTTTTTGCGTCATCTAACCCTAACCCCTATTTCTCGAGCGTGGAGTCTTCTGTGTGCCTGCTCAACCCAAGTTCAGAATATGGAACTTGTCAAATAAATATATGACCGAGCAAGTGCTTTAGAATAGATTATTCAGTTAAGACTCAAAAGATATAGCTAGTAGTATATCTGTCCCTAATTTAGCAATAAACTGAATCTGCAATTCCTGCCTGAATCATAATTCTCATTATTCAAGATTCAAGACTCAAGTCAACAACGTCGACCTATAAACAGCCAGCAGTCAAGTGCCAGCGTGTAGAATTTCGAAGACCTCCTGCTGATCAGGACAACGCCATAATATAGGAGTTTTCATTTTTTTTACTACCGTTGGAAGATCGTCGAGGCTGGCTCTGTCTCAAGCTCTTTTGCGTTTGCAAGATGGCCGACGTCAGACTCGTACCGTTGTCTATCTGGACATCCGCAAATTGGCCCTCGCGGCCCCTCTGCCTTTTCAATTTATTAGCCCAAAGTCGGCAGTTGGCATATGATCACGCAAGAACGTGTAACTGGCAGGAAAGAGTTCGCGACATCCAGAGCCCCTTTCATGTCAAGCCACCAGTAACTCTATGTATGTCACCCGGAAGATGTTTCACGAGCAAAGAGGCAGTGACTCGGCTATTTCACAGACTCTGATAGAGTCAAGTCTTCAGTTGTCTCTCTGCCATTTTGCCAGCTTCAAATCCCAGAAGGTAGAATAAAGGCAATGAGAAAATGTAATTGCCTTGCAAGCTGTCATCCTGCAACGTTTATCCGTCAATGAAGTTTATCTTCATTTGAGGGACCAAGTTGTAAGATCGACATCCATTGTAATCAGTAGGGCGTGTGCCAAATTTATTGCCTCATGTGGCTCGCGTTAAACATCAACATGCCCTGGGCGAAGCCTTTGATCTTGCATGGCGGCGGTAAGTGCCGTTCAATTGTTTGACTTTTGCTATAACGCGGTAAATGCCTGTGTTAACCTTTAATGTATACATGGTAATGGGTAAAAGCCATTTCACTTTTATAATAAACCTAACTGTGGAAGTCCCCCTCAAGGCAAGTCTTATTGAAGTAGACGAAATAATACATGGTCGGCTAGTCACGGTAGTCGGCGTTGTGCATGTGCGGCTCAGCAAATGCGCGCTTGAGGGGAATGAAACGAGGCTCTTACGGGTTGTCTCGGATTTGCTGACGAAGCAGTGTGACTCACTCGGAACAATTGGTCAACTGTTTGTGTCGTGGTGGTATTCCGAGTATAGTTGCCACTCTACCACAGATATGCGGTTGCACGAGCAGCACGGGCGAGGCACACCAATTCAGCCTCAAATGGCGGTCCACTCGGCGGCCGCTGGAGCCTAGAATGGTGCAGTGCGGAGGTTGGCTGCCTCAAGTTTGCCTTTGAAGGAGGGCTCTCGGCAGTCTTGAGTGCATTGTGGTGGCGGCCTCACAACCGAATCAGATCGACGCTACAGGCACATGCCAGCGCACCCGCCCTGGCTGCATGTTCGGTGCTCAATCCCGTTATGGTGTCTACTGCCACCCTTGATTAGGGCTGTGCTCTTCCCTGCGCACCCTTGCAACAGCGTTTGGTATTACTACCCCTTGTTATTCCTTCCCGCGACCAGGTCGCATCACAGAGCTGCGTGAGGAATTTGCGTCCAGCCTTGACTTTTCAACCCGTCAACTCTGGGTCGCCTACCTACGTAGAGTCTTAAAGACTCGCCAGGATTCCTTCACATACATTGGCACAAACCCACCAGACTCTCGGCGGGCGACCTCTCAGTCTGCCGGATTGCGGCTTTTGAAACCGAGCGTGAGTGAAGCGACAACCCCCTCTTGAATCTCGAGTGTGAGCCAAGATGAAGGGAAACGACATGTCTTCCGACGCAGAAGTGAATACGGCAGCTGGAAGCAGCACCCCAGACCCAGCAACTTCGACCGCCTCGACCGCGTCGGCTCACATGGCAACACCGCTGTCGCGCTCCAGCTCACGGCAATCGACTGCTGGCGACCCCGTGCTTGGGTCCGGGCCGGGTACCGCGCCCGGAACTGGTCCTGGGCCTGGAATTCCAGATACCAAGCCCGTAGATCCTGCAAATCCGGGCCCAGGGCCAAGCAAATCTCCCGTCGTGCCCGCCTCGGCACCTCCGAGCCGCCAGCCCGACCCATCCGACCCTCCGGGCCCGAATCGCAGGGGATCCGATGCATCCCGCCACCAGCCAACCGTCTCGCCGCCTCAGGATCCAACCGGTTCCCAGCCGGGCCTTCCGTACCAGCAATATCCATACACCCCGCAGCCCCAAGCTCCCTCTCAACATGGTGCTATGGTCCAACCGTATCCCTCCTTCGCGGCCCCTTATCTCCCCAACCTCTACCCGCCAATGTCTTTCCCTTTCTTTCCTTACCCATCTCTCCCGTACGCTCCCTCGGCTTACCTCGCTGCGCCATATCCCTTGGCACCGAACCCTTCAGGGAGTTTTCCTGCAAACCCATATGCCCCTTATCCTGGGCCTCCTAGCCAGCCTGGGGCTTACCCTCCTGGATCATATCCGCCCAACCCGCCGGGACTGCCAAACCCCCCTGGGCCAGGCTATCCAAACCAGAATGGATTCTACCCCCCAAACCCGCCTCATGGGCCATACAATGGAAACCATCCTCAACACTATAACCCCAACCTACCTCAGGTAATTCATATCACTCCAGACTGAGCACCAGGTCGGAAGTCTTCCCACTAGTCTAACCGGCGTACGCAGAACCACAGTTCCGGACGGCGGCCCACGGGCATGCCTCCTCGGCCTAGTTTAAAATCGTGGATGGCTGGAAAGGCGCCTCGCAAGAAGAGTAGCAGACGCCGCAGAAACTCGTTAGCTTCGTCTTCGTCTTCGTCTTCGTCTTCGTCAGACAGTTCTTCGTCCTCGTCATCCTCGGACTCGTCGTCCTCGGATTCCGACTCGGACTCAGACTCGGCCTCGGCCTCAGCCTCAGACACGAAATCGACCAAGTCCTCAGCCAAGTCGGCCCGCGGCCGGCGGTGCGCCAACCCGTTCCCGCACCAGACGTCGGCGGCGGCGCAGGAGTGGAAGCGGCGCAAGAGGGACTTTGGCGACAAGAACAAGGTCATCGACAAGCTGATGAAGTACGAGGGCCTCGACGAGGTCAAGCAGCAGTTCATCGACATCGCGGCCAAGGCGGAGCTAGCCAAGGTGCAGGGGCGGCGGCTGCGGGCGCACGAGCGCTTCAACGCCGTGTTCCAGGGCAACCCGGGCACGGGCAAGACGACGGTGGCGCGGCTGTACGCGGCGCTGCTGCGGTCGGTGCGGCTGCTCAAGAGCGACACGGTCAAGGAGATGTCGGGCACCGAGATCGGCATGAGCGACGCGCGCGAGACCAAGACCAAGATCGACGACCTGCTCGATGACGGCGGCGGCGTGCTGTTTGTTGACGAGGCGTACCAGCTCACGGCGTCCTACGCGGGCGGCTCCGGCCGCCAGGCCCTCGACGTGATCCTGACGGCCATGGAGAACAACATCGGCAAGCTGGCGGTGGTGTTTGTCGGGTACCGCGACGAGATGGAGGCCTTCCACGAGCACAACCCGGGCTTGGCGAGCCGCATCCCGTACGCGCTCGACTTTGCCGACTTTAGCGACGGGCAGCTGTGGAAAATGTTTTGTGATAACCTGCGCGCGCAGTTCAAGGGCCGCATGCGCGTCGAGGGCGGGCTCGACGGCCTGTACGTGCGCATCGCGATCCGGCGGCTGGCACAGGCGCGGGGCCGGCGCGGGTTCGGGAATGCCCGGGCCGTGCAGAACCTGCTGGCGCGCATCTCGGGGCGCCAGGCGCAGCGGCTGGCGCGCGAGCAGCTGGCGCGCGGCAAGAAGGGCAAGAAGAAGGACTGCTTTATGCTGACGACGGAGGACCTCATCGGGCCGGACCCGGTCGACGCGGTGCGCGCGAGCCCCGCGTGGGCCGAGCTGCAGGCGCTGGTCGGGCTCGAGGCCGTCAAGGACAGCGCCCGCAGCATGATGCGCATGATCCAGCTCAACTACCGCCGCGAGCTCGACGAGCTCAAGCCCCTCACCTTCCCGCTGAACCAGGTCTTTGTCGGCGCCCCCGGCACGGGCAAGACGACGGTGGCTAAGCTGTACGGGCGGATCCTGGCGGACCTGGGTCTGCTGAGTCGAGGCGATGGTGAGCTCTTTTTTATTCTTCTTGTTTCTCTCCGTCATTTTCCTTCCGCCGTTCCTCGGCTGACCTGTCCCAGTGGTCATGAAGAACCCCTCCGACTTCATGGGCTCGTGTCTTGGCGAGTCGGAGAACAAGACCCGCAGGATCCTCGACGCGACCGTAGGCAAGGTGCTAGTGATCGACGAGGCGTACATGCTCGACGCGGGGTCCGGAGACACAGGCTCGAACCAGCAGCGCAAGGACAGCTTCAAGTCGGACGTCATCGACACTATGGTGGCCGTGGTCCAGGGCACGCCGGGCGAGGACCGGTGCATCATCCTAGTCGGGTACGAGGACAAGATCACCGACATGTTCCGCAACGTCAACCCGGGCCTGGCGCGGCGGTTCCCCATCTCGCGCCCGTTCCGCTTCGACAACTTCAGCCTCGCGCAGCTCGAGCTGATCCTAGCCAAGAAGCTGGGCGAGCAGGACCTACGCGCCACGCCCGCTGCCCTAGCCGCCGCCCGCGCCGTCTTCGAGCGCGGCCTCATGCGCCCCGACTTCACCAACGCCGGCGAGGTCGACAGCGCCCTCGCGGCCGCAAAGATGAACTACGAAATGCGCCAGTCCAAGGCCGGTGCGTCGGGCGTCGTCGACGGCCTGCTCGAGCCCCAAGACTTTGACAAGGACTTTGCCCGCGGCGGCGCCGCCAGCGCGGCCGCGGCAGCAGCCTCCGAGGCCGTGTACCGCGCGACGCTGCAAGGCCTGGTGCACGACACCATCATCGACAAGCTGGCGGGCTACCAGCGGCGGTGCGCGAATGCGCACAGGCAAGGGCTGGACCCGCGCAAGCTAGTGCCAACCAACTTCGTCTTCTCAGGGCACGCGGGCACGGGCAAGACGACGGCGGCGCAGCACATGGGCCGGCTGTTCTACGACATGGGGTTCTTGGCCACGGCCGACGTGGTCGAGTGCACGGCGACGGACCTGATCGGCCAGTACATTGGGCAGACGGCGCCCAAGGCGCGGCGCCAGCTCGAGCAGGGCCTGGGCAAGGTGCTGATCGTCGACGACGCGCCGCGCCTCGCCCCGCAGGGCGGCGCGCACTTTGCCGCCGAAGCCCTCGACGAGCTGGTGCACTTTCTCAACCGCCCCGCGCACGCTGGCAGGGTCGTCGTGGTGCTGGCCGGTGACGTGGAAGGCATGCAGGCGCTGCTGGCGCGCCAGCCTGCCCTGGCGGGCTTGTTCACCGAACACGTCGTCTTCGACCACATCCCGCCAGCCGACTGCCTGGCAATGCTGGAGCGTGAGCTCGCCCGCAGCCATGTCGCGGTCGAGGCGGGCGCCCTGGCTAATGCGGCGTCCCCGGCAAACCGCGATGCCGAGAGCTTGCTGCGCACCCTGCAGACGCTGCCTGGCTGGAGCAACGCGAGAGATGTCAAGCAGCTAGCCCAACGCGTTCTGGGGGCCTACCTCGAGACGGCGCCGGCACCGGCTGAGGCGGCGGAAGATGTTGTCGATGTAGATGTTGTCGATGTAGAGGGCGAGGCGGCAACTGCGCGCAGGGTGCCGGCCGATGTAGTGCTGGTAAGTCTCAGGGGGCTGGTTGAGGAGCGGCAGGCTCGAGCGGCCAAAGCCAAGGCAGAACCGGGGAAGAAGACTGAGGAGAGAGCGGACCAGGAGCCGGCGGTGGCGTACCGCGAGGACGAGCAGACCAAGACCGAAATCCACACCACCCACAAGGTCAACGAGGCAAAGCACGACCACCGGGAGGAGGAGGAGTCGCAGGCCGGCGGCAAGAAGATGCAGGACGTGCAGCAAGCGCTGCGGGCCATGGGCCGCTGCGTTATGGGCTTTGCCTGGCACCGCGAGGGCAGTGGCTGGCAGTGCGATGGCGGGTCTCATTTTGTCACGGATGCCGAGCTGAGCAAGTACATGGGTTGAGAGTGATGTGATGATAGATCGTGCTGCGTCACTTTGGTCAGTTGAAGCAAGAGTTGGTGCAGTATACTTTGTGTTTTCTAGACGTATTTTTCTCGCCAGGCAGTGAATCGTATGTCGATTATTGCTAGAGACGATACCACGTACTTGTTGGTTGCCAGCATCCTTTTTGGTTTAATCCTTTTTGGTGAACGCGGATTGTATCTAGTCTAATTAATTCGCGGACGTGCCTACCTTGGTACTGGCCTCACTGAGTTACTGTCGATTGTCGGCCCAAGCCTGCACTCCAAGTCGCGTCTGGCTAGGATGGGAAGGCTGCACTGGCAAGAGGCATCTCGCTCTTGCCGCGTTTCATGCCCTGCTGCCTGGGGGGCTGGGGTTGGACACCCCACTCTGTTTCCAGCCTAGGGTTGTCGTCAATCTCCCGCAAACGGCAGGAGTGATACACTCGCATGACCACGAGTCCGAGCCCGTGTCCGAGTCTGAATCAGAAGCTGCAGTCTTCATCTCTTCGAGAAGTCTAATCAAATCAAGGCAACTTCCCACTCATCGTGAATGACCTGGGCAAAAGCCTTTTATAACATCAAATACCAAGGCCTGGTACACAGGGGAGCCGCTCCAATTCACCAGCGGCAAGCTTAGGGCTACCCTTTTTCTACGCAAAGTCTACAAGGAAGACCACCGCCGGCTCTTAGTCCCATTCCATGAACGAACTGGTCTACCAAGGGAACGACAGTCTGCTCCCCATCCTCAACTTGCCCCCCAAAACGGCTCCTAATTCCTAGCCCAAGCACAAGAGTGCCGGGCTATATATATCTAGCTTACTTTGAGGCATTCGGAATTCTAAGGGCAAATGTGTGTTCCCATGCCTTCTGCTCTACAAGTACATGGACGCAAGTTGATGAAGTGCCGACGTTTAGGGACTCCGGCGCATCATTACCTGCGTCAGCGACGGATATATAACATCCTGGCAACACAAAACCTGCTATATCGACATGGCCATCCCATTAAATTTATATTTGCCAAAATTAACAAACAAGTGGTATCGGTGCCACGTCCACTGGATGCGGAACTCCCAGCTAGCCTGGTCCGCCTCGTTGAAAACTTCATACCGTTCGAAGAACGCTATTTCCGTCTACCAGCTCCAACCAACCGTCGGCGGTCCTTTCATAGCAATCGTTTGCGGCCTCTAAGTCTTCTTTTTCCGTCTCCTGCTCCATATTTTCAAATACGACGAAGCACACGATTTCAATAGTCTTTATTCTGATGAGAAATTACGGGAAAGTTATTTCCAAGATTACGGGAACATGCAGCCCCCCAATCTGTCAGGCCATGTTGCCACAGCGAGATTCGAGGCTGGGAACCAAACCTTGACTGCTGCGCTTGTGGTAAGTGGTCGAGATGGAGTGGGTTGTGTCTGCTCATACACGCTGGTCGTAGCTCTGCGATAGCGGCAACCGAGGGTGAGGGGGAAGCAGCAGCAGAGTCAAAATGAGATGCATCTGGTCTAGCTGATACACTGAAGGCAAGTCAATATGGCGGACGGAACATCTCTCTGGAAATAGACATCGCCAATAGGAGAAGGCGTCCAAATACGATACCAACTACCCTCAGGGGTTTAAACATCCCTCTGACGGCCCCATAAGATAGCAACCTGAGATATCTAAAAGCGGATACTTAATACGTTATATATTGGGGCTGGGAAACTTTTCACGCGGCGCGATTGCTGGTTGCGGATGCTGGTATCGGAAAAAACGATTATCAGCTAGAAACTCTCAAAAGTTTGGGTAGAAGCTTTAGAGTGAGAATGCTCACAATTTGATCAAACTGACACCTTGCCCGTCTCAGCGGTACTCTTCTTCTAGGAATCTAGAAATCAAGCCTCAAGTGATGGTGAGCGATCAATCAGATACTTTGCTTCACGCAGTTAGACGGTGAGTCACACCAACTAACGTTTGGCAAACCAATATCGGCAATCAGAACCCGTTTGAAAGGCAATTGAAAGCTCAAAGTAGAATAAGTATGATTTAGTCCCTCATCTGTTTATCATCGCCCAATAGCCATCATGAATAATATACTCTTTGCGTGGTGGTTCTTTCAGGTTCTTAATCCCGAATGTTGCGATTGATGTGCATGTTTGGGCGATGAAGGATAATATTGCCCAAGAATTTAATATATCTGTAAGATCCCTTTCTAGCCTCAAAGACCGCTGTGCTGGTATCGCGGGCGGATGCTGGCAGGGATGGTAGGCAATTACAGTGGTTTTGTTTGACCTTGACCAATATAAACGGACTCCAACAACCATCACCAGACGGCGCCCGGCTTGCTGAATTATTTGCTGTAATGCCGCCGCCAACTAATTCCTACCGACACGCATTGGCTTGTGCTAACAGCCGATGTTTGGATTGTATGACATAAGAGAAAGCTGTTCGTGCTTGACCGTCGTGACCGGTCGGCTGGTCTTCTGAACAGCCACGGCCCTGCGGCCTGAGGCAAATGCTGTAGCCATCAGTGATGTTCCAAGAACACATAATGTCAGATCCGGCCCAGTCTATCATCGGTATTGTTCCGATACTGTTCTGAGAACAGTGTCGGACATGCTGGGCGGGGGAGCTGTCCGCATGCCTGGACGTTAAATTCTTTTCGCGACCCCTCCGACCGTCTTCCACTTCTTTCTCCTTCTGACACAACATCTACAACCACATCGCACATCCATCTTCATCTTCTTTTGCTCTCACTTAGCCGACATTGAGCCTCGCCTGTTGCGCTGTCAACCCGACAAAAGACAATATCGCCGACACCTTGTCCTCACACCCGACTTCAACCTTTGCACTTTTTCGCAAAAAATTATCAACCAAAATGTCTCATTCGACCCAGAGCCAAGGCCCCTACACTCCTCGGGGAGTCAAGGGAAACCCAATCCTCATTGACAGCAGCTCTGCTGGCGAAATCGTGGACTACAACGCCGAGGCCGAGCAAGCCCCAAACTCTCCACCCAAACACTCGCAAGAGACAGGTGGAAGACACCGACATGGACGAAGAAGACGATCATGCCGCGAAGCGAGGTCGCAACACCATTAGAGGTGTTGATGGAGACGCCATCGAGCTTTTCAGCAGACGAGAGGGGTTGGTGTCGCTGGACGCGATGATTGCTGCCCTCACCCATGGCACCGACAATGAAACGAACGAATTCATTGCTGAAGGCAATGAAGGTAAGCGGTGACCCGTAATGACCAGACATAATTATCGACAGATAACTAATTAACTGACATTAGAGTTTTACGCCCTCGCCTCGGCCCTCGACTATGCTGGCCGCGACGACAGCGACGCTGCTGTCAACCAGGACCTCTCCACCGATGAGAGCGTTCTGGTCTCTTACGAGGCCAGATTCCGCGTCCCATCTTGCGCCTCCAGACTGCGGTACGGGGAAAGACTTGGCATTTATTGGTTCTGGTTTTTACGGGTGTATAGATAGATGAGGCACTCTATTCCACAGCCTCCCCAGTTGCCTGTGGGGCATGGATGCCTAGGTAATTACTATAGGGGGCGAGCAATGAAGCACAAATTGTTTCTCCCATTGGCGATTATCTTTTATCATGACATCTCACCGCAGTGAATAAGACGTGTGGGATCGTTCTATTCTCTGCCGCTAGTCTCCAACACACTGACTGTGAGCTTCACTGCGAAGCATCAAGGAGTCCGAGTTGCTCAAGGTGATTAGGATGCGTAGCTCCCCATCGCCCCCTATCCACATCTATATGGCCCCCTATTGTTTTCCTTGACGCATGTGTGTGTGTATGCCTGCCGTTGCGAATTGTCTCCCATGAGCCTAGGTCCCATTTTAGAAGTGTATATAGGACTATCTGTCTGTTTATGTATGCATTCCATGCCCCTTTCCAGCCACTTTTATGTTACGCTTTGGGTCTAATAGGGCGAAGCTGGTGATATTTATGGCTGGCAAAGACGTCTGCCGTTGCGGTACTAGAACTAGATAACTGGGTAAACAACAACTATCTCTGTGGTGCTAGCCTGCGCAAAGATGGAATGAGTCTACTGGGTTGTACAGACGCCCTGATGCAACCGCCGCCCACCAAAAAGAACACATGGCATTCATAGGTGCCATTTCCATCTCAATGCTCCGGTTGCTATTACAGCTACCCTGCAAATATCCAAGTTATGTTTGTGGAGCGCGTTTGGGCTTGTTCGGTGAACAGTCTCGCTGTGCCCACGCAAAGACTGTTCAGGCCACTTTCACTTAGTAGTCACCCCTCGAAGTGTTTTTACATTCTCCCTTTCGGCAAACCATTCTCCCACACAGATCTTCCCCTATGCACATTTCTCTTTTCGCACGTCTCTAGGCAAAGCATCTTGCGCAACAATCACTGCGATCACCAACTCCGCATTCTTCTTCCTTTCTTATCCGACAAGTCACCACTCAATTATACCAACAATATCACGCATCTACTTGACATCAACCACCATGGCTACGAAGTTAAATATCAAAATGACATTCATGGGACTGCCCCACCCGTATCCCGGGATGTTACACCTCAGTATGGCATATGAATCGCAGTCCAACAAGCCTGCGGGACAGGCTCCGGCAGCAGCCTCGCGTCCCCTCTTACTGATTTCTCAAGAGGAAAACAATAGTGGGTTCAACTGATACATATTAGTACCAAGTATGAAGAAACTAACAGCATTATAGACGACGGCACTCAGGGCGCCGAACTCGATCAACCCGCCGCGGCTATTCTTCGTGAGCCGGCGCGCAAGCCAACCCACCCGTTCTGTTTCGCAACGAAATGGTACAAAGGTATAAAGAATACCGGTCGCCGCTTACTTCGCCTGCCCAAGGAGGCCAATGCTCCTATCCCGGAGCCGGCAAATCCACCACAGGCAACGTCCTCGCCTACCGCCGAAGATGCCGCCCGTTACAACACAACGCAGGTAGTACCATTGCCTTCCGAGGATGCCTCTCACAGCGAGGCAAGCCAGGACATTCCAGCGACTGATATCTCGCCACAGTCCTGCGATATGGATAGAGTTCTTGCTGAGATTGAGGCGACTATACAAGCCAATGCTGAGTCGGCCGCTGCGAAAGGCCCCCCCTCGGGTGAGGAACCAACCGAGGGAGATGAAGCCTTGAGCTTAATCCCCGACATCGTCACAGTGACTCCTCTCCAGGGGGCGGCGGACATGACACCTTCCAAGATGCCACTGCCTGACCATGCTGTCGATAATTCGGAAATTATTATAAAGGTCGTCCTCTCGACCGTAGTCAAAGGTCCCCGCCCACAACCCGCTGCGGCCCCACTGCGGTCGAAGCAGGTCAGAGGCTCCCGGCCGCAACCGCACTGGAACGTCGCTCACGACAACGACGATATGTTTACGCCGGCGCCAGAAGCCGCGGCCGCCTCATCCGTCGCGCTCGGCAAGTCGGCTCTGCCCACCCTCCCTGGTCAGCCGAGTCTATGGAACGCCGCATCCCCGGGCGAGGATGTCTTCACGGCGCGGACCCCTCCACCTACCGCCGCAAGGAGAATCGTGGCTCGGCGTCGGGGCTACAACCCCGACCCGGCCATCCAGACACTCAAGACGAGGGCCGACTACGCCCAGTACCACATCAGCTCGAACCCGTTTTGGCGCTCGATCTTCCTGGGCAGATACCAGGACCCTGATGATGGAGCGGTATGCGAGAAGCGAAGAAAGCTTCAGCATCGCCGAGGCCCTGCTGGCCAGTAGAGGGAGCGATGATACAGCGGCAGAGGCAGCGCTGCGGGGCACCGACGTGAGAAGACAAGGAACGTGAGAAGACAAGGGACGTGAGAAGACAAGGGACGCATAGCCCTGTCTTGAAGACTTGCTATTATGGGCCTGGGAAGAATGTGGCGGGCATACTAGGACTGGATTAGGAAACTAGGAGGAATTTTTTTTTGTTTTTTTTGTTACTTTTTGTTATTTTTTTTTGTTAATTTTTATTGATATTTCCTTATTTTGTATTTTTTTTAGCAAATCATGGGACAGCACGTAGCGAGAGATTGACGGTCAGCATACGGAGTATATGCGACATGTAAATTTGTAGGAAAGTGAGATGACGGCCGAAGCCCGAAGGGCATTGGAATGGAGCATGGAGCATGCAGCTTTGTTCCGCAAGACTTCAGCACGCCAGCACTTTTCTTATATCGACACACCCGGTGGAAAATAGCATAACCAAGGAAGGCTTTTATTCTCTATTACATCAACTCTACAATTGTCCAGCAAGAGGAGAATTCCCCAGACTTAAATAAAGCCCTCGACAACATGGCCGCTCTGTTTGCCCATTATGGAAGTGGATAGGTGGGTAAGGTGAGGTGGAGCAAACAAAATGGGGAAAAAGGGCACAAACCACGCGCGCGTCGTGTTCCTGAAAAGCTGTGGGCCACTGCATACAGTGGTGCAGAAAGCATAATGCGGGTTGTGGTTGCCAGGGGCAAATTCGATATTGGCGGCGCCGGGCGCCTGCATGTTCCACAGCATTGTGCGAATTACGAAATATCGACTGTGGAAGCCAGGGGGCAGCGGGTTCGACGCGGGCGTGGCGCGTGGCTGACAGCCAGACCTGCAAATCGCGTAAAAATAATTTTACAGGGTCCATCCATCCCAAATCCCAATAAACTGGGATCGTCGATGCTCTGCCTCGCACCGCCGGTCTGGACTCTTTTAGCCTGGTGGGAGGTGGGGCTAGGGATGAGCAGCATGGAGAAGAAAACAAAGGGGCAACGAGCACTCGCTTCGCCGATCTTGGGCAGTGGAGACCTCCTTAACATCCCGCCCTTACACCATCTGCGCTAGTCCCTTAGGTATTCACCACATTAATAAGCTGTGCGTTAGTTGGTGCAAGACTGGTACCGAGGCAACTCTGCGACATGGGGCAACTCTGCTACATGGGGGATATGGAATGATCTTGGAGAAAAAACCCGGGCAGGGAGAAAGAAACACAAGAGCACAGAGGAAATGTCGAGGCAATTTCCACCTCGGTCGCTAACTGGCGTGCGATCAATAGTGTGGCTTTCTAGCCTGCGGTAGGGCCTGGCCAGAGCGGCTCAGCTGGGACAAGATTGGCCAAGACAGCCCCACCGTGCCTGACAAGCGGGCACGGTTTGGGCTGCAGCTGCCAGCTGACGTCCCGATCGGACTCGGGTCTCGACCAATCTGGGCCGATCGGCTGGGCCATAGGCGAGAGACAGGGGCATCGGGGAGAAACAGCGTCAACACACGACAAGCTCTGCCTTGCTGTGCGTCGCCCACAGCTGCAATGCAATCTGCCATCTGCATCATGTTGCTGCCGCACAATATAATACTGAAGCCGGCTGCTTCCGGCGCCATGGCTGGCGCGCGCCCCTTCCTTCCTTCCTCTTCACGGACCCAGTCAAGTGAGACTCGGCCGTCGCATTCTTTACTTTGGAGGAGGAGGATAGAACCACAGGGCCCACTACAGTCACTCGTTTGTATTGTCGGACAGGAGGAGGAAAGTAATAATTGGGAACCTATACCATGCGGTCATATTCCGCCCTCGTCGGCGGCCTGCTTCTTGGCAGCGCCGCCGCCACCCCTGCCGATCTCCCCGCCGAGCTCCGGAGGCGCGCCTGTGCCGACGACGACCTCTACCGCTGCTTCACCAACTCGCCGAGCCTGGCAACCGAGTACTGCCTCAGGACGATGACGCTGCCGGGCGCAACGGGGACAGCAACCGTCACGCGTACAGTGTTAGAGCTCACCACCCCCGCGTGGCTCACCCCGAGACTAACCGGTGGTGGCGTCTGCTGTCTAGAACGTCGACCCTCACGACTTACTCGTCCACGTCGGAAATCCCGCCCGATGCTCTCACGGCGGCGGAACCTCCGGCTTCTACACTGGGCTGCCTGGCCGGAGATGTGCCCGCCACCTTCCCGGCCTCGAGGTGGACGTCGGCCTGCTCGTGCATTGGCATCACTACCAACACGTACTCGACCACCATCACCATCATCCCCGTGACCGTGGTCGAGACCAGGACGTCATATGTGACAACCGTATGCACCCCGACAGCCCTCACCACCACGCCCACATCCATCTCCAACTCCGGCTCTTCGGCTCCGGCGATCAACTCTGCCCCGCCCGGCGCCGCCATCAGCTCTGCCACGGCGTCCAGCTCTGCGGCGGCTCCGATGATCAACTCGGCCCTGGCGTCGGCCCCTTCGGCTTCAGTCGTCAGCTCTGCCCCTCCCAGCGCCCCCGTTAGCTCTGCCCCGGCGTCCATTCCTTCGGCTCCGGCGATCAGCTCTGCGGCTCCAGTGATCAACTCTGCCCCTCCCAGCGCCCCCATTAGCTCTGCTCCGGCGATAAGCTCTGCGGCTCAGGTGATCAACTCTGCCCCGCCCGGCGCCGCCATTAGCTCTGCTCCGGCGATCAGCTCTGCGGCTCCGGTGATCAACTCGGCCCCGGCGTCCGCCCCTTCGGCTTCAGTCGTCAGCTCTGCCCCCCCGATTAGCTCTGCTCTGGCGATTCGCTCTGCGGCTCCAGTGATCAACTCTGCCCCGCCCGGAGATCCCGTTAGCTCTGCCCCGGCATCCACCTCTTCGGCTCCAGCTCCGGTGGTCAGCTCTGCCCCGTCCAGCGCCCCCATCAGCTCTACTCCGGCGTCTTCAGCCAGCAGCGCCGTGAGCAGCACTGAGACTGAGGAGGAGTGCATTGATGAGACTAGCACCGCACCTGCTTCCAGCGCCCCAGCTTCGTCTGCTACGGCCTCATTTGCCCCGGCATCATCTACGACGGCTGCTTCATCAAGCACGGCTGCTTTATCTGCCCCAGCCTCCAGTGGTCCGGCCTCCTCCACGGCTGCTTCTTCGACCGCGGCCTTATCTGCCCCGGCCTCGTCTGCTCCCGCTTCCTCTTCCGCCGCTATCAGCTCTGCGGCCATCTTCGAGTGCGTTGTCTCGACCGTCACCGTGGCCGTGGCTGGTAGCGCCCTCGTGTCAACCGTGACTGAGAGCGCCGCAGTGACAACCGTTACCGTGGCTGGCAGCGCCGCCGTGTCAACCGTCACCGTGGCTGGCAGCGCCGCCGTGTTAACCGTTACCGTGGCTGGCAGCGCCGCCGTGTCAACAGTTACCGTGGCCGGGAGCGCCGCCGTGTCAACAGTCACCGTAGCCGGGAGCGCCGCCGTGTCAACAGTGACTGAGAGTGCTCTCGTGACGACCGTCACTGTGGCTGGCAGCGCTGCCGTGTCAATAGTGACCGAGAGTGCTCTCGTGACAACTGTCACCGTGGCCGGCAGCGCCATCCTGTCAACAGTGACAGTCGACGAGGACGGTCCCTCGGTCACGACTGTCACCGTGGCCGGCAGCGCTGCCGTGTCAACAGTGACCGAGGTTGCTCTCGTGACGACTGTCACCGTAGCTGGCAGCGCCGCCGTGTCAACAGTGTTTGAGAGCGCCGCCGTGATAACCGTCACCGTGGCCGGCAGCGCTGCCGTGACGACTGTCACTGTGGCCAGCGCTGACGTGACAACCGTCACCGTGGCCGGCAGCGCCGTCGTGACCACTGTCACCGAGGTACCTGCTGCGTCAACTGTCACCGAGGTACCGCCTGTGGTGACTGTCACCGAGGTACCATCCGTGACGACTTTCACCGAGGTACCCGCTGTGGTGACAGTCACCCAGGTACCTGCTGCGTCCACTGTCACAGAGGTACCAGCCGCGACGACTGTCACTGAAGTACCGGCCGCGACGACCGTGACTGAAGTGCCAGCCGCGACGACTGTCACTGAGGTACCCGCTGTAGTGACAGTCACCCAGGTACCCGCTGTAGTGACGGTCACCCAGGTACCTGCTGCGTCCACTGTCACAGAGGTACCGGCCGCGACGACTGTGACCGAGGTACCGGCCGCGACGACTGTGACCGAGGTACCCGCTGTAGTGACAGTCACCCAGGTGCCCGCCGCGGTGACAGTCACCCAGGTACCTGCTGCGTCCACTGTCACAGAGGTACCGGCCGCGACGACTGTCACCGAGGTACCCGCTGTAGTGACTGTCACCCAGGTACCCGCCGCGGTGACTGTCACTGAGAGCGCTTCGACCATCACCCAGACTGCCAGTACATCCACCATTACCCAAGTGTCGACATCTGTTTCGGTCACTGTCACGGTGACGACCTCGGTGACGACCTCTGTGTCGACCTCGGTGACGACCTCTGTGTCGACCTCGGTGACAACATCTGTCTCGGTTACGACAGCCAGCGCCGTCACGGTGACCGTGACCGCCAACACGGTGACCACGGTCACGGCGGCGGCCGTTTCCCCAGTCCAAAATGGCAACTTTGAGAGCAACAGCTTCAGCGGATGGGCCGTGCTGTCGCGCGTCGGCAACGGCGACACCGAGTCCGTCATCGCGGGCGGCGTGGGCGGCAAGTACGCGCTCGACATCTTCACCAACTACTTCGCCAGCAACGCCGCGTCGAGCGTGACCGTCGGCCAGACCTTGACGTGCGTCGCCGGCATGAAGTACCGCCTGACCTTCAACTACGCCGTCGTCAGCAGCTACACCAACGGCAACGCCTGGTCCGTCGTCCTTGGCGGCACCACCGTCGTCAGCGGCGCTGGCGCGTCCGTCGCTTGGTCCTCGGCCACCTACACCCACACCTGCGGCGCCACCGCGGCCTCCAACCAGCTCGAGCTGCGCGGCTCGTCCAGCAACTCCCGCCAGGCCCACTTCCAGTTCGACAACTTCGACCTTTACCCGCTCGAAACGCCCAACTAGCCGTGTCGCGAGGTCTGCATGTCAATGGAGGAAGGGTACCAGCATTGTTATAAACAATGCCTGCCATTGACAGAGTCTTATTTTTATTTATGTACCTATTTTAGCGTGAAGCCGGGCAGTACATGCTCAGACCGGCATACACCGATGCATCGAATCATGGTTAGCAATGCATTGGTTATTTTTAATGTGGAAATGAACTAAACAAACCAAGCACCTTCTCTTCGATCCTGCCCTGCTGCGTGTCTGCATGTGACTGACTGACTGGCTGACTAGCTGACTAGCTAACTAGCTGACTAGCTGGGGCGGTGGTGGTTGGTTGACGAAAGTCGTGTCGTATAAGCAAAAAGGCACATCTGAGTGAGATTGGAGTTGGTTGGTCTCTCAAGGGTCAATCTCTCAAGAGTCAGTAAACAACGAATGTCCGTCTCTGGCAGATGCGGCGCAACTCGGAAGAGACGTTTCGGGACCAAGCATGCAAGTGTGTCTCTTTCTCGGCTGTTCTGAAGCTTTACAAACATCGACTCTACAAAGGCTTATTGTAACGGGCGTCTCAATTCGGCAGACGTGTTTTCCCTCTCCAACTTGGTTAAGAAACCTCGCAAAATCCCGCGAGAGTCTATCGTGGAGAGTTCCGCCCCCTTCAAAGCTGAGAAGTTGTCCTATTAACGAACAAGAGAGGTAATGCAACAAGCAAGCTAAGCTGTGTAAAGACATGCGACAGAGTGCAGATGACGCCGTGCCCCCCCAAGAAAGAGGCGCAACAGTCTGGACCGTGGAGCGCTTGCAGGGCACAGCGCATGCAGAACGAGGGTGTTTCAGACGTCAGCGCAGTCATTAAGATCAGCATTGATGGGCGCGACATGACGTTGGGGATTCGTTTCGGCGTCTGCAAACCCCTCGCCGCACGCACTGTTTGCTTGCCTGTTTGATCACAGAGACAAACGAACGCTCAGAGGGGCTCAGTTCGTAAAAAACAGGATAATCTGATTGACAATTTTCCTGCCAACAAGGCAACACCGGACGTACTGGGAGCTGGAGAGTCAGATCTGTTTTGGGAACTTGCGACGGAGCAGGGGAACGCAAACAACAGGTCCACAATAGGGGCAGGGGCATGGGCAGGGGCATGGGCTGGGGCAGGCAGTTGCACGGGCGGATGATCAAGTACCGGGTAAGGCTGCCGGACAAGCATAAACAATGCAATGACGCCTTCAGGAGAACGAGAAAGAGAAAGGCCATTGATCGAAAGTTCAAGTTTGGACCTTGGTATGTCTCATGCGCGGCGCAACGTAAAAAATGTGTCTATAAGGATTCAGTTTCCCAACCCAGCTAACCCACCGATCGTCGCCAAAGCCAAAAATAGCCACAGGCAGAACAAGAATAAACTCCGGGTACATGTATGTATGAAGTAGGTAATAATAATTACTTCCCGCGCTTGACATTAGATATCTATCCCAGCCAAAGACCAAAAAAAAACCGGCCACATTACAGGCGCGTCCCCTTCCTCGTCTTCGTTATGCAACCTCAAGCGTCGGCCTGACCGACCTTCTCCCCATTCTCAAGCTCCCTCCGGATAATTGGTTCCCAGTCCCGAGTCGAATGCCGAACCCCGTCATCCAAAACCAAAGTGCACGAGGCATAGATGGCCAGAGGGGCTCTTGACCAGGCGTTCAAGTCAGCCAGCCACCCCAGTCGTAACCGCAGCGCAAGAAAAGCGCCATGACCAGCCAATAAACTTAGGCCATGAAGGCAACAAGGCCAACGGCGAAAGCCAAAAGGCTGCCACTCTGTACCTGGGCGGCGACGGCGCCGGCGGTGCTAGCAGTGCTGGTGGTGGAAGTCTTGGTGGTCTGGGTGCTGTTGCTACCGCCGCCGGCAGTGACGGTCGGCGGGGGGGTGACGACAGACTGGAGGGTGGTGGAGGTGGAGGAGCCGGTGGCCGCAGAGCTGGTGGACGACGGGCTGGTGGTGACGGAAGAGCCCGAGGCACCGGCCTCAACCTCGAACTGGGCGGACTGGGCCAGGATGCCCGTGTTAAGCTCGGTCACGCTCTCGATGTTGAACTGGTAGGCCGTGTCGTTGGGCACGTTGGCCACCGTCACCGTGACGCTGCCCTTGGTCAGGTCGACCTCGCCCAGGTCCTTGCTGTACGGCGTGTGGCCGCCGGCCTGGTTGACGAGGACCAGGTGAGCCGTCTTGGGATCCGTCGACACGGTCGACCACTTCACCGTCACGCCCTTAGATGGGTCAATGGTGTCATCCTTGGTCGGGGAGGTGATCCTGATGGCCTGCACGCACGCGAAGAGGGCGGCAGCGGAGATGAAGGCGGAACGCATCTTGATTTGGTGGTTTGTTTTATTGGTGGTTGGGTAGATATTAATGTAGAGTTAAAAAGCGGGAAGGTGTGAACGGGTTGAGCGAGCGATTAGCTTTTCTAGAATAACGAGTGACTGAAAAACGAATGGACTCGGCGACGAAGTGAATGAAGAAAGCGTCAAACCAAGAGGAGGGGGGCCGAGTGGTTAAAAAGACAGGAGACGCGGGAGATTGGATGGCGAAGTGGATAGATAATGCACGATGACCGCCCAAAGCTGTGCCCGCTTTTGGGGGGGGAGCAACAGGAGACCGGGTCGCTGGCCCCACTGATCAACACGAAGGCCCAGCAGCAGGGCCAACGAGGTCGGGGCCAGCAGCCGCAACACGAGAAATCTCCACCTTTCTACGTCCACCCTTCTGCGTCCACCTTCTCTTCGCACTGGGTAGCCGCTGAGTGGCGTCACCAGCCGAGGGCAGTTCGTGCTTGGTCATGACCAGGGCCGACAGAAAATTTCCTTGTCGCTGTCACCACCCAAAAAGGGCCCTGAATACGTGTATCTCACCGTAAACCTGGCAGACGGGCCATGACATGCCAAGTTTTCGTCTCTGAGCCAAAAATCGGTAGAACGGAAAAGGTATGACGCCGAACGCTATTGGCATAGAATTTCGCGGGAGGGTTCCAGCGCATAGCCTTGCCCGTGGATACGAGTCAGCGAGCCGGCGACGCTGGGTGTTGTTTTTTCTCGCATGGGGCGGCCTAACGTTAGTGTACTTCCTGCAACGGGCCCTTATCGTTGCCAACCAGACAGGACCACATCATCTCTACCTTGGCATGTTGGAAAGCCTGACAGACTTTCCAGTCAACCAGCGGCGTGCAACAGCACATTTTCGTCAAATCATTGATCAACAGTCACCCCCGATGTGATCAAGGCGTGTTCAACGTCGGGCTGGATGCCCATTTCCGAGCTTGCTTTGCTTGTTGCTGCGGCCGAGGTGTGTGGGGTGGAATGGAGGGGAAAAGTGGGTTCTGCCAGAAAAAGCGAAGACCGACACTTGCTTGCCAGGCCGAAAGCCCGGAAAAGAGCGCCCCCTGGCCGAACATCACATCTTCGTCCTGCCGTCCTGCCGTCGTGTCACAAAACCATGCAGGAAAGCGTTAGCGCAGTCCAGGGGCGCCAATCGGCCTCTGTCTTTTTCGCACTGTCCCGTCGCGCGTCTGCTTGTGTTGTGTTCGTGTTTTGTGGCTTTCTAATCTTCGTCCTTTACTTCGCAGTCCTGTCCAGAAACACACACCTGCAGAAGGCAGGCAGAGAGAGCCTCCCTGCAGCCTGCAGAGCCGACATTTTCAGAATGTCATCATTGGAGCGCCACGAGCGCCACACCGGAAAATTCTGCCTTACGCTCCACTTGCCCACAGGGGCTCGCTCAGCTGGCAATTTTAATCAAGCACAGACCAGCTTCGACAAGCGCCTGGGAATCAGGCTCTCTCTCCGCTCTCTCCTTTAAAGCTCGCGCGATTGCCTCATTCCCGAGGCTTTCTTTCTGATGTTTCGGCTCGCCCTGACGAGTGGACTTTTCGCGGTGGTTCTGGCCGAACCCGACCGAGTCTTGACGCTCGCTTTTTGCGTCTCCCCCCTGTGCACGTTCGCCCGAACAAATCATTCAACCCCGCTTGGTCGGTTACTCCCCGTTGAAACCAGACTCAAAACACGGTCGACGCGTGCGTGCTTCCCTCGGTTGCCCTCGCCATCGCGACCGTTCGCCGGACCCCAAACTAAATGTGACTGCCTGTCACCATACCCAGCCTTGCAATCCTTCGCAGAGTTAGCCCATAGAATCATCGTCTTGTTTGAGACTTTGAGCAAATGCCAAGGTACTAGTGCACGGATGCTAACCCAATAACCCAACCACCCCAAGTGTGGAAAAATCAATTTGCGGTGTGCGGTGCGGAAGACGTGTCTGCCTTGACTTTCCAAAACACGTGCAGTGGCGGTTTTGGAGTATGGAACCATGTCGTCGACCCTGCGGTAGGCAATCATTGACCAGCACGAGCAAGACAACCATTTTTCATTTTGGACGGAATTGGGTTTGGGGGACAGGTGGAACTTGGAGATGTCAACCCACTGGCGTGGTACTGACGGCTGGACATTGTCCTAGCCCGCTGCAGTTCCCACCTCTATGAGATGTTTGGTCTAGTAGAAACGGCCGTGGATACCAACACGAGCTTGGTGGCTTCTCGCGTGCTGTCCCGCTGACGGCCCTGGATATCACGGGTACCGGCACGGCACAGGTATCAGCTTCAATCTCCCAGCGCACTTGTGCCCGTGTCTCGTATCAATAAGCCAACGACGAGACGAGCGTCTCATTCCTGATGAAAGACTGTATTCTGCAAGGCTTTCTCACGAGTCCCATCGAGCCCCGTGTTGTCAGAGACGACTTCTCAGCCGCCGCCGAAGCCGTCTCGGCATCTCCATTGTGCGACAAGTTCCTTCTGTCATGGCTGGTTGAACCAAACATGCAGCTAAGTGAATACGGCAAGTACATATTAAAATTACCCGCAGAATCCACTGTCAGAAAATACCTACAGAGCAACCCTTTCTCCTTCGGGTTAAAAAGCACGCAATCTGTGGCTGTGTTCGTCCCGCCTCTCCAGAACCTCATCAACGGTTGCAAAGCCACAGAACGTGGGGCAGCCATTCTCGAGTCGCCCCTTTGACACTCTCGAGATTCGGTATGGGGGTCAGCTTTGGACAGGCAAAGGCTTTGTCGTCTCTCATGTCCATCATTTCATATATAAATCTACAATTACAAACACCTAGAAAATGTCACCCTCTCGTTAGCGATCAGCGTCGTGGGCATAGACAGGAAGCACAATGAGCCGGTAGCTGCCTCACATATAAGGTACCCGTAAGGTACCTATAATGGACATGAAGGCGGGAAGGGGAGTCGGAGCCTGACGTAATTCTAGCGCCACTACCAAAGGGAGAGAAGTCCAAATAAGGTGAAGGTTCAGGCGTGACAAACTAATCGCTCCCGCCCTCGCCGTTGGATCAACTGACGTAAACTAGACAAAGGTTATTACAAATTTCTAACTACTTATGCGGGACTTTTGACCTGCCCCTCAGCAACAATCCCAAGTCCGATATGATGCTGACTGACCCGCTCACGATGGTGGAAATGCGAGATCGAATAAGCAGAGACAGTGTGTGCCGCTCGGGTGTGCTGAGCAGGGCCGTTATTGTTATCACCATCACAATCTGGGACCCAAAGATAACTCAGTTGGTTATACCAGCTACCTTTCTCGGCACACATTCTTGTTCCAGTATTTTCAATGACAGTTGTGATAAAAAAAGGGTCTGAATTGCACGCTAACATGCATGAAGCACCGTATCCACTAAATCTCTCTTATAACAACAAAATACGACCCGGTTGGAGCTAGTAAATGGCCCTATTCTGCTGGCGAGCAGGTCAATAAGAATGTCTTTTCTGCGATATACGAGGCGTTCAAGTGGGTACGGCGTGGTTGGATCCCTACATTCCAAAAAGCGGCGGCATCTAGGCCATTTACACGGTTGACTGCGCCCTGGCGGTCGAGGACCATCCAGCTATATGTAGTAGCCAACGTCACGTCGAAGATCGCAAGGAAAGCCTTTCAAGTCAGCGCCATTGCCACACGACCAACGAACAAATCCACCAATCAGTATCATCACATTGCAACCAGGAAGACTGAAACAACACAAGGGCTATCTCTAGTATCGCCCGCCTTGACGATGACATGCGAAATCTAGCCAGCACCTATCCACGGCACCAGAAACCTACAGCCGCGTGTTTTCACGGCAGCCAGCAGACGTGGTTACTAGGCTTTGGGCAGGTGAACACTGCGGAGCTTAGCCAAGAGCAGATGGAAATTCTTGAGAAAGGAAAGTGCACCAACACGGAACGCTCGTTCCCAACGTGTGTGGTAAATTCACATGTGTGTCTTTGGCGACGATGGATTTGACGTATGAAAGACTGTAGGAACGAAGGGGACTGCCGGGCGTGATTATAGCAGAGAAAAGGAAGAAAAGGGGGAGAAGGATGTCACACAATTTCGTGCACAGCGTCGATTCTTCACGTATCGCATGGCAATAATGGTTATATCGTGTGACAAAGAAACCTCGATTTCAGTCTCGTGAGTAATGACACAAGAATGGAACAGAAAAGGCCGGACCGAACAAAAATATATCGCTGCGTCTTCAAGCCTTAAAGGCATTCACGAGACCGCAGCGGACGTCTAAAGCAGGACCGAAAGCCTGTCTACAGCCAAATGGAGGAACTTGCAGGTTCGGCGTGAGATCAGCCAAGCCCATTGAGGGCCATTGGGGGAAGTTCATGTCACACAAATCGACAAGCAAAACAAGGTCAAACATGGAATGCATATTCAGGTTTGACGAAACCGAAGGATAGGCTGAGAATTAGCAACCACCCAACACCGTGCATGTACCACCTTGAGGTGATACAAACTATCTCGGTCGTACGGAGTATATAGAGACGAGAAATAGCTTTGGACCACGCGCAGAAGCTTCTCCCAAGAGTCCTTGGACCAGTAAAAAGGAAAATTGCAGTCGGGTTGGCAGTAACCCTTGTATATGAGTCGGACTCGTCCAGCCGAGAGCGTTCCTTGACCCGAGACACCGTAGAAAACAGGAGATGGCGCAAGTGGAATCGCGGGAACAAAGGAAACCATGGGGAAAGGAGCCTAGAGCGACAGGAGAGAGAATAACAAGGGAATCGGGTGACAGGAGCGAAAGGAGACTCTTCTCATGAACATATACGTCAATTACTTTTACAGTCTGCCAGGCGTTGGCGGCAGACTTTTTCCCCACTCGAAGCGCCTACCCGACCCTCAGATAAACCAGCAAACCCCGATGCACCGCCGCTTGAGATCAAAAGGATATGCAGAAAGTTGGGTATTCGCCGTACCAAAAAGTTTTTAGAAAAAAGACGTTTGGAATCCCAAGGACAGATAGTTGCCTCCAGAATGGTCATGTTGACCCCTGCTCGACGATGGGCCGTGATGCTGGTGCCGTATCGAGGACGACAGGAGATGCAGCCCCTTGCATGGGTTTGCCACACCCTGCTTTGCCAGGTTGCCGATCGACCTCTCGCTGCCGTCAAACACGTCGTAGGGGTAGATGATGGACCTGTCGCTGACGAGCTTGCTCTGGTCAAAGGCACCTTTCTCCAGCAGGAGGACCGCGCACCGGAGATAGCGTGCTTCCATGTGGATATCGGACCTGACGTCGGTGCGTTGGATGGCGTACTTGACGAGCTGCAGCGGCGTGTTCCCGCAGTTGTTGAACACGTTGACATCGACCCCGTGGGCGCAGAGGTACTTGACGGCGGCCACGATGCCAAACTCGGCGGCATAGTGCAGTGCCGTGTTTCCTTCCGTGTCACGCGCATTCAGGTTCGCGTCACGATCGCGGTTCGGAGATCTCGCAGAGGCCTTGAGCGTGTTCTCGATCGTGTTCTCGAAATCCCTGTCCAGCGAGTCTCTACCAGACGCGATCCTGTTGAACAACTTCATCAATGGCGTCCGCTTCAGGGAGATGGCGTTGCTGTCGCTGTGGCTCGTGTGGCCATGCTGGGAACCAAGAACCAGGGACGACCTCTCGGAGGCAGGAGTCGACATATCCCTCGTGGAAGGAGGCTTGGAGTCTGAGAATTCGGGGAGGTAGCGCCGGACAAACTCGGCCTCGTCGCCAAAGACACGATGAAGTTTCGGCGATTGCTGCTCGAGGTTCTTGCGGACGCAGTGCCACACCCGCTCGCCATTGGAGGACTTGTGAACGACGAGAAACCGGGCTGTGCCGTAGCCGACTTCGCGGAAGACGTAATGCAGCGCCTCAACCGGGAACTCCTTCCTCGCCACGAGGTGGTGCAAAAAGGTCTGCTTCTCGACGTCGCGCTGACAAAAGTCGAAGCCCCGAGCCCGCAGGCACCGTACCAGGTTGAGAAACGAGACGGGCCTCAGGTGCGGATGGCCTGGCGGGTCATACACGTGAAGGAAGGTCTCACCGCGGTTGTTGACTATCTGGACGTCATCCGTGTGCCGGAGAATTAGCAAGAGAAGAGAGACCCGGGCGCCCCAACGGGCGGCGACGTGAAGCAGCGAGTTGCCGAAGCGGTCGATCATGTTGGCCTCGGAATCGGTGACGGTGAAGTCGCGGAATGAAGCGCCTTCTGACCGCTGGGCGTTGATTGCCCTCGACAGCCGCCCGTGGACACAGGATGGCGAGGAAGAGCCGACAAACGAGGAGCAGCACATCCTGACCAGGGCGGCATTCAGGTCCTCGTCGGTGGGGTTGGAGCTGGTGTACTTGGGGCGAAAGAGACCGTGGGAGGCCTTCCCGGCCCTCCGCGTCTTGTCGTTCTTGTCGGGCTTCTCTTCGAGCAGTGCCAGAAACTCCTCGCGAGTCATCTTGCTGAGCGCGATGTTGACGTCCGACCCGTCGAGGTTCGTGTTGGCGCCCTTGGACGAGGCCGAGGACGACGATCGCGCCAGGCTCGAGATGCCCGAGGAGATGCTCGACAGCACAGAAGCCCACGACCTACGCTTGAATGCCGACTTGACCGAGGGAGACATTGAAGACCTGCTGGGAGACTTGGGTCGGGCGTAGGACTCGGGGGTGGTTGTGGATTCGGACATGACGGTGGCTGTGGGCGGCGTCTGCACATCGGGCTCCTGTTTGATGCTGGTGGCCGTCACGGGGAAGTAGGCGGGATGGTGGTCTAGGGACATGAGATCGCCCAGCGTCTCGGCGTCCATGATATTGAGCGACGGGCTGTGTTCTCTGTTGCGGGCCATCCTGCTCCGCATGCGCCGCTCGGCCCGTACGGACCTCAAGAAGCGGACGCGGACGAGCATGGTGGCCAGGTCGCGGGGCCTCCAGTCATCGATGCGGCGATCGGGAAGCAGGCCCTTGAGGTGCTTGTGCGTGTTGCGCTGTCTAGACACGCCATCTCGAGTCAGCGATTCGGGAACAGTGAAGAGGAAGATGGACGGCGCGCGACGGATGGAGATGAGAGCGGATTGAAGGCGCACCTGGGATCAAAGGAGCCATCTCTGAGCCGCTCGAGAATACGGACGAGCGGCAGGCGTTCGCTCTGGGTGCAGACATAGAGCCGGAGCAGCTTCCTCTGCTTGGCGGGCGGCCACGGCTTCACGCGCCGTCCCCGGCGAGCATTCTTGGCGATCATAGCGCTCCCGGTTGGCGATGAAGTAGTATCCGTCGCCATGACGGCGGCGGTTCCACGGGCTCCTGTGCAGACGTCGGACGGTCGGTGTATGTACGTGAGTGTGCGTGTGCGCGTGCGCGTGCGCGTGCGCGAGCGTGTGCGTACGGGGCGGCGGGTTCGAGTGGCTTGTCCGTCGGGAGCAGCCGGTCACGGTTGGCGGTCGGTCACGGCCGACTCGGAGAGCCGGTGCTGGGTTGATGCTGGTGTTGCTGTTGGTTGCTGTGGCGGTATTGGTGGACCACCGCTTCCGCTTCCACTTCCAATTCCACCGACGTGGTCCGCGAATTGAGCGACCTTCAGACGGACGCACACAACATTCGGAGGCGGCGAGACTGGCGGCACAGATTGACGGCGCGGCTCCAGCGACACGCGACGACGGCCTGCGAGTGACGACGAGGCTTTCGGGAGCGCCGGCCGATTATTAAGGCGACAAACAGACAGGTCAGCTCCTCCAGACGGTCGGTGGAGGCGACCTGGTCAACCTCTGGGTGACGCACTTTCAGGTTGGATCCCGGCGGGGACGGGCCCTTCAAAGGCTTGACAAGGCAATCGAATCGTAGCCCCAGGCTCTGCCAGCGCCAGCGCCAGAGCTTGTCTCGGCTCTGGGGTGCCAGTGCCAGTGGGCTCTCACCCTCTGGGTCGGGCGCCAGGGCCGAGAGGCGGGCACTGACCTTCTGGGTGCAATTTCCACCAAGCCAATCCAGACCCAGTCTTGCGAGATCGAGCGCCTCCCTGCCGCATAGTCACAGTCCGAGCGAAATGGAGCACGAGAGGCTGCACCACTACTAGCACACCACCTTTGGCCTGGGAACACGTTTTGGTGCCTTTTGCTGGCCTGAGTACTTGGTAACTTACGTATTCAATTCATTCCCCAGAGTCCGTGTCCCGGTGGCGCGATCCGTACATTCTCTCTCAATTGGGACCAGGTTTGCAGCTATCGAAAGAGGCGCTGGGTGAGGGGAGAGTTGAAGCAAGACCATGGATGATGGCCTTCGTAGATGGAAGCGAGACGGGACGACGACGGCCGGCGGCCCAGAGCCTTCCTGCCTGCGAAGCAAGGTGGAGGGAAGCTCCGTCAGCACTTTGGGAAAGTGCGCCCGCCGCCATGCACCAACCGACGACCCCGCCGTTGAACGGACGGAAGAGAAATGGAGGGATGGGATGGATGGATTGATGGGAAGTGCAACGGGAGGAGACGCTGGAGCAGCCTGAGGGGCCAGGACGAGTCCTTCAGCCTGATCTGGCCCTCTGATTGGCTACCAGAGTCGTATTGGTGCGCCGCTACTGCTCCCCGCTGCGACACTCGAAACCGGCCCACCGCGAGTCCACACTGAGGTGACTGGATGGAAGCCCAAAAGAAGCTCTGTCTGCCGCAAATTGCAGCTGGCAGCGCCGGATCCCCGCTAACTCATGGCAAGCTTAGCGGCACCAGGTGTCTGGCACAGGGTGACGCCAAGCCTTCCATGGCAAGGCTTTGAAGCATGGAACATTCTGTGAGACGGGAAGAAAAAGGAAAGGAACAGGGAGGGTCGACAAAGGCCGAATGAGCGGTCTTCCCGATCGAGCAAAAGATAAGGGCCTTCCTTACAGGACAGTCCCAGACACGCTTTTGCATCCAACACTGGACCTTTCCCGCCAGCTCAGAAAGGGGAACATGGAATCGAGTCCGCTTCTCCTCTCTTGCATTGTTGCGCTGCACCCAGGACCGTGCAAGTAGGTTGACGCCACAGACAATGTTTCGCAAACACTGTTCAAAAACATGACGCCTCCCTCAGTCGACAGCCGAATCTAGAAAATCCTTTGCAAACGTCAAGGCCGCCTGGATTGGCGAAATCATGTGGTAGCAGCCGGCATATTCTCTGCATATTTCTGAGAGGTCCGACCGCAGCCTTCCTCCACTCAGCTTGCTCGCATCCGCCAGCGCCCAGCTAATCAGGTCGCCTAGTCGAGGAACGGCTCAACTCCGAGCGAAAGCCACCGCGTCGTGCATTACGGCATGCAAACCGTTCCCGTGGTAAATAGAATTCCAGCACGGCCTTCCGGCTCTGGTCTTATCTAGAGCCCTGGGATGGAAACTGCACCAACTCCTCCTGCACAGCACTTGCGACATTTTGTGCCCCTCCCCAGGGGTTATCATAGGGGGCTTACAGAGGAGTGCGCCCGAGTCCGAATTTGCATTGGAACCTGGAAGTCAGCAGACCTCCGAAAAGCCGTGCTGGGATCGGATATGCTTCCGTCGCCCAGAATGCTTCCGTCGCCCAGAATGCGGGCGACAATTACCGTCTAAGCTACATGCAGTTTTGCTGTACTTTTTGATTAATTTGGCCTACAGCCCAATCCCTGAATGGAAAGGTGCGAAAGGCCGTATTGCCCTGGCTGCGCTTTGCTCCAGGCTGCGCTTTGCCCCAGAAGCCTTTGGCTGAGAGGGGCTAGGTCTTAGAAACTCTGGTATACCATCACAGAGGCCGAACCTTCCTAGAAGTGCCTGCTAAAAGCTTGTCTGATATTAATTGACTTGATCCTTTTCTTCCCAAGCACACGCCAACGAACCATCCAAGGATTGGCTGCAGCTTCAGGAAGCCAATCAGAGTGCTGTGGGTGTAAAACCTGGTCCGAGTTGGAGCGATCTGCAGACGGAGGAACCGTTCTGACTCTCTTCGGTCCCTTGAGAACCGCACACCGTCAACATGCGGGCGTCACTGCCTAGCGTACATAGTACTGAGTAGAGCCTCGCGGGACGCGACTTTGGTGCAGCATGCACTGTTCATCTAGAACTGTATGTCTGAGCCCGCCCAATAAATCCCATGCAATGCTCACAGACGGCAACGAACCACGTCACGGCTTCGCGAGAACAGCATGCCACGACGTTACTGCCAAGGCCCCGGAATACTTACCGATTGGACGCACAGGATGCCAATCGCAGAGGCACTGCCGGCGAAAAAGGCCCGTTACCACTTGCTCGTGCCAGCTGGAAGCACAGACTGAACCGGCTCCTTCTCGTCATGGAAGGTAGCAAAATCCTACAAGCAAACTAATGCCAAGGTGGTTGAATTCATGAAGGGCTGAGTTTAAAGTTTGAATACAGATTTATATCCCGATAATCTGGGCTAAAGCGATGTGACAATACTTCTGACGGAGAGTTCCTACAGTTCGTGGGTCCCAATTAACACTAACCAACCAACAGGCTAGATCGAGGACTACCTTGGCACCTCGCCGCAAGCCATACATTTAGTTCAATATGCAAAAGCCCCCGTCGACCGTTAGCTCTCAAGAACCCAAGCAACAGGCAAGCTCAACCTCGACAAAGGAGCCGAAACCTTCCTCCCCGTGTAGCCTCGTCCCGCTGCAAAACAGGGCAACCAGCACACTAGCCATGGCCAGCCCGAAGGAATCCTAATGATACCTTGGGCCATTAAAAATCACATTAGTGAACGCCCGGAGGGGTTACATCCCGTTACTTAGCGTCTGATTGCCTTGGGTTTCGGCTGCCCCTGGCAGATCGACCGTCGACGGTTGAAGGTTGACGGCAAATGCGACTGCGAATGGGACTTGCCGATGGCAACGACCTACCTACCTAGGCAGGTAGGTGCGGCATGCTGGTAAAAAAAAAAAACCACTAATTATCATTGTCCCGAAGCTGAAGGTTTCTTGGTCAGAGTTTAGAAAACCAACGCGAGTGCAGCGAGTGCACCTGCCTCTCCGCTGTCAAACCTGTTGAGTTCCGCAGGCCTTGGTTCAGGACGGACGGCGACGGTTTCGAAGCAGATGGATACGGTTGCATCCCCCCCCTCGACCCAATCTGCGAGTCGGAAATGATCAAATTACACGTGGCTGGACAGCAACTAGCAACTAGCAACCAGCAATCAGCAACCAGCCGGCCAGCCAACAACTCGACACGAAACCCCTTTGACGTCTCAACAAGTACCTAGGTAATTCCCGTCCTTGCGTCTCCCCCCTTTTCATCCCGTTTCTCTCCTCTCAAACACATCCGACGTCCCTCCCGCGGCACTCCAGCTCGTGGTAGCAGTCAGAAAGAAGACGGAGGAAAGCGGCGTCGTCTAGGCGGGCCAGGGAGCCCCTAGCTCTGTTGCAGGGGGGGAGGCAGTTCGTCGACGAGGGCTAGGGCGGCCGTGACGGCGGCGGGGCCGTACGCGTCGGCCTTGTTACTGCGCACGAGCTCGTCGTAGGCGTCGGTGCAGAGGTTCTTGAGCTGCTCGCGCGAGAGAGCCGTCATCTGCTCGGGCCAGCTGGCACCAAGCTGCAGCGGCACGTCGGCGTCGTCGACGGTGCCGCTGCTGGGGAAGCTGTGCGCAAACCGCGACACGCTTACCGCCCGCCGGAAGAACTCGGCCATGACGGGCTCCGTCACCTGGCGCAGCTGGAACACGGCGTCGCACGAGATGCTCAGCTGCGGCTGTCCCGGCGGGTTCAGCGGGACTGACTTTGCGACCTTGGTCTTCTCGGGGGGGCGCGATGAGAACTCGGAGACGGCGGCTGGCGGAGCCGAGGTTGATTTCGAGCGTGTTGCTTGCTGTCGCCGAGTCGTGCCCGCCGTCGCCCGCGTTATACAAGCTGAACTCCAGGATGCCTATCTCGTCGATAATGACGTGCTGCATGCGCGGCTGCCGCAGGTCGCGCTTGAGACCTAGGCTCCCGTCCAGATGCTTGAGCCGCTTGAACGCGCCCTCATTGCGGGAGAGGACGGCCGAGGCCAGATCATTCATTCAGCATGCGGCGTCTCGAGACCATTTCAGTGTATGAATCACTACACCCGCAACGTATTAGATTCCCGTAGACAGGAACCGGGTGCCACAAAGCTCACAATCGGCCGGATCTCGACTAGGGCGCGGCTCTCGGCGGGCACATCGTCTAGGCTGGCCAGCGCTCTCTGCAGCGACTTGAGGGTGGTCCATGCGATCTCGGTTTCCGAGCCGATGAGCCCTAATACCACGTCGCCACTGGACCCAGCGCCGAAGGAGGGGGTGGTAGTCGACTTGACTATGCGCACGACCTCCTCGGCGACGTCGAGAAGGCCGGCGAGCGCCTGTCTAAATCCCAGCGGCACCAGCTGCATTGCGACGGTGGTGATGGTGGTAATGGTGGTGATATGGGGGCCATGGAATCGAGCCGTGACGCAGAGAAAGTGCGAAGCGGTGCTCGACCCGATTGCCTGTGTCAACGGTCCTTTAATCGTCGTTGTAATCCATTCCCCGTCCCAACTTTGATGGGGTCCAAAGACCCCAGCCCCTGCTTCAGCGCTCCGCGTAATCCGCAGTCCAATAAGACACCGCCAAAACGTGCTGGATGCACAAGCTGCTCCCTGCGTGACTGTGCTGTGCCTATTATTAGCCTGCGACGGGCCATCTATTTTGGGTGCTGTTTGGCCTGAGGGAATTATCAATGCGCTTCAGAAAGGGGCAGCCTTGTGAGCGGAAAAGCAAAACCCCGATCAGTCTTCAGATATATACCAGCAGATGGCTAGAGCTAATTGGAACTCGCACCGGCGCTGGTGCCGACAAATACAACAAGAACAGCCGCATACGTCGCCGTCCAGATCAGAGTCTCGGCGTTCGAAGCCCGGACAGCAAAGGACAAGACGACCGCAAAGAACACAACCGCGACGGAAGCCGTCACCAGGCTCTTCATCTGCGACGGGTTGAGCATCGTGATAATCATTGGCATGATGAGGAACACACCACCGGCAAGAGCGACGGTGAAGCGTAAAAGCCTGTCCATGAACTGTGAGACCCGAAGAGGGTATTTGCCCTCGGCGTATTCCCTGCTACGCTGTCTTCTCTCCTCATCCGAATATGCAAGGCGTGCCGGCAGCGAGGTCATGAATGCACGGCGCAGAGGGTCGATCTTCTTGTTGTCGTCTTTGAAGAATGCATAGTGTGACTGGAAGGGATCGTTGAAGTCGCTCTCGGACTGGAAGAAGCGCTGCAGGAGGAGCTTGCGTCTCTTGGTCTCGGAAATGCCGAGGCTCTTCTGCAATCTGAGGCACCGATAGTCGCGGATGGCCGTTGCTGAACACGGGGTCAACTCCCGAGTTTAGCTCACATGTTTTGAGTGCTAGACTAGACCGGCACTGCAACACACAGTTGGTCACAGCGGATGCACTTACCGTACGCCGACATTGTAGATTGTAGCATTTTTAGCTCCCTCCTTGAAGCTTTCCCCTCCTTTTGGATTCGGCTCTTCAACCGCACCAGCCTCGCTTGGAATTGAGTGAGGTTGAGTCGCTGGAGGAACTCGAACCGGAGAAAGTGGAAGTCTTCCTCTTCGTCTAGGGACCGATTGACATACTTGACAAAGTTCTCAATATCCTCACCAGAGAACATGTTGTGGGTTGGAAGAGCCTGATTCTGGTTGAATGTAGTTGCTAGTGATAGCTGAAGATCTGAAGGTTCAAGACCAGGCATCTATTTCACCACTTTGAGCTGTGGCTTGGGCGCTTTGGCATTTTTTGCCCCGGCTCCGACACTGGTGGCTTCAGGTTCCTGTAGTGTGGTAATTAGCCTAACCAAAAAACCCTTCCCCCCCTTTCAGAAGAGACCAATGGTGCTGTAACACGAACTCGAGAAGTGGTGCTAAACCTGTGCACAGCCACCACAAGGCAAACCCAAAATTCAATCGGATCACTTTGTGCCCAAGTCTGAATTCTATTTATTTTCTTCTCCATCCTGCTTTTGGCAGGCAATGGAACCATTCCGGCTTTTTGTTGACGAGAGCTTTCAGTTCAACATCTAGCTACCAAGTACCTACCTAGGTACTTAGAGTCTCGGAGTCTAATTAATTAGGCTAAGAAAACCAGCCTACTGATAGCGTCTACACCAACACACCAACACAACCGGCGAACTTCCACTCAGTGGGGGACCTTTTCACGTGCAGCGATGTGGCCTTTCGGCAAAAAGAAAAAACGAAGCTTGTCACGCTCAGGATCCCAGTCCTCCATGAGCAGTGTCGGGTCGCAGGTATCCGACAAACCAGATAGCTCACTCTACACTACTCTTGGGGCACTGGCTGAGATTCTCTCGAATTTCCGAGGCAGGGCTTGGATTCGTCCCGCCGTAAGGATGGTTCTTAAGGGTTTCGCGCTGAAAGTTTCCTTAGTTTAGTTACATCTGAAAGACCCCCTAACTCTTTAAGATTTGTGTAATTACCCGAATGCTCCTGCCTAGATCCATGCAGTCCACAAACCGCCAAACTGACCCGTCGTAGACGACGAGCAATCACTAGTTATCTTGTTCGACAATGTGAGGGTATTGTTGCGGGAATGGGAACGCGCGCTATTAGACACGAAGCAGGGACAAGAGCTACAATTCTCCCTAGGCTGCAAAAGATTGAGGTAGAATTCAATTTGTGGCAAGACCCCGATCCGTTCTTCGACTTACCTGCGGCTCCGCCTGGAGACTGCGGAGAGAACCCCCTAAGAGCTACCATTACAATATGATTTGATTATTCCAGAGGTAGTGAAGGACATTTCTGTGGGTCATCTTTATTATTTTGCGGTGAATTCCTAATGGTGGCAATTGACTGCCCGCACAGCCACGCTTTTTGAAGGCCAGACTGATTGCACCCCAACGCCCTAAGCCAGTTTCATTTCTTGCTAACAGTTCCTCGTCTTTCAGGCATTCTTTCCGATTTAATACAGGGAAGTTGTATTACAACAAGAGCAGAAGAGACCGAAGTGGAATGCAGAAAGGCTCGAGAGGGGAAGAAATGCGAAAGGGGAAGAAATGCGAAAGGGGAAGGAATGCGAAAGGGGAAGAAATGCGAAAGGGGTGAAAACGGAAAATATTAGCAGAGCGCTGTAGCAACGTTCCTACTGCCCAATAGACCCAGAAATTTGGGTTTCTATCTTTCGGGTCGATAAGGAACGAGGATTGTGATGGTTATCTTGCGCGCGGTGCTAATAATTAGTAATGAGTCTCTCCCGCCCCGCCCACACCTCCTTCTTGTCCTGCTTCGAGGAAGTCTGTTACCTTCGGTGATGAAGCAACTGAGCGTTTCCCATCTCCACTTACCTAACTAGGTATCTGAGGCGGATTTCCAGGTTGTAAATCTTGGTTATGACATCATGTCTCAATTTTACGCCTCCAATTACCGAGGTGACGGTCTTTTTTCGGAGGTCAAACTTTTTTCTGGAACCCACTGCTTTCCATGCCCAACCTTCCTCCCAAGATCAAATGGCTCTTAACACAAAGTACATTCCTAAATGACCAGATCACAACGGAGCGGGAACGCTTTCGTCTAGAAAACACATCGTGGTTTGAACGATTCCGCTGAATAACTTCGTTGAGCGGCTACATCGACTGGGTTAGTTGTTGGCGCGAAGAGAAGGAACACGGTTCTGTAATGGCATATAATGAGCTCGAGAGGCTCCGCGAAGCCTACCAAGATGCCTGGGATTAGCTTCTAGGCGGCTAGCGCAGAAGCATAGGCGGTGGCCTGAAGCTTCGATATAGAGTTCGGGCGCTTAACAGCAAAAAAGTATGCTTGAACTAGGGACAGAGATAAATAGGCGCTCATCACCTGCTGCTAGACACCCGCTGCTTCTAGAATTTGGTTCTGGTTGCTACACCGCCCACAGTCGCAGCCATGTCGGACGAAAAGAGCGGCCATTCCGGGCACGACCACACGTGCGACCACCCTCCTCCCTATGAGTCGGTCCTCCAAGATGGAAAGTCCCCCCAGCAAAACCCCGAACAGAGTGGCCAGGCTGTCAACGGTCACGGCAATCCTATACACAGACACTCAACATGGTGTACGATAAAGCAGAGATGGAGAAAACTGTGGCGCGGGGTGTCTGGCCCGCGCCCGCGACCAAGCTCGCGCCAGCCCGTCCTTCCTGATACCGTCCCCAAGCCTAAGGCTTCGCAGCAAACCAAGGTTGACAAGGCCATCCAGGCAAAACCCACATGGCTCGGGTATAAGAGCCTGACCGACCCCCTTCCCAACGGCCCGGTCAAGACGAAGCCTGTTAAGCCGCGCTTCAAATACCTAATTGAGAGCTTTCACCTGCCTGTCGAAAACCAGTCTAAAAATACGTACAAGGCCGCCCCGTGGGGCATCCATTTTTCCCTGCAGTCCCACAAACTGGAGACTTTGCTGCCTGGCGACATTGCCTGGCGCGAGAACCTCAAGTACTGCTACGAAGACTGCCTGAAACTACGGCGCGACGACAACAGCCGCAAGAACGCCTACATACGACAGCTCGATCTTGAACATGTTGCTGCTCTCAGAAGCGACAGCTGGTCCGTGACCATTTCTGTGTACTCTTACGGGAGTAGCGTCGAGTGGCTCATGAGCCTTTCCTATGTCGACATCGCGGCGCTTATCAGTACAGACACGGCTGTGCGGTACGTTGCCGGCGAGAGCGCGCCTGTCTCCTAACTTCCCAAGTTGTTGGTTTTGCACAGCGCTGACACTCCAAGCAGATGCTTCGGCAAAATGGAGGTTTCAAAGGACCCCCTTCAGGACAGAGCGTTTTTCTATTACAAGTACCTCAAAGAGTGGCGGTGTGGATGCATGAAAAAGGGCCCCGGCGCTGCTGGCCGCAGCCGTTCGACTCTCGGTGGTATCGACAAGTTTCTGGACATCGATAAGCCGGAATTACGGGAGCTCATGGAGAAGCACTTTGAGAAGCACATCCAGATCCCCTTAGCTTAACTTGGCTTAAGCTAAGGGATAGAGGGACGAGGAGCAGAAATGAGTCTTTATGCCACTAGTGGGGCCGCACCTGTACTTCTACTTCATCCCCCTATTGAGGTTATTGGGAAGTGCGTTGGTATGAACAAAACACATTTGCCGGACTACCTAATAAGCTAACATGGTGTCGTTGTCGTCTAGAATCAGTTTCTATGTCTCTAGTATCGTGATCTCAATCATCTCTCTCTTTGATAACCGCCGCGGTGTTCTTCCTTGTCATCGTATATCTCCCGTCTCTCAAACAGCTTGTTGGTTGCTCAGAGCAAACGAGATGCTTTCGCGCTTGTGTCGGCTTCTAGAAACAAATCTATTGTTTGACAAGAACATGGTATTTGTTATCTATTTTTTGTTCATTTCATATGGGTTTGATGCTTACAAACACACAAACCTGGTATGGGTCGACCGCTGCAGTTGTCGGCTGAGCAATTATAACTTTGTTTGCCCAAACAAACCACCAGAATCCCAAACCACACCATTCGACCGCTTTTCGAAGGCGTATTCGAGCTGCGTGATGATGAAGCGATTCCCAAGGTCACTTCGCAGGTATTAGGCGGCTGCTGGTGGGCCGCGCAAAGGAGAACGTTGCAAGCTCATTCTGGAGCGTGAAGGCGGGGAGGTATACGGAGGCAGTGGCACTGGAAAGGCTCGACACAAAGGGAACAATCTATCGTTGGGGTTTGGCTTTGTTCTATATCACGACGAGGTTCATCTCATTATTTGCCCCCTTGTTACTTGTTATTTCGCTTTTGCCACCGAGGTCGACGGATGGATGGAGGGAGGGCCGCCGTATTCCAACCGCGTACAGCTAGGTTGCAACAACAATGACCAGGAAAAAAAAACAAAACGGTTGTTCATCAATGACCATTTGTTCCCCTCTATCTAGCTTTGCATTTTTTAGTTCTTTCGTTGTTCTTGCTATCTATAAAATTTTCTCTTCAGCACGGATATATTCTCCTATCTCCACCATTTCTCTGACAGGGCTTGTGTTCCGACGGCCGCCCTTCGACTTCGATACCATAGAATGAGCTCTGGGTCCGCGGATAAAAGTGTACCTTTGGGCTTACTCTCTGAAAGAATTCCAGTAGTCTCAGCGGTTGGTCTCGCAAAGGCCTGGAACAGTATGTCCACCAAAAGGACGTTGTTCATCGACGAGGCCAGCGAGACCCCTGGAAAGAGGGCCAACGTCTTGTCAGCAGCTCAAGCGGCGTATATGACACGTCGATCACCCCAAAGTCCAAAAATGGGCGGCCGGCTTGAGGCCAAGGACACAGAAACCACCCAAGACATCGGGCATGTGGGTATTGAGGCGCTCTTGGAAGAGATAGAGGCCACACAGCTGTCGTTTCAGCCGCTCGACAACAACGAAGAGCACGAGGGACCCGAAGACGAAAACATCGACGAGGCCATCTTCTTGACTCCACAGGAGAGTCGTGAAGTTGTGTCTTCCACCACCACCACCGCCACCGCCAGATCCCGAAAAGACCTCGGCAATATCGCCAGCATCTTGAACCACACTCAAAGGGTTCTCGACGATATCTTTCGGTCGCTTTCATCACCCCACACGCCTCAAGACCAAGTCGTCAACGGTCCCGAGTGGTATACTCCAGAGCATACTCCTAATGATGTTTTTGTCACTCCCGGGGAACGAAAGGATCAGTCCCCAAAGGCCCTGTCAGCCACAAAGTCACTGCAATCCACAATAATCACCCGCCATAGCGACATCTTTGCTGTACCGCTGCCTCTGCGTCCCCGTGCGGCTGTGAATGATCTCTGGACCAAGGGAACCGACCCAGCCGTGCAGTCCCTGAGGTCTATGAAGGACTTCGCCCAGTACCATAGCCGGCCCAAGGTCCACTTTTTATAGTAGCTCAAGAGAGTGGTGTCGATGCTAGGGAGGGCCAGTTACACGAAGTAATTAGGCTGGTACCTATGTCAGATCTACTAGGAAAATTACACGTGTTTTTTGGCCAAACTGTTGATACTAATTATCGCTTGCTTCTGCTCCATCATCCTGCTTAATGTCCATATTGATGTAATTGCTGAATAAATTAAATCCTAGCGAAATAGCCCATGCTTGCCAGGGCGAGCGAAGAATCTAATTAGAGTGGCTAATGTTAGAGAAAAGACGACCGTATTTTGACACTGTTAATGGATTAATAATAGCTCGTGGGCTTGAAAACGGTTGTCTTGAGTCTAGAATGGTCTGAACCCCTGAGCTCTTATCAACTCCAACCCGACACCTTGCATCACTCAGCCCAATTTCCCAACTTGATTGGGACACGGGATGGCGCCAGGGTAGTCCCACACGCCACCGTTCGTTCTCTGCCAAACAACAGCCCCTGAACATGCTGCCAAGGTTTACTAAGACCTCAGCCCAACGTGCCAAGCCCGCCCCCGATGATTTCTCTCTGGGGTATCCAGTTCGATGGGCCAAGCATGTAATTCGGCACCCATATATTTTTCGCGAGTCCCTCAGACCTCACAGTCCTTCGCTCAAACACGCGATTGCTGCCCAGTGCGATCCGAAGGGCGGCCGCCGGCTCTACCATGCCCCGACACGCTTTTCCCGGCCTCCGGGCGACGTCTCTCACGACCATTGCCAAGCACCTTCTCATCGTCGGACTCGCCGCCGTGCACTCCACCAAAGGTGTTGTGGCCGCGGCCGCGGCCGTGACGAGCGGGCCCGAGGCCCCAGTGTCCATGGGCAAGAGCGACGTCTTCTCGAGCGCACGCAAATGTGCCCAGGGCTGCATCATCTACAGCGGCTGGGCGGCCTGTGGCGTCAACGCTGGATTCAAGGACCTGGGGGTCGCGCTTGACTGCGGATGCTCGCCGACTAACGACTGCTACTGCAGCAAGGATCTGGCCTCCTCGGCCACCGAGTACATCTCGAGCTGCGTCAGCGCCCACTGCACCGGCGTCGTCGACACGTGGCCTGCCGAGGTGACCCGGATGCTGGGCATCTATGACGGCTACTGCGCCACGGCAAACGCCGCCGCCGCCACCACGTCGACGCCTGCCATCACCAGCAGCTCTGGTACCGCCGCCACGACCCAATCCGGCCCAGGGAAGGGCACCACAGCTCTACAGACCTCACCGGCCGGATCGTCAGCGAACCCGACACAAGCGGCGGGCGGGGCTGAGTCGGACAAGAAGGGTCTCAGCCAGTCCGACATTATCGCGCTGGCGGCGAGTTTGGGCGTGGGCGTGCCGAGCCTGCTTATCGCCGCCGCGACGCTGTGGGTGCAGCTGCGGAAGAAGAAGAAGAAGACGACCGCCGGCCAGGCCGACAAGGACTCGTCCACAGAGACAAACATACCCCTCAACGACAATGTGCTGCTGCAGTCTCAGCAGCAGCCCCCACCATACGTCGGCGAGATGGCCGCCGAGCCCGATGAGGATTACTACAGAGATAACGCATATAGACGGGGTTTCTAAGTAGTCAATGACTGTCTTGGTTTTATGTTTGATTTTGGGGAGGTTGTGCGCAAAAGGGGGTTGGGGGCCTGGTTTTGAGGAGTTGAGACAGTAAGTAAACACCAACCAGATATGGCGCACTTGGGTCCAGGGGTTGGAAGGTTGGAAGTATTTAGGACAGAAAAAACACTTGCCCAGTCCCAGTAACACAACTTACGTCTCGTTGTTTCTTTGTATGGATGACTGCTACTGGGGGTTTTCTTGCTGTTGAAACTTGAACGAAAAGAGGTCGCATCGGATCGGCGAGAGACTTTTTGTGGTAATCAAGAAAACCTGGCCGATGCCCCACGCCCTAGTGGCGACGACGGTGACTCCTTCCATTCCGCCGATTTTTGACTGGGCTTGCGTTGCGGTCGGCAGAAGCCCCCGTTGTTGCTCGTTGCCGGCGACCCGGGGCGGGTATGTCGGCCGCTCCACTATAAGCCCGAGGTGGTCCATGGACTTCCAGTGATGCTCTAGGAACAAAGACGTTGAAACGACGTTTCGGTGTTTGTGTTGGCCCCGATGTTTCGTCACGAAGTGAATCAAGGCCGCATCCTCGCTTTTGTGCATGTCACCCCCGGGTCCGGATTGAATTAATTAATTGTGCCGCATACACCGAGCTGCCCCGAAACGCGGCCTTGCGTGGCCCGTTTTAGGTGCCTGCCTGGCCAAGGCTGTAAAGACCAAACTCGGATTATTGTTTCTCTCAACTATGTAACCAAGGTAGTCAGCCAACGTTCGTTCAGAGTTTGGCGGGTGGACCCAAATGGCAGCGTAGCTCGCTTGCCAGCCGCTGATAACACGGAGCACACGGCCGTGATCAGACCTTCTGAAATTATAAACATCTAGTAGAAGCTACGCCTCTCTTGGCTCAATAGAAGTCTTCATTTCAAACCAAAGGGAAGAACTCCTCTAAAGCATACCGATGAATTCCCCGATTGGTTTCCAGCAAACCCGTGACCATGAGCGGGTCAAACTCCGTCTGGGATCTTCTGGACAAAGTCTTCAGTACCTACAACGAAGCTCGGGATGCATTCAATGTATCGCTTTCAAAGGAAAGAGAGGCTGCAAAAAAGGACAACGGCTGCCGCTGAAGAAAAAATCCAAAAATGGCTAGCCAACAGTATGAAATAGCGACGGGTACGCGTCGAAAGGCCTGCGAGAGAGCCGACAGGAACGAGGAAAACCTGTCTGGGGGCCTGAGAAATAAAAAGGGTCCGTCCTCTGACAGCGACGTCAAGCTCTACAATCAAACAAAGCAAGACAAGGACGCGACAGCCAAACCTAGGTGGAAGACCAAGAAAGTTCTCGACTAATTAAGCCGAAGCTGAACATAAGCTAGAGCTCGAAACCGCACAAAAGGCTGTCGCCTAGGCTCAAGAGAAGGAAAGAAAACTTATTGATCAAGCGTTCCTTCAAAGTCTCCACCAGTGGTATGGGTATGAATTCTCAGCCGAGGCAAAACCACATTCAATTTGGCAGAAGCAGCTCTGTGGAATAGATGTGGAGAGCCTGGTGCTTGTGGGCAGAAAGATAAGCGACGAGTGTGGAAAGTCGGAAGAAGCTCTACCGAATCCCTGGGCCCTCTTGTTTATACTGAAGAGCGCGTGGACGAGCAACGAGGCGAGGACGGAGAAAGGGTAGTGGTACAGCTGGAGGTGTTGGATGACTCGAATGCTCGGTGCTCCTTCACTAGCGATAGCAACGTGGCACATGAGGGGTTCATGGCGCGACTCAGATTCCCCCGACTAGGAGAGGGACTCCGGTTTGAAGAGCATAAGTTCACGCAGAGAGTGGAAATCGAAACAAGTGGCTCGTTCGGAGAAATGCTCGCCGTCCTCGCAACGGCCGATTCAGGGCCGTGCAGACCCTCCAGACTCTATTATATGCTGGACTCCAAACGGCTTAGAGCCCAGCAGTAGATCCTGGATACTGTTCGGATCCTGGCTGATGAGACCCAAAGGATACGTGCGGAAGACTCAACAAAAAAGTCTCTTGTTACACGAAAACCTGCCGAAAAGATATTGGAGGTCGAGGAAGCTTTCAAATACGTCCAAACGCTGTGGCTGACTAGTAGCGAATGGAAGGCTTTGGAGACCGGGAGAGGTGTTGATGCATCTGCGTTGAGGAACCTGAAATGAAGGAAACAAAGAGACAAATAAATGACGAGAAAAAGGTGCTTATTGGAATTAATCGGGGATGTCAATCCTCGGACGTTATCAGTGTATGAGAAGTAATGGGTATAAGCCATTTCGCTTCGGGAATAGATCTAACTACCTACCTAGGTACCTATGGAAGTCGGGAACTAAGCTCGTCGGCTTTTCTAGTGCGTGCTTGGATGCAATTAATCCATACTTCCCCTAAGACTTGGATAGAACCCCTGACGTCGTGTACGATCATGAGTTGCCCACGGGCGAATCGGACGGGTTCGAGAGACTTCAAGCAGGTATTGCACCGTGAAATCTCGCAGCTTCCAGCTGCTCTGAGAGAATAGGGGATACTTCTCGGTGTGTAAATTAATCATGCAAGTTCCCACCCAGATCACGAGAGTCTGTTTGCTGCATGAAATTAAAGATCCCGAGTTATCTGACAGGTCGCATTCCAAATATATAACTACATACCTATGGCGACGCCATGACTATAATAAACACGCGGTATTGGTGTCATGGCATCACATCCGGGTGCGCTGGTTGTAGTGATGCGGCTATGCCAATCGCCTGTCCACGAGGAACACAGAGAGCCTATGGCATTCTCTCTCCGGGCTGTCCAAGTCGTGCACCCCGGCGCCAATGTTTTCTGCCTCATCATGCGGGAGTGGACGGCCTCACAGCCTGGTGCTACGGGTTGGCAAATAGGCCGCAAGACAGGGCTGTTCGTGGACAAGGCACCTGAGCCAACCACCTCGCCTTTGTATTTTCCAAGAGCCGACCGACCCCGCGGCGACACGCGTTGCGAGGCGTTTGCGCCCAATTTCTCTGGTTGGGTTCCCTTTTCGTGGCGATTGTGATATGTCACTACGTCGCCACCGACCTCTCACAAAACGAGCGATCTCGGTGATGGGTTTTGGGCTTTCAGAGACTTGAGTTGACCCTGGCTACACGCCAGGTGGCTGCATGCGTGCATTTCCAAAACACAATTTGCAATTTGCTGGTGTGACAGCCGGGCTGTGGCTGGGCGGCAGGCGGCTTTGTTGGCAGCCTCTCCGCGCACTACTTTTTACACAAGTACAGGTTGCGGACCAGGCTGCAAATCGGTTGGCTGCTTGGATGGGCTGGGCTCGCATATGTGCGTGCTTCACAAAGGCAGACCACGAGGCCGTCAAGGCAACACCAGTGTCCTACCGAAGTTTAGCAGCTGCGCAATGCAGATAAAGATGTGCAAGACCCTGACCATGTTTGACCCCATCTCCATCCTGTTCAAGCCCAGGCCGCGACTAGGTGTCAACTGATATACGCACACATGCAGAAATACAAAGGAAAAGGACATACGCTGTTCCGACCAAATAAAAGACAGACAACATGGCTTACGTCGCCCGGAAACCCGCGTGGCACCCGAATATTGACCTCAACGTCAGCAAAAACAGCAGAAGCCCCTGCGGACACCTCTTCAACAACTCGCCGTGTATCACGCCTGGCTGCAACTTCTCTCACGACGCCTGGCTGGTCCGGCGATGGCAGGACAGGCCCCAGCGGCCGTGTCATAAAGGGGGGACGTGCCCACACCTCCAGGCTGGATGCTGTCTCTACTACCACCCCAAGAGTCACTTACGTCACCGGGACAACGCCGTCACCACGGGCCTGGCTTCGGAGCCGCTGGAAGTGCTGCCGCTCAACACCCTAGTTGCCGGAAAGCCGGTCAGCATGGAGGATAAGGGTGATTTGGCCAGCTTCAACAAGCTTAGCGATGGGGAAATTGTCGTTCCGGGTACGTATGCCCCTGCCCTTCCGTTTTAATATCCCCGAGACAGATTTGCTGACAAACACAAAGGCTCTCCGCCCTTCTTCTCACCCCTAACCCACGCGGTGGAAGTCAAGCTCGACTCACAAAACCGGGAGTTGCAGCCCGGGTATCCGCACTACGCGCACGCCTTCGAACCGCTGCTGCGGTCCGTCGAGACCATGGCGCCGGGGTTCAACGTGCTCGAGGCGGCTGAGATTGTCAGCAACGCGAGCAACCTGCGCAAGATGTTCCACACCTTCAGCAACCAGAAGCGACTGACGGAGCGCTTCGACCTAGAGTGGCGGCACAACACGCTGTTCATGTCCAAGTGGACGGGCGATCCGTCGCTGCGGTCGAGCCTGGGCCACGGTGCGGGCTTCGAAAAGGAGACGTGCCGCTACGGGCCCGACGACGACGACATGCTGCGCCGCAGCGCCAGCCACCACCGCGTCGTACGCTACCGCTTCGCCGGGCTCGAGCTGGTCGTGCAGTCCGAGGTCGACGCCTACTACTGCGAGTGCGTCCACCCGACAACCTTCGCCCCGCGGCCCATCCCGGCCGGCAGCCCCAACACCAGACTCGCAGCCGACAGCGGCATGAAGGGGCCGTGGCGGCGCCTCTCACCGCTAACTACGCCCTCCTCGTCGCCCCCGTCGCCCGGCTGGTTCTCACCAACATCACGCAACAGCTTCTCCCGCCACTCGCCCCCAAGCCCCACCACTTTCACCGCCCCACCATCACCACCACTGCCGCCACCATCACCAACAACAACCCCCCCACCCTCGCCCCCACGGCAAGGACGCTTCTCGTTCCTCGCGCTGGCGCTCGACGACCCCGGCGACAGCCCATCCTACACGGCGCTGCAGGCATCAATCCCACACCTGCGGCTGCCAGCGTCGTCGCCGACGCTGCTCACGCACCGGTGGCACGGGCGCGACGTGCCGTCGGCGTGCCTGCTCGAGGTCAAGACGCACCGGGCCAGCAACGAGCCCATGTTCGCGCCCGAGGCGCAGCTGTACTTCAGCCGGCGGCGGCTGCTGTACGTGGCGCAGCACCGCGCGGGCGTGTTCGTGCCGGGCCCCACGAGCGCCGTGCTGCACGACTATGGTGTTGATGGCGGGCTGGAGCGCTGGGAGCGCCGTGCCGAGAACCAGGCCGTGCTGGGGCGGCTCGCGGCGCTGTTGCGCTTGTTGAGGGAGCGTGTCGGTGTGATGGCGGAGGAGAGGCCGGGTGTCAGGGTTAGTTTGGTGTGCGAGGCTGATGGCTCGGGCGATGAGGGTGGAGTCAGCGCCGCGCTGTATTTGCGCACTGATGGCGTGAGCTTGCTGCCGGATACCGTGTAGGAGTGGACCCAGGAAGCGTGCGGAGCTGCTGCCTTTTTTAGTTTGGGGTGTCGGGTGTTGGGGTCGTGGATATCCGTGAAGGTTGGAGTGATGCAAAGTAAGGTTTTTTGGTCGCTGGTCACTGAGGCTGAACGTTCAATGACAAGACGCGGGACGTGTGTATTTTAGCCAGCTGCCCGAACTGTAACGTTAAGAAAACACAACGTTTTGAAGAGAGCGAGGGCCAAGGCAGGGAACGGCGCGTGACATGTCCAGTTCACGGACGTCGTGGGGAAGGAGCTTAGGTGGTGCGAGAGGAGCGACAGGCTCTGACGTGAGAGCACGAGAACTCAAGTGGTCGTCGACAAGGCCAGGCGTTCCTTCCGTCCCTCATCACCATCTCACTAAAGTTCCTTCCACTTTGGAGTTAGCGGGACCCCGTCGTGTTTTCTACAAGGCAGTGACACTCTGTTAGTGAAGCTTAATTTATTGCTGTGAAAGTTGATCGATCGACTAGCCATCTTAACAACGGTTGCACCCAAGTAACTTTCCCGCTGAGTTTTAGGCCACCCTGCGCGCAAGTGCTAGTCACATCGTTGACGCAGCATAGAAAAATGGAAACTCCAAAATGGAAACTCCAAAATGGAACAGAAAACAAAACATAAATCTCCGTGCAAAATTACATGGGCACCCTACACTAGACATAATTTCAACTAAAATTTTAGACACTGGCTTTTGAAGCACTGCGCTTCTGACGGGGTGGCGAGCGCACCTTGCCCCATGCGTCTGTTTAATTTGAATGATTACTACCTCGTCTACTCTGAACTGCTCCCCTCTCTGCTAATTCTCTTCTCGCCTTCAGCAGACACTTCCTCAGTCCATCTGTCCAGACTCGGAAGTATCCTCCCATGAGATATTCTCAACCGACAACAAGACATCGCCCGGCAGACGGCATGCTTGCGTTACACCATTAGTGCCATTTTGAGCTACGCAGACCTCGGCGGGAAGGTCTCCGATCACTGTAGCATCAAACAGAACTCTAAGCCATGACAGAACGTGTCAGTTTGTCCTGTTCTTAAGCGGAGTCTGAAGGGTATGCTTCTAGGGGTCAAGAGCCTGGATAAGGCACTCCCGGACTGGCACTTACGGGCTATCCGGATTCTTGCCGTCGCAGTACCAGTCGAAGCGAAAGCCAATCCTGTTGTCGAATTTCTCTATCAGGTACTGGCACCTGGCCAGCTGTGGCGGCAGCGGGGCGTCATCGCCGGGGAAACAGATGGACCACACGCCGCCGCCCAAGGAAATGGGGATGTGGTACAGCCGGTACGTGTCGCCCGTGCCCGGATTCTCCACCGCGAGGGTCCCACGCAGATGTGTCGTGTTGTCGGCGCTGACGACCGTCTCGACCAGGTACTCCCGGAGGATAAAGTCGGTGACGTTAGTAAACGAATCGGCAGTGCAGTTCCGACTTTGCGTCTCGCGTCGAGCTGTGCTGGGTGACCTGTCGTCGTACTGGTGATTCCATACTGCTGGCGATGCCCCGGCCCGGAAGCCAAGGAGCAAGCCCAGGAGGGAGGTGGCGAGGAGCACCATCGCGATTCCAAAAGTGAATGATGTAATGGATTTTCACTGTCTCACATACTCGGTAGCTTGACAGGTAATTTGGGTTGGGGATTGGGGCTCCTGGGCGCTGGTGCATTCTTCAATGTTTGGTTGCTGCACCGATTGAGATTCTGGCATGTGCCGACGGACGTAAAGTGGTGCAATATAGCCCTGATGAAATATACATATAGCCGCCACCACGCAGCTTGGCCCTCCCGCTCCAGCCTCACCTCCGGCTACTTCGGCAATATTAAAAAGGGGAAATCGAAGCAGCCAACGTGCGGGAACAAGGCGAGATAAGCGGAACGAGAACTAAAACCTGGCGGGACATTTTGACCCGTGTATTGACATTGCGTTACTCGCCAATTCTGCGGGCCGGGCTGAGACTAGAAGTGGCCTTTAAGTTACCCAGCTCACCATCCTCTACAAACACGCGATGATATATGTGATATCTCGTCTACTCACGGAGGCTCTGCTCAGCGAGGGACTTCCGCAGTCAGATTTATCATAAAAGTGAAAGGGCTTATAATACCTAGTGATACGTAATTATATGCTAAAAGTGAATAACGTGTTTGATAAGCGAGTGGCAGTGACAAGCGAGTGGCAGTGACAAGCGAGTGGCAGTTCTCACTACCTCATTACAACTACCGAACGAGATACTAATACTGCAAAGGAAATAATTAACTAAAACTACTCAGAATCTGATTCCTCATCCATTTCGTATCTTCCTGGCACGTACGAGAGTTGTGTCCTATTTTGCCGCAATTGCTGCAGTGCCTTAAACCTGTTGCGTTGCTCCTCGCACGACCACCCCTCGATCGCTTTTCCTCCTCTATCAATGCGTGCGCATCCCTTTCGGCCAAAATATCGCTCGCATCCTGCATAGTTAATGGTCCTCCTACCCGGATACGACTTTTTTTTTTTAGCTCTCCGGCGTTTGCTTAAAGCTGTATTTGCTTCCTCAAGCTCTCGTACCCGCGCTTTCATCAACACCATCTCGTGCATAACCTTTGTCGTACCCTTTACAATCTGATCAAGTGCCTCAAGAATTGGAGTTGGTGAGCTACCTTGATGTCTGGTAATAGATCCTTGATGTGTGTTGATTGTAGAGAGGCCTCGGTAGCATTTCGTGGCGTTTGAGAGACCCAGCTGTCGTACGAGACCTCGGGGGGGCTAGTCGGTGTCGGCGTACGAAGCTTGATATCCAGCTGGGAAATCACCTTTTCTGGGTCGAACGGAACAAGGCCTGCCCCTCGAAAACCTCCTTTTACGTTTTCAGGTTCAAATGTTGCTTGGAATGCGTTGAAGAAGGCGAGGAAGAAGTCGGGCTTGGTGATATGGTGAATATGGTTGCGCATCAACTTCTCAATTTCCTTGCCGTAGAACCACTTTAATATACGAAAACACCCAATATCAAGGGGCTGAAGTAGATGAGATGAGTGCGGAGGCATGCAAAGTGTAATAATGTTATTTTCTTTGCAGTAATCCTCAAATTCGGCCGAGTGGTGGCTCTCATGCCCATCCAGAATTAGGAGTCTCTTTCCACCTATCGTACGATGGCGAGAATGTTGTTCAAAGTGTTTGATCCAGTCAAGACCAATCTGGTTATTCGTCCATCCAGTTTCTGAGAGATCAATTGTCCACTCGGGTGGGAAAAGGCTGTTGCGATACCAACTTTCGAGGTGGACTTTACCCGCAACCACCACGTACGGAGGGATAGTATCACCACCCGACCGTACGGCCTGAATCACCGTAGCCCATTCCCGATTACCAGGCTGGATCTTCTTCACCCTCGCACGGCCTTCGGACGAGGTAACAACAAGGGTTGGTGAGATCTGGCCCATCATGAACCCAGTCTCGTCAAAGTTCCAGATATCCGACTCGAGGATCCCATATTTCGCGATTGTATTGCGAACAAGGTTAAACCACGCGCTAATTATCTTCGGATCTTCGCATTTGGCTCTCTGGTAGTCGTACGGACGCGTCCAACGCGTCCGGAGCTCTGGCTGTCGTCGTACAAAGTTTAAAGCCCAACGCTTTCCGACGCGTGACGCGTCACGCGACGCGCGTAGCAAGTTGGCCATATCTTCCACCATATCGTATCCAGGCGAAAATCCTTGCTCGTATAGGTTGAGAACCCTTCGTACGATAACCTCCTCTTCAAGAGGGTCTAGTTTCCGAGAGTTGGCGACGGTATCTGCTCGAGAGGAGATTCCCTTATATCGCCGCTTGAGTGTGTTGTAGGGTACCGAATAAGCCTTTGCAGCCGTCCAGAGATTGAGTTCCTCATCGCGCTCCATAGCTTGGAGGGCAAGGATGATTTGCGCTTCATTTCGTACGATAGGCATATTGTGTTGTGAAATTAAATCGTGATGTTGCGCAAGAGGTGAAATTGGTGAGGTGGAGCTGCCACTCGCTTGTCACTGCCACTCGCTTATCAAACACGTTATAGGTATTTATTACGGTATAGTAAAAAGTCAAATGATTGAACCGCTGATAGAGTTATAATTGCTACCGTGGAATTGACGACAAGTCACTGGTATTCATTGACAGCAGCCTAGGCTAGCTTCGAGCATGAACTCAGAGACCTCTCACGGCACTAAGCTAGCTGATTACAACACTGCGGCAACTTTGCGCGAGGCACCGCCACAGCTCAGAACCACAGTGTCGCGACATCAACAGATCGCGGCACTAATTATGACGTCAGCGGCCCAGACTGGCAGTCCGAGAAGTCTGAGCCGGGACCAATCTTGTCTTGGCCCGGCCGCGTTCCGTACCGAAAACGCGCTTGGCAATCGCCGCCAATCTCGAACAGAATATGGAAATTGACGGGTAGAGGAATCGCCAGTCTGGAACAATCTTGTGGCGTGGCTCACCACATCACCGAGTTGAGGTCATCGTTAGTAGTTAATCACGCGACAGCATTGTCGATTCGCGTTCGGGCGGCCGCCGTTGGGAGAATTGCGATATGGTCGGTGGAATATGATGTCACATTGCTGGTATAGATGCCGATTGGGTACTTACAGCCGCGTCGACTGAGAACAAGGTGAGTTGCGCTGACGGTGAATGAGCCCAGTCGCAGGGCACCAGGTCATTGAACACGGGCAATCTGTTACAATGAACTTCAACCAAGCAGTAAGAACGAACAAACCCCCTTTACTCAAAACTCCCAGGCGCCAGAACAAGTAATAGGCACCCACGGAAAGCAGATCGTAGCCCCTAAACCACCAGACGGCCCAATAAAGCAGGCCTGGCTAGTACGTGATGCTTGACGCCTTTCGGAGAAGCGATTGTCGTGTTCCTCGACGATGTTCCCAAAGACCCACCTGCCCACGTCCTCGCGGGAGATGCTGTAGCCGATCTCGCGGCTGTCGACGGTGCCAGCCAGACGATCCTCAACGCCAACGCGGATGGGGCGGCCGGTCTCTGGGCCGTCAGTGAGGAAGCTGGGGCGGAGGATGGTCCAGCGCTCGGTGGACGCGACGAGCGTCTTCTCCATGGCGCGCTTGTCGACGTGCGGCACGCCGAGGAAGAAGTGGTACAGCGGCGCGACGGCGAGGGGCACTTCGCAGCCCGTTTCGGTGACGCCCGTGGTACTGAAGGCCACCATGCGCGGGTATTGCTTGTGCTCGGCCGACTGCTGGGCACGGTATAGGTCGAGCGCCTCCAGAAGCCGCGCTATGGCCGTCTCGCACACCTTGGGGTCGGGTATAGTCCGGCACCACAGGTCCAAAGCGCCGCCAATGCAGAACACGACCAGGCCGACGAGCATAGGCGGGCTGGATGGACTGCTGCTAGGGAGAACGAGACAGCGCGTCAGGTCCTCGACCTCGTGCGCGTTGCCTTGCTCGATACGCAGGGCTAGGTCTTTCTGCTCGGCTTTGCTAAGCTTAGCTTTCAGGCTGGAAGGCGTGCGACAGAGGGCAATGCAGGTGTGACTAGCGGCGAGACTGCGGCGCAGGACTGCTGGGCCGGAGGCGCCTGTTGCGCCAAGGAACAGGATGGTCTTGGGAGCAGTCGACATTGTGTTTTGTGTCGGTGTGGACGTCTGTTCGAGAGTAATTTGTCGGATGTGAGGTTGAGATCAGCCTGATTGATACGACGAGGGACAATTGGGGGTATTTATTCAGGGTGGTGTCTATGTCGCGGTGGGAGACGATCTGGTCTGTGTTGGGGCCATCGTCGGCTAGAGAAGGAGGCGCGCCTAGCCCTGCTATGCGCATCCTTAATCCGACACCTATACGCCGCAGCTAAGCGAAGGTCTCGGGTCGAGCTGCGGGCTTGTAATCGGTTTTCCGAACGGCGCGAGTGGTTGGGCGCAATCGTCGTTGTTGCCGGAGCGCGTAATCCGTATTTTGTGGTGGAATAACAAGTAGGGAGCTTGCTTGCAAAGCTTGGCGTCATCCGCTACACCCTAACCCTGCTGCTGTGGCGCAAAAGCCGCCTCAGCCACCCGTCTGTGGCTTTCCCTCGTCTCCGCGTTAGCCATGTTGACATCGACACAGTCAACTCTGATAATCTAGCAACAGGCTAAAACTGGTTGCAGGTGACAAGGGAGACAGATTCATCGAGCTCTAGTTAATTCAAGCAAAACGTCTACAACTGTGATCGTGAGAGGTACGTTGGAATTTCCTGGTCACTAGCTTCAAACTCCTCGACGCCTGAAATAAACAAAGTCCGGGAAACTTGGCAGCTAATTTGGTACTTTGCTTTCTCTGCAAAACTCGCCCCCTCTCTCGTGGGAAATTCCCTGGCACTGGCGCAATTGTAGCACCTTAAGTGGCTAGGTAGCTTGCTGCTTCGAGGAACTGAAGCTTTGATGGCCGGTATGCTGATTTCTGGTCGACCAATACACGCAAGATCTCACAGAGAAGGGACCATTAAACATTTCCGGCAAGGAGCCATTGGCAGCCGAGTTGAATCCTAATTGTTCAAATACTCAAAGGCTCGATGTTGTATTAAAATCTACATGAACGTTCGATAACTGAGGGCTCCGAAGAGACGCGTACCAGGTGCTTCCTCCTGAAGACGACGCTCAGCTCCAATCCTGATTCAGCCTCTGGTGGTGCCGTCAAGAGCACCGGGAGCACCGGGAGCACCGGGAGCGCCGAGACCAAGTCCGCCCGATTAGCTCTTCACTTCAACTAGCTCCGGTTGGCCCCGACGTCAAATTGAGCGTCTGTTTCCGCCGTCAGAGGTGTCTGAGGCTCCGAGTCCGCTTCCGCCGCGTCTGTCGCTTCGGTGTTGTTCTCTATATTTGGGCCCAGATCGCCATTGACCCCAGCTCCAGGTCCCATTTCCGCTCTCGAATACATCGGCAATTCCAGGGACATCTCCACTCGCTCGCTTGGGGGCTCTTCACCCGTAACTCGCTGAATTCCTAACAGAATTCGACGCAGTTCCACGACAAGCAAGATATGCTAGGATGTTCGTTGCCAGACGACTAGCCGAAGCCGCTAGGCACGTCAAAAATATCTTGATCATGATTTTCTCTGGTATCATATCTGTATCCATGGTGGGGATGCTGTGTTCGATGTCGCCGTAGTATTGCGCTGTGTTCATATAACTGACTACAGAGAGCGTGTTTCCAAGCGCTGCCGACCCTGGGGCGAGATCCTTTGGCGGCATGACACCCTGCCAGGCACTCGTGCCAGAGGAATTCAGATTGCAGTCGGTTGCGATTTCCTCGACAGTCCAGCTTGCCAGTGCCATAGCCCTGATGCGTTTCAATAGTGCCTCGCTTGAGTCGCGCTCGCGGGCCGGTCTTGGCTTTTGCTTTCCTGACATTACCCAAGTTAATTAGCCTCCAGAAACGTGAAGAGCAACAGTCGAGGGAAGTTCAGCCATAACGGAACGAGTATAGCTTTTATGTCACTTACCGACCCGCCCGCCCTTCACTCTACGGTAGCGCCGTGATAGATCCCCACGCTGCCTGCGCACTTTGTTGATCTCGCACATCAAAACGAGTCCAGTGGTTTGTGCAAGCTGCTCGATCCAGAGGTTAACCTTTATACACATGGCTGTGTAACAGCCTAGGATTGAGCAGGGGAGGGTGTTTGACTGGGGCGACGAGTCGCGTATCAGGACAAGCTGCTTGATCGCATCCATTGAGGCTGTCGGCGTGAGGAATTCGATGGTGTGGGTAGTCGGTGCTCTCGTGCGGAAGTGCCAAAATGAGGGTATCCTGGAGAGAGATGGGAATTAGACGACGAGAGGACGAGTTGTGGGTGACAATAGCTGACGCAGATACTTATCCCGAGTCAAAAAAAGTTATTCGGAAAAAGATTTGCGTGCGTCCCTCTCCGGCCTAAAGGCAACCATTGCGGAACTTTTGGGGAAAAATATAGATATTAGGGTTGTGTGCATTTTTCAGCCGTTGAGAACTGTGTAACCATCTACCGGTGCATTACCGGAATACTGGAGCAACCATTCTCTTTAGGTTTTTTTTTCTTGACTGTTCAAGGAAATCTTGGCAAAGTAACGTGGTTTATGCCATTGACATGAGGCAAACATTTCCAAGGCAAATGAGAGTGTGCGTTTAAGTTGAAACCGAATTAGGAGCGGTGTTTGGCCACTGCTGCATATGGGTGTGTCAACAAGTGATTGAAGCTACCTATAATTCCTTCAAATAATGAGATCAGTCTTTAGGAAACCATCTTAAATTACCAAAGTAACCAAAGATCTGGCGGACCTATCTTGAAAATATCGAGTCTAATTCTAATTATAAGATCGATTAATACCGGGTTCTCTTCTTCATGTCCTACGGTAGGCCTTTTCCCTCTTAGATAGCTTTAAGTTAACTAACCCAGATTTGGCCAGGCCCTACATTTGGCCCATGCGCAAGCCACCATGCACTTACACCAAGGGTGATTGACCGATTTTTCTTCATCACACCACAACTTCCTCAAAACAAGACCAAATTCTTCCATTTCTTGGTTAATCGAGAGCTCAATCAATCCTCTATTTACCATGCCTGAATACGACGAATTGGAGATGCTGACCGCGATGAAGTTTGTGCGAGACGGCAGCAGTGTGCGTCAGGCGGCAGCAAAATATTGTGTGCCGAGGAGTACACTTCGGCGCCGGCTGGCCGGCACAAAAGCCCGTTGCATTGCGTTTGAACACATGCAGACTCTAGATAAGCCTGTGGAAGAGCGTTTGACCGAGTGGATCGTCATGCAGGGTGCCCTCGGCCTGCCTCCTACGCATGCGCAGGTTAGGGAATTCGCCCGCCGGCTGGCCCGGGAGCTCGGGAAGCCTGACGAGATCGGGGTGAAGTGGGTGCGGCATTTCATGGCCCGGAACCCGACCATTAGGACCCAGAGAGCACAGCGGATCGACTCGGTGCGCCTCAACGGAGCTACGAAGGCAGCCGTGACGGCCTGGTTCGAATACCTGGCCCTCCCAGTTATTCGGGGCATCAAGCCCGAGCACCGTTGGAATAAAGATGAGACAGGCATTCTTGGAGGCCAGGGTTCCAACGGCCAGGTCATAGGAAGCTCAGAAAACAAGGTGTTGATGAAGGAACAACCCGGATCTCGCAGCTGGACTACCTTCGTGGAATGTATCTCTGCAACTGGCCAGTCCCTACCTCCTGCGGTCATTATGAAAGGAAAGACCGTTCAACAACAACACTACCCAGAAAAGCTCAAATGCTTCGTTGGTTGGCACTTCACAAGCCAGGAAAAAGGCTGGATTGACGATGCAAGGGCATTGGAATGGCTTCAGAAGGTCTTCATTCCTAGGACCCGGCCAGCCAACGGAGAAAAACGACTACTTATTATTGACGGCCACGGCAGTCATACCACCGATGATTATATGTGGTCATGCTTCCAAAACAACATCTACCTTCTTTATTTACCTCCACACGCTTCTCATGTTCTTCAACCTCTCGATTTGACTGTCTTCTCAGTCCTGAAGAGGGCATACAGGAAGGAGCTCAATAGCAGGCCGACGTTATCGCACAGCACGGTTCTAGGGTGCCGGCTTATGTTGCTTTGTTATTTCAAAGCCCGGAAAACCGCATTTCAGCCCAGCAACTGCAAGGCAGGTTGGCATGCCGCCGGGTTGTGGCCTGTCAACAAGCAAAAGCCCTTGCGAAGCAAGTTGTTGCTAGAAAACAGGAACTAAGGCACTACAAATATATAGCTTCATAGGCCCTGGAGGAAGCCAGGTCATGAGCTTACCTGCAGCAACAGGTATATGATAAATACGGCGTCTGGAAGACTCCTCAAAAGGTCACGGAGCTCACGGTCTCCCTGGCGAAATTGAACATACATTCGGCGGCTCGCCGCACTCGCCGTACGCTATTCAGGAAGATCGAAAAGGCATTCAACATCAAGGACTTCGAATTGGCTAAGCTACGACGTGAGAATGAAGCTCTCAAGGCCGAAATTGAGAACAAGAAAGGCAGCAAGAAGAAGAAGGTCCAATTGAGCCCGAATTCCAAGTTTGCTACGATTGAGGACATTCGCAAGGCACAGAGGGCAGCTGGGCGCGATATTGACAGTTCAGACGAACCAGAGGGCTCGGAAGATGAAGAAGAAGACGAAAGTTGCATTGTAATTAGTTGATTTGACCTTTTTCTATAGCTTCAAATTTCATGCGTTGCGTTGCGTAAGTGCGGGCGGCGCCCGGGCCAAAAGTGGGGCCTGGCCAAATCTGGGTAAGCTAACTTAGATGTCTTGGTGAGGGATTGGTGCTTTCATTTTCATTTTGTTTTGTCTTTGATCTTGAGGCATGGACGGCGGCGTCGTGGCCGGCAGGGCATTTCAGGAGCAACGCGGAATTGGGCGGAACGTGTTGACTGACCCCTGAACACATGGTTGCTATGCGTAACTGCACATCACCCTGCCCACTAGCCCTAAGCAGTTTACGACATCGCAAGCTTCCTGCGTAGAATCTGCAAATACCAATAAAAGAAAGTCGCTCAACATTAATCTGGGACCATGCAGGTTCTGCATGGGGAAAATATATTTATCTCAGAGACTGTTTTCTCGTTAATAATTAGACTCTCGTATGCCCAAAGTATAAGTAATACTTTGTTTAGCAATCTTTCTTTTCTCGCCTGATAAGTCAAAATCAAAAACCAAGGCATCGGAATGAACCTAAATAATTACCCACAGCATTGTTGCTTTAGTTAGATACCTAGACCCTCTCCCCATGGATCTTTCTCACAAATTATCAATTAGCCCTAATTAATATCTTACTGCTCGAGTGTTTGGTAACAAAAAAAAAAACCTTTGGCTGCACAATTCCCGCGCCAGTACCTTCAATCCTCACTTCTTTCTATTATCTCTCCTCTTTGCCTCCGATGCCCTGGCTATCCGCGGCATCTTTCCTCACGGCGTGTAGATACTCCAGCAACTTGGTTTCTTCCTGCTCGTATCCGAGGCGTGGAGGAAGTACAAGGCCGCGGCTGCTTGGAAATGCCGGGGTCAGACGTCTGATAACGACGCCAGAAACCAACAAAACCCCGCTTTCTGCGAAGTAGCATGTCATTCCAACCTACATGTACCGACCGTTCTGGAATGTGATGGCTGACATGTGATTTCAGTTCACGACATTGAAAATTTCGACTTTTTACCTTTGTTCTCGACACAACTCTAGATAATGGGGAGGTCAATACAAGGCGGAGAGCGGTTTTCACTGGGAGAAAACAAGAGAGAGTGGAGACGTTTGATCTCACGTAACACTGCCGTCGCTGCTGCCGATACTACGTTGATGCGGGGATGGATTTCCGCCCCAATACCCCCTTTCGAACTCCGCACTACCCCCCCCCCCCATAGCGTGCTCGTTACGACCTTCGTCATAGTGCATTTTCGACCCCGCGAGCAAAATAAACTGAAACCCGACTTTGACTCAGATAGTATCGTTACCCGTAGCACAGGATCATACAGCACAGCAACGATGACTTCAAAGTCTTACAGCACTCTGCCTGGCACTGCTGACAAGGATGCCGTTCGCCCATTCGCCGTGGATATTGCCGACACCGAGGTCGAGCGGATGCTGGCGCTGGTCAAGCTATCCAATGTCGCCAGCGCGTGCTACGAGAATTCCCTACCAGACGGCAGCCGAAGGCTGGGTCTTGGCCGAGACTGGCTGGTCGAAGCGAAGCGGGTGTGGGAAACCGATTTCGACTGGTGAGACTCGTTCGATATCCCAAGCTCCTGTGAAATCTGGAGCAACGGTGGCACAAGACAAGACACTGACATGCAATCCAGGAAATCTCTTGAGAAGCATATGAATTCGTTTCCGCACTTCCGGGCCGACGTGCCCATCGCAGGATCCCAGTCGACGACGAGTCTGAAAGTACACTTTGTGGCCCTCTTCTCGGAGCAGCCGACGGCGACGCCCATCGTCCTCCTGCACGGCTGGCCCGGGTCGTTCCTCGAGTTCCTGCCCATGCTGGCCCTCCTGCGGGACAAGTACCCGGACCCGGCGCAGCTGCCGTACCACGTCATCGTGCCGTCGCTTCCGGGCTACGCACTGTCCGACGCGTTCCCCGCCGACCGGGACTACGGCATAGAGGACACGGCACGAGTGTTGGACGCGCTGGTGGCGCAGCGCCTCGGGCTGCCGGGCTACGTGGTGCAGGGCGGCGACATTGGGTCGCGCGTCGGGCGCATCATGGCCGCACAGTACCCCGGCTGCATCGGCACGCTGCTGAACTACTGCCCGCTGCCGCCGCCGGCGGGGGCCGCGACCGGCGGGCTGACGGAGACGGAGCAGCGCGGCCTCGAGCGGACGGCGTGGTTCAAGAGCGAGGGGTCGGCCTACGGCATGATACAGGCCACGCGGCCGGGCACGTTGGGCCTGGTGCTGTCTTCGAGCCCGCTGGCGCTGCTGGCGTGGGTGGGCGAGAAGTTCCTCGACTGGGTCGATCCGGCCTCCTTCCCGCCCGATGCCAGCATGGCAGGCAGCAGTGGCGGCAGCGACAACAAAAGCGCCACCAGTTACTCGACGCGGCTGATGCACGAGGTGCTCGCCAGCGTCAGCCTGTACTGGCTCACAGGGCGTGCGCACACTTGCATGTACTCGTACAGGGAGACGTTTTCGATGCGTGGGGATCCCTTGTGGTCGCATGCGCTGCCGGCGTACCACATCCGGGAACCCAAGAAGCTTGGGTTTTCGTACTTCCCTCTAGACATAGCGCCGACGCCGCGGGAGTGGATTGCGGCCACGGGGAACCTGGTCTTCTGGAGGAGTCATGACGTCGGAGGCCACTTTGCGGCCCTCGAGCAACCGGCGGCACTCTTGGCTAACCTGGAAGAGTTTGTGGGGTCATTTAGCGCTGTGAGCTAACAAGAGCCGATGGCGTTGAACGGCGACGGTGTGTTGGGATTGTCAATCGACTGGCTGTTGGAACTCGGAAGTGGAGGCTTATTCAGCCAGACTGGGACGTCCATGGCTATAAAATTGTCACTGAGACTCCAACGATCAAGTTCTTCCCGGCCGGTTTGGTATTGGTTTTGTTCATTGGTTAGAAGTGTGATATATAGATCTATATAAGTGTGACAGTGTGGCCCAATGACGATGGAAGACAGCCAGCCAGCCAGCCAGCCAGCCAGTGGAGGCCCTTCCGTGGGTTCAAAATACAGCCTGCCGTTTCCTTTTCCAATTCCGGTCTCGAGTGGACAATTCGCGAGCAGTGGAAAAAAGCCGCTGCATGATGCAATACAGGTTCTAGAACGATTCTACACGATCAGGTATGAGTTCCGCACTATTGATCAACCACCTGGCAATCGAGATGGGGCGATGGTGTCATCTGGTTGGTCTAGCGGGTTTTAGGCGCTGAGCAGAAGAACGCTGGCCTGGCTGCTAGGTGAATAATTAGGGTAGATGGTAGCCCGCTGGTCAGACTGCTAGGTGAATAATTAGGGTAGACGGTAGCCACTGGTCAGGCTATCGAGGTGGGAGTCAGAAGGGCTGGGCCTGAAGCGCAGCTGCGTTTGGATGGGGAAACGAGGCGAGGGCGACGTTGGAGAGAGGGAAACAGGACAAACCGTGGAGGGAATCTTCGCGCCTTGGTTAATTAATTTGCAATACGCGGAGAGAAAGGTTTTTGGGTGGATTGCAGGAGCTCAATAGGATAGTAGAGCTTGTCGGTTGGCCAATGGGTTCCCTCCCATCTCGTTTTCGAGGTTCGCATTTCCGAAAAAGCCCAGGGAATTCAGGTGCTAGCGAACGGTGGGCACTGCCCTGGCGTGCTTGCGACCGTAGTGAATCCTTCCCGACAGGCAAATCGAGCCTGGGCGGCCGAGCACGTGCTGTTGGGCCCCTGCGAGAGCTCTTGCGCCGTGGGGCGCGCGTCTAGAACCGGCGCATCTTGGACTACCTCACTTAAACTCGGGGGGGAAGAGGGTAAACGGGCAGTGGGGTTTGAACCTCGCGACATCACCAAACCCCAAACCCGTGCGGCTCACCTAGAGGCTCTTGTCGGCCGCCGCAAGTGCAACGGCTCACCTGGCGGCGGCGGCGGCGGCGGCGGCAGGCGGCAGGCGGCAGGCGGCAGGCGGCAGGCGGCAGGCAGGCGGCAGGCGGTAGTGTAGGCCTAGCTGGGGTGGGACTGCGGGGAGGGAGGAGGGCGTAGGGCTGGCCGCTCACCTCATGTCACACTGCCCGGGTCTCTCCATGGGCTCGCAAGCAACACGTCACTCTTCTAAATACTACCGAAAACCCGTATCTGTACCTGTAATTACGGCTCGACCCCGAGCGCACTGCAGGTGGTGTATTGTGGGTGTGGCTGATCCCCAATTCCAAACGGCGCCTGTACAGTACCTCTGGAGCTTTCCACGTATTGCGCGAGTATCAGTACCTCGCTGCCTAAATCCGGTCGCACAGCTTAGCACCTGCATGCACTGCAACTCCACAGCACACCACCACACCACACCACACCCCAAACCAAAACGTCTGCTTGTAGTATGTAGACGGGTACTGCAGGCGCGGGCGCCCTTGCATCCAAAGCGTGGGCTATTCCCGAGGCAGAGCTTCAGTCATTATTCACACACAATCCATCCAACGGTAATCCATCAAACGGTACTCTATCCAACGGCCCTTTTTTCTTCTTTTCTTCCTTCTCCCGCCTTCTCGTTCCATGGGGTGCCTGCTGAAGCTGCATGCCAGATGCAGCATTATGAGTGATGTTAGTGTTACTCAGGCTGCTGTCAATCAGACCGAGCCACCGAGACACCGAGCAACCACCCACATCCATCGCCTCGTTCACGACCACCTCGACCAACCAACCACCAACACAGGCCCGGCTGTGTCTTCCGATTCGATTACCGCCCCGGCCTGCTTCGGCACTCCCTATTGACGCAAGCGTCTTCTCAGTGGGCCACTCGTACGGCATCTTTCCCTGGTCTGCTCTCAAAGAGACGTCCTTGGCGGCCCCATGTCGACTCGTGCATCCCACAGAGTCCAGCTCCCAGGCTGCCGTCTCGATGGCACCTGAGGTACCTAGACTCGGGTCGAAAGGGGTCTGGGGATTGGATGGTCGTTTCCATCACAAAAGGTTGGGATACTGCCCTCCCAGTCTTGGGAGTCTCGGTTGCCAATCACTGGAGTAGAGCGGATTCACCACACATCACCGCACCGCACCGCAGTGCACATGCTACCTACATACCACATGGACATGGATATTGACATGCAGCATGTCTTCCCCCACTCTGCCAGTGCCGTGAAGGGGGCATGTCAATCATCTTGCTGCAGTTGAATCTGCAGGAGCACCTCTCTTGCAGCTTACGGCCGCGAGTCACTCGTCCGTCCCCAGGTGCATTAGTGTGCTCTTTGGGGCTCAACAAGCAGAGAAGCCAAGGTGAAGGTGTAAGTGCCTGCCGACCAGCCCAGCCCGCACCCGCGTCAAGTCATGTGTCCCGGCCTCGGAAAGCCTTCGAGTCGGACGAAAGCCACTCGAACCGCCCGAGCCCGCCCGACCGGCGTAGACCATTACCTACTACGTCTCGGTCTAGAGCAGCGAACAATACTACTCGCACCCCCTCCTCCTCCTTATCCTCAGCCTCCCCGTTCTCTCCCCCTCTGTCGTTTCTACTCTCTCCCCTGTCTCTGCCCTGTGTGCCTTGTTAAGTTGTTTCATCGCGCCTCCGCCCTAGGCCCCGCAGTGTCCGCAAAACTACCGCCACCGGGTCAGGATCCCCCCCGCAACGGGAAAGGGCAGCGCTATATCATTCCCCGTCTGATGTCAACCAGAACAAAAGTGCCAAAGATATGGAGACAGTGATATTGTTCACCATTGTCTTCTATTGTTTTCCTTCCGACCCCGAGACGTCAGCGGCCAGACACCCTCTTCTCGAACAGTTTGGGGTCCGTTTCGCCACCAACAGTAGGCCATATCGACACCAACGGCGTCGAACAGCAGCTGTTCTGGCCTAGTCGGCGCTCTGGCTCGATATATAATCCCCGCTGGCTCTCCTTCTCCAAAAACCACTCAACCGTCGCCTCGGGGAACCACCAGAGACAGGATTAACCACAAGCCTCCGAGTTGCCTTTAGGACACCACGGCAGACACAGTTGTGCCTGACCCGATACGTACCTCTGCCTTATCTTCTCCCTCCCATTTGGCCTCTGGCATAATCCCCCCTCCCCCCCACCCCCGACACTTGGCCTTGATTTCCGACTCCGAACCCTACCCACCATCACATTATGCTCCTCACGGGCACCTTTAAGAGTCAACGGCTTAGTACCGGGCTTCACATCATGCAAGAGATACGAGTCGGACAGCTTGATGCCGGCGAAGTCAGCTTCGACGCCACACTTGACGGCCCCACTCTGACATTACCAGAACGCCTTACCGACGACATCTCTGGCGGCGCGTATGTCCTCGACCGACAGAACTCGCTCGAGAGCGAGAAGCACCCCCATGACGACACTGTTGGCCTGTCCAACACCACGATCCAGCGCATCTTGAGCAGCATGGTCATCATTGTTCCGTGCAAGAACGAAGCTCCCGAGACCGTTGAGGGCGTCCTGTCGGGGATCCCAAACTCATGCGTCGTCATCCTCGTCTCCAACAGCGCCAGAACCCCAGTCGACCGCTACGAACAAGAGATCCAGATGCTCCAGAGAGTATGTCACCGGACACAACGGCGCCGAGCCTTTGCTATACACCAGAAGGATGAAGGAGTAGCTGCGGCGCTGGACGCGGCCGGCATGGTTGGGCTTACGGACCCAGCCGACGGCAAGATCTACAACGGAAAGGGGGAGGGCATGCTCCTTGGCGTGGCCTTGGCAGCTGCCGTCTGCCCAGACATGCAATATGTCGGCTTTATCGACGCCGACAATCAGGTGCCCGGCGCCGTCCACGAATATTGCCGCATCTACGCCGCCGGCTTCGCCCTAGTGCCGACCAGCCGAGAACACGCCATGGTCCGCCTGCGGTGGGCATCCAAACCCAAGGTGCGCGACAACCAACTTTGCTTCGACGGCGAGGGCCGGAGCTCCATCTTTGTTAATGCTTGGCTCAACCGCCTCGTCAAGACCCTCAGCCGCAGAGCCGACAACAAGGAGACCCACAGAGCCGACAGCAAGGAGACCAACCTCATCGTCACGGGCAATGCCGGCGAGCACGCCATGAGCATGGAGCTCGCCCTCAAGTTGCGAATGGCCGGCGGCTACGCTGTCGAGCCCTTCCACTTCATTGACCTCTTTCAACGGCAAGGCGTCTTCGCTAACCAAGCCGACAAGGACAGCAACTACGAGGCCAGCACCCATTACGAAGACAACAACGGTATGTCAACAAATACGAAGCCATTATACCAGCGCCGCGACCGGGCCCCTCCCATCGCCCCGCTCATTACCTCCTCAGCCCACCGTAGCCTCGAGAAGCCCGTCTGCATCCTTCAGATCCGTACTCTGAATCCTCACTTCCACCGCCCGTCCGACGCCCAACACATCCGCGGCATGCTCGAGTCCGGACTAGGCGCCATCTACCACGCCATTGGCGCCGGCGGCCTCCGCGACGAGATGCGCGCCTTCCTCGCTGGCCAACACAACCAGCAACAACAGCAGCGGCGCGCTGCTTCGCCGAGAAACCCAACAACATTAACCGTCCCCCCACAATCAGAGGCAACACCCCCTCCGTCGCCAATCACCATGACGGCGACACTCACCCCCGGCGAGCACAACGGCCTGAAACACGACGACAAGGCCGAGCCACCGCTGCCCCACCCGCACATCTACCCGCCCGTCGAGCAACTGGACCTGGCGCGCCTGCGCGCCGCCCTTGACCAAGAGCAAGGCGCGGCGCACTCGCTGCGACGGTTCACCTCGGACGGCGGCCGCCATGCCTGTGCAGCGCAGCGGTGGCGCCGGCGTTTCTCGCCGTCGTCGGTCATGTCGACGCCGGCCGGCACATCTACGTTCAACTCGACGGCATCCACGTCGACAATCCGCAAGTCCACGGCGTCGGCACCCACGTCCATCGCCTTGACTCTCCTCTGTCTGCCGCTGCTTGGCTTCTTCGTCTTCTGCGCCGTGGTCTTGCACGGCCTGCTCCGCACCCGCGACATGGCCGGCGTGCGTCGCGACGCTTTCCAGTCTTGAGCGTTCTGCTCTCTTCGCTTGGTGATATTACACGGCAAAGGCAGCCTGAGGTTGCATCTCATATCATGACCATCATACGCGTTTACGACATGGCGTTTATCGGTGCTGAGAAAATGTCCCCGTTAGTGGGGTGTTCTTTGGCTGTTGCTTTCTGGAGCCTCCCTGGCGGCCTCAGACAACATGCAGACGGAGACTGCAACTCCTCCATTTGCATTTCAGGGCTGGTCTACTGTTAACACACTGGGTTAGGAAAAACGGGCACAGAAATAGGGTGGGTTTTTTTTCTTTCCTCTTTTTTTCACTTCACTCGTCTCTTTTATCGGTCTCGTGCATCATCACGGCATATTAGCATAACACACAGCACAACTGGCAATAAGTACCATGTTGGTCAGATACTTTCTGGTAGACTACTTTAGATTAGTTTTAGACTTTACCGCCCAAGCGGCTGGCAGAAGTACCTTGTAGTGTATTTACCCAACAATCTTCTCTCCTTTGCGATTTGACACTGCAATCGTGATTGAGTTGGAATTGATGGAGGATGCCAATTACATTTTGAGAATCTGGCACATTTCACCCTAGCGCCTTACCTGAATCGATCATCTACCCAGGTATTCGATCCACCTTGGCTCAAAGGAGGCCTGAGGTTGTGGCGCATTATTCCGAACCAACAATTTTTTTCTTTTTGTGCCAATTCCTTTGATAATTGCCTACGGAATTGTTCACGACACATGATTAGCCTGTTCGTTTACAAGGCCACACGATCTTGGCCTAATTAGATTGCCAAGATGCGCAGCTGCCGTCCTGGCCTGCGCGGTGCAATCTTGGCCTGCGCGCCGTGTAATTATTTGGTCCAGACTTGAAAGTTGGAGGTGTGCACAGCCGCCAACCGGGCGGCCGCGGCCTTGGCGCCGCCGCGTCTGCTGACAATGGCGGGGATCACCTCGCACGACGACGACGCTTGGTGCTGCTGCGGATTTGTGATCTCATTAAACTTCCTTGAGAGACAATTGAGAAAACAAAAGAAGAAAAGAAAAAGAAGCTGACCCGCCCCCACTGCCGCCTCCTAGAACTCTCCTCACCGCAACTTCGTCGGCACACACGCCGGAGCTGCGCAGCGCCTCGGCATTGGATACGACGGGTCGAGCGGCGCGTTGAGGCTCTGCGGTTTGCACCACGTTACACGTCTGGGAGTTGGGCCGCGGCCCCCGTGCGATGAGCATGACTTGCACCTCGAGGCTCCTGAATGCGTCGAGCAGGTCGTGGGATGGGGGTGTGTCGGTGTCGTTGGTGGCGGGGACACGTCTGGGTCAATTGCTTCCGTCCTGGCCAATTGTTTCGACGGACAAACGAGGCTCAGAACACGTTTGCTATCGATCCCTGGCGGCTTTATCCCGTCCTAGCGTGCTGTACGACGACGAGGGCAATTGACTGTCGCCTCGGTGGTTTGTCTGGCGCGCAGGCTTTGTTCGGAGGACCTGTGTTTTCCAAGACCAAATTGCCAGAACCATGGTGATGTCTTCCCAAGAACACTGTCTAAATTAAGATCGTAGGCAGTCTCACTCACTCCCCGGTGCCCGGCATGTATTGTACATTCCTCCCGCCAACCAATACCACAGCCCTCAGGCCTTGCGCGAACCCCCCTCGGCCGGCTCCAGCTCGTCCGCGAGCACGTACTCGACCTCGTCGTCGTCGTCGTCGCCGTCATCGCCGCCGTCGTCCTCGTCAAACGGGATCTCGAGTCCGTCCTCGATCATGATCTGCGCCTCCTGCAGCTCGTCCAGCACATCGTAGCTCTTGGCCATAGAAACCAGCTCCCTGAACTTGAGCAGCCACGCGCCGCCGCCCTCGGCCGCGAGGAGCTCCATCCCGTACTCGTCGACTGTGGCTAGCACGCACACCATCTTGGCGGCCCAGCCGTGGCAGCCGTTGCGCACCTCGTGGCCAATAACGTCGGAAGCGAGCAGGACTTCGCTGAAGATCTTGCGCATCGTCTCGACGGCGTTGCGCTTGGTCATGTAGCTCGCGCCCTTGGCCGTCGCCTGCTTCACAATGTCGTCCAACATGCGCTCGATGGCCGTCTGGGCGTTGCCCGCCGCCTCGTACTGCCGTGAGCCCGAGAGCGATGCGTACTTTTCGTTGAGCTCATTGAACGCCTTGTCGTGGTACGCGTCAAAGTTGATGCCCGGATTTTGCCGTGGGTCTTGATAGCGCGGCGGCTGCTGCTGCGCCCGCTGCTCGACCTGCTTCATCTGGGCTTCCATGGATTGCTGCTGCTCCTGCTGCTCCTGCTGCTCCTGCTGCTCCTGCTGCTCCTGCTGCTCCTGCTGCTCCTGCTGCTCCTGCTGCTCCTGCTGCTCCTGCTGCTCGCGCTGCTGGAGCTGCTGAAGCTGGAACTGGAGCTGCTGCTGTAGCTGTCGCTTCTGATGGAGTCGCTGCTGAACTTGCTGAACTTGCTGCTGTATGTGGTGTTGCTTTTGGGCCTGCGTGATGTGGGTATTATGAGCCACGACGCCACTGATTTCGCGCTTAATTGCTTGCGCCACGTCGGGGTGCTGGACAGCCGCCCGGAGCAGCAGGTCGCTGCGCGCCTCAATGTCAAGATTGGTGATACAGTACTGCAGCTCTTGAACCATTGACGTGTCTGTGCCATATGGCACTCTCCCAGCTTGCGGCTGCTGAGGGTACTGGGGTTGATCAGACTGCGGTAGGTACTGAGCCTGCTGGTACTGATGAGAATACTGGGCGGCCTGGGCCTGAGCGTGAGCCTGAGCATGGGCTTGAGCTTGAACTTGAGCCTGAGCCTGAGCCTGAGCCTGAGCCTGAGCCTGAGCCTGAGCCTGGGCCTGAGCCTGAGCCTGAGCCTGAGCCTGAGCCTGAGCCTGAGCCTGGGCCTGAGCCTGAGCCTGAGCCTGAGCCTGAGCCTGAGCCTGGGCCTGAGCCTGAGCCTGAGCCTGAGACTGAGCCTGAGCCTGAGCCTGAGCCTGAGCCTGAGCCTGAGCCTGAGCCTGAGCCTGAGCCTGAGCCTGAGCCTGAGCCTGAGCCTGAGCCTGAGCCTGAGCCTGAGCCTGAGCCTGCTGAAGCTGCTGCATGTACTGAGCTTGTTGAAGCTGCTGATCATACTGAGCCTGTCGAATCTGCTGGGCATACTGGGTATACTGGGCATGCTGAGCGTGCTGAGCGTGCTGAGCGTGCTGGGGCTTATCGGGAATCTGAGGGGAGAATCGCTGGGGCTGCTGAGGCGGGTGCTGGCCCGGTTGGTATTGCGAGTGAAGAATCTGATGGGGATGCTGAGGTTGACGAGGTTCCTGGGTTTCCTGTTCCTGAAGTTGGCGGGTGTGGACTTGATGCGGCGACGGAAAATTCAGAGGCGACTGGTCCTGCTGGCCCTGGGGGTGCTGAGGCGGCCGAGGCAGCTGAGGCAGCTGGTAGTTGACGTAGTAGGCGGCCTGGTTCTGGGGCCCTGTTATGGGGGCGACATTGGCATTAGCATTGGCATTAGCATTGGCATTGGCATTGGCACTGGCATTGGCATTCGGATCGGGGCTGTGGTGCTGGCCCGCCGTGTCCGATCGCGATCGCTTTGCTCCCCGCTCCATGGTGGTGAGAGACTCGATTGAGATGTTAGACTGCGATGCCATGAGTCAGGTATTTTGCGGGTTGACGTTGCAGACAAAGACTGCCGAGAGAAAATTTGTGCCCTTTTGCTTCGTCGTTTCTTTTTTTTCTTCCTTTTTTTTGCGGACCACGTTTACGTCACGCGCTAGTCTGGATTAAGGCTGCTCGCAAACAAGACTGGGACCAGGGTCGTGCACGAGCTGGCTGAGATCTGGAGCTGCACAGAAGCCCGTCAAGGCTGTCAGGGTGGGGTTATATAGCATTTTACGGGTGTTCCTGGATGTGGCGAATTCGCTATTTGAAGATTAATTTTTGAGCATGCAAGGCGTCAAAATTCACAGCCGTCCACTTGCTCTTTCCTACTCTAGACACTTCTCAGTCCCACCCCGACTTTGAAGCCCTACTTTGAAGCTAAAAAGAAATATGTTTGATTGATGTTAGCTATTGCCGGCACAATCGACGGCTCTGGGGAAGGAATGGTGAAAGCCCGCACGCGTATTTGCAAAGCTGAAAAATGAGGCTTGCTCGCAACATCCACAGCCAACTCTGTCACGGGGTAATTTCAAACTTGTACCAAGCTTTCAAACGATTACAAGATCAAGTGGCTGATGCGTAACGACAAGCCTGGGGCCATGTACACGGCCCGCTTGTTCACTTCCCCGATGTATAGGTACCTTTGCTGTAGACCGAGAATTGATCCAGAACAGTTGACTCAACAGCATTGACCGGCCTCGTCATAGCCGAGTGCCGCCCCTAATTCGCCGATATCCTTAGGCATCTGGAGCGAATCGCATAATATCGCAGCATGTGATATTCGCGCCCGAATATAAGCACCCTTTTGAGCCGCGTGTCAGACTTCCAAATGTTCAATCCATGGCATATTCGTCAATTTTGACTGCAGGTCATTCGGCGTGTTCCGTGTGTGTGGGGGGTAGGGCAGGCGACCGAGCGGCATCATCTCGGGCACGGCTCACGAGGAGCCTAGAGTTGGCAGGAAAGCTCTAGAACTGGCTAACGGACCTAGTTTTGCCAGTCATTTCAATGGCCGTCGCCAATTGGTCGGCTACGAAAGGCGTGTAAACAACAGGACGCCTATTCCTTGCCGGCAGGTGCCTAGCCGTCTAGGTATCAACCCCGTCACCCCATTAGCCGCCTCAGCTTCCTCGGCCGCGGACCAACGACAATGGCGGCCAGTCTGCTAGCCGCTCAATTGGCCGTGCGGCCTATTTCTCTCCAGCCGAATGTTGTGGCCATTTTCGGGGAGACGTGCAACACATGCAGGCAGGTGCTGTGACTCCTATTCCCAGCCATCCCAAATCTCTCTATCGACGGCGGTGTGATGGCTCGATCGGGCCTCATAGGCTCGAGCTTCACCAGCGATTGAGCAACATAACATCGCCAGCGGCATGCAGTGTCTGGAGCCTTACGGTACCGTGCAATCAATTGCGTGTGACATCCCACCCCGGGCTGAGCCTCCCCGGAGCCCTGGTGATCCAATGCATGCTGCACCCCGCGTGCACCGCCCGTTCACATCACCACTCGGCCGGAGGTGGCCGCCAAAACCAACCACCTCCCCGCCAAGCAAAAGAAGACAAAAAAGAAGCACGCAGAGGAAAAATAAGGGCGCGGGGGGTCGGAGCCAGGCAGCAACAGCTCTCTTATGTCATCAGATAGGGTCGCAGCCCCGCGCCACGGATTTATTATGAATCTGGCTGGACCTGGTGGGTGCATTGGCGGGGCAGGTGCGGGCATGCTGGTGGGTTGGCTGCCGCAAGCGCCTCACAACGCCCGCAGGTTACACAGAGCCGGCTCGTTGGTTTAGGGACGGTCGGCTATAGCCGGCACGGCGACAAGCTAGTGCAGAGCTGCAGGACTGCAGAGCGTAGCTAATGTAAGGCAGCCAGCCTTGCTGTCATAGTGTTGCGTCCATGCTGGGCAAGGCTAGGACGCCTATTAGCTAAGGTCCGAACAAAGGGGCTCAAGTGTAGGCCAAGGTTGGTAAGCAGCGTCCAGGCAGACAGGCAGCGCCAAAACATTGAGACCAACCCAAGTTCGAAGAGTCATCCGAACTCCTACCGAACCGGCGGGCCATAATTAAGTCTCCGGGTCCTACGGACTAATTAAGGTAAGGTAGGTAGGGAGGTAGGTAGGTAGGGGCGCAGGTCGGTACGAACTAGGCAAAATTGCCAAGTGCAGTGGGACTTGGGGCGGACCATGGCTCACCGCCCGCTCCGACTGCCTGGGTCGCTGGCTGTATGTGATTTTTGGCCCCCATCATAGGATTCGGACTTGTTGAACCAACGCACTTTGCTCATTGGTACCGAAGGCAGTGGGTGGGCGGCACCGGCCTTTGCTTCTTTCTCCTTTCTCGTTTCTCATCAATTACATGATCTCACCTTCACCTTAGTAATTTCGGATGTAGGACGCCAAGGAAGGGGGGTTAACGAATCTCCCCGCGCACGCGCCGCGCGGGAGAAAACACCGAGGCGGCCCCGATCGTAAACCCCCCATTCTCGTTCCTTGGCATTCCGACCTTCATGTTTTGATCCCTCGTTTCGCTACATCAGGCTCGGTGCCACCGCTTAACCCAAGGTTTCAGGGCAAGCATGTGACATAGAGGAGCCGCGCGCGCTCGCTCTAGTATCAGAACGGAATAAAATGTGGCTAGAAGAAGGAAAGTCGAGGTTTGGGGTGGGACACGCTGGGGGGAGATTGGCGCGCTCTAAGTTGCTGTTGCAGCCTGTTGGTTGCTGCTTGCTGCCAACAAGAGTTACACGAGGATCCTACAGGCCAAAAGAAGCGCTGCGGCCACGACCACGCCAGCGGCCACGACCACGCCAGCGGCCCGCGGCAATGGCAATGGCACCGCCTGTGGAACGCGTGGCTGCGGTCTATTGTCGCACGCATTCAAGGTCCGTGCCGCCAATGTTGTGACAGGCAGATAAATCATGGAAGTTGGAACCAGTTCCAGCGCGGCGGGTTTGTACCACCGTGTTGGGGCGGATTCTTGAACATCTGATCTTCGCGAGGCTGCGCCTCTGGGTAATGACACGGATGCCATTGCCTGCTCTGGGAGTCGCTCCGTGAGTCACTCCGTGCTAAAAGACTCTCAGGAGTCGTGGAAATTGTCCCCGAGGTCTGTGCCGCCGATTCCCCCATAGGCTGCAGAAGAACTCTGCAAGTGCAGGAAAGTTACTAGAGATGGCAGTGGTAATAAAAAGCCTCAGAGTATTGCCCCTGTCCTGACCATCGCGCGGAGGATTGCAGCTCTCCCTGTTCTCATGTTTGATTTTCCCCTGTGTCACGCAGTGATCGCACTAACTGTCGGTCTAAAGATGCCTTGTGACGAATCCATGACATCTTCCTCGCGGCTGTCTCTCCATGGCAACGCACCAGACACTCCAGCTGAGCCGCTGGGTGCTGGTGACAGCTGCTAAGAATTGAGGCACGCAATACATCTCCCCCATTGTCTATGTTTCGATTCTTGTGCGTCTTCTCTGACGTCCTTTCATCGATGTTGGCTTGAGCCTGGGGCTTTGTGCTAGCGAGGGCTTTGTGTCAGCGATAAGAACAACGACAAAAACGTCGGTTGGAAAGGTTGCCACCAATGGTTGTCGCAGTGCCATCGCCCCTGGCATCGTGGAAGCGCTCTCACAGCCCCCAGAGAAAAGGCATCGCTACATCTGCAGCTACTCGGGACCATGGAAGATGCTATGAATGACATAATTATCGGTCATTCTCCTTGTTTTGGAGTCGTAGGGGAAGACACGACGAGGGATTCGAACCAATGCCAACACATAAGAGGAGGTTCTCCGGGGAAGGAGCATGGGTCGAATCCTTCGCATCGTGTTTTACGTTCGTTTCCAGGACGACGAGCCTCAAGATTCGAGTCACGCCGTATAATTGGTTGCAGTTAATTAATGGCCACTAGTTGATGACCTCTTTACGCCTCCCCACCTCGCTTCACAAGGTCAGACGGCCATTTGGAGATAGCTATATTAAGATACGGGCCCGAAGGAAGTAATCCCCAGAAGGACGGGCCCTGCAAGCCAGATTTCGCTGTTCAATCTGAATCTAGGCTGCAAAATGGGACCCTCCCCAATTGGTGACTGTACAGCCGCGGCACTTGGTGGATCATGATGACTCTTGGCTTAATTAACGGCTATAGCAAAATAGCAAACACTGCAGTGCAGTACAGACCAGTTGATTGGCCGTGCTCTTTAGCCAGATTTGCCCCGTATTCGCGGCAATCACGTCGTATCTGTCTCCTTCTTCTCCAGGCCTAGCAAATTAGGTTCTTCAATCGATAGCCGACCCTTGGCAGCGAGCGGCCCGTATTCTAGAATAGGATGCTGAGTTGTGCCTGCATCCGCCTATTGACTGGACGAACGGGATAACGGGAGCTTTGTTGGCTACGGACAGGGGGGGAGGCACGCGCCGGTCCGGGGGAAGAAACGAGACGTTGGTTGTTGGCCACAATGTTTATGCATGAGGAAGGAAGCATTGCAGTTGGGTCTTGGGGGCCCAACAACCAACAAGCACCCCAGACTATCAGTGACAGGAGTTCGTACTCGGCAATAAAATGGAGTTGGGCGACCGCGCTTCGGTTCATACAGCCGCCCTGGAATTTCTAATACCGCCGACCACGGGAATTTAATCAATTAGCTAATCAGCCAATCAAATAATTAGGGAGAGTCCCTTTTAAGCTGCGATAGGCAGCCCAATCATCAATGAGCGTAGTGACGCGGGTTGCAGGTTCCGTGTTTGGGTCTAGGTTTCTTCACAAGCGGTCATTCTCAAGCAGTCTTCACGCGCTTCTAGCGAAGAGAATGCACCAAGTTCCTAATTGAGGCCTGAGCGACTGTGACCGGGTTGGTTTCCAGGCTTCAAGGCATATTATTAGGTTGCCAGTTGACTTGGTCCACGCATCTCAGCCTCCCGCCCCAGCCACAATTTGAAGGAAGCGAGTTGGGAAAAGTGGCAACTGAAGCGGCCGCCCGATCCTCTAGGTCTCAAGGCCTATTCCCCCGCTTCCCCGCCCGATCCCTGTTGTCATTGCCTTAGCTCTCCAAAGAGGTGAATCTTGTGACTTGACAAGTGATATAGTTCACCGGGCAAATATGGAAACATGGCCTATGTGGAGACTTAGGAGGCAGGGCACGGCTTGCATTTTTCTCAAACTATCATGATCGAAAATCACCGATCTTGATCTGCTGGCATGCCTGTGCGCCTTACTGATCCCAATCTGGACATGTGCATCTACTGCAACCCCCAGGTAGGTAATTAGTTAGGTTGGGATCAGTAGAAGCGGTGATGAGTCAACTCGCGGCCTAGGCCGATACTTGGACAGCATCTAGATTCTAGAGTAACATGCCAGCCGGCTACCGCGCTTAGCGGAGTGCATGCAGATTACTGCTGTCCAATTGAATGTGGCTGTCGTTTCAAGCTGTGGCACTCATGGACTTATGGGTATGCTACCCGAGATGCAACGCACAGGATCACGACGTTGAAACAATGCTAATATCTCAGTTCCTGTGCGTCATCGATGCTCTCAAGTCCAAGCGAAGGAACGATTGCCCGGAGTTGACGCGGCCTAGATCCGGGAGCCGACGTAAAAACGTACAGCCGCCCTGAGGCCGGATTGACCTTGAAACGTCACGTCACACTGCATGGACGCAGTCGGTCTGGTTCTTCTCGTGATTGAGGAATATCTGAAACTGGTGGGGGAGGAAAAGGTACATTGGGCGTAGACTCAGGGGAAACCAAGGCGATTGAGATAGGTGCCTGGCTATTTTTGGGGATATGATGATTCACGTTGGTGGTGATGATGGTGATTGATGGGGCTTGAGAGGACCCGGGAACAGAGTAAAGTGGCATGAATGACGGGCACAGGATGCTCGGGTCGGTGAGCCGATGAAGAAAAACCATGCACGGTGTCACGCGGACTACTGGCCGTGACCATCATAGCAGGCTACTGCAATTATCAGTCAGGGCTGCCAATGCCATGGCCGCCATCCGGGCCGAGGTGGGCGACGCAAGAGACGGAGCCATGGCAGTGCACTTGTCGGAGTGGAAAAATCAAAATAGAAATTTTGGAATTGGGGAGGAAATGTCGGTGCCTGGAAATCGTCCAATGCTCTGCGCCATACAAACCTTTTTTTTTTTTGGCCAGTGGCAGAGTTCGGCCTGTTATTAGGGCGGCGAGCGTAGAGGATAGAAGTTTTCGGAAGGAGCCGACACGACCACTTTGGCGGCCGCGGCGTCTCAAACCGACGGGAGCCTTGAGGTGGGATGCGGGATTTGGGAATTCTGATGATGGGGATTGTTTTTCCGACTTTTTATTTCCCCTTTCGGGCTTTGCTCCCTCGCCGGCAGTTGGTAGCGTCGCCGCACCAGCATTGTGCGCAGCCGGGGATCGAGCTGGGACTGACAGGGGATGAGATGCCAATGGGATGTGGAATGGATACGTGATGGGTTGGGCCGGTGACGGGGAGCGGGGGGGCTGCACCAACGGTCGGGGGTTTCGACAGAATGTCTCTCCCGCTGCCAATTGGGGGTTTGGGGTAAAGCTACATTGGGGCAGCCTAGGACGGTCCTCTGTACAGCAGCACTGTCGGGTGCTGAGTGTTCAGTGTGATGTGGCTCGCCCGCCGCTAAAAGTCGAGCCACAGAAAACACGGAAAGCACAAGCCCAGAGCAGGGGAGAATCACGAGATGGGTACGGATTAGGGCCGTGGGCTGGATGTACAGACGTTGCGTGTGTGCCTTGCTAGGTGCGGCAATTCACCAATGGCGAGCGGTCAGGCCCTGCACATCGGGGTGGGTAGGATGTGGTCATGTTTGCAGAGCCTCGAAAATCTCTCCCCAACAACACTTCTGCGCCGCACAAGCATCCATCCAAATCGGTCAAGGTGGGGGGAAGGGGGGTACTAGCCAGCCCTGCCGGCCAGCCCTGCCAGCCAGCCCTGCAGGCGGGGACAGGGGTCAGGGCAGGTGCCGTTCTACGCCCCCAGGCCGGGAGCGAACCGGGCCCCACCGAGCCCCTCATCATGATTCATCCATCCAGACTCCAGTGTCCGTGATGGCTGCTTGTCGGACCCAACAACCGCGGGCACGGTTTTCCTTGGTCTTCCCACTTGGATTTAATCCAACCCACTGGCTCGGGCTTGGCTGGGATCCCGCCGTAGGCACCCCACAAGCTTGCAGCCGAGGAAGGACCAACCCAGGGCAAGGCAAGTGGCCATGGCATGGAAGCTAAGGTCGGGTACCTCCACCAAGGTACCCTCGCCAAGGCAAGGTAGCTCGACGGCGTATGTTATGCGGTGACGAGCAGCAACCGCTCCGGCGCAAGCACACCACTGCACTCTCACCCTGCGCTCTGCGCTCTGCACCCTGAAAACTCCAAACTGCAAACTGCAAGCTGAACACTAGGACGTCACTCACCTGCGTACCGACCCGGCTCGTCCGCCGCCGCCGCCGCCGCCGCCGCCGCTTGCTTCCTTCCCTTCGTCAACTCTGAACTCAAAAAAGGGGGGCGGCCTGGCATCATGGTCCGCAAGGCACGCGCGGCCGCCCATCGTCCCGCACGTATATAAGAAACATGCCCGGCCTGGATGCCGTCCAAAAGAGGTATAAGTTGACCTCCAAGCTCGACACTCGATAGCATCCAGTCAAACCCAGCAGACATTGTCTCGTCTCGGCTTGTATATCTTCCTCGACCACCTTCCTCAGATTCCCTCGTATCTCCCCTGACTCCTTCCCGGCTCGTGACGGCTCGTTACATCCATCCCGTGACGGCTCGTTACATCCATCGCGTGTCGCCTCCCTGCAACAACACCACACCTCCCACGATCCTTCACGGCCAACAGAAGATCTCCCGTATCCAACACCATAAAACCTGCCCGAGCCCCGCGGCCACACATTCTTCATTCACGGCCATCAACAGCTTCGTCACCGCCCGCTCGCAGTCTCCACAGGATCGAACTGAAGCAAGCCATCACCACCAAGCATCCAACATGTGCACCTGGGAGCAAACCACATATGCCTGCGGGCACAAGAGCAAGCTCCGCCGCCAGGCTTACTCGTGCGCCGTTTACACTCGGCACATATATGGCGAATGCGTCTACAGCCGCCAATATGACCGCGTGATTCCCGTCATTGACTACAAGGACTGCTCCGACTGCAGCCGGCTCTTTGAATTCGTCAACTTCTGAGCGCGCGCACGCCGAAACCACCATTTTCGTCCAAGCCGCAGCTCTTTCGATCTCTCTGGCAACCGAGCACTTCAACACCACCACCACCACCACCATCACCATAATTGGCCACGCCATCCTTTCCTGCATCTTCTTTCTTCGCCAAAAGTCATGTTCACATGGACGGAGTCCAGACCATCTGCTGCAAAGGCACTCCTTTCTGATGTTGGCCGTTACGACTAAGACGAACTCGCTCAATCACTTGCATCCGATAGACGACAACTCATCACTCGGCGCCAGCCATCATTTTCTTTCTTTTTCTTTTCTCCTAAGCTCGATGGAGCGCTGGGAAGCATGGGCATAGGTACATGGGCATGGAAAAGGACGCATGGGCGCACGGAGCAAAGGCGGGGGCATTGGGTTTCTCTCTTTCATTCCATTTTTCAGACGGCGGGAATATCATGGGCGGAGACTTTGGGTTTCCGTTTCCTCAGATGCCCAAGGACTTAGGCATCGGGAGGGTGGTGCATTATCAGGGCGCAAGAGCGGCAAACGACATACCTTCTTTTCACGGCTCGATTCGGCGAGATACACGACAATTCGTTTCCAGATACATACTTGAAACTCAACACACGGGCAGCATTGCAGGATAGCGGGGAACAGGATAGACAAGGGCTCACATTTACATCGGGAGGGACGGAAAGCATTTGGACAGGTGCACATAGATCTTCTTTTTTTCCTTTTATTTTGTCTTCCCATGGTGATTTCGCAGACACTATTTATTTGTATTCTTCGTTCGATCAATTGCAAGTTCCTTGTCGCTTATGGTGCAATTTCTCACGAATACTCGGGCGGCCAAGGCCCCAAGCCCACGAATTCTTCCAAATCACCAAACCCATGTCTCTTTTCCTCAAACGCTCAAACCACCCCGTACGCATGATTATGCATAACAAGAAACTACCCGTGCGCATGCTGTTGGTGTTAAACCACATCCTTCTTCTCTCGTCGGCAAGTAGGTCAAAGAAAGGTGTGGTGTCGAGCACGCCAAAAAGAAAAAAAGTGTCCGTGGATGACGTCGTTGAGGCCAGACCCACTTTCCCGTTTTGACGCACAGTCGAACACGACACAGCCACCAGCGTGCCTGCCGCCTGCCGAGAGGGCACCTGCGAAGTTGGGAATTACCTAAGCTCTTAACCCCATCCACCTGCCGAACCGAACCATGCTCTCTCAAACGGATCGGACGACGGCCCTGCGGACGACAGCACTGAACAGACGATGGTACTGGCGGCGGGAATGCACTGTGGCGAATGCGGATGGTGAGGGGGGAGGATGGGTGGGGTGGGCCGCACCCACTGTAATGGAGAAGCTCCCCCCCCTTGCAGGATGCATGGAAGCCGCAGTCGTTGCAATTGAAGGTTCGTGCCTCGCAAACCGTAAGCGTTCCCTGTTTCAGAGGCGAGCGCCACGTTGTGAGGTGCCCCAGTTGATGGGTGGGCCGCCGGGCAATCCGCGCATCATGCACTCCAGTGTTCTGTTGCGGTAACGCGGTTTCACTTCTATTTTCGAGGTCGCAGCCGGGGGGGCAGGCGCCGCAGTTGTGCATCTTAAAGCCACCGGGTTTTACGTCCGGACGTTCACTTTGTCGTTCGTTTTTTGGGGTTGACACCAAGATTTTCTCTTTCCCTTGCCTTTCATCCTCACCCCCATCAACCGGCCGCAGCAAGCCGGTGCCGCTTACTCACTTTAGCTTTTTGGCAGGGGAAGGATGCCAGCAACAAAAGGAGAGACGCGGACAAGCGAATCAACGGGCCGACCTCACCAACAACATTCAGGAGCGCTTGTCTGGCGCCGAATCGATCAACCCTGGAGCGCGATCCTTCGCGCTTCTTGGAGGGAATTGATGGGTTTCCGCCTCAAAACCCACTCTCGCAATGGCCCGACGATGGCGAGGGAGAAAAAGCGCTCACGCACCAACGTGTAATAGCTCCGTAACATTACTAACAAACTACCATGTGGCGCTTGTGGGCGTGGGTACTGCACGCACCATCGCGTCTTGAAACTCTGACCAGCCGCCACTTGCCAGCAATGTCAGCAAATTAGCGCTGTTTTGGACGTATTTTTCGTGGATTGTGGGATAAGCGCCGTTATCGCCGACGTAACAAGTCCAAGCCCCGAGGCAGTCAGTCGGCGTTGGTACATATGGATACGTGGATGAACGGGAAAACCTAGCTCCTCTAACTTCCAAGCGACACTAGAAGGGCTAACGCTAGGCTGCATCCGCAGCATATTACCCGCTGTATAGGTGGCGGGTGTGTTGGTTGCTCATCTCTCTTGAGGGAACTGGTAGTCTGGTTCTAGTAAACACAAACGACTGGATGGGACGACCGTTGGGCGTTGGCACCGCGGACCCTGTCACCTCGGCGCTTATTAGGGTACTAGCCGCGGTAATCACGGCTTGTTGGGCCCTAGGAGCCCCGGCGATCTCTAGTTACAGCACAAATTTACAGGGCATCTCCGCATCAGTGGCGGAGGAGCTACAGGGTGCTTCAGGGACTCCCGCTCCGGGATTGCCGGATGCCATCACCAACTTCCAGGGTGGTGGTGTGTGTTTGCTTTGCCGTCGACGCCGAGGGCACCGACACACATAGGCGGTCTGAAAAGGCTGACCAAGAAGCGGCGATTGCGCGTAGCCACCCACACCTCCCACACCTCGGAATGGAATGGACTGATTCATGCACTTCACAGCCTGGAAGTCATGTGAGCGACCCAGCGCTCCTTCCCGCGGGTCCGCACGTATTCCGTACTCCAGTACGGAGGAGCTGACCAATCGCGCAAGGCTCATACGTACTTTAACCGACCTTACCCTACCTTAGGTACCTGCTTTCAGCAAAAACTCGGTACGTGCCCCGGTGAGAACCTCAGTACCGAGAGGTCCCGCGCAACTTGCCGGGGTCCCGCGGATTTCCGCAAGACCCGATCCCCATTTATTTCCCTCTTCACGGCCTTCAAAGTGGCCAGCAGCCCCGCGCCGCACCCGCCTGGCAGCCCGGAATCAAGTCACTGGGCTCGGATTTCCCTTATTGGACAGGGCACCCCCCCCCCCCCCCCCAAACCCGGGCCAAGCAGGAGCAGGCCGAGAGAGTTGCCCTTTTCAGCCACACTGCTGCGGGTTGGCCACATTCCCACGCCCTAGCCAGGTTTCACAGCCAGCACCTCACATTAATTATATGGATGGAAGACTGCATTTTCCCAAGTGAGCTCCAAGTTTCGAGACAGACTGTTCTGCAATGCCCCCAACTCGTATTTGTCCCCTTTATCACCCCAGAGCCAACGACCAATAACCGACCGAATGCAGATGTGCATGAGATAGGATGGCGGGTGGCTGCAGGGCGTCGGGCTGTTTCGCACTCACATGTGCTGCTGCAAGCAATTTGAACGGACTTCCACGTTGTAGACCTACAATTTGCTCGTGGCTGAACTTGGAATCTGGGGGGGGGGGGGGGGGGTTTGTGAGCATGTTGGGCGCGTTGGGGCTGCCATTTCCCATTTCCGGGGAGTTCGCTGATGTTACCTTACCCGGGGTCGCAGAAGTTGGTGCTCACCGGCTCCCGAATCCCGGATTAGTGGAACGACGTAAGGTACTTGTTTCTTCCGTCACACGACAGGACGCACGCCACCAACAGTCAATAACAAGAATCCGTGTCGGAAATTAACCAGCTGCGAGGATATGGCAAGGCAAGTGTGTTGGCAACAGAGTGTGACGAACCGAACCAACTGCGCAATTTGACACAGGGCCGTCAGGAACAGAAGCTAGCAGCACACTTGAGCTGGTAGGGTCGGTTACACTGCACCTCGCCGCCGTCTCCCGACTATAGAGTAAATTTAATAGCATAGATTAAACGCCGATCAGCGATCGGGGTCGGCGATATCAAGGAGGCGTTTTTTGCGATTCTCGGATGAGGACGGAGCGCGGACTTGGTTGTCGGACAGATGCAAAATGCAGCCCTCCAAGCAGCAAAAATGCCCTACAAGTGTCAACCAAGTGGCTCCTTGCTTTTGCGAGGTGAGCTTGGTGGGAGACGCAGCCGGAATCTCCATGGCGTGGATTTTGGATAATGACAGAAATCAGGGCGTTCAGACGAGACAACATCGGCCTAGAAATGCATCTTCAAGTACGAACGAGTTTCAATAAAACAAAACAGGATCAGGCTGATTGTGCACGCAGTGGCAGAGTCGGGCAGGCTGCCGGATTTTCCACCGGCGCGGCCCGGTCGCTAAAGGAGATAAGGGATGAACTCGGACTACGGACCGACGTCTTCGGTCTCGGGACATCAGACGACGGCCAGGCAGACTCGCGACTCGGCTCGGACTGAGCAACCACCGCCAGAGCCGCATCCTTCGGACATGTGAGCAGGTTTCGTGGGCGGCTATTAGATTCCCGCGCCAAACTGTTTCAAGAGGCTGTTTTTGCAGCTAGACACCGTCAGCCTAATTCTTGCGAGCGTGCCTCTTGGATATGGACATCTCAATCATGTTTGTTCGGTTTATCTGGCGGAGTGGAGTACGGTGGTGTCTCTTATCTCGGTTACCCCTGAAAACAGTGTAGAATTACTCCATAAGACTCCACCGCACAGGAAAGGGAATTTCCCAAATGCCGCACACAGGATGGAGCCTTGAGAGGAATTACCGCAAAATGTCCTCCATCAATAACAGAATAGGGCCTGTGGCTCAGTTGGTAGAGCGTTCGCTTAGCAGCTTCGCTGGGTTGTGTCTCGGCAGAGACGTCGCCCGGCTTATGTCCTGCGAAAGGTCCTGGGTTCGATTCCCAGCTCGTCCAGATTTGCAACGAGGATTCCAGTTCCGGAGCTCTTCATCTTTTTTCCATACCTATCCATGATTGGCTTGGCTTTTTTTGGCTGGTCATACTCTTTTTCCTCTTTTTTCTTATCTTCTTTGTCTTGGAGGCCTGGTCGGTATCGAGATTATACTATAGGGTAAAATGATTCTGGACGGCAGGCCACCTCAAGTCTTCTTTCTAGAACCATTTTACTTAGATATCAGCAGCTGGAGTCCGTTCAAATCTTCAGCAGATATCTATTATCTTTTACCAGGTGTATTTGCACTAAATGGAGTCTTCTAATCGTTTATGTGGAAAATATTGTGGCACGATTGGTTGGTTGCCTTGAACCGTATGGTCTCATTCTAAAATTCACAACATGAGCTACTAGGAGAACGAAAACACCTATACGACATGTGAACCACATCTTTGATTCACTTTCACAGAGATCGATCAACGCACCCCTAGATCATTTAATTCTGTATTTCCTGTTTTGCTATCAAAATCTCTCCAAAGTCTCTTCTTTTGGTCTTATGGCGATTACCGCGGCGACAGACAGCCTCAGATCTTAACGGTAACGGCAAACACACCGGCGCCGGCTCCTACGTAGGCGACATTCTTGTCCTTTTCGGTGCGGCCAAAGGCGCACGAGGTGGAGCCGGTGACGCTGCCGACGGAGACGGGTGCGGGCTTGGCGGCCGTGGGGTCGACCTCGACGAGCGAGTTGCGCGAGTTGGTGGCGACGTAGATCTTGCCGTTGGGGCCGAAGCACAGGTCGTCGCCCATGAGATTGGTCCACAGCGTGGTGAAGGCGCCCTTGGCCTTGGCCGTGACCTCGTCGACGGCGACCTTGTGGAAGCTGTTCTTGAAGATGTTGGTGTACCACACGGTACCGTCCTTATACTTGATGCCGTCGATACCGAACGGAATGCCGCCCGAGGGCGCCATGGTCGCGTCCGTCAGCACCACCGAGTACTCGCCCGTCACCACGCTGAAGCGGTACACGCTGCCCTTGCCGGCGTCGGCCACCAGCACGGTGCTGTTGTCGAACACGGCCAGCCCGTTGAGGTTGTTGGCCTCGGTGATGGTCTTGATGAGTGACGACTTGGGCGTGCCGCCGGAAAAGTCGACCTTGTAGATGCCCTTGCCGCCGATGACGGCAAAGACGTCGGGGGCGTACTCGCCGATGCCGCTGAGCCCCGAAGCCCCCGTCACCGAAATGGCCGTCGACGACGTCTTGGCCACGGGGTCAATGGCGTACAGATTGGCGCTGTTCATGTTGGTCGCCAGAACCTGCCCATTGGACCGGACCGCGATGTTCTCGATGGAGCTGAGCCGGACCACTTGTGCTGCCGTCTGCCGCGGCTCAATGGCCGCCGCGCTCGTGAGAGACGCGAAGAGGGGTAGGGCCGCCCCGAAGAGGGCTGGAAGCTGAATCATGGTGGGTGGGCGAGCCTGGGTGAGGGGAAGAAGAGAACGAAGAAAGCAGCGTGGAATAAGGAAGCGAGGACAGAGCAGAGCAGAGTTGAGAAAATATTATCAGGTAGGTTGCCCAGGCGGTACGGCGAGACGATATTCCCCCCTCAATCTCTCTGTGTCACTACCACTTCACCCCAGTCAGTCTGGGCAACTTTAGTTGCAATTGCGCCGACACGGGCAGTATATATAGGTCTTGGCGCCTCCGTCGCAAACTTTGAAAGATATTGGGCGAGGGTGCAGCCTAAATTCCGCAAAGGACAAGGCGTGCTAGTCTTGGAGTTGTTGCTGGCGGGGGGGCAATCTGGCTAATGCCGGGGCCTGTCGTCTAGAATCGCCCAATTCGGCAACACGGTTGGCCGGCTCCATCCGAGGCGTGCTATTTTCCGCTCGGGACCCGGAATCTAGTACTGCGAGCCGATGCCAGTGCAAATTAGACGTCTCGTGAGAGTGAAATTGAGTACATTGCCAGCTTCCCAGGTGTTGGATAGCTTCCTCCAACGCCGGGGATATAGCTCCGGGGATATAGCGACAACAAACAGTACAACCGTAACCAGGACTAGTTTCTGCTCGCTGTGCGCCAATAAAAATTATCGACTCTTAGCATTGGTGGGCAATACCAGTTATCTCGATAATCTAGGAACCAAGATTGTGTGGCATGAATGTGGCGATGTCAAGCCATACAGCTGGCCATCCTGGCTCGCAACATAGGCCCTCCTGGCTCGCAACCTAGACCCTCATCGCCCTGCCCTGGGTGCCCACCTGGGACCCAGTCTTCAGGCCGTCAAAGGTTTATATAAACCCGGCCTTCTTTCAGTTAGAACCAAGACAATCAGACAGCATCTTCCAACCACTTCATCTCACTACAGATGGTTAGACTGTCAAGAGATTTACCAAAGTTCGTATCCTACGCCTTGCTCGTTTCTTCATGCGCATTGAAACCGCCCCTAAGGTGCCGAAGATATAGTCGAATACGTAGGATAAAACTCGCCGGAAGGTCTGGTTCCAGTTGGAACGTGTAACTCTGCACGCGACTAATTAGAATGGATGTCAGTTGCAGTCCTAAGTCTTTGTTTGTGGTGGTGTTTAGATGGCCACCCTTACCACGGCCATGCGCCCCACAAGCAGGGACGATGGGTAAAACGCAGAAAAAAAAATAGAATTCGAGCTTGTAGCTCACGAAGGATGGCCCATCTAATGTGGTGATTGACTGGGTCATTGTCGAATCCAGGAGCCTCGAACTGGTGGCAGTATCTCCCCAGCAGTCCATACCGTGTATTACGAGAGGAATGTAGGATGAGCGGGACTCAGCTCGCTGCTGGATAATGGCCGTTGTCCGCCCTACACTCAGAATATTGCCAGTGTTCAATCTTGGCTACAAAACCCACTCATCCCGACTTATACAAACTACGGGAAGTTAGTTTGAGTCACGAGTGTGAGGGACGATGGCCTCAGCTCAGTTCAGCTGACTTGAAGGCGCTAGTTTAGAATTGCACATGGAGCCACGGTGGATAGTGGCGGAATTAAGAAAGCCCAGCGCTTCCGTGTTTGGAGCCGAGACTTGCCGGCTGCGGGGAAGTTTGAGGAGGCCAGCCTGGGGAAAGGCGAGTCTTGTGGCCTGGGGCCCCGCAATTCAGAGGCCAACGACGCCGACGACCGAGTTCCTGGGACTGGAAGTTTGAACATCTTGTGGCCCCATTGCTTGCAACCCCGGCCTCGCCCATCGTCAGCTGCAGCCGCAAGATCCTCCGCCATCTGAGGTAGGGGATATATACTGCGACATCTTGTTGAACAGTTGCACCTTGCGAGCCTACATTGAACATGTTTGATCTCAATTCTGCTCAGTGTTGACGTCACTCCGACTTTGACTGCACTTTGCATTGCGCTTTGACCTTGTGACCCCACCCCCTACTGCCTGTCTGATCCGCCCCTTTTAATCGTCACAAACAGACATAAAAAAAAATCCAAATTACTGCCCAACACCATGGCTGCCAATGCCGAGCAGACGGACGTGCTCATCTGCGGCAGCGGCTCAGCCGGCCTGTGCGCGGCCATGTGGCTGTCTCGCTTTGGCATCAACTATAAGATCCTCGAGCAGCGCGACGGGCCATTGAAGGTGGGCCAGGCCGACGGCGTGCAGACGCGCACCGTCGAGATCTTTGATAGCTTCGGCATTGCCGAGGCCCTGCTGAAGGAGTCGTACCACGTGCTCGAGATTGCCTTTTGGGCCGCCGTGACAGCGGACGGCGCGGGCGCAGACGTCAAGGAGGGCATCCGGAGGTGGCGCTATGCGCCCGACAAGGAGACCGAAGTCAGCCACCAGCCACATGTCATCCTCAACCAGGCCCGCCTGAACGCCCTCATGATCGGCGACCTGGAGGAGGGCGGCGTGCCGGCCCCCATCGAGTACGACTGCGAGGTCAAAAACGTCGAGGTGGACGAGGCGGCAGCAGCGGCAGACCCCGCCGCGTACTGCGTCACGGTCGACACGGTCGAGGGCGGCGTCGAGAAGAGCTACCGGGCCAAGTACGTGCTGGGGTGCGATGGGGCCCACAGCATCGTGCGCAGGTCGCTCGGGTTCAGGATGCTGGGCGACAGCACCGAGGCCGTGTGGGGCGTCATGGACGTCTACCCGCTGACCGACTTCCCCGACATCCGCAAGAAGGCGGTGCTCAACTCGAGGGCCGGCAACCTGCTGGTCATCCCGCGCGAGGGCGACGCCATGGTGCGCTTCTACATCGAGCTGCCGGCGGGCACGCGCGTGGCCGACGTGACGCTGGCCGACCTGCAGGCGCGTGCGCGCCTCATCTTCGCACCCTACGCCATGGACGTGGCCGAGACGGCGTGGTGGTCCGCCTACGCTATCGGCCAGCGCCGCGCCGACTTCTTCCACCAGGCCCATCGCGTCTTCCTCACCGGCGACGCCTGCCACACGCACTCGCCCAAGGCAGGCCAGGGCATGAACGTCAGCCTGCAGGACGGCCACAACATTGGCTGGAAGCTGGGCATGATCCTGCGCGGCCTGGCCGCTTCGGCGCCGCTGCTCGAGTCGTACATGATCGAACGCGAGCGCACCGCCACCGAGCTGATCGAGTTCGACCGCGGCTTCACGCGCCTGTTCAACACAAAGTACCGCCACGACAACGGCATCAGCACCAAGTTCTTCGCCCAGCAGTTCGTCAAGGCCGGCCGCTACACGGCCGGCCAGGCCATCCATTACGACGACTCGGCCATCACGGACGCAGCGGGCGGCGGGCAGGACCTCGCGCCCAGGGCGCCCGTCGGCATGAGGTTCCCGACCGCGCAGGTCGTGCGCTTCTGCGACGCCAAGGCCATGCAGCTCGTCAACGCGCTGCCAGCCACTGGCGCATGGTACCTCGTCGTTTTTGCCGGGAATGTGTCTCAGGCGGAGAGTGCAGGACGCCTAGAACAGGTTTGCTGTTGTTTCCTTTCCAAGCATTTACCTTGTCGGCGTATGACGGCGGCATCTACCCATTGAGCTGACACTCTATGGCCGCAGGTATCCGGAGCTCTCGAGCAGGTGGTGCATCGCTTCACGCCGCCGGGTGCGGACCCGGATACGGTCATCGACCGCGTCCTTGTTCTCGCGGGGGACAGAAAGAAGGTCGAGCAGGGAGAGATTCCTGCCTTCTTCACGCCTGCCACGGGCAAGTGGAAGATGAAGAGTATGTCGCCTACACCCTGAATTCTTACAAAGACTGCATGTTGACACAGCTGCTGCCAGACTTGACCAAAGTCTTTGCCGACGACGAGAGCTACAACTCCGGCCACGGACACGCCTACGAGGCATACGGCATCGCCTCCCAAAGGGGCGCTATTGTCGTGGTGCGGCCAGATCACTGTGAGTCACGGGCTCCCAGCACAAGCCCTAGCACAAGCCCCAGCCATGAGGATGCGGACTGACACCATTTGTTCTGCAGATGTGGCCAAGATTGTGCGCCTTGAAGACGCCTCGTCGCTGGGCGAGTTCTTTGGGGCCTTTCTCACCGCCCAATCATGAGATGATGGGATGTGAGGTTCGGCAAGGGTTTATTTGTTTCCATACCCGCCAGCTAGTATATTATGGGTGCTTGAGGGAGTGGGGTGGTTCATTAACTAACACTGCTGGTAGAGTGGTCTTTCCTCTTGTGGTGTATATGTAATATAGATACAGGCACGCTGCTTGTATTCGCCTTTCCCTTGACCCCAGAACTGCAAATAGAGGGCGAGAAGTGATAAGACCAGACTTCCATTAATTCCTCAAGGATCATCGTTAATAGAGAACAAAGAGGCTTTGGCTGAGTAACAAATCCCTCAGACCTTGCAGGATCCTGGATGCGTTGGCTTCAATTGGACATTCTATTCTTTCCTATCGTCTTTGAGCTCAGATCGAGCGGCTTTTAGTAAGGGTCTAATACAACTTCTAATAGAAAGTACGAGATTATACGCAGCGTACTTGACAGCGATGCTCAGTTTCCAGTACCCAGCTGCGCTACATCACTCCATCGGAATCCACTTCGACCCCTCCTCGAGCACCTCCTGTCCAATTTCGTCCCACCGTGGATTCCTGTCCGTGCCTTTCATCGCCTACACAGCCGGATCGGCGCTCACAATCTCCTCGAACCTGTTGCACAGCTTAATGTTCACCACGCCCGCCCCGTGCATGAACCCGTGGAGATAGCACTCGCCGACGGCCGTCCACGTGTCTTCATACTGCCGCGATGGCCGCAGCAGCAGCGGGTGACTTGCGCCGGCAGCGGCGAAGACATGGTCGCCGGCTTCGACGCGCCACCCCCCGCCACCCTCATGCCGATCAGCTGGTTGAGCGTGACGAAAAAGGCCCGGTCTCTGGCGCAGTTCATCATGTAGTCAGTGCCGCGTGCGTCGTGATCTGACAGGCCTGCTAGATCGCAGGCCTATCGAGGTTGGTGCACGGGTCGAGGTGGAGCAGTCGGATTTCGTTGCGGGAAGGGTTGAGCTCGCCGGCCGTTTCCATGGCCGTCTTTGGCACTTGATGCTATCGTGTAGTGGCGGAGATTGCGGATGGCGGTGGCATCGGCAATCCCCTCAATCTCAGAACTGGCATTGACATTGGCATTGGCATTGGCATTGGCATTGGCATTGGCATTGGCATCCATTTCGGGCTGTGCAACCATTCCGTCTCTCCACGGCCAAAAGCGTCCCAGACTCCCAATGCAGCCTAGTTCAGGCAGTTCCAGTCAGCCCAGGTTTTGCCATTGAGATTTGCAGTCAAGGCCAATAATGACACTCGCTGGAATATCTGGTACCGTGTTTTTTGTTTGTGCCGCAACCTGTGCGCCTTTTGTGTTTTGCTTCCGCGCTACAGCAAAGGCCTTTTTTCCCCCCCAGACCTTCTGCACCTAGCCTGGTTCATACCCACGAGCAGGCCAATTGTCGACGGTTCAACGGAGCCTCATTCGGAGATATTCGTGGAGAAATGGTAAGGCGCTGATGGAATTCGAGGGGCGATTATCTCTCAGTGCAGAAGGCATGATTAGATCCAATAATGTGAAATGTGTTTGTGGCAGGGACGCGACTCCGGCAGCCCCAGGTTGGGAAGCCGCGACGTGCGAGAGGTCCCCTCGTACTCGTACGGTACATACCAGGGGCTTGATTGGCCAGAGCCCTGGTGATCGAAAACGTCACGAGACTCTGCCCCCGAATTTGACGACGGCCATTCCACGACCATCGGAGACTGAGCAATCCAAATACCATTCCAACCACACGTGCGACTTATTAGCGCCACCGCCCAAATTCACTGCCGACCTTACCTGACTTATTAAGTAGCCAACAAATAATGGAAGGAGCCAAGATGACGACCGGCCTCGCTTTCTTTTTCCGTCTGCCAGGGGAATTGCGCAATCGCATCTACGAGGACCTCCTCATCGTCTCGCAGCCCATATCCATTTACAGGAGGGACATGGTGCTCGACGCTCCCGCCAACGCCTACTCGCACGACGAGCTGGACGCTGACAGCCAGTGGCCCCTGTCTCTCAGGCTTCTTGGCCTCTTTCTGGCCAGTCGCCAGATGCACGCCGAGGCCAGCTCTGTCTTCTTCTCGCAAAACTGCTTCACCATCCCGCCCGTCGTGGATCCCTGCCGACGAGTGCGGTTGCACGCGCCTGTCGAGACGCTGCTCTTGCTGCGTTATTTCCTCGACTGCATTGGCCCCCGAAACGGCGCCTTGCTTAGACACATTCGCCTGCCCTTCACCGTCACCCCCGTGGAGTGCATCACGTTCGGCAAGGCCAGCTTCCACACGAGCAAAGACGTCGCCCAACGCACTAGCCTGCTGCCCACCCTGTACAGCCGCTGCCCAAACCTCCAGTCGCTCGAGTTCCACGCCCTGTCCAGCGTGGCCTTTGAGAACCACCTCTGCGCCTACATGGACTCGCCCGTCGCCAGCCGCGTCCTCGCCGTCTTCAACGCCGCCCTCCACGCCCGGTTCCCCCTGCTCGACAAAGTCACTATCTCCCTAAACGAGGACATGCTCGTCGTGCCCTGGCGCAAGGGCCGGGTGAGCCACGCGAGCGACCGCTGGTGGGAGCCCCTGCGCGCGCAGATGCGCGGTTACGGCTGGACCGTCGTGGACTGGGGACTTGAGCCCGATGCGGCCAAAAACCCAGGCTGCGAGAGCCCAATGCGGCCGCCGCCAGAGCCTAGACCCGTCGCCTCGGTGCCCCCGATCGCCGGGGCCAAGGTTGCAGGGACGCGGCAATGGCGTGCCGGGAGGGCTGTCTGGAGAATGGCCAGGCCCGCGGTCGTGCTGCCGGCCACCGTGGTCGCGCACCCTGTGCGGGTTGCAAGGACCTACTCGCACTAGCGTGGTCGTTTGATGTGAAATTATCGGCGCATGGCTTTTGCTGAGCAGCAGCGCTTGTGCTGGGAAGCGTGGGTCTGCGGGACTGGCAGGATCTAACCGAGTTGTTGTCTAGTCGTTGCCTTTGCCCACGCGTCGAAAGGGAGAACCGGAAATCGGTTGGCAGGTATCTGGTATTCTTCCTACCGACATCAAATGGGACCTGCAATGATCGTTTCCTGCTAGGAGGAGGATGCCGAGAGAAGGATGCTTACTCGCTGGTCCGAGTCGGATAACCCTACTTCGATTTCTCAGGTGCTGGCGAGGCATGGGTAATGGATTGGGACTAGCCTAGGAAATCGTCCCAGCCCCTGGCCCTTTGGAGTTACCTCGCCCGAAACTAGGAGCCCGATTACTAGGTTTTACTTTGTAGGTAGCAGCAAGTTGTTGGCGCTAAAGCCTCGTGCCGCTGTAACAATCGCCCGAAGCGGGATTCACCTGGATTGTTCCATTCAATGAGGCTCGGAAACTCGGCGGCACCAGTGGATCCCTCTCAGACAACTCACAGGCAGCCCCATCCATCCAAGGCGGCTCCGAAACCCGAAGCTCGGCGGCACAATAGATACTGTCAGAAACACTGCACACTGGATCTTGTGGAATTGATGGGGTTGCAATTGCTTGATTGTATTGCCCTCAATTCTAGGCTCTCTGGCTCTGCCAGAGAGCATTTCTTATAGCCATGGCCAGGTGGCGAGGTTATTGCGCGTCTGTGGCTAATAGTGACAAATTCATGATTCTAGCACCTTCTAGAATCTCCCTTCTTTCTGATAGTGACAAATCCATGATTCCAGCACCTTCTAGAACCCCCCCTTTTTTCTGACAGATACCTTTCGGACAACGTGCCATCCCACGGATGCCACCAACGATCTCAAACCTTGATCGGCCGAAACCCAGGCCTCTCAGAGGCAAAGGCTGCGAAACCGACTATGGTGTCCATCTATCAATATGGCGGGGGGGCAAGGTGCCCGGCATTGGAGGATCGGAGGCGTAATTACCTACCTAACCACTCTGTCAAGTCCGTTCAACCCGTGGCGAGTGCAGTCCTTCCTTGCCAAAACAACCCCACACACATTCCCTCGACCTCGTCAGCCATGCTATGACGCTGTGACGGCGTGACCATGCCAATAGGGCGAAACAATGTTGCAAGCCCCAGACTGATGCCGGGTTTCCAAAGTGACTGAGCCTTGCGACGGGAAGCGGAGGAGGCCAATTAAGACACAAAGCGAGCCCCCTGGTGCATTATTTCTTTACACCGGCACCTTGTAGTTTTTATGTAACTAATAGTTTTTATGTAACTAATAGTTGTATATAATCATTTAGATGGACCGACCTCATCAATCGAGCATCCTCATATCCCGACAGAAGCAACACCACTGTCACCTCGTCGAATGTACGCAACTTCACAGTCTGCCCTTGGTTTGCTCGTCCCACCAGACTCTTTAGCATCTATGCCCTCACCTCACCTTTCCCACATGAAGAGGGGAGCCTCACCATGAGCGCCAATACTGCAATTACTCTTGTTACGGGCCTTTTCACGAGTTCGAAACCGCCAACGAGGCCTGCAAGCAAGCCACGCTGAAGGCCGGCAAGAGGTTCAAGGAGGCAAATGCGAAGGAAAATGAGGCTCAAGGCTTCCCCGATTTGCCGGCAGCGAGAAAAGCAGCCGATATGGTCAAATATATGAATCCCGTATGGTTTGAATTCGACATCCAGGACAAAGAACAAGATGCAATCTGGACAGAAGACATTATTTTCAGGCTCAGAGTTACGGATATGATGATGCTCGGCCCTACACCAAAGGGACCGGGTTACCCAAATAATTAGGCCCTCTTCTTCAGTGTTGCTTACGATTTAGAAAAGAAGAGCTCGACGACAAGAGAGAAAACCACAATACAAAGAAAGGTACGATTAGGGCTGGACAGGACTGACACCAAGATCATTTAAAAGAACTAGGGTGGCACACAGGTCAACGGTTTCTTGGCTAAGGTGACCTTCCACGCGCTCGATGTTACCCGGGGCACCAAAAACCCAGAGAGTTGGGCTGGGTACCAAGTAGCAGCGGCACACACCATCGAGGCGGACATGTCGGGCACATTTAGCGATGCACTCGCTATCATGTTAACTGGAGGGCATGGTATTTACGGCCGCTTTCGTTATGTAGCGGATCCGATCACCACGGTGTCTAGGGGTGGTAAGGGACAACGGAGGTTCTATTGGATGGCAAGTACCCGAAGGCAAGCCAGCACCTTGAACCCAGCGTCGAATTGGAGCCTTGGAAATAGTGTTGGTTTAGAATATCAATACCGATGAAATGACATGGCGTATCTGTGCGAATTATTTCCAAGTTCGCGTTCGAGTCTTATGCTACTGAAAACAGACTATAGAAACCCCTACGGCTAAGGCTCGATTAATTACGGAGAGATTAGTCTGTTTAAGAAGCCGTAATGCACGCTCCTTCGCTCCTTTTCGGTTTTACGCAAAACCTTCAAATACTGCTCAACACCAAGGCCAAAGGGCTGATAGACACAAACCCCTTATCACTGGATTACTATGCGGCAAAGATTGTAATTAAATATCCACCTCTCGAAGTTGATAAACTCCATGAAGTGATGCAGTAAGCACGCCGCAGAATCAGGGGAACTGCGGTTGCCATCAAATAGTGTTGCCAAGCCGGGAACCAAATGTGGTAATAAGCGTCCATTGTTGCCCGGATATTGAATGCAACCCTTCACGTCATTTCCCCACAACTAAGCTCTGACGGGTGATTCCGAAGCTAGGATTCTTTCTGTCAGCTTTCATTTGCTCGATGCATAAATGTGGCGTTGCCGTTCCCGTCTCACCTGTACTTTGCATGCGGTTTGCCACAACAACCGCGACGGAAATGCGTAGAGGGAAAGGCGCAAGGTTCCAGAATCCAGAAACGGTTTTGCTGGGAAGCTGGCAAATTGACATGACCTGACACTGGTATCTGTTGCTTCCAAACAATACAGGCAACGTGGCCAATATCCCCAGGCTCGGCTGCAACGGTACGTACTTCATTTGGTGAAGGTTTGCAAGATGCGGAAGGATCGAAAAAGTTAGAAACGGCTAGCAGACGGGAGCCGGGGCGCCGCCATTCCGGACCGGGATTCGGAATTCGTGCCCTCCGACATGCGATAGGTGGGGTAGGGTATAATAGGGGTATTTCGGTTGCCTAGGTAAGTAATGGACACTAGTCACAAGCAGGTAAGTAATCTATATCCGCAATATTGAGCGTTTTCCTTCACATGTTCCAACATTGTGTATGCCAATATCACGACAATCAGAACACGCAGACGTTTGCAGAAAGGTTTGCCCAGTCAATCCTTTTTTAATCGGGCCCAGCATTTCGACCACCTAGACTGTTAGCAGCCCCCCCACCCCCTCTTGATCACGGCATCGTTTAATCCCGTGATGCCACTCACATGTTTGAACGGATACTTGCTGCCAGTCGTAGGCACCCCCCACAGCCAATCTGTACTCCAGCAACCTCAGATTCCCACGTTGCAATGCGGGGCAAATACATGAGAAATCACTCTGCCTTGAGACGAAATTTGCGGGGACGGGGGCTTGCTAGCAGCCCGAATGCTACACAGCGGACGGTTGAGCTTGCAGCCAGGGATTTGCCGCAGTGGCTCTTTTCCCGAGGCCTATAGGGACCCCCAAAGCGCTTCTAACCAATCAGTAGGGAGACGGCAGCTTGAAACTTGGACACGGAGCTCCTCGAATGGCCGAGTCATGGCCACTTACAATCGCACCGTGGAGTGAATCCCACATCAAACAAAACATGTCCAAGCTGCTGCGACCTCGTCCTCCAAGTCGGTCATTGCAACACCGGGCTGCACAACTCATGCATGGCCGGTACATTCCCCGCCAGCCCCCGGCCACATCATCATTTCCAATACCTTATCCAAATACGGTATGTACAGTACCTACATGCACCTCCCTCTCCGCGCGGAACATTGCTGCTGCCAAGTTGCTTATCTACCGGGTACCTTGAAGCTGGCCGGAATTGTAGCTCGTTCAGCACGGGAGCATGCATCGGGGTCTCGGGCGCGGGCAATGTCCGTTCATGTGAATCAGACCATCTCATCTTCGCATTCTTCTCGAATTGACGCATCTGCTATGAGTCGCGAGTGACTTGAGGGTCAATTTGCTCTGATATATAAATTGTCTGCGCTTCTGGCTTTCCCTGTCGAGGTGTTTGTTTCGATGCCGCTTTTAGGGTTGGTCCACTTCCTCCTTTTCACTACCCCCAAGCGCTGAAAGCTAGCAACAGTGTCCGGGTATTTGTGCTTGGAGAACTAGGCACTGAAAATCACGCACTAAATCCCAAATTCGCTGCATTTCTTCCGCTCCTGTGGGTGGGTGTGAATTTTACAACCATGTATCCAACGATGGCAAATGTTGACCGTTGGACCCTGGCGTATGGCGTCTTGGCTCTGGTAAGCAATAAGCTTTGACCCATACCCCCTTTTTTCTATACTGTTGTTTTTGCGCCACGCCATGTGCCAAGACTAACGGAGTGATGCATGTCAGATTGGTGCTACGACACTCTTCAACATGGCCTACAACATCTTCTTCCATCCGCTGCGGTCCTTCCCCGGCCCGTTCTGGCACCGAGCTTCCCGCCTTCCGTTCGCATGGGACGCGATTCGAGGCAATAATGCCCGGCATATGTACGACATGCATCAAAAGTACGGACGTGTGGTACGCGTCGGGCCGAACCACCTGTCCTTCACCGACGTCCAGTCCTGGAAGGACATCTACGGCCACCGGACGGGAGCCCAACACTCGCAGACGCCCGAGCATGCCAAGAGCACCGTCTTCTACCGCAGCATCCCCAACGTAGCCAAACACATCATCAACGCCGACCGTAGCGAGCACACCCTGCTTCGCCGCGCCATGTCGCACGGCTTCAGCGACAAGTCCATTCGCAACCAGGAAGTGCTGATCAAGCGCTACGTCGACCTGCTGGTGAAGCGCCTGCACGAGAACTGCAGCGATGGCGAGAAGCCGCTCAACATGGTACCCTGGTACAATTGGACAACGTTTGACATCATCGGAGACCTCGTATTCGCCGAGTCGTTTGGCTGCCTGGAGGAGCAGCGCTATCACCCCTTTGTGCACATGATCATCAAGACCATCGCTGTGGGCGGCATCAGGGTCTTCACCGGCTATTTGAACTTGGACTTTGTCGCAAACTTCATGATGGTTATCAGCTCTTTCCAGAGGCCTTTTCTGGAGCTGATCGAGGGCATGCACGTCAAGCTAAAGAAGCGCCTTGAGAATCCCGTCGAGCGCGATGACCTTTTCGAGGGTCTGATGAAGCATCGCAAGGATTGGGCAAGTGGCCGCCCCTTGAATCCCCCTTCAACCAGCCCCAACCAGAACAACACTAACTCAAACACCTCAGAACCTGGAGATGAAAAGCCTGCAATCCAATGCCGTCATCATCGTGGTGGCTGGGTCCGAGACGACTGCCACGCTCCTCAGCGGCGTGACATACCTCCTGCTGTCAAACCCTGAAGCGATGGAGAAGCTGAAGCACGAGGTGCGGTCGACGTTCAAACGGGCCGACGAGATCACGTTCGCGTCGGCAGGGAAGCTGCAGTACATGCTAGCGTGCCTCAACGAGGCGCTGCGGCACTACCCGCCGGCGCCCATCAACCTGGTGCGCGACGTGGCGCCGGGCGGCGCGGTTATCGCCGGCCACGCCGTGCCCGAGCGCACCATGGTCGAGAGCAGCCAGTGGGCCATGTACCACGACGACGAGTACTGGCGTGAACCCTGGGCCTTCAAGCCCGAGCGCTTCCTCGTCGACGAGTCCACGGCCGACGGGACCGAGGGCGAGGCAAGAGACATGTTCGAGGCGCTGCAGCCGTTTAGCTACGGGCCACGCAACTGCATTGGGCGCAAGTGAGTTCTGTTCTCCTCCTCTCCATTTCGTGCAACTGCTAGACCCTAGAGGCTGCAGAGTGGCGCAGTGATGAGACTTGAGAGGAGCGACTGCAGACTGACCGTGATATAAACAGCCTCGCCTACGCCGAAATGCGCCTCATCCTCGCCCGCATCATCTTCGACTTTGACCTGCGCCTGGCCGATGACAGCAAGCTCTGGATTGAGCGGCAAAAGACGTATGGACTCTGGGACAAGCTGCCCCTTAATGTTTACCTCACACCCGTCGACCACTCGGCCACCACCCCCGTGCCCGTTGCCGTGTAGGGACATGCACATCATGTATCTTACAATTGGGGCTCATTATCTCGTGAATTCGAAGATATCTATTTCCTTGACTTTGAGAAAACATTTCGCTCGCATGTGCATCGTTTCTACTTTACCATTTAAGACGGGATGGCTTTCGGACTTTCTTTCGTTTTTTCCTTCTTTAAACAGCCAAATTAACGAATCAATTGGAGTGTTTTAACTGTTCTACCATATACGCCTCTATTTCTAGCAGTGTCCTTGCATCAACGTAGTGCCCCGGCCATGGGCTAGTCTAAAAGTAAGCTTTGTGTTTTGATTCTACACAGACCATTTTATCGGTGAGCTTGTTGGTGATTGCGTCTCTTGTAGGTTCCCCGGCTTTTGGGTCTCTCTCTTTCTCGAACCCGGAGGTGTAAAACGCGTCGAGTATCCATTTCTGGCTGCCCTGTTTGTTGCCGTCGGGCGCGTAGCACAGATGAGATGGATTTGCGGCAGAACGGACAGGGATCATTTCGCCAAGCAGCCCGCTGCTGTTGACATTGATACCGATTTCGTGCAAGGGTCTGATGTTAACCATTCTTTTTCGCGGGATTTACTGGAAGCAAAGCCTCGCCATGAGGCCGTGGATCGTTTGCCCCTCCCTGTCGAAGCTGTGTAGGACATCTGTTCCCTCTATCCCAACGCGCATGACATCTCCATCGTGGTCCTCTATCGCAGCCATAATAAAGAAAAGCGACCAACAGTTTGGCAGGCCATTCTTGGGGGGCGCTGTGTTGGTTATGATCTTCAAAGACGCGACTTTTTTGGCGCACAACTTTCTCAGCCGCTCCGCAGAGAGCTGATCCAAGTTTTCATCGCGCGCCGTCAAGTTGACGAAGAAATACCACACCGGTTGAGACTTTCTGGTGTAGTACTCGGTTTTTTGCGAAGTTTAACCTCTGCAGCGGTGGCCTTTAAAGTACTTGCTTCTTTCCCGCCTTCAGCCTCAACAGCAGCCGCAGCAGCGACGCTCTTTGCAGCAGCGACGCTCTTTGCAGTAGCGGTGAGCTTTGCAGTAGCGGTGAGCTTTGCAGCAGCGGCGAGCTTTGCAGCAGCGGCGTCTTTTTAACAGCGCTTCGTGCAGCAGCGGCCTTTCGAATGTCGATGGTTTTCATGACAGCCTGCCTACCCAGAAAGCTTTTGAGGGTTTCTTCCAAAATGCTCTTTGCATCCCAAACCCGTGCATCTGCTGCCAGCTGTTGCTGTCGCACGGGTTTTAAGGTTTCTGGGCCCTAGTTGCTGTTTTTGCTGATCATTGCTGGAGGTTGTGGATGGTAGTTTGCTTATATATTGGTACTGAAAGAAGACGGCAGCGGGCTTGGAGAATACCTAGCGATGTTCAAGAAGTAGCTCGATGTCGTGTGATGAGGATGGGACATTTCGTTTGAGATTGCACCCTCAACCCACCAGTATTTATAATCGTCATTTACATTATTGCGTGGTATTCAACGCCACACAGTTGGCCCTCTCTTCCCTTTGCATCACGTCCTGGCCATGTGGCCGGAGTCCAAGTCTGAGGAATCCCTGCTGGTGCGGTTTGAAGTACCTCCCTCGTCTTCTTTCCGTCTCCCTGCTACACCACCATCGGTGCCCCAACCATGGACTATTTAAAAGTTGGTCCAACAAGGTTGAGAGCTAAGCCAATCTAGGGGTGGGGATTTTCTTTTGGTGCAGCATGAAGGGTTAGCTTGGGCCAGTGGCAGCAAGATACGGGGGAATTCTGCAAATGACTATAAGGGGGATAGTTATGTTATTAACACGACCTACTACGGAAGCTAACACAAGTGGCCGATTAGCTACCCCGGATCTTCAGTCCCACGAATGCTTCAGCTCACTGGCCACAACTTATCTACCTAACTAACTAACCACAGTATAGTACCTGGCCCGGGCAGCTAATTATAGGAAATTGTTTAGGGACAAACTGGACCCGAGCACGAGTTCAAAGTCAGATAAATATCCATCCAGAATACGATTTCTCAATGCTTTTCAATTTTCCGCCTATCAAGGTCCAAACCGGCATTAGCGTGTACGCTTTATTGATCCTTGACCTGTGGCCATAGCTGAGGCCGGGTGGTTAGCTGCGAGTTAGCGGTCTGAAACGCGGCCGCCCCATAGGAGCGAAACGGACTACGGCCAATTCTCCAAAGGCACCCACTCTGATTTCGAAAAGAATTACGGCCAAAAAGTCCTGAATGGTGCTTCTGAGCAATTTCAGAAAGCCCTCGACTGATGTTTTCGAGCAGATGAAATGAGAACGGCTGTAATGGTGTTTAGACCCGTATTTCGCCATTCACTCGCCCCCTTCCCAGCCCGCCCTGAGTCTGGAAATTTGAACAAGGGCTGTGCCCCTCGGCCTCGACCACGACCCGCCTCAGCCCCCGTGATCCTAACTCATGATACAACACGGCTAGGGCCTCGGGGCCCACCACACAACCGACGCCATGTTTCAAACAAAACAATCTAATGACCGACTCATGTCCCGTTGTTCCAGAATTCCTTCCTTCGGCCTACGTAACCCACCTCTCCGCAATTCCTCGCGCTCCTTCAACGCCCAAAAATTGCCATGTCTTACTGGATGCTTTTTCCACATGACTGCCAGACCGCAATTTGTAGGTATCACTTTACACCCAAGAGTTTGAGCTCAGACTGGTCGTGTTTTGAACCAGCGTCTATGGTGCAATATTATCGGACGATTCGGACTTCCAGGCCACAGAATAAATGGAAAAGCGTATTCCAGGTTTCTTTACTCACTGATGTCTTTACTCACTGAGAGTCTGAGGCCATCCTTTCACCGTTTCATCGTTGCAAGAAAAAGTGATCAATGTCATTAACCCACCCCTCAAAAGCTGCCTTTTGTCTTGGTGCATCGGTCTTTGATTCCTTCGTTCGGGTTATATCTCAAGAGGACCCCATCCCGCAGTCCACGCTCCAAGATACCTGCATTAAAAAGCACTTCACAAGTCACTCGCCCTGCGCCGTGAGCCTCAGAGAAGCAAGCAAACTTGAAGTGCAATTGAACAACACCACTCGCCACAGCCATCCAAAATCAACAAGACATGGCTGGCAGACCTCCATTGAAGCGCCCACCGCGCGCCAGTAGCGACGCCAGCTTTGGGTCAAATGCGCCAACCATGTCAGGAGATAAAATCGAAAAACCCGGCCCCGGGAAGAAATTTACGGCTGTTCCGCTTGATGGAAACCCACTGCTGCCACTGTTCTCGTCATTGCAGGAGGAGGGATTTTCATGGATTGATTTTCAGCGGCCAAGGAAATTCTACACGAGGGATAAGAACGACGAAATAACGATACAGAAAATGTCAGACGAGGACCTCTTGTCAGAGTGGCAGAATACATTCCGCAAAGCTGTCGTCGACGCTCACATTCTACACCGTGCCGGGGACCATCGCATGAGATGGCTATTGGCCCTTCGTGTCAATGGCCTGTACATCACAATCGAGCCCAAGCCAACCAGTACACCAGCAACTAGATTCGTCTCTGAGGGCGATGGGTGGGTAAAGGTCCAGTTTGTTGTCACTCTCGAGCCGGAGGATCTACTCTTGCCGGAAAATATCAACCAGTACGACTGTGTTAAGACCTTGAGCATTTACCGACATCGCACCTATGTCTCCGTTGAAAATTTCTTCAAAACTCTGGTCGATAACGGCAGCTTCCGATATCAATGTGCCCCCGGCCCCAACCAAGATTGCCGCAGATGGCTGAGAGATCAAGTCAGACTGCTGCTTGATTGCAAGCGCCCCCTGTTCAGGAGCAAGTCCGATGTTGACTTGGTCGAGGACATTCTGCTGGGCTGGACCAGCAACAAAACTCAGCTGAATCCCGATAACAACATTCCATTTTCCGAAGGGCTTTATCTTGATAGACCTGTTTCGGCAATGGCCAAGACAACGAAGAGCTGGCTGGCGAAATGGGCTTGCTGTTGTTTATAAGTTCATCTTCATATACGTCATGCAACACGGAGAAAATCACCCTCGCGTCTAATTTGTGTCTAGTATCTGGTGAAGTCGTGCGTGTCATTGCTATGCGATCACGTGGGTCTTTGCGTGGGAAGGCCATTTCTTCAAGTTTCGGCCCACTCGGCTGACTGACAGGCCGTTTGAATCAAACCGTGCCACAGGCCAGTTGAGAGGCCAGCCCCCGCGTTTCAGAGTGGCGACGAAAGTGAGAATCGACTCCTTGAACATCAAACGGCCACCTGGCCTCGATCAGTCAGGAAATCCATGCACACACCCCGAGAAACTGAAAAGGGCAAACAGGCCGAGAGTTATCAACTTCTGATTCATCCAATCTTTTCGCAATGAACCACATACATCCTCCCCTAAAACCATTTCCCCTTTCTACACCCTCTCCCAGGATCTCGATTAGCCAAGATCAATCAGAACTTATGCATTCTTTGCTGTCCATACACAGAGACCATGGGAAGCAAAATTGAAAAACACGGAACCGCAAGTTCAACCGCGAGTTCAACCTATAAACCTGTGGCACAAGAGCAAGTGACTAAAATCGCTTCTCTTAAAAACTTGTGGGAGGACGGCTTTGCGTGGATCGTATTTCAGACACCTGAGAAATGGATGGGAGGTAAATATGTGGTGGCTGTCCCAAACCAAACCAAAAAACAAATAGAAAGCGGATGGACCACTACATTCAAAAAGAAAGTCACCGACATGGCAGTTATCCGAACTACAGAGAATCAGTCTAAATACTTTCTCTGCGTCGAATTCAGCGGCGGCTATCTCCAGATCGAACCTGTTGTCAGCAAAACGACAGCAACCGGAACTTCGGCCCAGGGAGGATGGCGCAAAGTCCAATTCATCGTCACTCTCGTTCCGCATGGGCCAGGTGCAGATGGCTTCTTCAGGTTCTGTCCGCTAGCCACTCGCGACTGCACCATCGGGCGTGTGTTCCAAGACCTGTACAACGCCAACTATTTCAGATACGAATGCGGACAAGACGGGCAGCGGCCCTGGTTCCTTGGAGCGGCCGAACTACTAAACAACCCAAACGCTGCTTTTCGCGCCAATTTCTCGCAACATATTATTAACGAACTCAATAGTGGGCACACAAAGGGTGTAGAAGAAATAAGAAAGCAACTCAATCTGACGGGAGCCGAGAAAGGCGCATTCTATATGCGACCAAGGTTGTTCATCAGGTTCCGTAACTATTGGGGATACTAACAATTACAAAGACTCCCCCGGTGTATTTTCTTTGTCTATGCTTGTCAAGGGTCACGCAGCTGTGTCGTTGTTGAAAAGTTACGATCTAGGAAATTTAGAAATACCAATCCCCCTAAGCCTACACTAACTGGATGAAGATCAGCGCGTTCAGAGCCCATTCCAGGCCTTTTGCTGCTGCTTCCGGTGACCCGCACTTTACAATGTGCCGTCTCGATTGATGGTATTAGAAGGGCGTTGAATTTTGCACACACTTGATGGGGCTTCGGACCCAATTTCCAACACGTTCCCTCGGCTTCAATCATAATGCCTCGGATGGCTGCCACTCCTTGTCTCTGCTGTCTTTCTTTGGCTCCTCGGGCTTCTCTGGGCGCTTCTCCTTATTTCCTGGCTTGTTAACCTCTTGGGTTTTGCCTTCCTCGAGTTTCCCGCCGTGTCTCTTTCCGTATGACCTTCAGCTTCAAATTCCCTGAAGGTCGCTTCCAGGTTAGGTTCCAATGGCTTACTCTCTGCGGGGACTTTTGGTCGTCGTAGTGCGCAAGGATAAATATGGTTCTTTTAGGATGGCCTTGGGATCATCAATAGGTCTGGACAAGAGATGTGTACGTTTCTGATATCTAAACTAGCAGTAAAGTAGGGCCTTTGCCACTTAAGCACTGGCAAGGCAAACTAGGGTGCCTGTGAATTCCCGCTTCGAGCAAAAGAAGTCCAGCAGATCGAGGATCCACGACTGGGCGCCCTCGTCGCGAGTTGTCTTCGAAAAAAATGCAAACGGCATGGACTAGCCTCGTTTAGGGCCTTGATCATGCCGCCAAATGAGCCTTGGATGGGAATTTTAAACTTCATATGGGGTTCGCTCCTATGTCTAGTATCGATTTCTCTGATGTATATCTTGGTCTCAAACCCACCATGGCTGCTTATTTTCTCCGTATTATTAGACAATAGAATCTTGCTGATTGTCAAATGTATCTTGCTGATTGTCAAATGTATTTTTCGGTTGGGTTCAGGCGGTACAAATAAAATGCTCCGGATATCTGGGAGGTTGTCCGACATTGGGAGGCTATCTGCAGTAATTTCCAAACACGGCTTCCACGAGTTGTTGTTATTTCGCCTTTCGAACTGGACCCGACCAGTGTCAGACTCGCCGTTCGACTTTTTCGCAAATTCGAGAAACTCCTGGAACTGGGTTTTGGTCTCAGGTTCAGGCTTCTCAAATGTTTTTTCCAACTTTATCCATGGCTCACGGCTCCTAGTAGGGGCGGGGGAAAGTTATAAAGTAATGAATACGATAATTAGATATTTGATGAGACAGTATTACCAGATTTGGTAGATAATGGTTTGGAAAACACAAGACGACTGAAAGATTGAAATACCGTATTACAGTTCTCACTTCTAACTTGACGAGTTTGCTCTTCACTTCTGCTCTTATAATCGGAAAAGATGGCCAACTGACGAGCAAATTGATGATCTCCGGGTTAATTCCCAGAGCCAACGTGCCCAAGTCAACACACAGGGGGCGCGGCAACCCAGGCGGCCGGTTTTGATGCGGCGCGACTGAATAAGGTGTCCTGTTGCTTCACCTCAAGTGGACCCAGCTAACGTTGGCTGTTCTCTTATTATTGGGAGCATTTTAGGGTAATAGTGCTGGCGTTGGCGTTGGCTCAAGGTGATACGAGACAATCACTAACACGGAGGCCAAGCAGGGCAGGCCCCCAGCCTGGTGGTTCTCTGAGGCTCTGATGGGGTGAAGAGAGCGGCGAATATAATAGCCGAGATTTTGGGACTTTGGGACTTCGGGACTAACAAATGAGAGTCGAAACCCAGTTGGGACTCTCAGACTTCGTGGCTGCGTGCGATGCGGGATTCGGGATCTTGGTTCTCCCTACGGCGTGAATAGTTGTTATTAGTTACCTAATTTAGCTGCAACAGTTAATTATTGCGATGTTAGGGATGTTGTTCTTGCATGTCTCCCGGGCAGGGCGCAGCCAAAGGGATGACGAACCATAACCTTGGCGCCACATCCGTCCCAACTTGTTGCAGGTTTCAAGTGCACGCTAGCCGAGGTTGTCTCGGAAATAGGCCATTGCGGGGTTTATTCTCCCATATTTGCCCCAACCCCTCTGGAATCCCTCTAGCACTCTTCTAGTGAAGAAGAGGCAAGGTACCTTGCCCTCTGAGGTGCGTTGCAGGAACGTACTGTACAGTAGTGTGTAAAGGTAGTACTGCGCTGCGCCAAGAAACCTGGAAGAGAGCCCGGACTGGGATCCGGAATAAAGGCGGGGTCCACTGCCCCGCAGCGCCAACTGCAGCCTGCGCCTTTCTTGCCACCCCGGGCTGCGCCAACTTGGGCCTTGCCGCCGCCTCCAATTCCTTTCCCCAACATCCATCCCTTTCACCACCAGACGATTACCTGACACGCCCTTCACGCCATGGCACCCAACAATGATGCATCCCAGGCGAAGCAGCCCGAGATCAAAGTCTACTGGTATGCTGGTATTCCCGCCCCGTTCCGCGACTGAACTGATTGAACTGCGGTTGTTGCCCCCCCTGGGCTTGGACTTTGGCCGGGCGCCCTAGACAACAAAACACAGCCTCCAGCTGACTTTCGCAGGCTGAATGATTCGCGCGCCGAGCGCGCCGTCTGGTTGCTCGAGGAGCTCGGCTTGACCTACTCGGTCGAGATCTTCCATCGCAACAGCGAGACGAACATGGCCCCGCCCGAGCTAGAGCGAATCCACCCCCTCGGCAAAGCCCCCGTCGTCACCGTCACCCCCGCGTCCGCCAATGGCCCTGCCGCGCCAATCGTGCTCGCCGAGAGCGCCTTCATCGCCGAGTATCTCGTCGAGCACTTCGGCGCCGCCAGCCATCTCGCGCCCCCGCGCTACCACCCCGGCATCACTGCGGGCACCCCCGCCGCCGTGGGGAGCGAGACCGAGTCGTGGATGCGGTACCGCTACTTCATGAATTATGTCGAAGGCAGCTTGATGTCGCCGCTGACCCTGGCTCTAGTCTTGGGCAGTACGTGACCCAGCCCTCTCCTGTCTGCACATGCTCACAGCCTGCCAGTCTTCAAGAGCCCCAAGGTGCCCTTCTTTGTCCGGCCCGTGACCGGGTTTGTGGCTGACAAAATCCTGTGGGGATTCGTTTACCCCAATGTGTTCCGGCACCTGGCCTTCCTCGAGAGCCAGCTGGCCACAGCGCCCGACGGCGGGCCCTACCTGTGCGGCGCCCATCTGACGGCCGCTGACATAATGCTGGGTTACCCGTTGTCGCGCGCCCGCGGCGCCTTCGCCGACCTCGACATGGGTGGCGGCAGAGGTAAGGTCCGTGACAGCTTCCCCAAACTCTGGGCCTATGTCGACCGCCTTATGGCCGAGCCCGGGCTCAAGCGCTCTCTGGCCAGGATGGAAGAGGCCGAGGCGGCAAAGAAGTAGAGCAGCCAAACGAGGCTCACTCTCGCAGCTGCGGCGATTGCATGTCCCTTTGAGACCAGGCGACTAGTTCAAGAAAGTCGGGCGAGAGCCTGTGGATGCCGTATTTCGCTTGTGTCGAGTATCTCCAGGCGAGACATGTACCTAATTATGTACTTGTACATACAAAACAGTGAATATGACACTACCGTGTACTCTCGATCGAGCTCAGTCCAGCACAAGAACAATGCTCATGTATGCAAGATAGGTATCTATTCATTGCGGCACTCTCTTCATTACGCCCTTATCCCATTATCCTAGCCTGCATTTGGTTAGGGGGCGTGTGGCATGTCCAACATCGTACTCACTCTGAGCCTTCACGGCCCCCGAGCCCCCGAGCCCCCGAGCCCCCAAGCCCCCGAGCCCCCAAGTCCCCGAGCCCCCATTTGAGATTTGTGGGATTGGGCGACTTTGGAAGTATTTAACCATGCCCAGAGGGCTGGTCCTGGACTGCCGGTGACAAAAAGCGGTTTCAATCCCCGTCTCAGCGCTTCTCAGCCAGAGTCCGAATGGAGTAAGAGACAAACGGGCAGGCAGGCAGGCAGGCAGGCAGGCAGGCAGGCAGGCAGGCAGGCAGGGAGGCAGGCAGGCAGGCAGGTAGGCAGGCAAGCAGGCAGGCAAAGCTTCAGGGTTCAATGAGTTCGACTTCGTGTTGTGTGAAGCGGTCCGGACGACGTGGGTGCGGATTCTAAGTCGAGGCACCCCGGCTCCAGTGCGTGGCAACTCGGGGAAAATGCTCAAAACTGAGAGCCCGGGTGTCAAAGAAACCGCCGACGAGAAAAGAAGCTTCTTGATTCTTTAGAAAAGCCACGCAACTAAATAGAAGGGCGGGTAACTAGTAATTCCTAAACCGCCACATCATATTAATTATTACACAATTTGGAACCAAAAACAGCTTCAACCTTTGTTGCCAGCGGCAGTCAATCACACCGGAAATGCCTTATCGCTTCGCAGCTCCCTTGATCTTGTCGGCAAAGTCGCTCTCAGTCTCGAGCCAGGTGCCAAAGTCCTTGAGGCCGGGATTCACCTTTCTCAGTGCCGGGATATCGACAGCATATCCCTGGTCGTAGAACCACCGGAACATGACGCCAAGGTCCTTCATGAGCTTCATCAACAGCCAGGGGAAAACCCCATTCGTCGTAGGCAGCGTGGCGCCGCCCGTCTTGGCAGCGAACACTTCGCTCGCCTGGGTGAGGGTCAGCTCGTCGCCGGCCAGCGAGATGGCGCGGCCTTTGTACTCGTCCGGCTTGAGGAAAGCCTCGCCGGCAAAGAAGCCAATGTCGCTGACGGCGACGAGCTGCAGCGGCTTGTCGCGGACGGCCATGTCCCAGCACTTGATGAAGACGCGGCCAAAGTAGTTGTCGGTCAAGTTCTCCATGAATGCGACGGGGCGCAGGATGGTCCAGGCCATGTTCTTGGAGGGCGCCTTGTCGACGAGGTGGTGCTCGATAGCGTGCTTGGCGGCAAAGTGGGGGATGGGCGTTGGGTTGGTGAACGAGTCACTCTCACCGTGGCGGTCGACCGACGTGTAGACAAACAGGCTCACCCCGGCGGCCAGTGCGGCGTCGACGAGGCCTTTGCCCTCCGCAACCTCGGAGCCGGAGCCGATAGCGACTTGGACGCCGAAGACACCCCAGATCGGCGACTTGGTGAGCTGCTTGGCAGTCTGGAAGAGCGCGGCCGGGCTAAGGAGGTCGCCTTGCAGGAGCTTGATCCTGGCGGGCGCCGTGGAGAGGAGTCGCTGGGCAGAAGCCGAGGCAGCATTGCGCGTGACGGCGAGAATCTCAAAGTCGTTCGCGTTGTTCTGCTGGAGAAGATGCTTGATCACGGCGCCGCCTTGTTTGCCAGTCGCACCGCATATAACGAGTGCACGCGACATGATGATGCCGTGTAATTGTTAACAAGCGAGGACGTCGGGAGCGAGAAAGGCAAATTGGCCCAGTGTGTTTGTTTATCGAGCGCAACACGCACCTAGCAAAGAATCGGCTTCGGGTATTTAAACAAGAGTATGAAGAAAAGGAAGCTGATTACCAAAAAGATAAATATGTATGGACAATTACCAATCATTCTAGAAGTTTGGGCCTGCGATGCCTGGGAAGGGCTACGCCGGTAAACTAATTACCGGGCACGTTGATATCCTGGCGTGTACCAAACCTAGCCTGCCTGGCCCTGTATGTCTGCATTTGACTGGAAGGCCGGTTGGAGGCTCCCACCAGTACAAATCTTGCTAAGCTGTCCAGGAATCCGACAGGAAGAAACGCACAATTGAATGGAATTTTGAGCCGCGTTCAAACTTCAAACCCAAACCAGCCGGGGAGGATGGTTACTTTTCGACCAAGCTACGGATATACCGATCTACAAACCGGGCCGCCAGGCTACCAATCTGGTGTGGAAGCCCCATGGTTCGTCGTTGTCGTACATGTGGGCCCGGTGTCCGAAGAAGACCGGTGGGAGCGGAGCTATTGGGTAGCCCCATGTATTGAGTAGCCCCATGTCTTGGCGTTGTTTCCGGTCCCGAGAGGTTTGTAATCACATCACGTACAACGACGGGGAGCGAGTCAAGGAATCTGGTTTTGTGGCGGGTACCTAATTTAGTGCTATAGGCAACTGTGCGTACTTAAACATCGGCTTCGGCCCACTTCTGCCTGTGACTTTATCCTTCCAACCATCCATCATCTCGTTGCATCCCCCTACCTTGGAGCAAAACCCCAAACATCAACATGACCATTACCGTCGGTCTCGCCGGCATCACCGGAAGGTTTGGCCGCTTGCTTGCTGCCAACCTCCTCAAGAACCCAGACGTTGCCCTGCGCGGTTATGCCCGAGACCCCAGCAAGGTCGTTTCGTCCATTTCGGCATTGCCTCGTACGCAGCTCTTCGCTGGCGGAGCCTTGGACGGCGCCGCAATCCAGCCCTTTGTCTCGGGCTGCGACGTGGTCATCTGCGCGTACCTTGGAGATGACAAGCTGATGGTCGAGGGGCAGAAGAAGCTGATCGACGCGTGCGAGGCAGCCCGAGTCCCTCGCTACATCGCGAGCGACTGGTCCCTCGACTACACACGCCTCCAGCTTGGCGACCTGTTCCCCAAGGACCCCATGAAGCACGTCAAGGCCTACCTCGAGACCAAGGAAGCTGTCAAGGGCGTCCATATCTTGGTCGGAGTGTTTATGGAGGTCATCTTAGGCCCCATGTCAGGCACGCTAGATCCGAAGACCAATACGTTTCGGTATTGGGGGGAAGGCACCGAGCTCGTCGAAGGGACAACGTACGCGGATGCGGCCAAGTACACGGCGAAAGTGGCGGTTGATCCGTCTGCTGTCGGGATCCAAAAGTGTGAGTTGCTCTGGTTGGAGTGGAGGGACCACCCAAAGTCGGTCCCCCAACGTGCGTGCTGACAGCCCGGGTGAAAATCAACTAGTCCTCGGCGATCGGAAATCAATCAAGGACATTGCTGCATCGTTCGAAAAGGTGTATGGCGTGAAGCCGAATCTTGAGCGCCTTGGATCCCTCGACGACCTCAAAAAGCGCATGCATGATCTGCGTGCCGAAAGCCCTGCCGCTATCTACAGCTACATGTTCCTGTGAGTGCATTGGCGAATCTCAACATGGCCGAGGTAGCGCAGCATTCGCTGACAATCGACAGATTCTATATATACTACCTCCTGAACGGATCAACCTTAATTGGCCCTGGCGTGGACAACGGTAAATATCCCGAAATCAAGCCCGAGACTTGGGAGGATTTTATGAGAAATCGGAAGCTCGAAACGCTGTTGGGTTCGATGGCTGCCCTGTCGCAATAACCATGACGCTGCACATGACCAAATAGGCAGCCGGGTTTAGGGGTATGAGGGGGTGGGGGAATGGATCGGCGTAGCTCCATGTGATCAAGCACGGCAGGACTTTTCGTCGGGTCATTCGAACATGTTTTCGGGGAAAGCCTGCAACGTCCCTTGCGCGCATGTTTCCATTCCCAGGCCGTCACAGCCCGGGATAGGAACGGGGACAGCGAAGGTTGAGGTGTTATCCGCGGTTGGCTCTGGTGCAGAGCCAGCAAAGAGCTGATCAGTGAAGGGCATCGTGGTGCTGGTTGTTTCTGTGTTGTATGTCTTCAGGGAACAGAATAGCATGTTCGACGAATCTGCAATGGTTTTGGCCAGGAGAGGGACCATAGCTGGTGTCAAGGTGAGTTCTCTAACCTGTTGATACGTTAGCACGGGTGCATGAACGCTATGGCGTGGGCGCAGTGGTATTCAGAGGCTGGGAGTGGATATATATACCCTCTCCATGACGGAAGAGTCAAAGCCGCTCTTCTCCATATCCATGGCAAGCTGAATCGCCAAAGACCTCGTAATTGGGTTGGTGGTGCCCAAAGTAGCCATAATTTTGAGCAGGAATTCCAGATTACTTTCACTCTGAGAGCCGTGCTCGGTCGCAAAGTCGTCCAAGAAAACAAGAGCGGCCATGTAAACCGAGAAGACCATCAGTGGGTTTTTGAACGCCACCCTGATGTCGGTAATCATGCGTACAATGTTGAGCACCTCTTCGGCCGCAGGTAGAAGACGGTCTTGGCTTTGGCGAATAGCATAGTCTGGTAGCTTCAAGTGGCCAGCCCGTGATTTCCCTAAACCTGCTCTGTGGAGGCATATGACGGCGGTATGAGCGATGACGTTGACGAAGACGGCATTTAAGGACCGGACATTTCTGGGAAGCTGTAGACTTGATGGCAAGAACATGAGCATGGTGACAAGATCGTTGTCAATTGCCGTTTGGCGTTTCCAGTATGGGCTGGCCTGGATGTCTTGTGAAGCTTCCTGTGTGAAGCTCTCAGAAGTAAGCTCGAGGGTGCGATGGAACAGGCACGAGGCCAACACTCTTCCAGCAAGTGAAGAATACTCGGGGTCCTGCTGGCGCAACGAGCTTGTCAACGAGCTTGTCCGCTCCTCTAGATTGTTCATGAAGGCCTCCTCAGAGGCCGGGAGCAAAGTGAAGATCTAAGAAAGAAGTCAGAATTGGAATTTTTCGTCGTTCGAGCATAGAAGCGACACCGCCTACGTCTCTTTCGTTGATCAGTACCGGCCATCCCGTGACTCCCGAAGCCAGGCGATCCGCACAAAACAACACCCACCATGTCCGGCGTCTCTCTTCCAACTCGGACCAGTCCTTGGCCGGCATGATAGTCTGACGTGTCGGTTGGCCCTTGTTGTCGATTCGGTGCAAGTTTAGCATTTGGGCGATCCGGATACTGAGGGATAGGCTTGTTGAGGATCGAGGGAAATTGAGATGCTGGGCTTCGAAATTGGCTACGAGATTCCAGCACTGAGCGTGAGCCAGCGTTACATGTTCGCCACGGCCCTGCAGTTTATTGTCAGGGACATAACTTTGGTCAGGGGCAGTGGCCCGAAGCTCACCCTCATCTCGTCTGCCTCGGCATACGCCCTAGCACGCAGATAAAATGGAGTAGTTAGATGGCGATGGGTGTCATCGGTAGTGGTCGCTAAGGCCATGACGGCATACTGGAGACACATGGGTGGACGCATGTGAGGCGGCAGGTATAGCGATGCCGTGTAGCGAGATCGGTGTAGCATTGGTGTAGCGTAGTGAAGCCGATCAAAGTAGATATCTGTCCTGCCATCCGAGTGTTAGTAAAGCCTGCCTGACACGTGGAAATGACAGACAGAGCCTACAGTTCTCGAATGAGCTGAGCAGAAGGGAGCTGTTCAAACAGTCCCAAGCCGATAACCTCGTTTGCAAGCGAGTCAGACCCGCCGACATGCGGCCTCGGTTCGAGAGAATTGCTATCAACACCCAAGTCTAGTTCTAGTCCAAATGGTGGGGGTTGATTCGTATCTGGCATGGGCCGGGCCAGCTCGGCCCGCTCGGGCAAGGCTGCATCGCCCCCAGGCTGGCACTGTTGTGATTGTTGTGCCTCGGCGCTCTTCAGGCTTTTGAGTTGGCCTTCAAGCTGGTCGACCTTGGCCTCAAGATCCCGAACCTTTTTTCGCTTGCCGACCTGGCTCTGTCTCGAGGCGGGAAATACGCACAGTTCGCCCAGCCGGAGACAACGGCCGCAGCGAGGCCAGGCGCGGTCGCATCTCGACTTTTTATTCCGGCACCCGAAGCACGACAGGTTGGGGCCTTTGGTCGGAGGGCCATGGCTGCTTTGCTCGTCCATGATCACATGCAGCCCAAACTAAAACTTGGCGGTTTTTGATATGATCCTGCTCCACGTTCCTGGCAATTTCGTGGAAAAAATAGAAGAATGAATGGCAAAATTAATTATCTAGGTAGGTAGGTTAAATCCAATCACTTTTATACTCGTGGAGGCAGGCGCAGACCACGCACGCCTAGTGTGGTGGAGAAGCCGAGGACCCGAAATTGAGACTGCTAAATTTTTGGTCACGTGCTTTAATGACAAATCAATTTCTTTCCTCGTTTTCGGCGGCCCTTGAGCCATGACGGCCTGACTTTGGCTTTGTTAACCTTTACGGTTTACCCACCATGGACAACGTCTCTACTACCTGATTGTCAAAGCGTTGAGGAAATAATAGCTCCGACTTCTAGTGAAGCGATGTAGCCACCGTCTTCCACAAAACCGACCTAATTACACAAAGCAGGCAACAATCATATCGCACTACACAGTCAATAAAGCAGAGAAGGAAACTTAAAGTTGTTGTAAAGGGGCAGGAAGAAAATAAACAAAAAGAACCCATCCTGAAATCTTTTACCCTAGATTATTGTAGACGATGTGATGGACGTCATGTAAGTCGAATTCACGTGCGGAACCCAAATGACACAGAAATACAGCAGGTTGACTTTAGATAAATGGGGACTAATAACGTCAACAATACGGAGTATCGGTTTTTCTTTTCTCAATAAGACACTCGCGCTGGCCCTGAGTAACACGATCGCCTTCCTTGGCCTTCCAGTCGCATCTCGACACCTCGGCCATGCCGACCGGAACAACAGCCATGGCCCCGATGGCAGGGTTGTCGTTCTCGAGTAGCATGACGCTACGAGTGGCCACCTGGCAGATATAGAACTGCGAGTCGCAAGCCCCGTCCGGGTCTGGACTTCCCGACTCAAACCCCTGAAAGTAGTTCTCGACATAATAGGAGCCCTCAATGTCGGTTATTTTCTTGACAGTACCGCCGGTGGGGGCGTGCCAGCAGTGGTAGCTGAGGCTCGACAGGAAGGCCTGGTATAGCGTCCCGCCCGCAAAGGCGCTGCATCCTCTAGCGAGCCGCCCATGATTTCGACGAGGCTACAAGGCTGTCCTTTGACCCAGAATTCCTGCTGCAGCGCCACGGACGATCAGCTCAGGTTGTTGAGTGGCGCCGGTGCACAGCAGTTCACGATGACGTCGGTTCACAGCAGTTCACGATGACGTTGTTTTTAGTGTTGTGGTGTCTTTTCACCGCTTCAATGCTCGTCTTTGACACTGTGCTGGGCCAAAGTCCCGAGTGGCTCTACAACGCCGAGGGACAGCAGAGTTTTATTGCCTTCCCTCTCAATACCGCGCTTGTATTAAAATGCCACATTTTTCTAGACTTTAAACCGTATATGGTAATGGGGCTAATGCAAAACCTTTGCTTGCGCAAGAATAGCTCATGGCCACCAACGTTGGCATCTCACTCTTTCTGCGGTCAGATGTCAACCGATATCTATGGGACATGCTCAACGCCTACGGGGAGTTCTCAACGACGTCTCTGTCAGCCAGCGTCCTCAATACGAGTTCCAGCGGCTGGCTGAACGAGATTGCCCTTAGGGCCATCGTCAAAGTTGCCGAGCCACAGTCAACAAATAAGTTGACGTTTGACGACATATTCGCATGCGACCCATCCAAGCCGGCCTATGGGTACGGCTCGTACGGCGCTTTCATGACGCGATCTTTTGTCGATGGGGTCCGCTCGGTCGGCAGCGACGACGACCCCAACAACAACAGCAGGATCAATGGAAGCGATCGAGCTGTAGGCTCGATGGGTTGGTGAATTTGAAGCAGAGTAAAGGCGCAGAGTCCCATAGTCGGGGAAGTCAACGCAAACAAAGAAAAAGGCACTACCGCGTGCACTGGTCTGGGGATCTCAATTCATGGTAAAAAGACGTGATTTCTTCCTAAAAGACAATGGCCCCGGGGGAAGATCGATGCCCTCCCTCTGATGTGAGGGGGGGCGGGCTACCCACCTTATACGAGGTGGGTAGGCCAAGAAAAAAAGAAAAAAGTACACTAGATTATTTTAGGTAAGGGTGTAAACAACCCCCTTGTTGCCTGGCCTCGTGAACCCTGATCAGCATCAGTTCGGCCACAGTCCGTATTCTCACTCTTCCCAGTCGGGTCTTGATCGTACGGGGGAACATCGGGGATTTGCCCGAGCGCTAGGTTGAAGAGCATGCGCACTGCCGGAGTAGTCTCGACGAAGGCAGCAAGTGCCACAACAGTCGGCTGCACAAGAGCCGGGCCGTTGACGCGCTCTATCTTGGCGTCTATGATTTTTTGGCGCAACCAGCTCTGGACCATGACACGATCGGCGGCCAGTTAGCCCCAAAACGGTGCTTCACCAGAGGGTCAGAGGACATGACGGCGATGGCAGAGGGTTGAGTTATTGGTGATGGAACATGATCGAGGATCAACGACGTTGGAACAAGCGATCAGCCCCGGGTAACAGAGCATGAGGAGCTCTGATATTCATCAACTCCTGCCTTAACATCAATATAGGTAAAGTTGTTCTTGGGAAATAATTCCCGGCGAACAGAACGGGCGATCCAACGCGAATTGGGCCTATCAGGTGGCTCGCAGATGGTCACGCAACTGTCAAATATTAAATAGAGAATTTGCAATCAACTGAGTGCATTAGAAAAGGGAAAAGGTACTGCAATAGTCAACGGCTCTCCGAATACAGCAGAAGCTAGCATACTTGGAATAGTCTCGTTCTCCTGGTCAGTAATGAGGAGACGTCTGATGCGGGTTCTGTCTTGCGAAGAACCTCTTTTGGCACTTCAGCCAGCCATGTTCTCAACAAAAAGGCCAAGGCGCCTCACTGCCGTTAGTCACTAGCACAAAACGTAGCCCAGTCCTATTTAGGGGGAATTGCAGAGAAAAATGCGGGTCTTAGGGTGAGACATTCGGGTCGCGCCTTCCCTTGATCTCATCCAACTACATCCCGCTTCCGCCATCCGGCACCAGAGCATTTTGAAGGCGGTGTGGAGCTTAAACACTCCGACACTGAGGTAATTAGTTGTAGTTGCACCGCTCAGTGGTTCTTAACCTAAAAGGATTGCAGTCTAACTGGTCTCAGCAAGCAGGGCAAATGGCGAGGAGCTGAGACACTTTACATAATTAGGTACAGATATGCAGTGGGTTTGCGCCTAGCTCGGTCATAAGACTGAAAATATTTTGCCCTTTAGGAGTTGATCATGTTTGTATCACCTTGACAAGGAAGCAGCAGCAAGACATTAATTAAACAGTGTTCCGCTCATGAGTAATTGGGTGCGTGTCCAGAACCCCAGAATCAGGGCAGAACAGTCAGAATAATCACTAAATCACAACAGACATCCAAAGGCGCCGAACATTACTTGAGTATGGCAAAGAATGAAGGAAGGGGAAAGGACCTTGATACTCTGCCATAGCCGACTCGTTGTTCATTGCAATGAAAACTTGATGGGAGTCTTATTAATCCTTTCTTTTCTCCATGTCGAAGCATTGACCTCTTTCTTCAATGGGCAAATTTGACTAGGTACCTATCTACCCACTCTTTGCACCAAATTGCATCCCCAAAATTCGGGCTAGGTACCGTCGCTACCAAGCCCCTTGGTAGCTCTTTGAGATCCTTCGCATCCACAGGTGTGACCTGTGGGCGATTCGGCTCTTTTCTCCTGCTTCAAATTTCTGCGTTGTTCTTCGTCGTGACATCTTAACCTGCTTCTCGACCCGGACCCGAGCTGCTATTTGAATGAGGTACCAAGCTCCCTGCTTTGGGTTGAGATTTGGGGGCAAACTTTTTAGGAGGACTTCCAGGCTAAAGCAATGTTCAACCATGTAGTTATTGGTCTTGGAAACAATTATACAAAATCTGCATGCGGTAACAAGTAGTTATTTCGGATAATGCCTTTGCTTATAATATAATACTGCGGACTGAGTCACAGTATCTGGTGCCAAAATGATGGGTCACACGATCAAAACCGTCTCGTAGTCCCCCATGCAGTCGCCCCGATGTGCAGTTAGATCTGGGCACGTCTCTTTGCTCTCCAAGCAGACATGCAGTGGCTCTAACGACGCGCCCGACTTCCACTTGAACTCGCACAGGCCCAAGCGGACGTACTCGTTCGCTCCCCGGCCCGTCGGTCTGAGTACCATGCAATACTGCGTCCCGGACCCGGTCGGCCGCTCAGACTGGAACATCAGTAGACATTTTGTGGCGGCAAAATCGTCCACCCAGTCCCACCCCTCGCCCTCGTCCTCGTCCTCGTCCTCGTCCTCGTCCTGCGTCCAATCGCCCGGCTGCCTGTACACGTTGCAGATTAGCGGCACCTTGACAAGCCCATCGCCCTAGTATAGTCCTGCACTAGTGAGGCTAACGACGCGCCGACATAGGCTGCGCTCCTGCAGCGTCCAGCCGCGCGTGTCCAGGTCGCCCTGCGCGCGATAGTCGCTCTTGCGGCTAGCGCAGAGGTATGTGCGGTTCTCCTGCTCGCGCAGATCGAGGTTGACAGGGATCAAAGGTTGCTGTAGCACCTCGTCGGCCGACACGTTGTCGACGACGGCGATGGTCAGGAGCGCGTTCCGGTAGATGGTTGACACGTTTCGGTAGATGGTTGACATGTTGGGCGCCTGCTCGTTCCAGTCACCGCCCCTTGGACGATGCACTATCCGGAGATATATATTTAGCTTTAGGCGCGAAATAGTCCAACGCACTCAAGTGAGAGTGACGATGTTGATTCGAACTAGGCGGGTTAGGCACTCACCAAAGCATCAACCCATAGGAACTTGACGCCTAAAGCGTTGGTGAGCTTGCAAGCCGTCTCGATCGCGTCTGATAGTGCTGCGAGTTCGACGGCCGTATGGAACTGAGGCAAGTTGTCCCGATTCAAACAGACGGGCTGCTCTGGTGGCTGTGGCCGGCGGTAGCTGAGCGTGATGTAAGGCCCATGCAAACTAGCTCCGTCCACGACTTTCGAGTCCGGAAATCTTGAAAGATCCAGGACTCTTTTGGGGAGAGGGGGCCATTCTGAGCGTGCTTCGACTGCTTGATTCCGGCATTCGTGGTGCGAAGTGAGGCATTTGTGTGCCCAGTTCCCACCTTGCCTGCAGCCAACCGGCTTGCCAGTGCAGCCTCCTCTTCAGTTCAGCCAAACACCAGAATGAAAAGGCGCCAATGACGTCAAAATCGCCGATCTCCATGACCACCTTAGCTATGGCAATGTCGGGAGATGTGGCAGAATGTTTGGACAGCTCGAGGGACTGAGTGCTCAGAAATGTTCGGAGCTAGAAGTGAGCAGGTTGAGGCTGAGTCCGAGTGCGGAGACCCGGCCTAGTATGAATTATTGCTTGCCCTTGATACAGCTATGCCAGGGTTGCATCTGTGAATTGGAGCTGCTTGAACAGGTAATTAGGCACAATATTGGTTTCTAATCAAGATAACACATGCAACTGACTAGAGAGACTTTTGTGAGTAGTCCAATAGAATTTCTTTTGACAGGTTTTACTGAAGAGAATCAATTTCCTGTGCACTGCTTGCATGACTTGAACGCGTTTACAAGACGGTTGTCCAGGCGATTGGAAGGAAGTTGAGCTCTGGAGGGTCTCGTCTGCTGGGAACAGCACGAGGTGTCTTGAAATATCGGCCGCAACTATGGGTGACCATGGCCGGCCCTTGTTCTTGAGCCTCGATTTCCCTGTTTGGCATTCCGCTACTGATTGGTGCATCGGGGTTGGGAGGGGCTTGGAAAACGGACACTGCCTCGTGGCCTGGAAGGCTGCGATCGAGGCCGACTAATTCCAGACCTAGCAGGTCTGCATGTCTGGATGTGGGTTGACTGTTGGGTAAGCCGGGCTGGTGGTTTGGGGGTCCGTGTTTTGCAAAGTGCGAGGTCCGCGGCACAGTAGAAAAGCTTGTCTGCCCAAATTGTGTGAGCCAGGCCGAGTCCGGCCTGCTGGCTGTTGGCGAGGATCAGAAGGATCGAAAGCTGACTACGCACCTTGATTAACAGTGTTATTCTGTGGATATCAACCCTATGTTGTCGTAAAAGAACCAAGTGTGAACTGTGAGGAATGTGTCCCGACTCTCGATTCTTCCGCAATGAGCCAAGCTATTTAGCTTGGTCGAGAAAATGGCCATTTCCTCCAGAGATAGGGCGGAGGCCACCGGCCCTCGCCGACCGTGTTTGGTTTCAATCCCACAGGGTCTTGGCCGACCCGCATGTGTCAAAACTAAATAATAAACTATTCTGGGACGGCGCAGATGCGGGCCGGGCCTCGATCCTTCAGGCATGGGGCCCCACGGGTCTCGATATGGGCCTTGGCAAAGACGCAGCAGCGAGTTCCCGGATTCCCGTCGTGCATACATAAGTGCGCTTGCACCCCTAGGGGCGACCGTGTTCCGTTATCTATATGAAGGCTGAACTCACAGTCAGAAGTTTGCCTGCCTTACTCTTACTCCCCCCCCTTGTGTTCCAATCCCAATGCTACGATCAACGCTCCGACTCCTGAAGCAACGTGACTCTGATCATGGCAATGCATCCATACCCTCGATTGACCACTCCGCGTCCCTAAACATAGCGGTGACCGTCGGGGTCGACAACAATGCAAATACCGCCAACACTGCATCGAATAATGAGGTGCGCCCCTGCGAGGTTTCGCGGGTGGCAGCAGCATGGGCGATTCTCGTTGCGAAGTACCTGAACGAAGATAAAATTTCGGTTGCAGTCAGGCTCACCTCAGACCTGCAGGGCGGCCACGCCCAAATGTTGAAAACTGTCAATCTTACCATGTCGTTCGAAGACCAAGATGTCGAGATAGACGCGTTTGTGTTGTCGGTTGCTAGCCAGCTTGGTCTTGATGGTCCGCAAATCTATCCTATCGCCCCCTTGCGAGATTATGGATGTTAGCTTACACATGACCCCCGCCGTGTAGAATTCACCGTAGGATCTGAATGGCAATTGCAGATGACCACGCCGTTCACGAGTCTCCTCCACAGGGCCACCGACGGCTGGTCTCTAGACAGATCGGGCCAGACAATAAAATTCGCGGCAACGAAGCGCGCAACAGATCCCAGTGCCTTTGCAGTTGACTTCCTCTGTGGCCCACACGTTGCTTATCCCAAGCAGCTACAACGGCTGCGGGAGCAGTTTTTCCATATCTTCAACTTGCTTGGCGGAGGCGAGGGACGGGGTGGCAAGCTGAGCGACATGAAGAGCCTGACGACCCAGGACAGGGACGAGATACTAGGATGGAATGCCACGCCGCCTCGAGCGCTCTCGAGTACCATTCCAGACCTGTTCACCAGCAAGGTCGATGATCTGCCAGAGGGCCCAGCCATCCATGCCTGGGACGGAGACCTCACGTACATAGAGCTCGACGTGTATTCTAGTGCTCTGGCTCAAGACCTCATTCAATTACGCGGGGTTGGGCGAGGAAGTAGAGTGCTTGTCGGGTTCGAAAAGTCCATGTGGAATGTGGTTGCCATGCTAGCTGTGCTCAAGGCCGGGGCTGTGTGTGTGCCCCTAGAGGTGTCACACCCCATTGCCAGGAACCAGACGGTAGCCGAGGCGGCGAGCGCGACGATTCTTCTCACATCTCCCGCCAGCGCGCACAGGTTTGCGCCGCTGGCCCCTTCGGTCCAAATAGTCCAGGTATCTGCGGATTCCATTTCGGAAACATGCCTCAAGCAAGGCATCAATGCAGCTGCCGTGGAGCCGGAAACGGTATTGCCATCGGACTTGGCCTTCATCATGTTCACCTCTGGGAGCACAGGCACGCCAAAAGCCATCTGCCTGGACCACCTGTGCATGGCCACCAGCATTGTTGCCCACGGCAAGGCGCAGCATGTCGACTCGACGACTCGAATGTTGCAATTTGCCGCCCACGTCTTTGACATTTGTTATTACGAAGTCTTTACCACACTGTTGTTCGGCGGCTGTGTCTGCATCCCGACCGACGGCGACCGTATCAACAGGCTACCCAACGTCATCAACGAGCTCGGCGTAAACCAGGCGGCCCTTACCAACACGGTTGCTGAGAGCCTGGACCCGTGTCTGGTGCCAGGGCTGACACGCCTGAGCGTCGGCGGCGAGCCCATCAGCCGTGAGCTGGTGCACAAGTGGACGGCGAACCCGGAGATGCGTCTCTGCCAGGGCTACGGCCCGTCAGAATGCGCCATCTGCTGCACCGCCATGGTCGACCTGACGCCGGACGATGCGCCATTCAACGTGGGAAGAGCGTTCCAAGACAGCTGCAGGGCGTGGGTAGTCGACCCCAAAGACCACGACAAGCTCGCACCAGTCGGCGCAGTCGGCGAGCTTGTCATCGAAGGCCCAACCGTGGCATGTGGCTACCTGAACAATGCCGAGCTGACGAGAGCGGCGTTCATCGACCCCCCTTCATGGCTGCCGAGAGACCACTGTGCCGTCGAGAGATGCAACGAAGACCAGGGGCAGGACAATGGTTGTGCGTCGACTAGGCTCTTTAAGACGGGAGACTTGGTCCGATACCACGACGATGGGACCTTGGGAATTCTCGGCCGCAGAGATACGCAGGCCAAGGTTCACGGCGGTTTGCGCATCGAGCTGGGCGACGTTGAGCACTATATCAAGGGGATTCTGCAGCAGCCTGACCTGAGCATGGCCGTCGACGTCATCATTCCAAAGGAAGCATCGCGAAGGACCCTTGCCGTCTTCTTCCAACCCGAGAACCTCGGCGACAGCGGCGATGCTGGAGGCGCTGGCGACTGCAGAATCTTGGCCGGTGAGGCTGCCCTGGACGCCTCCAGAAACCTCTTAACGACCCTACAGGAAGGGCTGGCATCAATTCTGCCCAAGTACATGACGCCAGAAGTTGCTATTCCGTTGTCGACGATGCCCCGCAATGTCTCGTTCAAAGTTGACAGGCGGACACTGAAGGATCTAGCCAGCGAACTGCCACGCAGAACGCTCCTTCATTATTCCGGCACTGCCCCGACAGTTCAGGAATCACAGTCCCAACCGCAGCATCCCCTGACCACGACGGCCGAGAACAAGATGGCTCGTCTCTGGGAGGCGGTGCTGAACGTCCCCGTCAACAGCGCTGCCGACAGTTTCATTAGACTCGGTGGTGACTCTATCGCGGCCATGCACCTTGTTGCCGAAGCAAGGCGGGCAGGTCTCGGTCTCAGCGTCAAGGCCATTCTAAGTCACCCCGTTCTGTCCGACATGGCTAGCACAACAACAGTCCTTCCTGGCACCAGCCTCTCTGGTGCGGCCCCGGACATGCCCAGGATCCAGCCATTTGAGCTTCTCGGCGATGCGGCACCGCACATTTTGGACGTCGCTGCATCCAAGTGCCACCTTGACAAGTCACTCATTGTCGACATGTATCCCACTCCGCCGCTGCCCGCTCTCTTCATGAAGTCGAAGAGCAATAAACCCGACGGGCGCGAAGATCCCTTCATCTTTCCGTTACCTTCACACGTCGACCTTGACCTGTTCAAGACGGCTTGGGAGGCAGTGGTGCGCCAGCATTCCATTCTACGCACCCGCGTCATTGCTACGCCTGGGGAGAAGCCCAAGTTCTTCCAAGTCATCGCTAGCAGCAAGTGCGCCGTGCACTGGGACGCTGAAGGGAAGGAGGAAACCACGACTCTCCACCAATACCTCAGGCAGGTCTTCAAGCAGACCTTCAGCCTGGGCGACCCGCTCACCCGGCAGTGCGTGCTTGTCGTGCCGGCCAGCACCAGTACGCATGACGAGGCCGCCTACTTTGTATGGACGGCGAACCACGCCGTGTACGACTCGTGGACCCGCTCGCTGGTCCTAAACGCCCTCGACGACATATATGGAGCGCTCGTGGCGGCAGCACGCAGCGCCGACAGGAATAGCCTCACTTCGCTCAGGCTTCGCCTCGAGCAGGACCCGGAACCCGAGCCTGAGCCAAGTTACCCACGTTTCATCCAGGAGAGCGTGCTGAGGGTAGACAAGACCGCGGCGTACGACTTTGCGCTGGCCCGCTTCCGGCGCCTGGAGACGTGCTTCCCGCTGTGGGCCAAAGAGGACATGCCATCGCCATCGTACATCCCCGCCGAGCGGCGACTGGCGAAACGACTCGTCCGCAACAAGAATCTGCTTGTCTCTTCTTCGTCTTCTTCTTCCTCGTCACTGTCATCGGCATCCCTCCCGGGTGCCACGGTCACCAACATGATCTACGCGGCGTGGGCCATGGTTATGCGCGGATCTGGCTTCAGCCCTTTCCGCGCCACCAATACCACGCCAGCCGATGACGACGCAGATCGCACAGTCGCGCTGGGCATCACGTCCATGGGCCGCGGCGCGCTGGTGGCGGGGCTAGGCACAGAGCGGTTAGCGGCGCCGCTGATGACGCACATGCTGCTAGCAATCCCAATGCCGCCCGGCCAGTCGGTCGCGGCGCTGACGGCGGCGGTCCAGGACGAGGTCGTCGCGCACTTCCCCTACGAGCACCTCGCGCAGGTGTGTCTCAGGCGCGCGGGCCCTGCCGTCACGGAAGACGTCATGCGTAAGGCGCTGCAGATCAACATCCTCCCCGCGCCCAAGACGCTGGCCGCCGCGTTTGGTGCCGGCGGCGGACCTCACCCCGCTGCTGCCACAGCTGTCACTGCGGCGACCGGTGTCCCGCGTCTGGATTTGCATCGCACGGTCCGCAAGGTCCCGTGGGAGGGGAGCGGGCCCGGGTCGGCGCTGTGCGTCGAGGTGTCTTTGCACGACGATGGCGGCATGGAGGTGCATGTGCGGTTCGACGAGCAGCTCTTCCCTGAGCAGAGGGTTGAGCGGGTGCTTGACGAGTTCGAGAGGTACTTAGGCGAGGTAGTAGATGCGTCTTCGGTGCAGGCATCAGGATAGGGGGTTGCTCTGCGATATGCAGACAAGTGGTGCAAGGATGCAGCTGAGTTTCTGGTTGTGAATTACGTATGGCGCGGATCGGAATTACCGTAGGGCACATGTAGAGCGCGTAAATTAGTCGGATTCAAATACTTTTCCAGGTTAGCTGAAAGGGGGGAGTGGAAAGGGGTTTGTTCACGTTCAAGATTACCGATTTAAGTGCCGAAGGGAACCCAAGTCAGGTAGGTACTGACTGGAATTCCTCAATGACCCAAGATTATTCTCGGCTGGATGGCTTCAGTCGCCAAGACGGTCTCCCTTCCCGTATTCCCCACTTGGTTAGTAGCCGCTTTAACAAACATTATTGATCAGCATTTACAAGCGACAACAGTCTGAAGAAGAATATGTGATAGGTGATGCCGATATTGGTGGTCCCTTGGTGGTTCCGGCAAGGGACCCACCCACCTGCGATCCTCTAAAAATTCGCCTAAACGCTACGGCAGCGCTGAAGACCTCGGTTTCACATTGCTGATGGCGATTCTTGTCGAAATCTCCAAATGGCATACCGTAGAGGGAGTGCGTGCGGGAGCGAGGTGGGGCTGGCAGCCACCCAAGCCACCCAAAAGGCAGGCGGGGCCAAAAACCTGTTTCTGGAACCCCACAATCTAGCAGGTGCGTTGAACACGCCCGCTGGAGGAAAGTAACCATCATCATTGGACCTTGGATCCAATCGCTTAAGATGGAAAGACACTTGCCCGCATCCATGGATCTCAGCATACGCCTAGGCGATCGGGACGGCCCAGAACCGCCAAGGTTCTGGCCGCAGGGAATCCCACCCTAAGATGGCGGTCCGCAAGACTTCTGCCCCTCTCCGACGTGCGCCAAAAATGTCGAGGCCCCGCCATTCGCACGCACGCCGGCCTCCGCTGGCAAAGTCATCACGATGTTGCTAGACAGCGCCGAATGCGCCCTGCCGCCCTCGGAGCCGCCCTCGGAACTGCCTGCTGATGCTCCTCTAGCTGCCGTCGAAGACGCCAAGGCCGATGCCGTCGAGGTTGACAACTTTGAGCGCGCGCGCCAACGCGAAATAGCAGCGTAGGTGACACCCTCCTCGCCCAGCTCTCCAGAAGCAGCTTCCTTGCCTTACCTACCTACATTACCTACCTTAGGTACCCTATTCAAGTTGCGCGCTGACCGGTGCTTCGGCCTTCCGCTGCTGCGTCCATTAGATATCTCGCGGCTGCCTCCTTCCCCCTAGACCTCGACTACTCGGGCCCTCGCGAGAAGGTCTACCTCAACGAAGATGCCACACTGAACGCTCTCGTCCAACTGGGCGCTCTGCGTCTCGGCTGCGACCGTTCCTTTCTCTCCCTCATCGACCGCCAGTACCAGTGGGTACTCTCGGAGATGACACGATCACAGTCTCTCGTCCAAGTCCGCTCGGCTCCCGAAGACCCCGTCTGGCTCGGCGTCTCCAGGTTGGATGCCTGTTGGGGCGTCTGTCCCACAACAATGAAGGCCTTCATGGACGAAACAGGCGCGTGGGTTCAGACAGGGCCGAATGTCATCTGCAACAGGAGTCGCTACATTGTGAACGACTTCCGAACCGAGCCCGGCTACCAGGATAGGCCATACGTAACGGCCTTTCCGTGGTTCGTGTCGTATCTAGAAGTCCCCCTGGTTTCCTCCCTCGGATATCTCCTCGGAAGCTACTGCGTCGTCGACAACAAGCTCAACGACTACGATAGCGACGAAACTGTGGGCATCATGAACGAGATCGCAGACGCCATTATGGCCCATCTGGATCTTATGAGGCTGAAGAAGAACCGCCAGCGCTCCGAACAGCTCGTCGAAGGCTTGAGCCAGTTCATCAAGCACGACCAGTCCGAGCCGAATTACGCTCCAGGCGATACCCCCCACCACGAAACCACCGAGCAGCCCGCCGACGAGCGTGTGTCAATCGATCCAGACCGACGGGGTAGATCCGTCGACTCGTCTGAGAACCCATTGGATCCCGAAGACTCGCGCCCGCAAACACTACAGCTGCCCTCGTCGTCTTCCATCCAGTCCTCCATCTCGCCCTTCACCCCTTCTAATCTGAGATCTCTCGAGACACCTCCGACAACGCTCCAAGACGACACGGATGTAGACCCGATGGAACTGCATGTCGTCGCAGAAGAAGTACATCAACCCGACTCTCCGTTGTTGTTGTCGTCTGATACCCCGGAGCTGCATTCCAACGGCTTCATCAGTTCTGCAAATATAAAATCCACCTTCTTCCGAGCCGCGGCCACCATACGAGCAGCCATGGACATGGACGGCCTGATGTTTGTTGATGCTGTTCCAAGCGCATACAACGACGCGCCCGATCAGCTGGTCCCCGATCAGCTGGTCCCCGATCTCCCTGGAGAGGTCCCGCAGGACGAGACTGCAGGGCCATTCTGCGCAGCCATCGTCCAGTCTACCTCCGATCACTCAGGCGTCAAGTCCCCGGAGACCCCGCACACTCGCCTTCCGGAGGCCGTTCTGCAAAGGTTTATTTGGAAATTTCCTCGAGGCCATGTCTTCTCCGCCGACGAGTTCGGCCCGATTGACGACGGGAGCTACGGAATCGGAAAACCATTCCCCGTTGGTTCCAGGGCCGACAAAGACAGCCGGAGTTACAAAAGAGACGTAGCCACACTCTTTGGCGTTGCGCCGGGTGCGAGATACATCATCTTCCTCCCCCTCTGGCACTTCCAGCGAGAGTGCTGGTACGCTGCCGCTCTCGGCTGGGTCGCCAACCCTACCAGGGCGCTAGACATGGGCGACATCAGCTTGGTGTCGGCCTTTGGAAATACCATCATGGCTCAGGTGTCGCGCCTGGAGGCCCTGGCATCGAGTCGTGCCAAGTCGACTTTCGTCTCGTCCATCAGTCACGAATTGCGAAGCCCGCTGCATGGGATCCTTGCGAGCAGTGAACTGCTCCGCGAGAACATTACCGACCCCTCGCTACTATGGAAACTCGACATGCTCGACTCTTGCGGCACGACCTTGCTCGATACTTTGAACAACTTGCTCGACCACGCCATTGTAGTCAACGACGGCAAGCCCGGGAAACCCCTAGCCAACTTGCAAATCTCGGATCTGGGAAGACTTGTCGAGGACGTTATCGAAGCCGTCAATTTCAGCCATCTATCCGAGAATGCGTTCCAGTTATCCATGCATCGCCATGGCGTCTATTCAACCGAGTCCTCGGGGGTTGGGATAGACCCGCCCCCTCGCCAGCTTCTCGTGGCGATAAACATTGAGACGAACGCCGCCTGGAAGCTCGTCCTCGACATTGGTGCCTGGAAACGCATCATCATGAACCTCTTTGGCAATGCCTTGAAGTACACGTGCTCTGGCTACATTCACGTGTGTCTCAAAGTGATGCAGAAGGTGGACAGCGCCGGCAAGGCGCATGATCATATCGCCTTTTCCGTCGAAGACTCGGGAATGGGGATGACCTCGGATTTCCTCAAATATCAAGTCTTTACTCCCTTTACACAGGAGAACGCACACTCACCCGGAGTGGGACTAGGCCTCAGCATCGTTCGACAGCTAGTCCGCGGCCTCGGCGGCACCATTGACGTTAAAAGCTCTGTGGGCATAGGGACCTCGGTCGAGGTCTCGGTTCCCCTACACCGCGACACGCCCGACCCGGTCCCTGGCGCTCAAATCTTGGATGAGCAAGAGCGGCAATCATACGATGACCATCGTGACTGGCTCCATGGGCGGACTGCGTGTCTCATAACCCCAGACGTATATGCAACCATGACCAAGGCCGACCTTGAAATCACCAACGAGATGCGAAGTCGAATGGGAACGGTAGAACGAGCTCTCAGGGTCACTGCTGGCGGCGCTCTTGGGATGAAAGTCATTGTCGGAACGTCTGACAATTCACTCCCCGACGCCGATGTGTATTTCCTCGATGACAACGCCTGTGGTGAAATACGAGCCAAGCTCCTTGCGCCCACCCCGCCTTTACAGGATGCGCCTGTAGTCCTGCTCTGCTCTGGAGCCCGATCACGCTCCTGCTTGAAGCAGCAACTACCGAGCAATGGCATCCATCTGCATGACCCCATAGGGCCAAGAAAGCTTGCCGCCGCTCTATACTCGGCTTTGAAGCCCGAGGGCCTCCAGAATTCCGGCCATGAAAACCACCGGTCCGTCTACCAGGGAGTGGCATCGACCGTCCCCGAGTCGCGCGACTCTCCCTTGCCACCTTTAAATCTGCCGGTGCGTCTGAGAGACGGCCCACAGGTCCCCCAGCCTCAAGCCCAAACCGATGAACGCCAGTCTCCTGGTCGCCCGCAAGTGTCCAGCGTATCGTCGGCCGCTCCAGCTGTGGCGGCAGCGCTGAGCACCCGGGAGCAAAAGCCGCGCCATCTACTTCTAGTGGATGATAATCCCATCAATATCAAGCTGCTCATGACGCTTGTGCGCAAACTGAAACACACCTTTATGACGGCGTGCAACGGACTGGAAGCCGTCCAAATGTACCAGAAGTCCCTAGAAGAGGGTTCTCGGTTTGACATGGTCTTTATGGACATATCCATGCCAGTCATGGACGGCTTCGAAGCGACGCGGCAGCTCCGGCAGCTCGAGAAGAAGGCGGGCGTGACCGGGGGCTGCAAGATCGTAGCGCTGACAGGCCTCAGCAGCGACTTGAGCCGCAATGAAGCCCTTGCCAGTGGTGCGAACCTCTTCCTAACCAAGCCGGTGAAGCTAGACAAGGTCAAACAGTTGCTTGGTGATTTGGAGGTACCGGACGAGCGCACCGCCAGTTGATCTTGGGTACTACTTCACCGAAATGAAGCCAAGATTTAGCGCTCTGCTAGCTATCTTCATTTTTCTACTCCATATACCTGACTTTCTCGTGGGTACGGGCGTTTTGGCGGTTTGCATCAGCCGGTTGGGAACGATAAACGATACCCTTACTTTGTCTTAGGTACATGCCTCACAATAGATGACTGAAATGAACGACGTGACTTCTTAGTAAGTGCAGATGACTATTTGCATATAACTGTCTATTCTTTCGCGTGCTCTTTAGTAGCGTTTGCATTCTTTGTCCATGTCATAGCGTCAGCATAGCAGCACCCCCAAGAATGGCCAAGCTCTCTACAGCAACTAGCAAAAGGTCTTCAAATCCTAGACTTCGGATCCCGCCCGCCCTTTCGCCATTCAAGATTCATCACACCAAACATTCTACCTGAGGCTAGCGGCACGAGGTGGTCGAAGAATGCTACCTCTCCCCCTTCAGTATTTAGATTGAGATGCTCTAGGTCGGGACTTGGAGATTTGAGGATAGCTAGCGAGTCGCGTAAGGCTCGGGCTTCATTGCGGCTCGTTGTGGCTTCTTGGACCTTTCCCCTGTCTCTTTGCACCAGAGAAAGGCGATAGAGCGATCGCGCAACGTTCATGGGATACCAAGACAGCCGCTCTTTGAGAGCTGACTCCAAATGATGTCTGCATTCAATGTTAATAACGTGAATCGTCAAGTTTTTAGATCTCGTTGGACATGGGGGATAAGACAGTCAACTCACGTGGCCGGATCAAGTTGGCGAAGCTCGTGATATAGAACGCCAACAGCATAGTAACTGTCCAGCGTGTATGGGTCCGTCTCCCCCAGGTTCTTCTTCTGTTGCACGCGATCGAAGTTGACAGCGCATTGAATTGTCTGCTCAATAGGTCTAAAAGTACAGAAAAGAACGCTTCCTTATACTCATGGAGAGAGGGCAAGGGAGGCGTTGTAATCAGCCCGAAAGAGGGCATTCCGAATGAAATGAGGACATTCCGAGTCAAGAATGAAGGAAATAACAAAGAATGAAGGAAGCTCAGAGGCATGTCAACCAGGCCCTGTCCAATTCCATGAAAAATGGGTCAATTCCAGACGACATCTTCCTTAGTACGAGCGTCCTTAGGTGTTCCATGAGGGCTTGATCCCGATCACCGACGCAGAAGTACATATTGCCGAGGATGAAAGAGAAAAGCATCGTGGCAGGAGCATCAGAGCCGCGCCACTGTTCCATCATACTGCGGGCTTGAATCATAAGTTCAATGGCCTCGGTTGCATTTCCGTGGTACAGTGCCACATGAGCCAGATTCTTGTAGCACTCTGCAAATGGAAATGGGGCCGTCGCTTCTGTAGCCCATTGTTTCTTGACTTGGTAAGACTTTACGAGCAGTGGCTCGGCGCGGACAAACTGGTCACACGTCATGGCGGCCCAAGCTAAGTTGTTGTAAGCACTGCCGAGCAGCAGGCCGTCTTCCACCTTTGCGTCTCCAGGCGGCAAACTGTTCAAGTACCGGTCACGAATGTGAAGAACGCGTTCCATGTAGGTCTAGCAGCTTGCGCGGCTATCAGGCCCAGCGTTGAGCTCGAACGACGCGATAACTACCAGGAGTCCGCTTAAAACAGGATGTGGATCGTCTGGGTCGAGAACTTCAGTGCATATGTTCTCTGCTGTCTGAAGCATCTCCATCGACCCGTTGGTGATATTCCGTTCCCAAAAATAGTTGCCTATGTCGGACAACAGCTCAACGAGTTCAAGGAACGGCTTGAACGGTGTGGCAGGGTTGATGATGTTGTGATACAGACTCCGAACGCTCGGGACGTACTTCTCGTAGACAGGCCACAGGTGATTTATTGGTGCTCTGTAGGGCGATTGCTTGGGAACCGCCATCCTCAACAGGTCAAAAGTCTGGCGAAAGCGAAGCTCGCGTGTGCCTGGATTCTGATCCAGTTTGAACAGCAGCATTTGCTGCACAGAACGATGGACGAGCAGAGCTGGGTAGATGGGCGAAGTGGCCTGCGGAGCGGAACCATTCGAGATAGATTCGGGGTCAGCCGCCTGGCTTTCAACTAGGTGGCGTGAAATGAGCTGCTTCTTGACTTTAAGTGGGCTGTTGACAAATGAGGCCAGTTAACTTGCCGCGAATCCTGAACATAATAGGTAGATTTGTAGCAATTAAAGCATTGATCAATTACTCACCCTGGCCCTTGGCTTGTGTACAGAAATTCCAAGATCTCGGGACGCTGAGGCGCGAAAATCATGTCTTCCGGGATGCCCTTCGGATCCAAAAAGGCTAGACACTCCAAGATACCGCGCACGGGCGGATCCAACGTGGCTAATGCCCAGTCAAAGACCGCTGCGAACGACCGCTCATACTGAGATATCGTTAATGGCTTGTCACCTAACCAGACCGTTGTTGGATCGCTTCTCTCCTTGAAGGACTTGGCGAAATCAGGTAGCGAGCAGCAGGTCTGATTAATAACTCCTGCGGCATGGGCGATGGCTATCGGCAGACTTCCGATCACGTTGATGACTGCTTTGCCCTCATCCCTATCCACGGCCTTGTTCCGGAGGTAGTGAATTAAGAGATCCAAAGCTTCTTCTTGACTGGAAATTCCGCCGATTAGAATGCTGCATGTCGTCACGTCCCTCATATCTGAGAGCTGAGAGGTGACTATGATGGAACCGTGTTGGCTACATGGCATGTATCGCTGGACCATCTCGTAGTCTGTCAAGTTATCGAAGACCAAGAGCCAGGTATCATCTGATCAACGAGTGTTAGGGCTTCACGAAAATACCGTACTATGGGCAGTGTGGATAAAACTTACCTGTTCCGGAAAGCCAGTTCCGTGATTCCGTAATGAGGTTCTGCTGCGTGTGGGAAGCATGACTTGGGAAAACATTTGCCGCGATTCTGGCGTACGACACGGCCAACTCATCAGCATGTTCGGAATGGACCTAGAATGTATGCTTGAACGACGTTCGGAATCGGTATGTGTACTCTAGCGCTAGGGAGGTTTTACCGCTTCCACCGATTCCGTGCAACACGCATGATTGCTGCCGGCATGGGCGGTTAGCTTTAGGGTTGCCAATATACCCATGCAGTTTCTGGAGAAGGTTATCTCGACCAAAGAACCGATCATTCCGTGGAAGAGTAACAGTGGTGGTTCGGATTGCCGAGGTATCGGGGCCGCGATCAATGCTCGACTTGCAGATACAGTGCTTTCGACTATTTCCACCTAGACTTCCTCTTTGAATCGATTTGCATTCTTCGCCATCTTCTGTTCGGCCGCAGCAATCTTCTTGTCTAGATGATTCGCGGGCCAAAGATAGCGCAGCACAGTCACTAGATAAAAAGAGATATTAATCGCGTGCTCTCAAGTTAAACTCATATGGATTATCAGAGCGAGTTCACCTACTAATCGGATGCTGGAGCAGGAATTCCCTCATGTCTAGAAGGAAGTCGACATACGAGTCGTACAGCTCTTGGGTGACAGTTTTCAACTTGTCGCTTTCCCGGAAACAAGCTCAGGTAACGGTCGAAGGTCGGAAGTGTGTTCGTTATTTCAGAGAAGATGTCCATCACTTTGTCAAGGGCGGTGGTCAGACGTGATGCGAGCTATATATACGGACAAGCGTTAGCATTGTTAGACATGCATGTCATTCCAGAAAACATTTTCAGGCTGTCCTACTTGTAAAATGGCGAGTACTGAACCCCAAACTATTGCGGCAATGACAGGGTTAGCCTGGACCATTGTCGATATGACGAGCGTAAACGTCTGGAGGGTGTCAAAGACGCCACGCAGCTTCTTGATGGATCGCTGGACCTTGCATTTGCTGTTCGAACTGACCAGCTTATCAAACTCGGCCATGAACGATCCATACTCCATAGTTCGCGCGATCACTGTGTACTAGCTTCCCAGACGGTTCTTGTGCCGCCCCAACGACTCCTGCCACAAGAGGGCCGACATTCTGAAAGATAAGGGCTGTGCGAAATGCGCGACCGCGGCGAAAGAAAAAAAAACACGGTTCACGGAGGGCGGAGGGTGTATTTTTGAACAGCAAAGGCCCAAAAAAAGGAAATCTGAAGACGGGGGCCAGCGCAGTGAGGGAGGGGGCTTTCTTACCTCGGTAAAATAATATCGCTGCACGTTGCAAGACGTGAGGCGGCTGGCACAGAGATGAGTACGCCTTGCGGGGATGCCTAGCCTAGACAGATGAAATGGTCACTACTACTTTTCTCCGTGCTTGGGGGTCGAGGCTATGGCAAAAGGGGGTGAAGGGGGTGGAGGGGGTGAGTTGGTGTTCCCTAATGGCGGCGGCGTGTCTTGTGCGCCTGTTGTGCGCCTCTCTGGTTGCCGAGAGGAATTGAGGGGGAAAACCCGACCTCCCATGGAGTGGAACTGCGGAAGGTTTTACACAATCACTCGACCTCTGCATGTACAGCGTACTGTGTACATGCCCCCACATGCAGGCCGCTTGCTTCGGCGCCTGGTAACTACAGCCCCGCACCCGGGCCGGGGGTGCCTGAAGTCTGGCTCGTGGTGCACATGAGAATTCGCACCAGCGAGCCCAACTACTGCTTCGAGACGGTCGCCCGTAGGGACGGATACGTCCACCCGGACAATTGTAGTGATTTGCCGAGCCCCAAGGACTACGACGAAGGCGGGTACTTCTACGGCCTTCCGGAGCAGTTGCGGCCCGATCTTGATATCGAGGCAGCTGGGAAAGCGGCCCGAGAGGCACTTCCGGTGAGATACAGACACGTCACATCAACAGAACGATTGCCAGCCCAAAGCCCTTGAATAAGCTACCGCGAGGGACCGTACTGAGCGGGCAGGTTTTCGGCCGCCTTAAGGACGACAATTGGGGCCTTCCCAGCACGTGAGAACGAATCGGGAAGCACATCTTTCAGTACGGCGGCCGAGTTGTAATCGAGACCTGAGTTGTAAAGCTGGGATGAAACTAAAGTCAGCCATCATATTTTGCAAATGGGGGATGAACAGTGTTGCGTACGCCTCCTCCCGTGACTGCCACGACAAACGGCGGTGTCGACGCAACGGTCAACTGTGAGACGAACATTGCTCGTGAGGGATAGTAAGTGGCACTAGTGCCTGTACGGGTATAGGAAGCTGAAGGTGTTATGGCTCTTTTGGAAACGAAGCGAGACGGTATTCGCAGACGCAAACACCAGCGGAGGGGAAATTGCATCGGGTTTCTAATATTGATTCGAGAACCTTGCCAAGGATGGGATGAGGAAAACTATCAGGGGAAAGACTATACATGCGAAGGTTGAAGGCGGGGAGGACACTGCCCGCCTCGTAACAAATGCGATTTTAGAAATGACTAAAGTGGGGGAACAACTGGTATGACTGGGCACAAAACGCCCACTTCCATAATCAGGTGGTCAAGCCCATGTCACTGAGAATGCCAGGAATGAGTGTGAGACTCTGATTGTGCCACCACATGTACAAGGTTCTCACATTTGCAATTGGTGTGAATGCGGCCAGAAGGTCTTGGCGATAACTATTCACTCACCGCATTCCCTTTTCGAGTCTTTTCCCCACCTTGCAGGGCATCTGTTGGAATCACCAGGTACCGGTACTGGAATCAACAGGGCGCGCTGCGCGCCGTATATTGGTGGTTCAAGTGTTGGATTTCGTTGATGTCTATATAGATCTAAGAAGGAAGGTGGAAGTGGCCTACGGCCACTTATTTAGGTTCGGCGGCCCTGCGCCCCTGCGCCTCCACCGCCACATCTGTGGTTGACTAGCGCGTTGTTCCAACAACATCATCCCGTGGATTCCTAACCTGTTACCCATGCGCTTCCGTCTTGTGAAACATACCACACGCAAATTAGGGCGGACTAGATGTTGCGTCTCTACTAACTATTGGACTCTCGTCGTCTCTCAGATGCAACCCAACGCGATTGCGTGACAAGGCCAATCTCCAAAGCGACGCAGAGCCTATCGAGGGCTGCCGTGTCTTGATAAGAACCTTGGTCCGGTGAGATCTGTTTGCAATAAGAGGTCGCGATCGCACCAGCTTGATCTCAATTTCAGGTATATATAGGTACCAAGGTTAGCCAGGACAGTTGCTGCCTGACAACAGCCCGCTTTGCCATGCAACTTGACTGCCATCGCAGAAGACTGCAAGCGACTAGAACCGCAGAGGTCAAAAAGCACAACCCAGAATTGCACGAGGTATGTCATCCTGCCAGCATCTCACCTCTAATCACTACTAGTATCTCATGAGCCAATTTCCTCTTCATTCTTTAGCCTGTTCCACAACCGGCTCCTGAGGTGACCAGTCTCAATGGAGGTAAAGAGCATGGCTTCGCACCCCGACAGTTGGGTTCAAAAGGTCGAGGAGATGGAGCAGAAGGACGCTCGAATCCGCCCCTGGAAGATGGTGTTTGGCAACCAAGTTGACTGCATCTTTGAGGACGAGGAGATTGTGCATGTGGAAAACAAACATGCCGGCGGGGAGACTATCAGGTTCTGTGACTATGATGTGCAGGCTAATGGCTAAGGATCTCAGGCTGGATAGCTGATCGCGTCAAAGGATCGCTGCTGCTGGTGCCTGTTGTATTGGAAAGTGGGCCTTGGAAGGCTCGCTCGAAACAGAATGCTATCTTTGCCCCCCATTCCCAATGTCTGTATCTAAGTACCTAGGTGGTCTGTCGAGAATCGAACCCCCTTCCATGCCCGTGATCAACACCCGCCTGACCTCTTAGGGCAAGAAGGCCTGGAACGAAGTGCTGGTACGCAATAATCTACTTTGGTCTCAAGGTCCTTACTTTCTCTCAATCCCATTGGGAAGAGCAAGGCCTATTCATGCCTAGAGGAGGACTGGGCCTGGAACGTAGGGGCCTGCTCTGTTGGCCCGGTTAGGACAAGCCACAATCTATGATTGGATACATTTTCGCACTGTGCTTCATGCGCTCTGCTCAGCTGTCGTGAGTACTAATTCCTCTGCCACCCTCATGTCAGGTTATCGCGGCCTTCTTATAGGTTGAATGATTCTGGAAGGGGTGTCCTGTGTGACACACTCTTCCATACCCGCGATTAACACCCGATAGACCCCGGTTGTGCAACTTTGTGATAAATGCCAAGCTTATGTGTATCTTCTGACCCGATTCTTGCATTTAAGGGTTGTGGGATGAGGAGGAGGCCGCGCCATCTCTGCTCGGTCACGTCCACATGAATTCGGCTCCGTCCCTCTGTCCCTCTGTCCTCCTTCCTCGAACCCCCACCCTCCCCGTCTAACTTCCATCCGAAAATCCAGACTCCATTGAGTGGTCTTTCCGCAAAAGACGGCTGCGCCACAATCATCATAAACACTGTCACGGCGGAGCTCAAGTACCTTCAATGGCAAAAGCTTTACGAAAAGGAGAGGCCTCCAGCTTTTTATTGACCTACCTCTCAATGCCACGGATCGGCGAGTGAGCAACCTCGTCTTCGAGAAGCATCAAGTCGACGTGACAGATATTCGTGGAGGCCTCGATAAATTCTCAGTCGATACCCACGGCTTCATGGTCCTGAACCACAAGACAACAGTGACCGAATTCACTAAGTTGACCATGCCTATTTTGGCCCAGCCCATTTCTGGCCCGTGCTGAGCCGCCCACTTACATGAATGACACCCCACATAGAAGCATGTAAAATATCGCCAAATCAACTAATCTCTATACAACCTTTGACTTCTTCCTCTTCTTCCGAGCTTTCTGATTCGTCAGAGCTGTCAATATCGCGCCCCACTGCCCTCTGCGCGCGCCGAATGTCTTTTATCGAGGCAAACTTCGAATTTGGGCTTAATTCCACTTTCTTCCTCTTGGTTCCCTTTTTGTTCTCAAGCTCAGCTTTCAGAGCCTCATTTTCGTGCCTGAGCTTAGCCAGCTCAAAGTCCCTGAGGGTGAATGCCTTCCTGACCTTCCTGAATAGCTGATGACATGCCCTGCGGGCCGGGGAGCTGATGTTTACTTTGGCCAAAGCAATCGTAAGGTCCGTAACCTTATTGGGAGTCTTCCAAGTACCGTAATCGTCAAGCAACTGTTGTTGTTGATGAGCCGTATCCCTCTCTTCCTCGAGAGTAGCTACAGCCGTACTTTTACCGGCTTTGTTGCTATTTCCTAGCACTTGAGGGCTCGTGAGTGGCTTGAGCTTGTTTACCGGCCACAAGCCGGTAGCATACCACCCTGCCTTGCAGTTTTCTTCCTTGAATGCTTCTTCCCGGGCAGCCCGGTGACAGATCAACATAGTGCGCCGGCCGTTGAATCGGAGCACCGGGGTAAGGAGTTAAACCTCTTCCGGTATGCCCGTTTCAGGACCGAGAAAACCGTCAAATCAAGTGGCTGAAGCACGTGTGATGAGTGTGCCGGTAAGTAAAGAAGCTGAATGTTGTTTTGGAAGCAGGTCCACATATAATCATCAGTTGTATGACTACCGTGGCCGTCAACAAGGAGGAGCCGGCGTTCGTTGTTGGCCGTACGGGTGTTAGGAAGAAAGACTTCCTGAAGCCATTTTAACGCACCCTCATCGTCAATCCAGCCTTTTTCTTGCGTATGGAACTTCCAACCTTTGAAGGGACCCATTTTGCTTGGGTAGTGTTGTTGTTGTAAGGTTTTTCCCTTCATGATCACCAAAGGAGGTATTGAACTGCCCGTTGCAGAGATGCATTCCACGAACATGGTCCAATTCCGTGATCCTGACTGCTTTTTCTTTAGCTTCTTGTTGTTGGCCCTTTCCTCAGATCCAAGAACCATGCCGTTGTCACCCTGGCCTTCAAGAAGGCTAGTCTCGTCTTTATTCTAACGGTTCTCCGGCTTGATCAGCTTGATAGCCGGGGGGGCCAGGTAGTTGAACCAAGCCGTGATTACCGGGACCGTGGCGCCGTTGAGCCGGGCCGCATCCATGCTTTGTGCCCGCTGGGTCCGAATTGACGGGTTCCGGGCCATGAAGCCGCGCAACCACTTCGGTCCTACGTATTCCGGCTTGCCTCCGTCCACGGCCAGCCGGCGGGCAAATTCCCGGACCGTTGCATGCGTTGGAGGTATGCCGAGAGCGCCCTGAAGGGTGATCCATTCGGCGAGCCGGGCTTCCGTTGTATGCGGAAGAACCTGCATGTGTTCGAATGCAATATGGCGGGATTTGTGGCCGGCCATACGGTTGCGAAGGGTAGTCCTTGGAACGCCACATTCTTCCGCAGCGTGCCGCAACGGAACGCCTTCCCGGACTTTTTGCATAGCCTGCAGCATTTCCAATTCGTTATATTGAGGCATCGTTGGAAATATTAGTGAAAGGGCTCTCGAATGTAGTAGAATTGAAGGAATTTGGTGTTGTGTTGAGGAAGTTGCGGTGTGTTGAAGAAAAAGGATCGATCACATGTAGTGTAAGTGCATGGTGGCTTGTGCATGGACCAAAAGTGGGCTAGGCCAAAATAGGCATGGTCAACTTAGCCGCAAGATTGTAGAAGAAATATATCTTCCCGAGGTTGAAGAAATTCTTCGCGCTAGCCTAGACGGCGTTGATCAATGTTTTGTCTTTAACTGGCGCGTAAGGCGCCCAAGGCGCTCCGCCATTCCAATACGACAAGAGTCATCAACTGCAGAATTAGACCTAATATTTGAGTAGTTGTGAAACACGGAGCCCGAACTCCCTGGTCAGATTGATATAAATGACCCCACGGACTTTCGCTGGCCAGCCACGCAATTACACATCGGTAAACTTGGCTGACAGCTCTTTTCAACCTATGCAAGTCAAGAGCTGATTAGCAACCCCACAGACCAGAGTCCCACGTCCGTTTTAAACCGGATCAAGTTGCAGTTCAAGGATGAAGCAGATCAACTACTTCGAGGACGCGTTCGAGTTGTGAAGTACAGTTCCACTCTCAATTCTCTCCGAACTTACCGGGCTCTTCGCTAATGCCAGATAGTGTTTGGCGCCCACCTGTTAGAGAAATCGGTGACTGGCCACTTGCTTTGTGCGATGGGAGCACTGTGCATCATGTCACTGATCTCGTCGAGACGGATCACGTTCAACGCAAATATACCGGGCCCACCATGTATATGATGCACAGCTCGAGGCACAAGTTCTACTATCTCGGAGGTCAAAGAGATGACGAGGTTCTTATTTTTAAGAACTTCGACTCTAAGAAGGATGTTTTCCCATGTATGACATTCGTTCAGGGAGCTCATTGATTCCTAGCCGCGGCTCGTCAATGCTAACTGATATGCTTATGTAACTAGACGCCCCACATGCCTCCTTCAGAGATCCCATCGTTCGACCTAATGGGCATCCACGAAAAAGTATTGAAGTGAGAGTTCTAGTGTTCTCTAACCCAGAGTCCACTGTTTGGGTCGTCTGTCTGTAAGGGAGCACGGGCTCTACAGAATGCTGGGTATCACCGCACAGTCAACTGCATGAGACAAGGCTGCAATATGGTCGCTGTATTCGTAGAATCTAAAGCTAAGGAAAGAAAGAAGAAAGGAAGTTTCTAAAGCTTGGGCAGGGCGCAGGGAAATAGGACGTGGGGTGCACGGGCCATCTAGTCTAGTGGGGTCCGGGTCGGGCCCACTATTCCAGAGTTGTCTGCACTTGCCGTGACACTGGGGTTGGTAATTATGAAGATAGAACAAATGGCAAGCTCCTATCGTACGGGTAATATAGTCAAATCGGAATACTACTCAAAGTATATAAGTATAGTGAATGTATATTACTTGCTTGAAGAACCAAGCAAGAAATATCTAGGACCGTGGCTACGGTTATCGTATATATGTCACGGCATGGCCTGGACAGGCTCCTGTTTAGAGTGTGGTCTGTGCCTGACGTATCACGTGGCCCACAACTACCCATTTCCCCGCGCCCTGCGCGGTCCCCGTCATAGCTTCCTTCTTCATCTTTAGATTCTACGAATTCAGCGATGATTACTGCAGCCCTGTCTCTTTACGTTGACTGAGCCGTGATAATCTAAAGATCGTTTCTACGGCCTTCCTTACCGAAGCCTGGATCCTATTCTCCTTCTTCTTCAATCGACCGAAAGAACCCGCGTTTTCTTTGTGGCTCGCACGACCACGGTCGCGCGTAGCGGAATCCGCCGCTTTTTTCCACCTCCACCTTCGACCTAACGCCCTGAGTGCCAAGGTTACTGGTAATGACCGAAATCTTCCCTGCTACACCTTTGGGGAGCTTCTAGCTACGTGTGTTCAAGGCAGCGGCAAGAGAGTAGAATCCAAGGCCAGGCAGCGGACCGCCGGACCCTCTATTCGACATCCTTTTCCTTCCTAGCAATCGGACCTTTCTTCAAAGCCAGCCGATTACCCTGATCCTCACGATGGCCGTGACCCCGGCTGATCAGATCGCTCAATTGCAACACATCGTCAACGGTCACAACGCGACCCTCGAGAACCTCACGACCAGACTGACGACTCTGGAGACCAACATCACGATGCTTACAGAGATTCTATCGGGCCGGAACAGTCGCCCGAAGCCTAGCATTCCTGATACCGAAAAGTTCTCTGGCTCCGATACCAACTGGGACACTTGGTTCCCGTCAATCAAAGCAAAGCTTCGTATCGATGGAGCAGCAATTGGCAACCATGAGGCTCAATTCTTTTACGTCTACGGTCGTCTTGACACCAAGGTCCAGGCTCTCGTAATGCCTCAGCTTACCGAAGCTGAAGACAACGATGATTACGATCCCCAGACCTTGATCGATCAGCTCAAGCGACTCCATGACGATCCCAACAAAGTCCAGAACGCAGAGGACAAGTTCCATAGCTGCCGACAGCAAGACAATGAAGGCGTCGCGGCATTCCTTATGCGCTTCGAACGCTTGATGTACAAGGCCAAAGCCAACACGTGGCCTGACAACACAAAGATCTCCCTACTACGCAAGGGACTCAACAAGGTCACACGTACCCGGCTTGATACCCAGGTCATTGTCCCCAAGAACTACGATGACTTCGTCAAGTTACTTCAGAAGCTTGGAAACCCTGGCTCAGGCTCGTACAACAGCCATTCCAACGGTGGTCAATCGAACAACCATGCAACCCCGATGGATATCGGCGAACTTGCTTCTCTCGACCTTGCAGTCAAGCCTATTGACGGCATTGCCAAGCCAGTTCCTGGTCGCGAATACCTTACTTTAGCTGAATTACGCGAGCTGAAGGACCGTATGGATCGCGAATTCATCAACGACCTATCTGAGTAATCAGATATCGGTCCTGTCACAACACCCTGTCAGGCCACTACGCGCTCTGACAGCTCTGTACAATAACAACACATGCAGTCTATGCAGGACTGTCAGCCTCCCTTGACAGCCCTGGCCAACTGACTGTCTTCAACTACGGAATAGATTGATGGATCATGAAAATTACGTAAGCTTCGGGGCGAAGCTTTCCCGCCGGGGGGGTAGTGTCACGGCATGGCCTGGACAGGCTCCTGTTTAGAGTGTGGTCTGTGCCTGACGTATCACGTGGCCCACAACTACCCATTTCCCCGCGCCCTGCGCGGTCCCCGTCATAGCTTCCTTCTTCATCTTTAGATTCTACGAATTCAGCGATGATTACTGCAGCCCTGTCTCTTTACGTTGACTGAGCCGTGATAATATATTTAACTGTGGGACTAATAATAATGGGCCCACTGTCCCGTGTCCCCGATCTCAGGGGGTCCCGAACCTCGGGACCCTGGGACACTCCTGATTAGTCCACTCTATGGGACGCCCCTAATTGGTCCATACCAAACCGAGCGTGTCCCACCGTCGTGCATTTCCACAGGGATTCGTAACATAGCTGATTTGACATCTCTAGTCTCGTTTTTTTCCGCTCTTTCACTACCCCAAATCTTCGTCATTCTAGTATGAAATTTCCAAGCCGCATAATAGAGACAAGACACGAGAAACTAACCAACGGCATCTACATCGACCTTTCCGCCAAGGATGGCCCGTAGCGTAATATTGATATTGTTAATAGTGAAATCCATAATTCTTTTACCTGAAAGGGCCTTCTTTACTTAGCTTGGAGCTCTCTCAACATTTTGCTTCCTCCGCCTCGTTTTTTTAACTAGCAGCGAGTAGGGTATATGCTCCACCATTTCGGGTGAGTTGGGTCTGGTTACTACGAGCGAAATTGGGGGTGTTCGGATCGTAGAGGTTGACTAGACTAACTATAGGTTGAAGTCTTCTAGCTAGGCCGTCAGGCCGGATTCCCGTCGGCCGAGGTCCTGCTGCGATTGACCAAGGCTATTTTCTTATTACTCGAGCTTTTTTTCCAACTCTCTAAGGGCCGACCGAGCGATCAAGCTAACATCGATAGACGGGTCAATAAACCTAATAATGAAATAGTTGCCAGGAGGCTCGGTCGGACGAGGTGGTCTTTATTAGGTAGATAGAGAGATATAATTAATCGAAAAGACGGTTATACCAGTCTTAGTAGACTTCTTCTAGGTAGAATGATAGGTTTCGGAGCGATTAGTTAGGAGCCGATAACCTAGCGGCAGAACTATCGCTTGACCCGCTTTCTAGTATATAGGTAACGAGCATACCCCCAACCTCTCAAAATAAGAAGTATTCTACGGCATATTCTATGTATCTTTTATTAGGTGTATCCCACTTACAGCGGGGCGCGCGAGGTAATAAATGTAGTTTCTGAAAACAAAGCGGCGAGTACTAAGCTAAGCTTAATATAGAGTCCGTTTTGGTATCCGTCTAGTAATCGTGACCTTATTAGGTATATCTAATCAATAAGTGTTGCGGTAGTCTTCGCCCATTACCCAGCGCTTCCAAAGATGGAACATCGTCAATCCCGATTTTTGTTGACTTCGGGCGTATACCGTCATCGGGGGTAAAAGGCCTACTGCGGGCTCCAGACCCTCAGAATCAACCCCCCTACCCCAGCCAGCTATCAACACGCAAACTCTTAGCCCAAGATTCCAAAGTGAGGCCAGCCATACGGCCGCCGGAGGGTCTCCCGCACTGGTACCCCCAACGCGTCCTGTGCTACATACTAGCCAAGGCTCAGACATACAAACGGCCACAGCGATTGAAGCACATGAAAACCAATCACGGCGTCACTAATTGGTTCTGCTTCTATTGCTCTCTCGAGCCCAACAACATGGACGAAGATTTCACTTTTAGCAATGAGCTGGACTGTAACAGCCACATGATCGAGCACCACAGGGATTCATTTCTGCCCCAAGAATTGCTTTTGTTGGTAGGACTGTGTGAAAATTCCATCATTCCCCAAACCTCATGTCCTTTGTGTCTTCGTAACCCAAATGTTTTTGATCTCGAATCCGACGAGCACGTTGCCAGTCACATCCATGATTTCTCGCTTCGCGCTCTACCATGGGAACCTGACCGGGAAAGTGCTTCGGATGTGAAGGCAGCAGGCGGTTCCGACGGTTCCGACGATGCGCCTTATATGCCAGGGACAGGCGACTCCATCAATGGCTCCGAGCCGGACGACTCTGAGTTCGACTTGAGAGTATTTGAAAATATCTTGAAAGATATCGACAACCTAGCCGATCAGTCGCTCGACCAACATACCGGTGGGAGGTGGTATCAGTGGGGACTGACTATTACAGATCTCTCGCAGCTTAGGAGAGTCGCTGCTAAGGCTATACGTTGGGCTGAGAACTCTCAGGTTTCAGGCTCTCAGAAAGAAAGATGTTTTCTTCTTGGGCGTATTCGGGGGAACTTGGCCGATTTGGTTTTAGGCGAAGTCGTCGAGGCAACGTAGATAGACTAACTCAAAACTAACATGACTCACGATCTCGAGGCTATAGAAGAGTACGTATTTCAGGCGAGCAGACGAGACCACGATTTTTGGAACGATGCTTCGGGAATCCGAAAAGACTCACCTGGTTTTCCTGAAGAAACCCCGACGGCAGAGGCCTTGCTGGCCATCATCGACGCGGATGACATTAGCATGCGCTCCCTCTCCGAACAGCTTGATAATCTACTCAAGCTGTCCTGGAAAATCCAAGACAGATTCAGCGGCCCATCGGACGTAGTTGAGCGCGAACATGCGGACGACATCGCAAACTCTTTGCAAAGAATTGGAGACGACGAGTCTATATTCCTGGCACCCCAGACAAACCTCCCGTGGGCTGCAGTTCTGGCTATATGAAGGTGAGACAACCGACTCCTGTCCGTTGGCGATATCTAACTTACCTACTGCCTAGGTAGTGACACTATGACTGATCACTGAGTTGGTCGTTTCTCTCTCTCCGGACTCTGAACCGGACAACCAGAAGCAGAACAACAATCCCAAATTATTACAGTTAGCCCTTCGCGCTGTCAACCGTGGTCGGGTGTATAATCTCACCTATACCCTCGATAAAACTCCTGACGAAGCGATTATTGAACTTCATGACGTCTCCGTGAGACTCTATTCGAGTATCCGGAGTTGATGATCAGCGTGATCGACGTCACCTTGCCTGCAAAGCTAGCTGATTTGGCACCCACAACCACCCAAACGTCTCGAAAGCTGGCGAATCTGAACACCACCACTGCGTCTCTAGGGAGGTTGTACTCGCTCGCAAGCCAGCTCGAAGATGCTGCACGTCTTTGTAAAAGGACCAAGACGACGGACATCGATGATGAGGTTGTTGAGTTGATGCAAGAGATGCCCGAGGTCCGGCGAATTAGGCATGATCGTGACGGCTCTAGCAGCATTAATAGTAACTCGGGAGACGTCGACATCGACGAGGAGCGCCTCGGGTGGATCTCCAATGTACCCTACGAGAGTCAGCACGACGATATAACGGCCTTCAGGACCCCAGGCCTGCGAGTAGCTACTACGGCGCAGTGAGTTTGCTAGCTGAGAATTAAGCAAAGAGTCTGCAATCCTCTAGCTGCAGGGCTCAGGTACGTACATATGCTTTAGTGAAATTGCTCCTTAGGCTCTATGCTAACTGTCCGTGTCTAGTTGGCACTAGCAAAACATTCCTTGCATCCAGGGTTGTGGATCACATGCGAAATAAAGCTACAGGCTCTGTAGGCTCCGAAGGGGTTGTCTTCTTCTACTGCGGACACGCCAGCGCGTCCGACTGGCAGCTAGGAGTTCCCCAGCCAGTCATTAGAAGTCTCGTCCAACAGCTGCTTATCTCTTCACCCCGGCTATCGGAGAAGATTGTAAGTTTGTTGACTTCTTGGCCTTTGTACGCAGACGGGCCTAATGATCCATAGCCAACATTGCGGACGTATCAAGAGTGGCTTGTGGAGGTCGTTCAGACATACTCCAGAGTGACGTTGGTTCTAGATGGCCTGAGCGAACTGGAGCTTGACTCTCTCGACTCTCTTATCAGCGCACTGCAATCTTTACTGGCGCTTTCGAGGAAGCCGCTAGGAGTGTTGGTTTCCAGCCGAGAAAACGTTGAGATTCGGCGCTTCGTTACACTAGGGTCTTCTGTTAACTGCCAAATATCGCTTCAACACTGAGCGAGCGAGATTAATGCCTCTCGGCGAGATTACGGGTTACCCCAAACCATCTTCGACATGAGGTAGTTTGTTGAGACAAGATTTTCGGAAATTGAGGACAAATTCGGCGGAAACTTGTCTGAATTCCGGGAGGTCCGGAACGAAATTGTGCGTCTCAGTGAAGGATCGTGAGTATACCCAAGAAGACTCAGCCACCGTTTGCAATATGCTGATACCGCAATAGGTTTCTATGGGCATCATCAACATTAAACCACTTTAGCTATCTCGTTACTATAGCCGAAGCCAGCCGACTACGCGAAGAGCTAGTATCACTAGTCTATAAAGAACTAGGATACGTTTACTAGAAAGCCTACACCGATTACGAGGAATGGCCGGAAGACCGAAAAGCGCTCGCAAGGCAGGCTCTCCTACTAGTGTCTAGCGAAAGGCGGCTGTTTTCCAGCGAGGAACTCCCTGCGCTCCGAATTGTCGACCCCGAATCAGACGTCTTTGATGTAAGGGAGTCTATTGACGAGACCTATTTGATGGGCCTATGGCCGGATGTTTTAACTACTGACACTGATCCGGAGCATGGAGTGGTTTGGTGTCTGTCGCACGCCTCTGTTGGCCATTATTTCTCAAGCCATCCGTCAATACGTTGGAGCACAAGAGATGCGCACTGCTATGCTGCAAAGATGTGTCTAAGGCTGCTGCTTGAAGCTTACAAACAAGATGCCTCTGCGTCAAGCGTGAGGCCAGATGCACTAGATCTCTTAAAGACGGACCGACCATTACAACTATATTTGCGGTACAACTATATAACACACGTCCAGACACAAGAAAACGGTGCGGCAGATTCGACAAACTCAAGTCTTGTTGCTTTGTTGAAAGAGTTTCTGGGCTCCCCGTCGAACAGTAGCGCGCAGTACCAGACGTGGTACAAGGATCTCTTTCATGATGGAGAGTTTGGAAAATGTCCCCCGAGCTCCCCATTTGATCGTTCCACAATCGACTTTATCGCGCCTGGGAGGCAATCGCTATTCACAATGCGTCACTTCGGCCTCTTCGGCCTCCTCAAGGACTAGTAGCATGATGTGGTCATGTTTTCGGTCAACAGCAAACACTAGACTCTACTTGAAGTCGTTTCCGGGGATAGACCTGAGAGCATTGCGACAGGCCGTAGGCTTATTGAGCTCGGCCACTTACAAGCCAAGAGCAGGGCAGTGAAGATTATGGATCTGCTCTCACACAAGCGGCAACAATGGGGGACATAGAATGGTTTCGCTTTTTGCAGTCCCAGGGGGCGGGCTGGGGCAGCCCGCATAGGTATACTCGATCACATCAGTTTCAGAGTCCGCTGGCAGCCGCAGTCTACCACAGCCACATCGATATTGTCAGGTTGCTTATCCAAGACGGGGCCGTGGTCAACGAACAAGGATTTTCTGAGATGTACGGCAGCGTTCTGGCCGCTGCAGCTCACCGTGGCAACCAAGAAATCGTCGAGCTGCTTCTCTGAGCAGGGGCCAACATCAACCAGGTTCTCGATACAGGTAACTTTGCGTCGGCTCTGGCTGCATTTGCATCTGGAGGGAGCATGGATATCCTCAAAATCCTTATTGAGCGTGGTGGCGATGTCAACATTCGAGGACCTAATCGCGCGATTTACGGGAGAGGCTGGCTCGACACTGAGCTGGCCGAAGCAGCGGAAGGCGGGCATATTCACTGTCTTCAGGTCCTGCTTGCTGCAGGTGCCGATGTCAACTACAGCCCACCTTCGGGTAGGTTTGGCAGTGCTATTGCTGCTGCTGCCGCACGAGGGCATGCAGATTGCGTGCGAGCCCTGGTCGAAGCCGGAGCGGAGATCAACCAACGGCTCGAGGGTCCCAAGAAGCCTGATTATTCCGGGAGCGCGTTAGCGGACGCAGCGTCAAGCAGGAATCTGGGTTGTCTGCTTGCTCTGATTGTGGCGGGCGCCGACGTCAACCAGTCGCCATTGTCTGAGCTTGAGAAATGTAAATTCGGGAGCCCGTTTACAGCTGCCGTAACAAGCGGCGAGCTGGAGTGCGCCAGAATGCTTATCGAGCGCGGCGCCAACGTCAACCAAGTCTTCCCGCCTCAGCAGTTTGGTAGCAGTGCCCTGGTCGCAGCTGCCCTCCAAGGCCATTCCTTGTGTTTACAGCTCCTGCTCAGCAACGGCGCTCAGCCTGACCTGCCCCAATGGCCGTCAGATGCCGAGAAGTTCGGCAGTGCTCTAGCTGCCGCTGCTTGGAATTCAAGACTGTTTTGTTTGCGTGTTCTAAAAGAAGCCGGTGCAGACGTCAACAGACGGCTTCGGTCGGGTATTACGGCAGTGCTCTCGTGGCGGCTGCTTCGAGGGGAGACGCGGGGATCGAGTGCATCAGTGAACTCATCTCCTCGGGTGCCGATGTCAACATGTCCATCGAATCCGGAGACTTTGGACGCTGCCTCGCTGCGGCAGCTGCTTGCAGCAAGGCTTTTGAGATGACAAGCTACCTAACCAGTGCTGGCGCCGACGTTAATTTGCAGCTTTGCACTGGATACTTCTGCAGTGCTCTGGCTGCGGCGACCTGGTCGGGGAATCAGTGGTGTATTCGCGAGCTCCTCGATGCTGGCGCAGATGTGAATCAAGAAGCTATTACTGTCCCAGAGCCCATATCCGAGAGCCTTTGGGAACAGAGTATGCTCAAAGGCACCACTGCGTCCTTAGTGGGTGAAAATGGTGGAAAGGGGTTTCGAAGGTACAGAACGGCTTTGGAGGTGGCCGATCTGAGCCCGAGTGAAGATGACAATCGACTCCGACGAAAGCATGGTGGTGGGTTATTCTTTGGCTTGGTGCCAAAGTTTCGTGGTAAAGCGAGGGTTTTGCTGAGGAGCCACCGAAGGACAAATGTTCAGGTTGAAGACCACATATAGGCAGAGATAAAACAGACAATATTATCAAGGCCGCGTGAGTTGCGTACCTAATCCCCGGCTAATGTTTATCGGTGGAATTGGTCATTTCAGGGTTATTGTTCCATGGAAAGAAAGCACCGTATGGATATCCCCCGCTTGTACCCCGTAAGTCATTTGTGTGATTTTGGTCATCTCCCCAAACTCGCCGCCATTTATTCCTCGCATGTTATCCAAACCAATACGATTTGTTATATACGTATAGGGGTTTCGATGTCTGGCTTTGTTGTGCTTCGGCCAGGGCAGAACACCCGTACCTAAGGAACTGTGTACTGTACTACGTATATACGGATGCAGGACATAATACGGAGTTACGGAGCACGCAACTCGGGTGCGGGTGCTTAGTCACCACCAAGGTGCCTTTCTAGTGCATGGCCCACCATTGCTAGCGCCAATCTCGAATGCTGGCACTGCGAATTTCCATCGCCCTGCGAGTTCCGAAACCCTGCACCGCAATTGCCACGACGAAGCCAGCGATGCCCCCGAGATTACCGCTTGCGCAGGCGGCGCGGTGCTGCCGGGCATTGATTCAAGCACCCACGAGCTCGACCTCGGTTGTCTCCCTTTTCGCCGCGCTTTCGGTGCAGACGCGAAGCGCCTCGATCCTCGGGAGCCTCTCCGACTTGAAGGAGGCATACCACAAGCGCATTCGCAAGGGTCGCGGACCTTCATCAGGCAAAGGCAAAACATCCGGCCGCGGTCATAATGGACAAAAGCAGAAGGGCAAAGTGAACCCGTGGTTCCAGGGTGGCCAGACACCTTTGATCTTTAGCCATGGCCAGAAAGGCTTCGTGAACCAGTACGCTTTCCCAGACGCCGTTCCCTGCCTTATTGTTGCCGCCGCCGCCACTTGCACGCTCCAAGTTATGAGCTACCTGCGTGTTACCTGAGAACTAACGGCCTCTAGTCGCGCTCCAGAGATGGCCGAACTTAACCTCGACCGCGTCCAAGCATTCATCAACGCTGGCCGACTCGACCCAACGAAAAGAATCACCCCTAGGGAGCTCATTCTGTCTGGCTGTGTGGGCAAGAACCTGAAGGACGGAATCAAGCTTCTCGCGCGCGGCAAGGATACACTTCAGACCCCCATTGATATCATGGTGTCACGGGCTTCCGCCGCCGCCATCACTTCAATTGAGTCTGTTGGTGGCAAGATTGTGACAAGATACTACACAAAGGAGTCCCTCAAGCGGCTGGTGTACGGCGACAGTATTAGTACAGACAAGCCTCTACCATTCGGGCCGGAACATGTCGATGCGGTGTTGGAAGACTCGAGAGCTACCCAGAAACATTATTACCGCCTGCCTGACCCGACAGGTCGCTGGGACATCGAATACTATCGGGATCCGGCGCACCGGGGTTATTTGAGCCATCAACTCAAGCCGGGCGAGTCGCCCAGTTTGTACTTCAAGGTGCCTGGAGAGAAGAAGACAATCTACAAGAGCAAGGTTAAGGATGAGGGGGCGGCAGAGTTGGATGTGAAGCTCTTTTAGACTACCGTACAAACTGTAAGGTTCATTTGGGCGACGCAGAGTCTATATAAAATGTACAAGTTAACTAATGGGGGGAGGGGGAAATACTGGTGGTTGTTCTCTGGCAACCTTTTTTATCAAACTCACGTCGTCTCGTGTCTTGATAGATACTCCCATACTACTACACCAAGTGAACTCTGCCCCCTAACCCACGATCCAGCAAGCATCTCGCTTTAATGTGCGGCTCGTTATGTTGAGTAAATGTCGAATTTCTGAATAATTCAGCCCAGCTGAGGACCAGCGTGCTTGTGGCTAGTGCCAGAGTGCCAATATCGTGAGGCATCGCGAGCCCTCTACACTTGGAACCGACAGGCCTAAACTACATTACTTTCTTGAGGCAACCCTACAAGCTTCTCATTGAGGAACCGCCAAGGTACTTACGAGCCATTACCTAGGTAGCTATTTGGGAAAACCCTATCGGTAATGGAATTAAAGGCCCTGTTTCTCTATAATTTTGTTTGCCTGGCAAATATATGGCTTTTCGCGGTCGATTTGGTCGCCAAAACCCAGACGCGTGTCGAAGAGCGGGCAATACCGCGCTAACCGTAGGGATTGGACTGTATCCGTACTGTATTCCGTATTACGGGAGGATTCCGTAGTCGGACATTATTGGCCAAGCGACGCCACCAGCGCCTTCCAAATCGCGAGCTACCCCCGTCTCTCCTTGGACTAGAGCTGTTCCGCTGACTGCTTCAGCTCAGTTCATCCGCCTGCAACCTGGATCCTAACTTCCCAGGTAATCTTCGGTTGTGCTCGTCGGGCGACCACTGCTTCAATTACAGCTGCATCCCAGGACGCGCAACAGTCCTCACGTCCACCTATTTCTACTTTCCCGAGAATGCACTTCCGTCTTCGTCATTGATCCACTTCATCAACTTACGCCTCTGCGTCCCGCATTACGAGTTGCATGACGACGCTAGTTGTCAACGCGACTCGGCGTCCTTGTTATTCGACTTTAATAGCATCCATCATAACCTTAGTTTACCCGTCGGTAACATCTTCTTAATCGACTTAACTTCTTAACCCGCAATTTTCTTGTCATGTCTCTATTTGGCAGCTCACCACCCAATGGCTCGCCCGTTATGGCGGCCGCAAGCTTCGCGAACAGCCGCTCGTCTCTCTTTGAAGACGAGGCTCCAATGACCAAGTCGACAACGACAGCGCTCTTCGCCGATGACGACGAAAGCCGAGCCGCTTCTCCATGGGACCACATGCCGACCCCACGCAAACAACCGACGCGCGCCGACCTCCTCCGCAATCTGCTCCCGCCCTCCGATGCGCCCGACAGCTACATTGAGGTTTTTGAGAATATTGTTCGGGAAAATGGCAATGAAGGCCATGTCACCTCTGGCGGAATCGCTCGCACCCTCGCGGCTGGAAAGCTTAGCGCCGACGAGCAGGCACGGATCATGAGCATCATTTCGTCTGGTGGGGGTGACGGCGATCCTTCTCTGGGGAGAAACGAGTTCAATGTTCTTCTTGCCCTGATTGGCCTTGCGCAGGAGGGCGAGACCGTCAGTCTGGATAGTGTGGACGAGCGCCGACGAAGTGAGTGCTGGCATTTGCCGATTTGCTCCCATCGCATACCACCGCCCAGTTTATCTTATCGTGCCCAATCTCGTGGTCATTTACCTCGGATGCTTCGCCCCAAGATTGCCGTCGCCCACTGGAAACTGGGCGTCAAGCTAGAGTGGATTCTATCTCAGTCACCTACGCAAGCTAACCTCGCTACGTCAACCACAAGATCTCCCTCTCCCAAAGCTCCCCGGTCTCGTTGACAGTGCTCCCGCATTGCCGCCATTTGCTGAGCTCGCGGCGAAACCGCCCCAGCGACCTGTAACCCCACCCGCAGCTCCCAAGTCCACCCCGTCGAAACAGTCACGCGCTGTCAGAAAGTCCGCAATGGACTATCCTGACGACCCCTGGAACACGCCCGACGTGCACAAGGGCCACAACCACGGGCCTGAGCCCGCCGCATCGAATGGCATCAGAATACCGAGCTCGACTTCGGATGCGAGCGTCAACGGGAATGGACTGTATGGCACCAGCCCCCAAGCGATATTACCAAGCCGAACGACTTCAACCTTCACTACCAGCACCGTGGCGTCCGGCGGCGCCGATCCCGTTCCCCAAGTCGCTCCTGGCTCCATTGGCAACACGGGCGCGTGGGGGTATTTTGACGGCAACAATCCGGCATCGACTAGCAGCTTCGTTGACCCGTCAAGCAACCCAATATCAAATCCATTCGTTGTCGCAGGGGCCCCTCGGGAACCAACCGGGAACCAGCCGCCCGTTCCAGCTCCTACCCGGACCATTGGGAGTGGTGGGCGGACTGGGAACGTGGTTGAAGAGACCATCTTGGTGACCTTGATGCCAGAGAAGGAGGGCCTTTTCCTGTTCCAGCATCACAACTACGAAGTCACCAGTTCGAGGAGAGCCAGTAAAGTAGTTCGGCGTTACAGCGATTTTGTCTGGCTGTTGGACTGTTTACACAAAAGATATCCGTTTAGAGTGTTGCCGCTATTGCCGCCGAAGAGAGTTGCTGGTAGGTAGATCTTCACGCGGTTCTTGAGCTTTGTTGCTGATCATAACCAGTCAACGGTAATCACCTTTCCAATGATGGCGCCTTTATCGAGAAGCGGCGTCGCGGCCTGGCTAGGTTCCTAAATGCTCTTGTTCGGCATCCTATTCTCGGCTTGGAGCAGCTGGTAATTATGTTCCTAACTGTGCCAACAGTAAGTGTGCCGCTTCCTAGCATTATTTTTGCCCATTGTTGATCGCATTGCTGACCGGAGCCAGGAACTCTCTGTATGGCGGAAGCAAGCCACCATTTCAGTCCAAGACGAATTCACAGACAGGTCTTTGCCCCCGGGGCTTGAAGACTCATTGTCCCCGGCCCTTGAAGAGCTCTTTAATCGCACGCGTGCAGGTGTCCGTCGTAGCTCCGAGCTGTACATCAGCATCTGCAACATTATGGACCGGCTGGTGAAGCGTTCCGAGGGTGTGGCTGCAGATCATGCCCGTATTGCCATGTCTCTGACCTCTCTTACGGAAGCCAGTGCCGACACCTACTCGACGGATACAAATGATGTACCGCTCCTTAATGATGGTCTCCAGGCGATGAGCAAGCATTTGCGCACATCGCAGACTCTGATGGAGGATGAGGCGCGCGCATGGGACGAAGGGGTCCTGGAAGACCTGAAGCGTCAGCGTGACGCCTTGGTTAGCCTAAGGGACCTCTTCGAGCGCAGGGAAAGACTCGACAAAGATAATATTCCATATCTGGAACGGCGCATTGCAACAAACGAGTCGAAGCTTTCTGCGCTCCGTGCGAAGTCTGACGGTCTTGTGAAGCCAGGTGAAATAGAGAAGGTCGTTGAAGCGATTATCAAGGTGCGTCCCTTGTTTTCTTTAGCAAACCCTCCTTCTCGACCATTGTACACGTTAACGATACGTAACTGCGAGTAACTGACGAATCTATCGATGCAGGACAAGGAGTCAATTGTCAATCAGCACAACCGGTCCGTTTTTGTGAAGGAATGTCTTCGCGACGAGCTTACATATTTCCAGCATACTCAGTACAATGTTTCACGTTGGAACCAGGATTGGGCCCAGGAGCGCGTCAAGTATTCGGAGATGCTTGCCGATAATTGGCGGCGTTTGCTCGACGACCTGGAGGGCATGCCGCTCGGTGACTAGGTGCCTTCTCGAGATGGCGGTACCAAGAGGCGGAGCTGCGCCGAGAGGGCAACAGACCAGGTTATACAGATGCAGAAGCGGTCCGTGGAGAGGGCTGATAACCCATATAATTTGAATAGCTCCAGAGTGAGCATGAGCCAAGAAGCTGTTTCTGGGGGAGCGAGAGAGCGAAGCACAGTCAGCTCATTTGGGTTCTCTTGGCTGACAAGAGACAACATTGACGAAGCTGACGAAGGCGTCGAGGAAAGCCCGACGGTCGAGATTCCAGATAGGCGACGAGGTGGCGGGTCTAGTTTTGTTAGATTTGAGGGGGTCGGCGGCATGTCCTAGGCTATGTCAAGCCCGATGTGGCTCTCCAGGCCACCTATGTGTTCTCTTTTCCTCCTTGGCGTGTGTAAGGGCTGCGTATATTCGCAGCAGGGACAGCTGGCATACCTTTGCGATACCCTCTGGTCGACGTTTTTGTCTTTCTCTTGTATTTGTTAGCTTTTGCGCAACCCCCAACATTGCACATAGGGGCTTACCTGACTACCTATGCTTCTTAGCCATAGATAGCATTTGGAGATCGTTCTATTGTTGTCCAGGTACATGAACATGACTTGGGGTTACATATATAACTACCCAAGGTTGGTAAGGTAGGCAGGGAGGAAGGCCTCTACCCTTCTTTTGGGATTTGGCTCCTTTGTTTGACGCCTCGTACCGCACCAGACCTTGGAAAGGACATGAATGGTTGTTTGATCTTCTCATTGACTGTCTTACTTGAGTCATACATTGACAGCTAAGCAAGTACTTTTATTCGAAGCGATAGCCTACTACGTGGGATAAGATGCTCAGTTTTGGCTGCGTGCCCTGGTCGCGGCGAGCAAGAGGTAAAATGCCTATGGGAAATAAAAATTCGGTACGTTAAACTCGTCGGTAAACTGGTGGAGTTGGAGGTACCGAGCGGCTGCCAAGACTCTCCACGGCAGCCTTACTTCCTTATCCACCGCCACCATATGAGGAAGCTGCACCCCCGCCATGACGTTCTCAGCCTCGCTTGCTTTTCTGCCCCGGAGTCTGACTTTTTCCCCCGTCGCGGATTCTCAGGCGCAGTGTTATGCAAGCTAACTGGCGACATTCAAATCCACAAGCGCGAGACCACTCCGTCGCTCCCAGCCTCAACGATCCCCCTCGCAGCGCCACTGACTAGCCCAGCAAGCAGCAAGCGTGAGCGTATTGGGCCCCGTCTGCCTGTCCGTGCAGCGAGCGAGCGAGTGACATTCGCGCGCGCCGCCCCTCTCGACTGCTCGATTAGTTCTAGGAGAGAGCGCGCCGCTGCCCGCCTGGACCCAACACACATCGAAGGAACGCTTGCAGTGGGGAACCCCGCCGTGAATGACCCTGCGACCGAATCTGCATCCCAGCTACCTATACGGATTCCATTCGGGCACTTGACAACTGCTGCGACGACATCCAGCTTGCTTCTTGCCGTGCTGGTTCCACGTCCCGATTGATATCTTGTCTCGTCCTGTGTCCACCCGCCCGCGCGTCCCTCCGTGCCCGTGCCCGTGTCTGTCGTGTCCGGCTCGTCGCCTGCCTGCCTCGTGCCTCTCCCGCGACACGCGTTTCGAGCAGCCGTCAAAATGCCGTCAACCACGGTGCAGCGGAAACTCGCCTCTCAGTTTGTGGCATTTACAAATGCGAGCAGGGAGAGCGCGCAGGCTGTAGGTCAACTGTCGTCCCGCCCTACCGCGCTGTCTCTCTTTCGGCCCGATACCGACGGCCCTTCCATCCTTGCTCTTCCTGATCGGTGCTGACTTTGGGACAAACATTGCAGTTTCTAAAGAGCGCCAACTACGATCTCGATACAGCGGTAAACCAGTGAGTCTGCTCCGTCTCGGCGATACGCCGTTCTGCCCATCTGCCCTATCTTGGCTTGATGCCCGCTCGTGGAACAATCGCCGGAACAGCGTATTGCCTCCCCCCTCCTCTTCCCCCCCCTCTCCTTGCCTCGGGCCCGCTCCGGAAAGGGCCCCTAATTCCTCCATGCAGACGGGCTCTGGAAGCGATCGGCACTGCGACACCGTGTCTCATAATCTTTTCGTTGCGACACAGCAAGAAAAAAAAAATTGCCCCATCTCTCCTTAGCTTTCCTACGCTGCATTATTTCCTCACACATGCCTCACCAATTCCCTACTCCACTCTCGGCCGGGAGGAAGCTTCCCCAGCCAAAAAGCTGAAGCTAGATCTCGCTGTGGTCCATCCACGGTTCCCAGTGGAGCCTTCTGGATCGGACGGCAGTTGACCCCCACCCCATACATGAGCCTCTGTCCGTCCCGACACATTGCGCTACAACTATGGCATCTTCGGACTCGATGGATTCTCGTGTCATGGTTCTGCAAATTTTCACGTCGTGCTTCCAAAAGAGGCCAGATCGAACACAATCCAAGTCGCTCGGACAAGGCGATGGAGCGGTTGAGACGGAAAGCGAAGATACCAACATTCAGTCGTTACAAACCCCGTCGCAACCTAGAAATCGCGCCAAGATCTCCTCCCAGTCTGGAACAGACAGGCCCCCAGATCCCGAATCTCTTCCAAAGTCACATAATGCAGACGAGTCAAAGTTTCGCAAGCTCAAGTCGGCCGTCAAGTCGAAGCCCAAGTCGGTCCTCGTCTTTATGCGTGACATCTGGAATTGACCTTTACACTTGGTATCAAAGGCTAATCGGCGATCGAGTTACAGGTACTTTGCCAGAGGCGAGGTCGAGACCGAGGAGTCTCGGGCCGCCGAATACAAAACGACCGTCGAGAACAAGTTGGGCCAAATGTTCGATGGCTTTCTCAGTAGTATGTTTTGCCGTTGCTTTATACCCTTTTTTGTCCAACCTAACCTTGTCCACTTAGACCAAGATAAAGTGGCCGACAAGAACGTGATGGGAGCAGAGTCAATCGAGAGCTATATCAACACCCTAGGCGCAAATCACTTGAACCACGAGGCTTTTGTCGTGTTCGAAATCGTGAAAGCCGAAGGCTTGGGCCAGATCTCGCGCGACGGTTTCGTTGAAGGCTGGAGTAAACTCGCCCTAGAAACCGACCGGAGTCTAAGGGTTCCAGTTGACATTTCAGCTCACAAGCGATATGTGCAATCCTGCATTGGGAAGCTACCCCATGACCCTTCCTACTTCAAGCAAGTATACCAACGCGTGTTTTTCGTTGGGAAGGAGCCCCAAGTCAAAGCCATGGACACGCTGGTTGCCTTTGTCTTCTGGGAGATGCTGTTGGGCCCGGAATTGCACCATTGGAAAACACGAAATATCGACTGGCTCAGATTATGGAAGACATTCATCGACGAAGTCTGGGAGATCGAGGAAGGAAAGTACAAACGGGGCGTCAATAAAGATATGTGGAACCAGACCCTCGAGTTCGCCAACAAGACGATGGCGGACGAGACTTTGAGCTTCTGGTCTGAAGACCAGGCATGGCCCGGTATAATCGACGATTTTGTTGCGTGGTGCCAGCGGGGTGGCTTCGTCGCAACTTAGAAAGACGGGATGGAGGTTGACGGGGGCCAGTGATTGTTTGGATCGAAGGTAAAGGCGGTCCGACTCTCGGGGTCAGTTACCTTGTTCATGAAGATGAGGTAATCGGAAGAGAAATGATGAACGAAATTTGCATAGCCTTTGCTATTCGGCCTGGGTAGCGGGATCAGGTGCCCAGGACAATCACCAGTACCATAAATTTGTGGCAAGCCGATACGAGCCAAGACAGAATTATACCTGAACATTATGGCTGAAGATTCTGAGTAATTTCCGATCAATGCAAGATCGCCTCGGGAGGTCCTCCACTGCGCGCGGCACTTACCCCGTTCAGGCTCTGTAGTCTTGCTTGAATCGGCGTTTTCGGCTGTTCCATTTAGATGGAGATATAATACCACGTTACCTTATTAATAAACCCCCCCCCCCCCCCCGCCCTTTCCGGTGGCTTTTCCTCCATGTCAGCGGCGGAGGGCCTGTCAGGTGTGCGGCATTGGCGTCTGGATTCAGAATGAGCGAGAAATAACGTGTGCTCTTTGAGGCAGTGGTCCCGCCATCTGAGTTCAAGGTCATGCTGTCTTGTCGGAGTTTGGAAAACCCATACATTGCTCTATGTGTTCGTTACTTGGCCAAGGGGCAGTGAAATACCCAGGTGGCACTAGATATAAGGAGCTTTCCCAAGACGACATCACCTCGGGAAGTCATTGGCAATCACGGTGTATATGTAGCAATTGCCATGGCGATTGTCAGCTGTCATTAACGCTACCGTGTATGCTGTTGTTAGGCCTGCCCCGCTCTTCCTCATCCTCACCAAGTTCCCTGCATGCATGACATTCCATCCAGCCATCCTGTCAGAAAATGTCGAGTTATAAGGTGCCCGAGATGGGCAATAGGCCGGGCTCGGTCCGGGCCAAGTAACAGGCGTGTATCTCTAGTGGTCGTGGTCTGTCATGTCATTGCTTGGCGTGGGATGATGCTTTTCTCTCTTTTGGACTTGGAGATTTGTAACCATGTGCAGCTGACTATTGAGTAACAATAGTTGGATAACAGAGAGCCCACTCTCCACAATCGCAAAAGCAATCGTATATGTTGTAAAACGACAGGTTGTCTGCATATTACAGCATCTGTATTCCCTTCCATGGCTGGCTGGGTACATTAATGGGCATGGCGATAAGCGGTTGGCCAGACAGTGCTATCAAACGAGCAAGCAGATGATGATACCTTCGTCTGCAGCCTTACGGTTGAAACCAAGCCTGTTCGAAATGCGACGGTGCACTATCGCTCTTTGCTTCGTTGCACAAACATACCTAGTTGTGCCTCAGCAACTCCTCAGTTTTGGAGACAGGATCGTCTTCAGCCACCACCGCCATCGCTTGGACCACAAGCAAGCAGCCAACCATGAGACGTAAATCTGTTGCTTTCCCCTTGCAGCGCAGTCCAGTGCCACGTCTCCCAAACTGAAATAGAAGCGAAAGTAGAACGAAACACACTAGTACGTATGCGCAGCCTACCAAACACCCGCTGGGACATGCAATCTTATTGTATTTCTTGTAGTGCCACAATAGAGAAAAACTTTGATATCGTATAGTACATGCCGTATTGTACATTGATTGATGCTTCCCTCGGCGTCTTCTCTCTTTCCGGCTCCAAGAGTTTTGCGGGCTAACAGGTGAGGGCTATCATGCCCCCCACCGCCCTTCCACATTTCTTCGCCTATCTGCGTTGTTTCTTGGAATGGGTCCGTGGCGAGGATGCCTCCAGAACACTCCCTCCACTCGTTTCTTCATGTAGATATGTATGCCTGCTGTTGGCCTACCACAGCCGCAGCAGCATTTGTCCCAAACCTAAGCCATCGATTTTCTGTAACGGGCCACCTGCGCGGTGGGAATCGTGTCTTGTCCTCCTACGAGCTCTTAATCCATGCGGCGCCAGTTCATGGGGCCAAACTTGCTCAGGGTCTCGAGCTTGTTGTTTCCGAGGGTGACGCCGGTGGCGCGGATGACGCGCGGGTCACGAGCGAGCTCCCTGTACACTTCTCTGTGGGTTTTGGTGCTGGCGTCGTAGCGCATGAGAAAATAGTGAGCGCGGGTGTGGCGGACCTGGTTCAAGCTGGCGGAACTCGGCAGCATGAAGGTGCCCCAATTCTTGATGTCGCGGATGACGCCGCCTTGCTGGAGAACCGTCTTGCCGGCTATCAAGACGAGTCTGCGCCCCATCGTGTTAGCAGCCTGGTCTCGTATGTTGCATCGCTCCCTCGGTTGGCCGTTGATCCGTCTGGCTGTTTATCCTCTGCCTCGCTTCTCGGTTGTCGCCCCGATGAGATGGGGAGCCCGTAGAATTGCAACGGCAAAATGGCTCGTCGTCAGGGAGCGTGTCGTGGATGGGGGAGGCGGGGACATACTCTTTGACCTCGTTGAGGTTGCCCTGGCGGACCTGTTTTTTCCAATCGTCAGTCAGTGCCGCCTGACAGTTTGGTGCTGCTCGGACAATTAGACTGGGGCCGACTTACCATGCCAATAACTTCATACAACATCTTGCTCGAACTTGACGGCGGTCGTGCGCGAGCGCCCTGTATTGCCGTTGCCCGAAGATGCTGCTGTACACGGGACTGCTGTTCTAGACTGCCCTGGCAGGCGCAGCGCGCCAGTCAGACATGGTTTGGGGGCCGAGATTTTGCCGCTTCACCGCTTTTGATTCCTGCCTCCACTGTTACTCGTTCAACGCGCGCCTGCCTGAGGGCACTATAATTTTTAAGGCTTATAGCGACTAGCATTCGACTTCCACGCATGGCCGAATACGTAAGGTAAGGTATGTACCGTACGGTGCTGTCCCCAATGTACCTACCTGCCCAAAGGTAGACAGGCGTCTTTATACACCCCCATCCAAAAAGTCTGTGTGCATAGGCCACCCCACTAACTTCCACGATCTGACACTTCATTCTTCAACCATCTATTTCTTACTCAACTTACTAGCTACCGAGATAAAAACAATATCAAAATGAAGCCTAAAGACAGATCTTCAATATTTGGTATACTAGCCCCTGGCCCGGCGCACTGCAAGGCGCCGGCGAGGCACAGACTCCAAGAGCGCCCGAATAAACTCCTGATCTATAGCTACCCACGCCTCCTTAATCCACATAATTGCAAGAGCTCTGTCAGCCTCGTTATCCTTCAGGTCCTCAAATTCAGGGTACATTTCATACACCAGGTCCTTCAAACGCTTCCAAACATGCTCGATTGGGTTCAAATCTGGGCTGTGAGGTGGCCAGTCGATCAGCTCGATACCGTGCCCTGCGAGGTACGCCTTGGAATCGCGAGAAGTGTGGATGGAAGCATTATCTTGCTGAAATAACCTTCCCTCAGCCTCGCCGGACTGCAGGTGAGGAAGCAGACCTTCTTCCAGCGCCCAAATATAGCTCATAGAGCTATATCCTCCTCGGGGGGGTCTGGATCCCTCTCCATAAAGATAAGCTCGGTTTTTCCAGTCATCCAGATCGCTGCCCACACCATAAAGCCAAAAGAGGCAGCTTGTTGGGTCTTCTGGACCATGCGCCTATCAAATTTCTCGTAGTTATAACGAAAAACCCACCCAGAACCTTTATCTGGGTCGTTCTGGATCGAGCATTCGTCGGTATAAATTGCCTCTATAAGCTCGGTCTCTCGCGGGAGCCAGAAGCGGCAATGGCCAAATCTGCGACGTGCATCGTTTTCTGTAAGCTTTGGCCTCTCTGGGGAACGCCAGTGCCCTATGCTGGACGCGTCGATAATGAGTCGGAGTGCGTTGATAGAGATAGAGACGCCATCTTGGCCTAAAAGACGGCGGAGAGTTTTCCACTTGATTTTGGGATCCTTTCGAACGTAACGAAGCACTTAACGCTTATCCGCAGCACTGAACTTCATGGGGCAGCCACTTCTAGGGAGCGAATCCAAGGTTTTGTGGTCTAGTAAACGTTCCGAGGCCCTGTCAATAGTGTTGAGGTGGACGCGATGGTCGCGCGCAACCTGGGCCTTAGTTATACCGGCCAGAACTGCCGTGACAATGGAAGAACGCGATTCTTTCGATAGCTCCTGGTTAGGGCCGCGATTTCCGCTTATTTCTGTGCCAAAAGCTCTGGAATTGAGCACCATTGTAGAAAGTTATGGGTGGTTCAAGAAAGAGGGTGTTTTTGACGCGTCGTGAGATTTGATGGTGGGGTGGTCAATGCACACAGACTTTTTGGCAGGGATTGTAGTCGAAACTCGAAACATCACATTCTAGATGTATCACTATAAAACATATGGAAATTTTGCTCGCTGAACAGGGTTTCCGCAATTATGTGCGGCCTATAATAGAATCAATCGTACAAGATAGCCAGCCCCAGACTCGTAAACGAGGCGTCCCTGACTATCCGTCCGCGGCCAAAGGTGGTGTTGGACCGCGACCGGGACTCACATTAGGTATCTACAGCAATCTCAGACTTGGTGCGCCGTCCCTTCCATTCTCCCAAGCCGTGTTCCGAACAACCCGTTCCGAGCCAGAGCAAGCGAGAAAAATTCCCGTCACGAGAAAACAAGCATTCCGCAAAGGGGTGGCTGGTAGCACCTAGAACGAACCAACTCCGACCCCATCCCCCATAGCCTTGCCCCGTGAAAAGGAAAAAAAAACCGGGCACAAGTTATACTGATATAGAGGAAATAGGGAATCCGCTAAGACCGACGTTTTCCGTCCCCTCGGAAAGACAAACAAAAGAAGGGTAGAAAGAAAAAAGTGGAAAAAAAAGAATACAAGAACTACCAAGACTGGACCTAGAGAGCAAAAAGGGATCGGTGTCTTCGGACGAGCCGTGTCAAGCACTGCAACTCGAATCTGCAATCGCAGCTGCTGGCTTCCCGGCTGGGGCACGAGGGCTGATGCAACGTATCATCCTAGAATTCTACTCTGAATCATAGTGAGGCAAGACCTCCGTGTCCATCTTCTTCCATTCTTCCTCGACATACTCGCTAAAAAGGAACGATCAAGTTAATACGTGTCTTCGGTAGCGCAATATCAGGGGTATGGGGTTTCAAATACCTAGTCGTCTTGACCAACTTGACTCCAAGTCTCTTCATAAAGATCAAGAAGCGGCGTTTAGTACGCTCACGCTTAAAGTGTGCGAGCATGTCGCCTCGCCACGTTACGCCCTTGATCTCCTTGGTGCCAATGATGACCTTCTGGCTCGACCCAGCGTACGTGATCTCGGTGAGCTCAGCCAGACGAAGATGGAAGTCGATGGGGTCCTTGTAGACGCCCCACGTCACTTTATTGGGCAGGACATCTTTGAGTACCTGATGCTCGAACATATTATCTTCGTTTCCACCATCGGCCTTGTCGACCCAGTGCCAGTACTGCGTCACCAACGTGTTGGTTGATGTTAGGCTGTGCTTGACCTGGTACACTCGCCAGTCAACTTGCATCACATGGTCCGCACTGAAGGAGTCCGACGACGTGTATCCAGCATACTCGAGCTCGTCACTTGTAACTGAGCTGGCTGCAGAAACCGTGCTGAGACGACGCCTCTTCATCTCCTTAGACTCCCTGGTCTCCCTGCCCTCATGCTTAGGCGGCGGCGGGGGAGGCGGAGGCGGCGAACGCGAACGTAGTGTCCCCTTCTCCGACCGAGTGCTATGCCTTGACGAGCCCCCAGCAAGCGGGCCAGCGGTTTTGTGGTGTGAAGAACGCGGACGCGCTAGCAAGTGCGCAGGCTCAGCTTGTGCTGTCTCCTTTGCCAGCTGGGCGGCCTCAGTGGACTTACCCTTTGACGTTGCCTTCGGCGTTAAATCTAATGCCGCTACTGGCGTTGCTGCTCGGACTGTCTTTTCCGGCTGGGAAGACTGCGTTGGCTGTTCCGGCTGTGGCGGTTGCGCTGGCTGTGGCGGTTGCGCTGGCTGTGGCGATTGCGCTAGCTGTGGCGGTTGCGCTAGCTGTGGCGGTTGCGTTGGCTCTGGTGGCTGCTCTGGCTGTACTGGATGTACCGGCTGTGCCGCCTTTGCGAGCTTGACCAGCTCCGCCGGACGGACATCTTCCGTCCGCTGAACTGGCTCTGCTGCAAGGATAGCTTCCACTCGGCGCGGTGGCTCTGCTGGCCGAACTATCTCCGCAGGTGGGGCTGGTGCTATTGCCTGGACTTGGATTTGTTGTGCTGGCCGGACTAGTTCTGGAGGGTATGGTCGAAGTGGCTGCTCTCTGGAGGGTCCATGGGTCGGAGTAGTCTGGGGAGTTTCATGAGGCTCCTTGCGCTTTAGGGTTCGTACGGCCCGTTTAGGTCCTCCGCTGTCCGGTGCACCCTTTTCCATTCGGTAGCCCGACGGCCGGCCAATGTTGCCAAATCCGCTCTTCGTCCGAAGGGCAATAACCTTCGGATCGTGGTAGAGATCATGGATGGTTTTGGAAAGACTAAAATTCTCACCCTGCTCGACAAGGACCTCGTGGAGGCGCTGACGCAGCCACTGCGATGGAGTGATGTCTATGTTGAACTTGGGCAGCTCCTCTAGAACCTGCACCATCCGGAACAAAACATCATAATTAACAAGCGTTTTGTTGATAAACTCTTTGCCAACAATCTGGTAAGGATGTAGCTCGCCGTCCTTGAGAAATTTGAGGATGGCATTCCCGCGGTTGATTTGTCGATTTGCTAAAAATTTGCTTGATTGCGAAGAGTTTGTTTGGTGGTGATGGTCATACTTCTCCTTCCATTTCTGTAGCTGAGGCTCAACAAAAGATTCGAGCGGGGTCCAATCGCTCTCCCAATATGGATGGTCGGGAGAAACCTTGACGAGAGGAACACCCCGCATGATGGGCGGCTCGGTAAAAACAAAGCCATTGTGGTGAAGGCTGAGAACGCTCTTGTTGATCTCCGGAAGGTCTTGCGAGGGTTCACGAGCTTCCATCTCCGGCGTGACTGTCATAGGAGTCGACGAGGCGGCAGGCGTGTCAACCTGGGAGGGGGCCATGCGCGTGGTGGGGAGAAGCTTTCGGCCACCTGGCTTCGAGTCGCTGCCATCTTTCCCATCGTTGTCTTTGGCGACTGGAGACGTGTTCCTGGCGGCTTGGCTGGCTAACATACTGTTGACGGCCGTAAATCCGTTCATAACCAAGCTATTATCAGCAGACTGCTTCCAGATAAGCCCACCCGAAGCAGGCGGCTCTCCAGAAACACCGGGGTGTTGTTTTGAGAGCGACCGTGCAGCAGCGCCGTGGCAGCCTTGTCGGTTCCACTCGCAGTTGCCGCAGCGGGGAAAATCATCACCCCCCAAGAGGACACACAAGCTATAAGGGCCAGCGCCCTTTGTGCAGGTTTGGCAGGGGTGCTCCTGGATTTCCCCCGCGGCCTGAATATAGCAGCTAAGCCACTTGGCGCCTTTGTTGTCGCTAGGCTCATAAATCGACTCCAAAGTTTCCGCGTTGAACCTCCTACCAGGACGGATCTGAACGCTGCGCTTGATGAGCAGCTGCCTGACATGGCTCACCCAGTGGTTGTCGAGGGTGATTGGACGGACCTGCCCGATGATGACGCCTGAAGTATCTGTCACGGTAACCGGGACAAAGGACCGGTCCTCTGGGGTGGCAGGTCCCACCGGCCGCACTATGTGCGCTACTTGATCCGCCGGCTCACCCAGCTGTACTGGAGGAGCTGCTCGGTGAGCGTGAACGGCATCTGCGGTCTGTTCTGGTGGTGGCGCATCGGGAATCGGCGATTGATACGTTTCCGACAGCGGCGTAGACTGCGGCGACGTAAGTTCCGAAGTCACCTGGGCCTCCCGCTCAGGCAGCTTGTTCTCATCTCCAACGGTGACGACTCCATTGGCAGCATTTTCATGCACGAGCTGGGCACCTGGCGAGTCCTGCATGACCACGGCGCCGACATCGTGTTCATTCTTTTGGGCCTCGCTCTCCTGATAGGCAGAGCCGCCAGGGCCATATTTCTTGAACCACCGGCGCTTGTCGTCGTCGTCACGTGCCCACGATTCGGCCTGGGCAGCGCGCTTCGCCTGTAGGTCGAGGTCGAGGTCTTGGACTTGGTCTTGGGTGTGGCGACTCTGCTTATCCAACTCTTCAACCCGCTGCAAGATTTTAGCGCGCTCGCTGAACAGGTCCAAGAGCTTGCGGTTGAGGTGCTCGGTCTGCCGCCGGTGGGTTTCCTGGAGAGTGCGTTCCTCCTGGGCCCGGAAGACCTTGGTTGAACTCCAATACTTGGCCTGGATCTCGCTCCAAAGTTCGTGGTTTGGCTCCTGGGGGTGGGCGGGAGCGTCCGCGGGAGCATCGGCGGGAGCGTGAGCGTGGGCTTGAGCGTGAGCCTGAGCGTGGGTGTGGGTGTGGGTGTGAGACTCATTTTGGGGGTAGTTATGGGCGTGGGCCGGTTCAGAGTCCTGGCGATTGTCGTCGTTGGCCACCGCCGCCGCCGCCATGGCCATGGCTGATGGGGCACCGAGTGGCCAGCGTGCGTAGCGTGTGCGCGCGCGGGCGCCGCAAGAGGATTAGAAGTTCAACGCGGGCGACGGGACCAACCTGGAACTTGCCCGACTGGCCCAATTGGGAATGCAGGCGGGAGAGAAACAGGAGAATGGGGAGAATTGGAGAGACGCGATAGACGCGATGCGATGCAGGCCAAAAGTCGAAACGAGGCGAAATGGGAGCGTGTCGTCCGGTCCGTGGTTGAGCCCGTGCGTGCCTTCGGGTCGTCGCGCGCCCTCAGCTGTCTCACGACTTACTCGGCGGTGCAAGAGTTAAGATAAGAAGCCAGCAGCTGGCCCATCGAGGTTTCCCTTTTCCAGGTGCTGCTTCGCCAGGTTGCGTCGGTCGCCGCTTGATCCACCCGTCAGCTCAGATCAGCCTGCAATAATGCGAAAGTTAGCGCGGGGGGCCAGTCACCAATAGGGCATTATAATTTTGACGCTTAGTCGAGATGGTCAGGAAAAAGACAGGCCAAGGTTGCCACGCAGTCCGCACCGTATGGGAAGCAGGGGTGGGGCTGGTGGGAAATAGTCACGGTGTAATAAGTAATGCCAATGCTCGCAGCAACGCAAAAAAATACCAGGAGGAAAAGGACGACATGAACTGGGATCGGAAGGCGCGGTGGTATGGAGTATTCGTACTAGTAAGTTAGGTAAGGTGGTACAGAGGTACCGAGTAATTCGCTTAAACTTTAGACTCGCCGATAGATGACTCGGGTCAGGTCGACACACTATCGAACAACACTTGACGTTCGCTTGCGACCCATCCATTGATTGCCCTGCCGTGAAGCCGAGAACCCGCGCGGACGGGTGCAGCCAGCGAGGGCTAGAGGCTCTGGAGCGCCTGCGGCACTGGCAGTCACCACCGCGGCCCAGCGTCAGCATTGGCTACAGCGCCGCTGGGTCTGGGTCCACTAGGTCGGGTCCTTAGTGAGGACAACCCCGGCAAGTGGGGCACTCAGGATGGCCGGAACTCATGACGGACAGGGCGTGGAGGTAAGTGGAAGGTCGGTCATAAGGACAGAGAAATGTATTCCAGCGGCTACTATTAGGTCTGATGTAATAAAGACCGCGGAATATGTGAATAGGTAAGGTGCCTTAACGGAATATGGTACGGGATCATTCGAAAACTCAAAAGACCAACCTGCGCCTCAACAATGCCCCGAGGGAGGAAGTGGCTTAACAGGGACGGCGAACTAAGCTAGAGGTGGAATCGACTAGTAATACTCCGTAACAACCAATTCTTCTTCTGGGGATCTGTGCTAGCGGGTGTTGAAAGCTTGCGAAACTTCTGAATAGCCACTCAACTCGAAAAACTCTTGGCGCACAGGGGAAATAGTTTAGTTATCGCGCTGATTACGGACACTCCTTAGCTCCTGTGCCGATGCGACGACCTTAATCCGTTTGGAAACTTGGCACAGTCGCTGTGCTTATTATCCAACGGCCAAGCGACTCATTTGGTCATGGGCTGATTCGTACTGATACGGAACTTGGTACCTCTATTAACTTTCGCGTCGTGTTCTAGGTTGTTCAGCAGATATGTCCACTACTCCGTATAATATATACCCGACTTAACTTATATATACCTTAAGTATATGCTCTAGGTACTGTGCATGCCTTTCCATGTGCTAATTGACGCGAACCTTCTAGTAAGTCAGATTAACTAAACACCTAGGTACCCAAGGTTTAGGTAAGGTACGTATTGTACAGTACGCTGTGGGAAGGCATTCAGTCAGGGGGTCGCAAACTTACAAGGGAATACAGAGAGGTAGGTAATACGCGATAGCCCCGGACCACATTTCCAAAAACGTCCGTCACAAAATAGGGAATTGATAGCCCCGAAAGCGGTCGCAGCTGCATAAGAAAGTGACCAACTTACGTGGGATGCACCACCCATGGGGGGAGGGGTTGCCATGGATTTCATTACATAGTAGGGGGCGAATTGCTGCGGGCAGGTAGCTCGAGCGTCAAACATCTGATCACACCACAACACATTCCGAGCCTCAACGGAGTACCCTCACGGAGTATAATAACAAGCATCGTAGGCACCTACCTTTCGGTTGCCAACGTGAAAGTTATCAACCACTTATCCACGTGAGTAGTCGAAATACTGGATGTCCCTGTTTCCAATTCGTACATACTTCAAAAACAAAGGACTTTGCAGGCGCAACGACAGAAGTTGCGGAGTTTCTAGATGTGATCTTTGACTGACCTCGGCGAAGCCCTTGTTACATACCTATGCACTTATGCTTTCAATATTGAAGGGAGGAATGCTTCAAAGGCCCGGAAACTCTCTCTGTAAAAGATACTTCAAAGTTTTAGTCGCCAAGGTCAAATACCTAAACAGAACTAATTATATACGGCTATGTCGTAGGGATACGAGTTTAACACTGTTTCCAAACATTGTGCAAGCCCAGCAAAATCCCCACCTCCCATCGACGTAGGTCAACTTGTTTTAAGACATGCCAATGATTCCAAGCGCTTCCTCGCTGACAGCCAACATGACGCCAAACCTAGACTAAAGATGAAACAGGAAAGAACAAATATTATAAGCCAAAACGCTGATGCTGATACAGAAGAGGTCATTTCATTGAGGCCTCCCCAAACACAAAGAAAGAGATTGAGAGGTAGTTCCGCAAAGTGAAAAACTTTTGTGGCCCTGACTAAACTTCATTCTGTCCTCGTGAAGCCAGGTCCGCACCCCCCCCCCCCCCTCAAAAAAATTGTTGCAATGCTAGACCTTCAATGCAGAATCTGTCCCTCTAATTCAGTACCGGGAGTGTCTGTTGGAGTTTGGAGAGAAGGAGCTGTCAAAAGCGCTCGAGTTGTTATAAGGCTCGTCGTTATACACGGTCGCGCGGCGGTCCTCCTCGGGCAGCAGCTCCTTCACTTCCCAGTTGTTCATCCTCGTGCCAACCGAGAACTCCAGATCCTCCTTAGTGATTGAGTCCCAGTACTTGTAGACCATCATGACGGCCAGCAGGTTGCACGTCGTGGCAAAGAACAAGCCGTCCAGATAGTGGCTGACGGCGCTGCAGATGGGCGAGCTGAGAGCGTAGAGAATGATCTGGCCGACAACGAAGAAAAAAGAGCCAAAGGCTATGTCGCCCAGAGGCCACCTGTCCTGCAGCGTGCGGGTGACAAGGACAATCTGCATGGCAACGTATATGAACAGCTGGATAGCATTGAGCAGGTACAAGACCACAAAGAGGCCGACCGTATTAGTGGGGCCGAGTCCGGCCCACGTCTTGAAGGTGGCGAGCGCGACAAGGAACGTGATGACAAAAGCGGCAGCAGAGCAGAGCCTCATCATCCACAGCGAGAGCGGTGTGCCGTCTTCGTAGAGCTGGAACCCTACAAAGCCGTTGATCAGCAAGCAGGTGACGAGGGCCGACGAAAGTCCTGCTTGGATCGCGACAAAGTACGGGTATGGCGTCGAGCCCGCAGGGATGACTCCGGCGTCGATGATAAGGGATAAGAAAGTGAGGAGCATATAGAGGTAGAAGAAGGTTGTGATTTCCTTCCGTCCTGTCAGCGGGCAGGGAGCGTCAGTTAGCAAAAACCATTGCCGCCTCCAAGTCGTGGGAAGGTTGTCTTACCCACTGCCGTAAACTTCCCCCGCACGTGTAATATCATAGTGACCGTCATGACCAGGGCGATAATGTGCATAAAGCTGGCGGCGCCCTGGAAGATGAGGGTATTGGCCAGCTCGATGTTCCGGGCGAAGCAGTCAGGCTCGATACCAACGCCGCTCGCAATCGACGTTATGGGGCCTATCGACGAGCATAGCGGCAACGGCGCCATATGGCACAAGCCGGTGAAGTCCCCAAAGGCGCCCATTTTGATGGGAGGTGTTGGGGGGAGAAGGCGACGAGTTCACGCCGCCGAGACCGCCGATGAATGGTACTTTTGGGTATCGTGGGGAGCCGGGGGCGTGGGGGGGGCAGAAACGGCGAGAGACGGGGTCGGCGGAGGCGATGCGATCAACCGATGGAACTGCCGAGCGCGCAACGATATGAGGTCGGCACCCGGGCGCGCAAAGGTGGGAGTAGGTGGTCGGCCTGCTAGCGGAATACGAGGGGAGAGAGTGGTTGTTGTGGCGGCGAGGAATGCGAGCAGGATGCAATGTCTCGTATAACGTTGATTGCCGTCGGGTCGCAGTCGCGCGTATCCGCACTAATTGCCAATTGAAACAGATGCGTGAATCGATGGCGGGCCTCGTAGGAGGAAGAAAATTCAGAAAGGGATATACGTATATACTGAGCGAGAGTCAGGACAAAACGAAAGAAGAATGCATCAACGAATGTGTCGAGGCGGGAAGCTCGTCATGGCCCTGTTGTGCTTGACGTCCCAGCCCTGCATTTGGTTGCTCCGCTGTTGGCTGTGAACTTGTGACGTGAGAGGCTCGGGGCAGACGAAGACGACAGCGTTGCTGTGGAAAAGAACCCCAGGGCCCAGAGCAGCCCCACTCCCTTGCTGCGCCCAGCGCTCTCGGCATCAAGAGCGTCTCGCCAAATTAGCCTGTTCGGGTACCTCCTGCCCCCCATTGGCTCGGCAACCCCCGTACACTCGTGGAGGTTTCTGACCACCCTAGAAGCAAGCCCCTTGCAGAACCCGATGCAAACATTTCCAAACCTACCGATTTGGACGGAGTAACTATCAACACTAGACACTAGATTGCCGTGACTTCACCAGTTTCTTTGCTAGCGTGAGGCTCGGGTTGGTTTGAGCTTGACGCCCACGGAGCAGTCGGCACGCCCCTTCTGTCAATGGTTGCCTGCTACCTCCGCACTCGCAGCTGCCAATCGCCGGAAATCAGGAGTCTTTCAGCAGCAGCGAACACGATGGAGATAAACAATGGCGATGATATCCAACTACCTATGAAACTAGGTTTCTTGCCCTGCACGTAGGGTGGCCACTCGCTATCCCCGGAAGCCTTCCGTGCACCATGTACCTCAACTCTCGGAAACATAGCCCGGGTCAAATTCGAGCTGGGCGTCATCCCCAGTCTCTCGTCCACTGGCGCCCCTGACCATTCTCGTCTTGGCCCGGCCGTGGCATCTTCTCATCCGCCTCTCCCAGCCTGCTGTCGGCCCTGCAGGGCCATAGTGGTCCATGACGCCCTCGCAGTCAATCTTGGGATCCGTCAAAATGCCGATCTCGTCGGCGAAAACCGACAAGTCCTTCGAGACTCGACTCCCCATCCTAGCCTCGATCAGGCCGACCCAGTCGTCTGGAAACACCCCGCTTAGGTGCACCTCCTTCACGACGCCCTTGCCAAGTCGGGTAAACTCGCCCATGAAGTCTCGGTACACCTTGTCCGTGGGACGTAGGACGCCCGGTCCGTCGTCCAGCTCGTCTGGAAAGTAGTCCGACATACAGCTGCGCTCGCCCAGAGAGTTGACGACGATCTCGACGACGTCAAACTGCTTTTTCAGTGCGACGAGGATAGATCGTATCCCTGCCATGAGCTGCGCCGGTGATACGGGAACGTCCCGGTGCTGCCCTGCAGCAGATCTAGCCAGGCCGTGTTGGTTGTTTTCTCCATACGTATCGAAGAAGAACTCCTCGCACAACTCCAGACGGAGCACGCGAGCATCCGCCAGGGCGGATATCCCATCTGCCGTCATGAGCCAGCTCTTGAGACACCGGTCTGTCTTCCGCTCAAGAAGCCAGGGCTGGTCGCCGCACGACGGGCCGACGACCCCGAAATGGATTCCGAGTCGCTGTCGTGAAGGGTCGTCAGGCTCGGCGCTTGGGCCGGCCTCGTGAATTGACATGGTCCGCTTTTGCAAATGGGGCTCCGCCAATGCACTACCGTGGTGCATCTTTAGCTTTAGGGACGATAAACCAACTTAGCCAGGTTGGATTGTCTTTATTGCCAGATCCATCATCCGGCCTAATCTCTCGGCGTAGTGGGACAGTGTCCAAATCCGCACCACAACGCTGACGTCACTTCTACCGGGCCTGCCGATCGCCTCTTTTTGGATTCATCTGATGTTTAACATATTTCGTTTTTTCCCACATAATCGTCACTCTCAGACCTCAAGGCTTTCATAATACGCAGCACTGCTTTTCCATGTATTCTAGTATAGCCTAGAGGTACCATAAAGGAGAGGAACGATCTCACGTTGGTTTTTTTTATCACACCGTAGTAAATTTAAGCAGCAGTACATCTAGGGACGTGAATCTGTGAATAGCAATGGTGTCAATGTAAGTGGCCTCTACGGGGCACATGCAGCTCGTGGTTTTGCCTTTTTGCCTCACATGCTTTTAACGTGCGCTTTCTCGGCTAGGTCCTCAAGAAGACGGACCTGCTGATATCTACCATTCCACCTTCACAGTCAGTTGGCACTTGCCTCCAATAAAGCACCGCCTGTGTCAAGAAGCAGTCAAATTAGTTATCGTAAGCCGGCGTAATGTCATCCATCATTGTATCACGTCTATTTAGCATAGTAGCTCGGCTTCCACGTGGTGAATGAAAGGACCATTGGCGCTCTGGGATCATAATAATGTTCAGGCGAATGCTAAGCAGATAGCCGACGAAACCAACACGACGTTTCGTAGTTACTCACTGCCTACCCAACAAACCATGTATGCCTTAAACCATTATATCCTATTAAAAGTGGCGCCTCCGGCTGCAGGTGCGCTAAAACGGCTGCTGGCACTCCTAAGAATGCCATGTTGCAAGAACTTGCCTACCTACGTTGGTGGGCTTTTTTAGGCTTCGCAAAAACCTAATCTTGGTGCGATCCCTTCACGCTCTGTCAGGCAAGCCAGACCTGACTTCCCTGAGACGCTTCCAACAAACATGACAAACATGCAGATGACAAACCATCCTCTTCGACAAATTTAGTGGCGAGTGTACCCTAGTTCTTCGGCTTTGTCTTGCCATTGCCAAGGCTCTGCCAAGACGCGACGGTATCCTATGCTGCGAGCGAACGCAGCTACCCCTTTTTGGGAATGATAACCTGCCGTTATTGTGCTTGCCACAATATACAAACACACATTGACAAAGCTGCGGCTACAGGCTTCCCCAAAATATCACGTCCAATCGCGAAACCCGCAGAACCATGGCGAGCCGTACACTCGCCACCGCGGCTCTGGTTGCCGTCGGTGTCTTCGGCTACTTCTCGATCTTGGGCCTCGCGGCACAAAACGGCTTCTTCGCGACGCTCGACGCGCTCGCCGCAGCCGACGCCGAAGCTGGCGTTGCGCCGGCGCGCCTGACTGGCCTGGCGCCATGCGACGCCTTCTTGCAGACGCTGCTTCGCTTCTTCACGCCCTGTGTGACCGGCGAGCTGCCGGCCCTGAGCCTCTTCAGCGCCTTCGCCGCTGTGCAGGTGCTGCCGCTGCACTCTGTCGTCGTGCTCGAGGGGCTCCGCGCCGCCAATGCGGGCACCGTGTTTGCCTTGTCCGTTTTCCCGCCACCCCAGCCTGCATTTGGCTTCACTGCCGCCAAGGATGCCAACCTGCTGACTGCTGACGGTGCATGGGAAATTATATCAGCTCCGCCGTCTGGGGAACCATCTACCAGACCATTCCATTTGGGGTGGTATTGCCCCTGTACTTCGCGCTCTATCTCTGGCGGTCGCCGCTGGCGTTTTTGTCGGCCTCAACCACAGTGGCAAGCCAAGCCGAGAAGCTCTCGATGGACCCGGTGAAGGTCCGCGCCGTTACGGGCGCCCTGACACTAGGGTACGTAGTACCGACGCTGCTGGCTGCGCTTCCGGCGCCCTCTATCGTCTCGCTCGGCACGCAGCAGCTATTCCTTGCCATGTGGTAGTTCTTCCCCGCGCAGGTGGCAGCGTGGCAGTTGGTTCTCGGGGCCGTTGTGAGCCGGCTGGCGCTTGTGAACGACTCGGCGGGCGCTACCCCAGTGGCGCGACTGCGGTACTCGCGGCGCGTGTTTCCTTATATCCTCGGCATCGCGGCTGCCCTGCATCTTGCCATCGTTAGTGCCGTTGCTGTCCCGTGGCTACGGTCCGGCGTTATCCCCGTCGACCTCCAGGCCGCCTTTGTTCCGATGCCAGTGTCGGCGCCGCGGCCCATTGCGGCGCTGGCCGAGGGCTCTCTGAACTTGCTGCAGTACGATTTATACTGTGCTTCTGGTGCAGCTTTACTTTTGGTGTCGTACTTGACGTATGTCTCCTCGGGCTCTTGCCTTGCGGCATGCGTAACGGTATCCAATTCCATTTTGCGCAGTCTAGTGGTTGGACCCGGGGGCGCGGTGCTGTGGGCTTTATGGGATAGGGATGAAGTTGCCTATGCCGCAGCGGCCGACATCAAGAAGAAGGCATAGTATCTGACAAGGCACGAACGAATCAATGAAGCGCGAGGGCCTGGGTTTCGTAACATTGGTCCCTGTTAAAAATGGTGGCCATTTAGCCACTGGTTAACGTTGACAGGAAGGAGAATGTAACATCTTACATGCTTGCAAGGTCTCCTGCAAAGAGCTCAGCACGGAATTGCGGATTGAAATTACAGCATTCGGTGCGGTATGTACTCGATGTGTTGTAATATACATGAAACGATGATTCCAGGTGCCAAGGGTATTAGGTCAGGAGCCATCCTTGCCTCCCTATGCAATTGACCGTCGCCATTAAACGCCCATCCAAGAATCCAAGGTGATTACCATGAAGCCGCCTAACTATCAGTCATGCCGCTATCAGTTATGTGGTTTGCCTGCCGCCCGCCATGCCTCGTGTGCTCGCTACTAAATCAGTCGTTGATGCGTTTGCCGTTTAACCGTCCCAGGTCTATTTTGATCATACGTCTCGCAGTCCCTTGTAACCAGCCAGTGCGGCAGCTTTTCCCATCCATCCCATATCAGATTTATTGATCTTAGCCTTGCAACCAATGCATGCAAAATGCCCAAAATCCCTCATCCGAAAACGCCATCTTGTGATCCGTATCTCATGCAGGTCGGTCAGGCAGTCTTTTGCCGGTTCGGTCAGGTTACTGACCACGTCTCACCACTCCAGTCATATCCAGCCTGACAACGGGCCGCTCAATCTCCAAACTCCTACTCGGGACGAGCCGACCTCCAGGCGTTCTCGGGTTCGCAATGTTTACTCTTCCGCGCCGATGCGGTCTGGCTGGGTCCTCATCCGCGCTGTCCGAGGAATCATCATCGGCTGCAACAGCTAACTGGCTCGCGGCATATAGGCTGGCGAAAGGGTCGCTTTCGGCAAGGAGCCCGTCAACTTCACCGCCTCCCACGGCCGTATCACCATCATTCGGTAAGGTGTCCTGGCTCGGACCCTCGTACATGGCCAGGCGGGCAAAATAATCCGCCAAGCCATCGACGCTCGGTGTTCCTATGATGACATCGTAGTTTGGTGGCGGCGTCAGTAGATCAGTCGGTATGGGGGGTGGTGGGTCGTCGGCATCGAATGCTGGCGGGTTGAACGACGGCTGCCGTAGGAGGTGGATGGGCCGGTCCCGTTCAATGGGGCTCGGCAGCATCTGACCTCGGCTCCGGCTGGAAGAATTTCCCAATCTCGACGAGGCGCCCCCGAGTCTTGTCGAGGATTGGATGTGTGCAGCCTGTGGGAGGCTTGGGAGATTGGACGAGTTCACACAATCTAGGCGAAGTCGAGTGCCGTCAGGATTCAGGACATCCTGTTCAACCAGCGGAAGCTGCGCCGCCGAGCTGGACGGGCTTTTGTCAATGACTTCGGCGTCTGAGCACCCGCATGACCTTTGCTGCCGTTGCCCGACCGCGGGCCCGTTGCGGCCGCTGTACTGCGGCAGCGAAGTATTCGCCTGCGTAGCACGGCAGTTCAGGACAGTAAACGGACTGTCGATGCTGATCTCAAAATGGCGCCGACGCCTTCCAGTTGGGTCGTCGGGGTCCGACCGCGAGATGCGCATGACGATCTGATGAGCTCTCGTCAGTTGTGATATTCGCATGAGAAGAAAGCAACAGAAGGCAAGGGGGGGACGGGCAGACGCGACTTTAAAAGGTCGAGGGCGCACAAACCTTGATCCAGTGGAAAACATTGACATTTTTCCAACTGCAGTCCGGATGCAACCGCAATGACTTGTCACGCGCCATCATATCACAGGTGGGGATCTGGACATTCATCTCGATTTCCGTGCTTCCCCAGAAGGACTCGAGGCCCAAGTCCAAGTCACCCAAGAGGTTTTCGCTCGGGTCAGGTAAAGGCTGGGGTGCGGTGTTCGATCTCGCCGCCTCCATCATCCTCCGTGCCGCTGCCGACTGCCTGGCCTCGGCCCGACGGTCAGGCTCGAGCTCCCCGCCACACAGCATACGCACTTCGCTTGATTCGAACTGCTTGTCCAGAGGACGCCCGGCTGTCTTCTCCAAGAGGAGAATCTTCCGGCCCGTGTCTTTCCGAGTGACTCGCCGGTCGTTGGTCCAATACTCGATACTCTCGGTAACGAAAACCTTCAGCTTGTGGACTTGGACCTTGGCGAGCGGGGTGAGCTTGAATGCGATGGGTATTCTCGTGCCAATGGGAAAGCTTTTGCCCGAGATCATGATGTCGTAATGCAGTTGGTCCTCCCATTGCCGGCTGATGGAGATGGGCTCCGACATTTCGAGTGACATTTGGTCCGGGAGGCGGACAACCGAAACTTCCTTGGCACCGTGGAGGTTGGGCTTGAAAGCGCCGGCACGTTCAACCGTCGTTTCGAGCTCCCACCGCACCGAGCCATACTGCAGCTTCGTCGTCTCCAACTGGTGATGATCGATTGGCAGCTCAAACGAGTACTCGTAGGTGCCGGGGTAGAATATCTTGTACCCCTTGGCCTGGACTTGGTTGGCAAGAGGCGAGTCACCCTTGCCAAAACTGCGCGAATTGACCGATTGCAAGGACAGCCGCTTGAGCTCCTTGGCGGTGAGCGTGCCGGTGTTTCGGTTCTTGTTGAGGACGTGCAGGGACCCATTCGAGGTATTCGAGTAGAACGAGTTCCTGAGGCTGTTGCTGTGGGTGTTGCCAGCCTTGACCGAAAAGGAGCACTGGCTGCCGTATTCGGTCTCCCACATTCCCTCGTGCATGGCGTGGAAGAAGACAAGAGACTGTGCCCGCAATGTCTGCTCCTCAAAAAACTCCACCTTGAGAGGGGGGATGCCTTCGGGCCATTCGGTCCTAGCCTTCCCAACAAGCTTCAGGGTCACAGACTTGATCTTGACATTCTTTGACACGTTAAGCTGTAGCTTCCCTCGCAGCAAGGCTGTGGAGTTTTGGCTCTCCTGCCGCGTGTGGCCGTCGTGGTCGAAGCCTGTCAGGAAGACATTAGGCTCCGCTAGTATGATCGAACACGATAAACCGCTGCCCGAGGCAACAGGTTTCGGCACCTCTGTAACGGACGAGCTCATCATGGTCTTGGTAGATCGTATTGATATAATACTATTCCTATTTGTGGCACTCATCGCCGCGCTAGTGAAGGGCCGTGGCGCAGCCGTCATGTTGGGCTGGGTCTCGGAGTCTTGGGAAGCAGGGCCTTGCGGGATGGGGGGTTCTCGAGGGTTGGGGTCTTGCGGAACGGACTCTTGATGGACGGGGCCCTGGGGGATGATGTCGTGAAATACTGGTTCCTCGACGGTTGATGGCTCCAGTCGCGAGAGGCGTCGAGCGAAGCTAATGAAGCTCGAGGGCCTGGACTGGCCCCGTGGGGTGGGCGTCGTTGACACGGCCGACGACGGCTTTGGCGTCAGGGAAAAAACAGACAGCAGCTTTTCGAGCGCCCTACCGACACGTTCCCCGCTGGGTGGGAGCGAACGTATCAACCTCCGCTTCTCAGTCTTCTCGGCCTTCTCGCGGCGCGCCTTATCCTCGGCCCTTTTTAGTAGCTTCTCCTCCTTTTGGCGGCTCTTCTTCTCCCGCTTCTTTTCCTCGCGCCCAGGCGGCCTCTTGGGGGACTGGGGCGGGCTCGGTCGAAGGTCGCGGGGAACGAAGCCAGCGGGGTACGAGACGATATGAATGGAGTGGGGCCGGCGCTGGCGGGGCTGGATCAGCGGCGTTGGGAAGCCCGGGCTGGCTATTGAACGGCGCCTTCGCTCGGCGGCGGGGTTCCCGGGGGTGTAGTAGACGGAGCCGTGAGCCGACGAAAAATAGGGCTGGGGACGGAGTCGGTCGTGTTCGGAACCTACAAAAGGCATAGCGCCCCGGTTAGAGAAGAGCCCGAAGCGGAACGACATATACGCGGCGGTTCTGGCTGGGCAAGCCCGCAGTGCAGGACATGGGCAGGGCAAGGCGGCAGGCGGAGAGAACGGGCTTGGGCGCTCAACACACAGCAGCCGGGCATGAAGGGGACAGAGAAGTCCCCCGCGTCCAACATGCCCGCGGTCGAGGCAATGCTATACGAAGCGAGGGGATGCAGCGTATGGCCGGCGATAGCGCGGTGCTGGCGGGAAATAAGGTCGAGGGCGCTGACAGCCGGCGCAACAGAGACTGGCGGCATCCCGAGGGTCCGATGACCCAGGAGTGGGGCCGGCTGACGGGATTCTCGATGCAGCGCCATGGCTGACAGGCATGATGGAGGCAGCAGCTGCCACGGCGGCGGGGAGGGTCGACCGGGAAGAGGGCAGCTACGACGGCGAGGGCGAGGGCGAGGGCGAGGGCGAGGGCGAGGGCGAGGGTTTGGATGATAGACATAGGCATGGGCATGGGCCGGGCATTGCATTGGAGCGGAGGGAGGAGAGAGGGGAATGGCAGGCAGAGGCTGGCATAGACATGCGAGGGATAAGACCCGTGGACGGCTGCGGGAAGTGAGCACGTACCTGCACCTGAATCATAGCACTCTCGTTATTATTGTGTTGTTGTGTGCGGTGTGGTGCCGGGGTTTGCGCGGGCTTGGTTCCGTTCCGTCGTTTGTCGGGCCAGTTCTGGCTGGCAACATGCACTGGACAGCTTCTCTCTGGAACTCGGCGTCGCGTGATACAGCAACACACTGGACCTCAGTCGTTCGACCGTCTGTGTGGTTCGCGAGCAAGACAGAGTGCACAGTCGGGGGATCAGCCGGATTGCCCTTGCTCCCTTGGTGGCCCGCTGCTCAGTATTTCAGGCGAAGACAGGGCGCCCCCGATTCCTGGGCCGTCGCCTGCTATGCGCCGGTTGGGGCGTCGTGGTGGTGGTGGTGGTGGTCAGGCCTGGCGGGACCTGAGCGAAGCGTGCGGCGCGTTCGTGGCCGCGGGGCCGCTGGGTTGAGACTGTCTCAACTGGTCACAGGGCCGGGCATACGCCACGGTAGCGATGCAGCGAAGGGGGAATGCACGGTGCAACGGGTGGGCGCTCGCGAATTGTGGGTGAGGTGCGGTTGGTGCGGGTGTGCGGGTGCGGGAGTCGCTCGCTCGCTCGCTAGTGTGCACTGACTCTCGACTTGACTGGCGACTGACTCGTTGTCTGTTATAACCCGGTTGGTTGCTGCTAGCGGGGGACGCAACTTGACAAAAACACGAGCAGCTGGTGTTTGTTGATATTGCTCACCAGCACAGCACATGTAGGGTATCCGTAACTTACGTAGGTACTCAGCTTAGTCGGCCACAGCGAGAATCCAAGTCTGCTCGGGCCTGCCTGAACAAGAGAGGGTGCTGAGTCGGACGAGCGATGATGTATTTGCGACGATGGGATCCCTGCCCGCTCCTGCACGCTTGTCAGGGACAGTGGAAACAGGGTTGGGGGGAGGAGGGTGCGGGGACTTGGAGGGGCCAATCGCAGGCCAACAGGCCAGTCCCGCTTCCTTGTTGGGTCGCGATTCGCCATGCTCCGCAACTCGATTCACGTTCTCTTTCATTGCATACTCAGGATCCAATATCCAACTTCCATCTGCAAAGCGCAAGCGCGCGCGCACTTCTCGGCGACGACGGACCTTGCCTTAGGAACTCAACACTGTTCACCCAGCACCAAAATTGCAGGCGTGCCGCCTAACCCGATTTTGAGCGCTTGCCCAGCCGCCCAACGTACAGGATAAAGTAGGGAGGTAAGGGAAGTTGGTTAGGTACTGGACCGTATCAGTACCTAGTTTTGCGACTTTTTTTGTCGCTGGGCGGCCGCAAATCAGGGCGGCGAGCGCCACAACCGTCAAACAGCCGGGCAGGACTTGGTTGACGCCAACATCAAGGCACAGCTCTCACTTGGTAGCCACCATTGGGTCCCGCGCTTCCTCGCCGGCGCCAGACGTTCAGGCGCAGCACGTCAAATATCCCTTGTCCGTTTCAACTTCCGACCGCCGGGTGGCCTTGTTCTGTTTTGTTGGTCCTGGCAGGCAAGCAGAAGCTCGGCGTGACCGCCAGCTGGGGGATGGGCCATCCCATTCTTGAAGTCGTCGCTGCAGAATAAGCCTCTCCTTCCTAGTTACTCAAGATGTTCCCCGTAGATGTTGGTCCAATGTGTCAGAGTGCTCATCAGCCACATGTCGATAATGCCGTGGCGGAGTTGCGCGCTGCCATCCAGATGAGATCCCCTTGTTGACCTTTCGCCCCAACCCCGAACCGCATCACCCGATGTTCGAAATCCAGGCCACGTATGACAATGGAAAGCGTATGCGTACTCCCTATGTAGCCCGGGCAAATCGCCAAACGTGGTTGGTTACACTGAGGTCGGAAACTGCCGAGCCGGCAGTCTCGGAGGACCAAGCCACTGATAATGGCAACTGCCATACGTCATCGACAATATGCAGGTCGTTCCGCCTACTTTTTTTGACAAGGTAATCGGTCAAGACAAGATTCGATGGTCTAATCTTGCTGATGTGCTCGAGTCAGGAGCAGCTACGTCTTTCTTCTTTGTAGTCAATGCCACTCAGCTATGCAGGGCTGTGTAAGCCCCTATAGAAATCTGGATGGAGAAGAAAAAGATTAGGACCCTGCCGCCTGCTGCTCAGCACTTGTCTGTCCACCGTCGGAACTTTATTCTCGCTGGGAGTTGCGCCGGCTTCCCCGGAGATAGCGCGGACGCTGTCCGCTTTGTCCCTTCGCGGACCAGAAGTACGGTTCGATGCTCCGATCTAACGGTCGCCACGTCCGACCCTGCCGATCATCTTTGCCAAGTCAGAAGGAGCCTCTGCTGCAGGTGCCGCCTGCGCTTCCAGCCGACGTCTGCATCTGCTATTTGCGACAAGTCGGGAGGTGTTGCAAGCCAGGCCTGGGTTGTTATCTGCGCTGAGATTGCGGCGCATAGTTGCAGAGACGTAGTGTCCGTATCCCGTACTCCGCGCGCATCTACAAGCTTCTCGCTCGCCTGGCATCGTTAGAATGGAAATCCACCATAAAATCAAAAGCTTTCTCCGGCGCCTACCACCTACGTAATGGATTCTACGAGGCCTGACTCGGCGTTTCACGTTGAGTCGAAGGTGGGCCTTGACCGCTGAATAAATCCATGTGGAGTGGATTAGACCCTGCCAAGAGCACCGGCCCACCGAGTCCACGCCCCTGGAACAAACTCCCGCGGGCTGTTTTCCCCAAACCCGCCTTAGTGGACCGTTGGGGTCTCGGGCCTAGCTCGGTCTGACAGTTCCAAATTTAAGACTAGATCCAAAAGCAAGCACCGGATATTTATATTTAATTTCTACCCATTTACTATCCTTAGTCTTCATTGCCACCATGTTGTCCCCATATCTCGAGGCGCAGTCGGCAAGAACCACCATACCTGAACTACAGCCCATCTCGTAGCTTCCAGATTTTGGCACGCCATGTTCGTGCTACGGTACAGAGTACCTACCTAGTCAAAGACAAGAATATATCGAGCAAATGCATGCGCTTTAGTTCCTAGCCTCGATTAGTAGCTCGTTTCCCAACTCCGCGAGAGACTGCCGTCTCCTGTTTTTGCGCTTCGTTGCTTCCTTTACCTCTCTCAAACTAACCAACGACAACGATAACCGAACCGGCTAAAATGCCCGGCCAGCGCTGTACTGTTTAATCCCTGACAGTGAACAGATCCGCATCAACGGCCTCACATGCATCATCAGCCGGCCGGCCAGCACGGCTGAACCCAGCCTATGGGACCTGCGCTTACCGAAAGAGGGGTGAGACACCATTCTGCCGAGGCGGGTGTCTGTTTGCGTCACAATCCCATCCATGTCCACGGGACCGGCTAGACCATTCAGCCAGCATGTAGAGGATCAAGTGTTTTGTTTTTATTTTCCTGTCTTTCCTCCAACAGTCCTTTGGATGTTGGCTTGGGCATGTGACTTCTTTAATTCCCTAAACGGAACGCCCTCCTTGATTCCTCCAATCACAAATAGACTTGTATGCTTACAATGGGGACGAGACATTGCCATTGAGATATTAACTCCCATAATCTAGATATTGAGTGAAAAAACCCAAGGTTGAAACTCTTCCTTTCAGTCTGTTGTAGCACTACCTTTCCTACATTATCTTGATCCCGGCAGCTACCTCCTCCGGTTTTTGTTACGCATGTTTTAGAATAAATTGAGGGGCTTCTTTATGATGCCTAATATGTTCTCTAAGACGGACATGGAGTTACGCGGATCGGGCTTGAATATGTACAGGCCCAGTGTGCCCATCTTTTCTATTCTTATAGGTGGTGGGTTCATTCAAGCTACCTACTTAAAGAAACATATTCTACCACAGGGTGCTCTTTCCGCCGTAAGACACAAGAATCGAGCAAGCTATTGCCACCAACTGAGCCCGCTGCCGTTGGCTGAGAAAAATGGACCTCGTTAAGAATAGCTCCTTAAAACTATCATCAAGCAATAATCTAGAAGGCGGGTATCAGACAGGATATCTAGAACCAGTATTGCTTGATATTGCTGGCACACATGCAAATACGAACACAGTCTACAGGTAACACGTGTATTAAATTCCCTGCCGGCATTATTAAACTAATACAAAGTGTCTCTCACGTCTCTCAAGCTAGCGCGATACATGTTATATAGCTGCTTCGCTAGCATATTCTGGGCATATGAAACAAATTCGCAGCGTGAGCAAGTGTGGACGATCAATATTGTGCCATTTTCAGGCCGCTATCCAACCTAGGATGTTTCGGAAACTAATTAAATCTCTACCTAGATTTGTCTCTTTCTTGATATTCACCATTAGGTAATGATGTAAACTCAGTGAATCCACGCGGAAAACAAGTAAACCATGCATTCAGTTGGTTACTTGAACGGGATAACGGGATAACCGAAGCAACTCGAATGCACTTAAGATTATGGCTTTTTCTACGCTTCTCGTAATAGTAAGGTTAAAGACATGTGTGACTGAGCCGTACAAACCCCCCGATCAATCGTAGGATACAGAGACTCGATTTATATCACCAAGGTTCCTCCTTACCAACGGTATCTTTGTATTAACTAGATACTTCTAATTGAGTAGGTGGCAAAGGTTAATTAGGTACGCTGTGGGTACCAGCGAGGTTCAAGTATTCGTTATTTCAGTCAGCTCTGACTGGGAGCGTTTGCTTGGTTCATAAGATGTGCACTATGTGCTAGGGAACAATGAAAGGTGCTCCCATGCCATGGAGCCTATCAAGCCATCCGTTGTAAAGAATATCTGAAGCCATCGATTTAAAAGCAACTCTCATGTTTCGGATATAACTGAATTAACCACAGGCCTACCTTCATCGTTACAAAAAGGTATCAAGATACAGGGACACGAGAGCGAAGCCAACTCGCAAAGCTATGGATACTAGTTAATTGTAAGGAAAGAACCCCTACACACCGACCAGCTTGCACGCGTACCCAGCGGGCCAAGGCCTCACTCCTTTGTCCTGATCTTTCACCCGCTGGCCCAAGCACTCTGTCGTGTATATAAGCAGTGGCCCTCGTCCCCTTCCTTTGCGAGGGCCAGGTTGGAGTCTCACACCAATACCAGTCATTGCTCACTCTATCTATTACCTTCATTGTGACCACCTTGATCAGGCGCACCTGCCTTCACTTACATTAATTATGACAAGAGCTTAAAAATACAAAATCATTGGTTATAAATATAAATACCTCTGCAATCAACACCCGATATATGGGCTTTGGGGTGGTAATGAAGCTCATTTTACTGATTTGGTTCGTCAACTTCACGTTCACCGTTGGATATCGCCTGACTATTTGCCTCATAATGGAGAGAAATAGCGGTAGAGGGGCAAGACGCAGGGGGGAATGACGAGATGGGTAATTATGCCGCACTATGTATTTAAGACATGTTCATAACAACAGCCTGGAAAGAAAAGTGGCATGCATCGCCGAGGAATCTAGAAGGGAGAAACGGCCGAGGCAGCTAAAAAGAACTGGTGCACAACTTTATACTTGAGGAATTCCTGTCTATTGCTGCCAGCAACAACAACAGAAGCGAGAATTTGCCAGACGTAGTCACCTGAGGAATTACAAGATGTACCTTGGATTTATCGAGCTATCAATAATCAAGCGGCACGGATGGTAAGGAAGCCAAGGTTATCGTCGCTAATTTTTTCACCTACTAGCGAGGTTATGGGACAGCTGCGTTTTGGTAGAATGGTCTTTGGGTGAGCGTCCGGGAAGCTTTAGAAAGTCAGATATTGAATATAGAGTGCCGAATCCAGGAGCAACTGACTTCCGGCGTACCAGGACTACTGCCGGTGTAGTAAATCCGCCATTCGACAGGAAATGAGATGGTTGCAATTTGCTTGCCAGCCATGATGGCGCACGACTTGTGATCGGGCTCGAGGGCCTTAGAGTTACGCAACAGTGTGACCAAGACGAAGGCGAGAGATGGAAACGAGGCTCAGGAACAAGGTGGCGAAGTCAACCAGACTAGTGAGGTAAGTACCTTACCTTAGTATGGACTACGAATGATGCTCGGGATGGTGCATGTTTCGAATGTGATGCCGTATTAGACCTCATGTCAAGGCCCATCCACCAATCACCGCGAAGGAATTCAGCGAAGTACGAAGTAATTACTACCTTATTAGGCGCTCAGTTCAAGTGTGCGAGTAGCAGGTATTGGCCAACTTTTAAAAAGTAAATGTGGGGGCTATGAGCACTAGGTAATGCTCCAAAGACATGATGGGAACAGAAAGGGGGCTTTCGGGTTGATGCCAGCACTAATGTGCTAAGGCGCCTGCCTGTCTGGAAATAATTTGTCTGACCAGAACTGACACGGGCCGGGCTCGGGCAGGCTTGGAAAGTTGAGAGTTCGGGGCGGGCAGGCTGATGCGGCCGCCTGAATGGTTGTGTGAGCGAGCCGATCTGAATCTGCAGGACGGAAGGTTGGAACTTGGAAGCCTGCCGACTCGTACCCTTATTAGTATGTATGCATGTACTGCACATACCTTGGGCTGGCTAGCACTGTGGCAGCCCGATGGATGGTAGGCACGGAGAACTGTTCGCAGAACTGGGAATTCCTTGGCCCTTTCCCAATGCCAGCGCGCCCGCACCGCACGCGCGGCGCCCTCTCTGTTCGTCTCTGCCGCGTGCTGGATCCAGCGGGTTGGGAGACTGGGGTTCAATTCGCGGCTTTTTGCCCAGTGGTTTTCTTCGACACACTCAGCCTCGGCTTCCTCAGACTCGCACCCCAGAAGTTGAAGCGCTCACAAACACCAACAACCTCACGGTATTCCGTATACCTACCTATACAGTATTCAGTACATACAGTACACACCTACGGCCACAGACACGTCGGTCTCGTCCCGCCCGTGATGAAGCCATGACGCACGCATGAATCAGAAGGCTTCGCTGTAGAGACCAAGCGTCTGGCCGACTGCCGATGCACCCAGCGTAATTCTGGACGTGACCAGCCGGCTGATCAGCTTTCATCATATTACTGCGCAGGCCGGTCCATTTTTGTGACTTCCGCAATACGGGGAAAATTTTGCAAAGGGCCGCATCGCCTCCCGCACAAGCACACACAGTGAGCCCAGCTCCTGCACTGTACGGATTCCAGTACCGATTACGGTTTCTAGGTCCGTGTCTCAATGTTGCGCTGCGTTGCTATTCAGCATTCGGCAACCAGGAAGATCAAAGAAACAGGCCGCGCCTTTTCCGTGTGTCACCACTCTACTTGAAGGCTGTACCGAAAACCGATGGCGAGGGCCAAATACATAGAAGGCAACTTGCCGACGTTGCCCGGGCCTGTTAAGCCATGGGGATGGCCTGTCCAGAGTTGGAGCGACAAAAGGGGACGAGAAGCACATACGACATACTATACGTATGTAATACACAATACACCAAGGCAGTCTACCTACACGCTAGCCCTGTGGTCACGTTCATGATCGAGCCTGCATGGTAGCCACAGACTCGGCTCCGTCGCCTGTCTGTCGAAAGGAGCAAACAGACAAAACGAATCAGGAAACACAAGGTATCCCAAATGGTCAGATGGTTGAGTCCTCATCAACCCCGACTTGTTGGGAGGTTGGCAGCCGAGAGCAAGGTTAGGTGCAAAGGCAGCGCGGCTCTCCTTTGAGATCGAGTTGGTAGGGTACCTTACCTAGTACGGAGTATGTACATGTACAGTACATACAGTACAGCAAGGTACCTACATACATGTACATACGTGCTAGCCCGAGCCTAGGCGCCCTAGGTGCGCCTGGGCCTCGCCTGGAGGAGATCCACTGCTTGAAGGGGCCTCGGGAGACGGCGGCACTGTGCTGTGTCCGCGGCGGAATCGTGTCCGAAACGAGGCCCTTGTGTCCATGTCGAATTGTCGAATTGCACCGCGGGGCGTGCATGGAGAAAACCAGCACCGCCGAGAAACCGAGGAGGGGGTCAACTGCAGCGTGGCGCACACAGTGTTTATGAATTGGACACCAAGCCACCGGCCTAGGGTCTGGGAGTTAGCGGGAGCCCGGGTGGTGGTGCTACGAGGACAACAGAAGGAGGGGCTACCTAAAGAAGATACATGTACCTACTGCGTGGTTGGAAGGAAACGAGCCCGCTGCTCGGCGAAATGCTGCTCGGCGGAGTGATTGAACAAAGAGCCGTTTAGGTAGGTGTTGCTCGTGGACCGGAGGCCATCGAATCGTTGGTGCCGTACATACATAGCTCTGCGTAGGGACCTAGCACACGCAGGGCGTCGCACCGAGTTTATTGCAGGAGCTTACCTTTACTTACCTCATCACTGGAACTGATCCTCCCGTCTATCGGGTTGCCTGCCAACGACAGTGCTCCTTCCCGGCCGTAACACTGTTTCGCACTATAGCTGCGCCCTGGAGGCGGAAGAGACGGCCTGAGCCAGGGATGCCGGGACATGCCGGTCGAGGACGACCCTTGCGGAATTCGCGGCGTTATTCTTTATCTCTGTTGCCTTACTTCGTACTTCGGTTTTCGTCTTGGGCATGGTTGCTTCGCTTTATTATAAATGTACCAATGCCGAGATCGTACTGGCCATCGGCCTCGGCTGATATGACGCCTCTTCTTCCCTTTAAACCCTCTGTTGCTCAGAGATGTACGGTATACTTACGATTCCCTGTATGGATACGGATAGATACCTGGGTACCCACCTACGTATCCGTAATTGCCAATTGCCATCCGTCTGGGCCCCAGATCGAGGAGTCGATTGTCCATCCTCCCATCGCGCTAGCCACTTCCGCTCGTTCAACCCTTTTTAGGGCCTATCGACGCACCCTCGAGAATCAACCGTAACCGAGAAGAAGCAACGTGATTACTCCCTATGGCAAGGGGGCCAGGATGCATACGATACCTGATCTGCACAAGACATGCAAATGTCAAGGTCTACATGCTGCTCCGATCACGGTTTACCACAGCCATCGACGAAACGTAATACGTTCATCTCGCATCCCCGTGTGCATGTAACTCATGCTCTTCAGAAGGCCGTCATAGTGATTCGCTCTTGCCCTTTCTATGAATCAGGCAAGCCATGGTCGTTTGACCGGTCTGTGTGGCGGCTGACATGCGAAACGGAACCATCGCGGCCTCATTGGGAGGATGGTCGGTGTGTGATTGACGCCGGCGGTAATCTGGGAAGTGTTTCCGGCCATGGCATAGGCCAGAGGGACATGGAAGTCATCAGATGCTTTTCGAGGGAGGGCGAGACGGGCAATGGCGCAGCAGAACCTTGGCTGTGGCTGGGTTGCTCAAAGCCCTTTGCCAATCGTGGTTCTGTGGCATAAGCCCCTATCCCGGGGCGGATGGCGGCAAGCTGGGCGGGGGATGGGGAGTGTTGGTGGGTGTGGGTGGGCCAACAACAGAACCTGAAGATGGAAAAAGACTGCCCTGGCCGACAGGTCGCGCCCTAGGTTCGGCTCCTTTTCCACAGCGCTTGAGAAGACCTGAAGCCCCCACCTGTGGCGATGCCACATTGGAAAAGTCGGCAGCATTCCTAGTTCCGAAACCTGAAGGGGGGAAAAAATCCAAAAATCCGTTCGTGCAACCCGTTACGAGTTTCCAGGCGGGAATGCATCTATCCCCTTCCCAATCGAGGGCCCTACTCACAAGTGACAATGTCCATATCTTGCGCTCTAGCCTAACAATGGCCGCCGTAGGTATTTTTCTGCGCAGTGCGCGCTCCGGCAAACAAGCCAGGCGGGTGTCCTGTGACGCGACAGGTCGACGCTCGCCGCTCCGAAACAGAGCCAAACCAAACGAGCCAGCGCCAGGCTACACTAAACAGTGCTGATGAGCAACGAGAAAAGAGTTCTGTCGCGAACGGTGCACCAACAGCATAACCTGGAAGGCTAACATGCAGCTGGCCGCCGGACGGATGACGGAGGAGGACATGACCTGAAAGTCATGGCCTGATTTTGAGAGCCTTGCTGACTGCTGACCAAGATGCGACGGTAGGAATGCCTCGTTATTTTCGCATGTCTCGATTAATGATTAATAGACCTTCGGCATGCCCTGCAAGCCCCGGGTTCCAGGCAGTTTCATGGAATCGCTGACGAAGTGTGAGGTCAGTGCCGATGCTTCCTCCCTGCAAAGTCCCAGACCAGATACGGAACGAACGTGAGCTAGGTGTGAAAGTGATCACCAAGACAGGTCCGGAGGAGGTATGTATGTACTAGGTAGGCATGTAGGGAAGTTCGGTGCCTTCCCATGCATATATATCCAGTCGCCATCACCCACTCACTCCAGTCTTATTAACCAGAGACAACGAGGTCAAAGCGAATTTGTGGTGCAGACCGAAGCCTAGGTAATAGCTGGTAGTGACAGTCTGGGCTGACAGGCGCGGCGCTGCAGTGATGGGTTGACGATTGACTTCCATCCCTCATTGGCAGGCAAAGTCTACCATACAGATCCTACCTTGCATACTTCGTGCTGCAAGCTTCACGCGAGAGTTGGCGAGCCACTCGAGCTCAAGGAAGGGCTTGGTGGAGGCTTGGTGGATTTGCAGACGCTGCAGCTGGACTTGTGCATATTGGTGCAGGAAACTACAGAGGAGGGATTAGAGAGCAAGAGAGCAACAACTTCCCGTGATCTGCCCCCTGCAGGGCAGTTATCGACCCGTTCCTGCAAATGACTGCAGATATTGGCTTGTCCGTAGACAAGCAGGCGCGGTGATTGCCAAGGCTGGGCCATGAAAACCTGCGCAGACTCGGAGGCTAGAATGGAGTGAGAATTACCCATACCGATGATCGAATTAGTTGGCAATTTTGTCTCCCCCAAGATAGCTTGGGGCGTTTGCTGGTAGCTGACGCCGAGAAATGGTAGGAGGAGAAGGCGTCCACGGTAGGAAGGAGGGGATGCATCGAACCATCAGGACGAAGAGCGAATTACCCACCGGTGGGCCAAACACAGCTTTCTCTGCCGCGCAAAATCCAACCTTGCTACGATTTTGTCTGACTCTTGACTCTTGCCGGCATTTTGGGGGTTGGTCACGACCTAACCTCCTTGTCAAGGCCGATGGATTTTTTTGGCTGTCTCGTTGTGGGTCTCGCTCACCTCTCTTCCATGTCAAGCTTTGATCTGGACGGAATATTCCGTATTGCACGTACTAGCATACGAACGTACGTATAGTACGGTACGGAGTACTTACTCCGTAACCAAGGAAGGTCGTGTAGCTGCGGGAATCGAACCCTGCATCGCTCGCAAGGCTCTGAACAACGTGAGGTCTTTTGCAGAACATGTCAATCGGTTCTTTGTTACGATGGGTATTCTAACGCAACCACGGAAGGCAGAGATTGGTGGTCAGGGATTTTTTGTCTTGCCCGTCTGTTGCGGCGAGAGGGTATCAGGTACTCAGTAAGGCCCTCGCGGAAGGTTTGGTATGGGCGCGACCTCCTGTCAACCCCGCCCGAAGCCGGTCGAACCACCCTCTTCTGGCCACATTTAAAATATGCTTGAAGCGTTCTGTCGGCTCCTTCTCAGTCTCCCGAGGGTTGACGTGCAATGAAATGATCGAAAGCATCGAATTCTCTAAGGACCTGGTGCCGGCAATTCATTGTCTGTTCCTTATCTCGGACACTGAACCTAGGGCTTAAACGGTGACTTGATCGGCATGCAAAGGTAGAAAGGGCCGGCCTACAGACGGGCCGGCTGGCGCCTTGACACAGAAATTCAGAAAAAGTGTTGGGAGCGATTCTCACCCTACGGGTGCGGAAAAACAAACAGATCCCAGAGACTTCATACCTAGGACGTCAGGCCCACAATTACGCTCAATGTCCAATTGGATACCTCAGTCAAGAAAAAGGCTCAAACCTTGAATGCATGGCTCGTTCAGAAACCAAAAGCCAATTAACGCGGACAGGGATGAGGGCCGCGTCAAGAACAAGGGGCGGTTTTCGCGCTACCGTATTGTACGGGATGAGAAATGGTGAACAATTCGATATCCGTATCGGCACGGATACTTAATACGGAATACTGCGAACGCGCCTCGAGAAGAGGGGCGACAGCCAACCCTATCAAAAGGTACCTATATCTAACGTGATGCGCATAACTCCGGAATACCGAGCACGAGGCAATACCACATCCTCGCAGGCAATAGAGGGCCCATGGTGTAATACAAGGCTTAGCATCCCGTTTTCTTGCAATATTAACTTATACTTTTTCGTATCCATGCAACAGCCTGGCTGGTCAAGATGAAGTCAGTCTGAAATGCGCACCATTATTGGAGGGAGGCGCAGCTCAGGGCCACGATAAGTCAGGTAGTGTAGGGTAGGTACGGCTTGGGACCTGGATCCGCCTTCCCCGCTGACTCTTCTTTCGTGGCGCAGGCTGTTTGGCCACGCCGGGTCGGGGAAGTTCTGTCCGTGGCTTGACGCCTTGACGCGGCCGCCCTTACACCCGCCCCTTTCCCATATTCGAACGAAAAAGAAATACCAGAGTCGGTCTGATTTGCGAGTCAAAATTTTGTGGAATGACGGCAGCCTACAGTCGATACCTGCAGAGAAGACCAAGTTGTACGGATACGGATACTCAATAGATATTCGTAATTAGGTTGCAAGTTCCAGCCATTTCGCACTTACGAACTCTTCACCCATACTCCCTCCACTCCCAATTCCCGCCAAGGGAGGAGAGGAGAGAAAAAGTAAGAAACTAAGACACATCACGATAGAGTCGACCGGAGAAACCAAAGCTACTGAGCTCGGAAGTCTGAAGCCATTCCGCTTCAGTAGCGCCTCCCCATCCCTCAGGCGCACGTCTCCACTGGACGCCTCCACCCCCCTTCCCTTTGGGTTGTCACACCTTCTCCCCAGGAGCTTGCGGCCACTTATCAAGCTATAGCGACGAGCAAACTCGAGCTACTACCACTGTACATACTTGGGTATAGTGCTGCTTGAGTGGTAACCACCTCAGATACCTGCATGGACGTGCGGTTGGTGTTGGATGTATGTTGGACAAAGTCTTTCTTGGAGGTGAGAGGAGGCTTGATGCATCAAAGCAAATGCAAAATACAAACCGTTTCTACTATGTAGGGGTGGGGGCACTTAAATAGCTCCAAGGCTCCACTGGCGATACAGGATTTGTATTTTTCCGTGCTTCGTAGTTGGCAGCAGAAAGTCATGACATGCTGCGGTGTCAGCCTTAATCTCTTGCTTAATCAAGGGTTATTGCTATTGGGTTGAACTGAAGCCTTCAGAAGGTGCAGTGGTTGCAAGGGCACAGACTCGAAACGCAGATCAGCACAGTGCCGACAGAGCATATACTGTAAAGTACTGTACAATACTTTACCGTAACTCCCATGAATTACACAGGTTACCTGGTCGTCGCTTGGCTGCTTTGCGTCGAGCTGAGCTGACGGCCCGCTTGGTCTGGCCGAAACATTGCCTGTTGCTCACAGCCCGTTGCTCACGCATATAACTTCAGTCTCCAACAAAGGACCCGACCAGCATGGCAGGGGCGCCAGGCAGCTTAGGCCCATTGCCTAGGTCGCGACGAAAAGCCAGCAACCTTGAGCTAAAGCTACGGGTACTCCAGGGCGAAAGCCAATCTGCCGCGGCAGGTGCGGCCAACCCGAGCCGTCCATGTTCTTGAACAAGTCTCATGAGTTTTGCATTCTCTTGCCCAACCATTCGAAGATAGCAAGAGTCAGTCAATTTGAGCCTTTCAGGCCTCAACCTGCACGCAAGCCCAGAAGACCTAGTCCCTATGCTCCCACATCATTGGCTGTTTCATTATCTGCGCAGGAGGCCGTAACCGAACGTCTCCCACCGCCATCCCCCGGACTCGTCACTCATCAAGTACACTACAGCAGCATTCCCGCCGCTGCATACTGGGTGCCTAAGGTAGTTGCCTATGCCACTACGTAAATATTACGGAGTACCAGTATTCGTAGGACAGAAAGCTTGTTAGCTTTCTTCGAGATGATGGCAATCGGCCTGCTGGTCCTTTCACCCTAAAAACCTTCTTGTGCGGGATAGCGAAGAGAACTACCTAGCGGAGTACATACCTCGGTGTCGTATCCTTGTCGCGGGGTTTGCTCTTGGCACAGGATAGCTAGGCGTAATGCATCTTCTTGGGTCAACCGGATTTTTCTACTTAACATGACTGACTTGGGTTAGTAGTACCTTGAGTACGATCTCACTCGATGGAGTTGAGTTGCTACACTGCTACACTGTGCGACTGCGTGGCATCCAAAGCTGTCATCGAGTACGGAGTCTGAGGGAGAAGCAACTATTACCATGTAATTCTCCGTAAATGGATAAAATTCAGCGTAACGATAACCCAAGTACCTGCCTAGGTACATACGGACTCCCGCCCCGTGGGGAATTAGTCATCAACACGCCGATTTCACCTCACTTCAGGGGCATTGCATGATCAGCTTAAGCCGTCTAGCAGGCTCGGCAACAAAATACCGTAAGTGCCTATGCGTGCCCAGTAAGATAAATAACTCAGTCGGTACGGAATACCTATTGCCCTGCACTAAGTTAGTGGATTAGCAAACCGTACGGGCTTCATTAACCATAAACCCTTGAGCCCAGTCCGGCTCGGTCTATTCTCGCGGACTTGGCACTGAACGCCTCTTCCCAGGAGCACAACTCCATTTGGCCGGCGGTCTCAGCGCAACAGTAAGGTTGATATCTCACAATTGCTCACAAGCAATAGACAACCAAGGTGGGTATGCGTGTGCGTGCGTTTGTGTGCGCGTCAGAAGCCTATTAACCTCTAACAATAGCCCCCCAAGGCTCTCGAAACAATCACCCCCGCCCGCAGAGTTCCACGCAGATTTCCATGCCGATTTAATGATACATGCCTCCAGTATAAGAAATTAGTAAAATAAAATACAACACGGGCAACAAGTATAATGTATCCGTACTCCGTAGATGCCTGCCTACCCAGGTAGGTACGTATTCAGTGCCCTGGGATGTCTTGTCGCAACCCTGACAAGGAAAAAAGTACATTCCTCCGTAGTTTGGACGGAATATACTGCCTGTAGCATACTGCCTACTGCGTAGATACAGTACACACTCCGTACGGTAGATGAAGTGTTGGCGAAAGCAGCCCGCAGAGGTTTGCCAAAGCGAACTTGCAAACCCCACGACAACACAACATGAGAAATAAAAGAAGGGTGGCACTAACTAGGCCCGCTATCTTTACATCTTTTCTGAGAGTCAGTCCTAGGCAAGGGCAGAGTTGCACAGGCAGAGATGGAGCGGTTTGCATGGTTGCTGGGGCTATTTGCAGCCTTGCGACGGGGCCCACGATCCATGCCGTTGCCACCCGGGCCTCTTTTGTTGCTAGTCTCCCGCTTCCGGGGTTCTCATTGTCAAGTTGTCTTGACGGCAGGCATTCCGGTACCCCCTTTCCATTTTCACACTACTCGGTAAATGGGAAAGCTCGGTGTTGGCGTGCCCCACCTATTTTTGGGAGCGATTGATATGTTCACGTCCGACCGCAACAGGAGAAAAAGCGAAAAAAGGTCAGCATGTGGAAAGCTTCATTTGGCCAGATTTGTTAACGTTGGCAGGAGGGAGAAAAGTACGGACAAGCAAGGAGGGCCTTCTAGCTTAAAGCCGCCTTCCTCCCACCTCCCACCCACACCTAGTGCACTGTGCGCTCGGGTAGAGGCTGACAAGATGCTGCTCAGGGAAGCTTGAGAGATGTTGCCGAGTAGCCTGACGGCAGGGGGCGCTGCTGAACCCATCACGTCTCCTGTGTGCACGCCGTACACTGTATAATACAACAATACAATAAATACATAGCGTCTGCGGGGAGTGTGGGTGTGTGTGGAGGACGCGTGTTGATGAGAATGGAGTGCACGTCTACGGCGGGTGGCACTCACGGAGCAAATTGGAAATGGAATGGTACCGTATCGCAAGGGCCAGACTGTGTGTGTTGCACTGTCTCCTCTTTCCCAGCTCTCTGGCGCCAGGATATGGAAGAAGGGGAATGGAGAAGGGTGGGGGAGACTGGGACGAAAATAAAAAAGAACCCCCTTCCCGGCCGGAAATGGATAAAAGGACATAGCGCTAAACCCAAAGATGGCCTCACGGGTCCGCACCGACGCCCCTGGGGACGAATTTTAGTGGCTAAGCGAGGAATCAGCGGGTGGACTTCCCCCCCCCCGGCCCAGTGGGGCAGTTTGTGCATGTGGGAGCCAGGTACCCCCGTACCTGTCTCGCAAGCGGCCAAGCCAGTTCGCTGCACACTGCGCACAGCGACCGCGGCGGCACAGCACCCACTTGCACGGCACCAGACAACGACATCCACAAGGGACAAAGTAAATTAGCAGCATTTGCGGCGACCAGGTTTAACTCGCAACTACGCAACCACCTCACATGGATTGGTGACGGTATGGATGTTTTCACCTCGTGGGGATCTTCCTCCTCCTCGCCTCCGGTTGCCGCAACACTTGCTGCTGCCTCTCTTCAATCCCCCCGACCGAGCCCGCGCCCCGAACCTCGTCCTCGTCGATCTCGTGCTGAAGCCACTCCGCCTGACAAGGTGACGGCGCCGTCTCACCATTATCCTCCCTCCCCCGTGTGTCGGGCTTCGTGGCCATCCTTGGTGCATCACCTCCCGATCAAGCGGAGGCCAACCCAACGAATCGAGCTTCCAGCCCTCTCCGCATTGACCCGACAAAATTCCACTCGAAGTAGAAACACCTTGAATCGGCTTCATAAAGTGTCATTGTTTCTCGGAACTGTAGCCGGATCGACCACCGAGCCCATCACCAAGGGGCATCTCCTTGCATTGACCGACCTCGATAGACTCGGATTGGGACGCTGGGTGCCCTCCGCATCCTGGGCCCAGCCGAGCTTGGTTTTAAACCGTCCACTGGTCGAGCTGGCTGGATCCCGAATTGCATCTCGGCCTGCCCACATTCTGCTTTTAAAAGTTGCACCCCTGATGTGTATACGACGCCGCTTTTAAAAATCCAGCTCGCGTTGCGAGTCTAGACTTCCGCGGGACGGCAACAGCCTCGGGTCATCCGACAATTTCCTAACACGAGCTCCCAAGCGCAACTTTTGGCGTTCCTCCCCTGGCTCCCTCTCCAAGGCGACAAGAGCGCGAGCCCACAATAAAAGACGTGGATGATATGGGCTGGACATGTTGAGCAGGAACGAGGTGTCACAAGCAGCGCGAACTCAAAATTACACCACTTAGACACAGACACAAGAGAAGCTCGGCAGGTACCTTGAGCCCGATACATATTTGGCAGGAACGAGAGGACTAGGAAAGCGCCACGGACTGGTTAGATTCTGTCTCGTCATTTTCGGTCGTTGTGCGCCTCGCGCAACTTACAGATTCGCCTTCCACGACAACCTAATTTCGTCAAAAATTGGGATTAGTCCCTCTTCTCCGTGGCAGATACACCGCATCTCCTCCATGCATTCGACTGCGGCTCCATCGAACCCAGCCCTCCGCTCTTCCTTTCTCCCCTCCCCTGCATACTCTACGGGGTGTAACCAGGGCAGCCAGCCGCGGCTGCCACCGCTCAAGCTTCAACAGACTCGGTGCTCCGTTCGGGCAGACGAGGGCGCTCTCACATTGAGTGGTCTTCGCACGCCGCCAGTCGACGATAACATGGGGACAACATACCAGGTGCCCAACATGGCGTCCTACGAAAACCACCATATGGTCCACCACTCCTCATACACATCGACCCTTGCTGCATCAGACCGTGGGAGGCCGGCTTTGAACGAACGGACGGTTCCGAACGAGCACGTCTTTCATCTGACCTCACGATGCCCGACGCAGACGACACATAACCACCAACAGGCCCCGACGCTCCCACAGCCTCGCCTTTCCGTTGACTCGAATGTTTCTACGTCTTCGGCCGCCAGTTCCGTCACGCTTAGTTCGTTGGCACCTGCACCGACGGCGGCATCACGACCTCCGCCACAACGGCCCCACTCGCGACAGCCTACGCGGCCGTCAACGCCGGGCTCGGGAGGTACCATGGCAGACCGGGAGCTGTCGGCGAGGGAATCAGCTATGGTGCTGCATAGCTTACAGATCCCTCAATGCATCAGTTCAAGAGGAGGAAGTTTGTCGGACTTTGTGGCCGAGTTGACGGCCCTTTTCTGGTTCGAGTCCATCACCGTTCTCGAGACGGCAGAAAGCGGCCAAGATCCCTACGCAAGTGTGCCACGAATAGCGGAAAGCGCCATCGCGAGCCATGATTTCAAGAAGTGGGTGCAGACTGTCCTGTCAACGACACAGGTGACGCAGAACGTGATTCTACTTGCGCTTCTGTTTATTTACCGGCTTAAGGTGGCCAACCCGATGGTGAGAGGCCGCACAGGTAGTGAATACCGGCTGCTCACAGTAGCGCTGATGCTAGGCAACAAATTCCTGGATGATAACACGTATACCAACAAGACGTGGGCCGATGTTTCGGGAATCTTGGTCGGCGATATCCACGTGATGGAGGTGGAATTCCTCAGCAACATGCGATATAGTCTTCTCGCTTCCAAAGCGCAGTGGGAGGAGTGGCTGGTGAAATTATCCCGGTTCTGCGCGTTCCTCGAGCGATCACAGCGTTCAGCATCGCCATCGCCACTTCTCATCCCGTCTCCGACACACCGCGGTTTTGCCTCTCCTCTGCCGTCACCGACGGGCACACTCTCGCTCAACGCGTACGCACCCAGCCCAACGGTATATGCCGCCTATAGCGGTGCTCATGGGTGGCCGCCATCATCTGCCACGATCAGCAGTGCCATCTCGCCTCTAGCGTTGAAGCCCGAGCCGTACTCGAGCAGGAAACGGAGTTTTCCGGACAATGACCCGACCGAGCCCCCTGCCAAACGTCAGAGCCGGGTGCTCCCCTCGCACGGGCAACATGGATCGCAACTGCCTCCCCAGGCCGTGCCTCTGCATGCCCAGCTTCCTTCGCAACGGCCGTCTGGATTGCTCGACCAAGCACGCTTGTCTGTGCCGAACCTAACTCTGAACACGAGCCACGCCGCGACAGCTTCGGCACAAGCTTTTCCCGCTCCTGGTACATATGCTCCGTCCCAGGCATCTCCTCTCTCATTGCCTCCTCTGGCCGCCGGCGTCCGCACAATGGCGACAGTGTTTCCTACTTCGCCAGCCGCGTTTGTGTCTCAAGACTCGGCGACCAGCGGTCCCAGTGTTCCTTCCGCCATCACATCCGCAACGCCAACCATGTCGTATCCTCCTGTCAAGTATGGCACCCCGACGAAGCGGCTTTCGCCTCGCAGCACACTAACTCCAACCGCACACTACCCTGGCTCGTCGCCTCTGACGGACTCCTTCCCCCACTCCGCCGCGTCTATGGTCAATGTCGGCAGTACAAGTGGCGTCCATACGCCAATATCCCATTCTCCGTCCGTTTACCTACAGCAGCGGAACAGTCCCTACAGGCCTGTCCGGCATGTCAACACTTTACTATATCCTCCGTCATCTGCATTTCTTCAGCAGTACCACTTCCCCAACACGGTACCTCCGGCTCAAATGCACTACCAACCTCTTGGAAGGCGACACGAGTTCCGTACTGGAATTGTCCCTGAGTTCGCGATGGCCAGTGCGGGGCATCACGGCGGGTTTGGAGGTGGAGAGCATCACGCAACCACGCCAACCCCATACCAGCCAATACCGCAGTTGCTCCCAAATCCCGATCAAGGGCGACCACATTATGGGCAACCCCTGGGACGGCCTGTACCATCTTACCCTCCCCAGAATTAGTTATCTGGCATGGTTTCTGGTTTTTTCTCTCGCAAACTTTGAACCCCGATGCAAGACCTGTGGTCACAACAGGCACTTCAGTATCTGTATTTGTTAGTTCTTGTTATCACGACGCATTTGCATGGCTTGGCGTATGGGAGTTTGAGAATATTGGTCTGCTCAGTCATGCATCAATCACATGCTTTATTAGGCATGTCACAAGGCGTTCTAGCATTTACACAACCACGAGTAGTAAGCTAGCCCCAAGTTCGTTTGCACTTCATATTGCCGCGTTGTAGGCCTCATTAAGGTGGTTGACCTAGCGTGTGCTTCGTTATTTGATGGGGAATTGCTTTGCATTATGCCTATGCAGCCTCGGTCCAGCGGAATTGTCTTGAGAATGGCGGATGGCCGTGATATCCTCGGGATCTTGACGGGCTGGGTATGGTGGATGGCGTTGGAATCACAACTGATATTAGCGAATGTGGATGCAGTGATAATATGGTCGCCTCGTGCAATCATTTTGGTAAATATATATTGTGCTCTAGCTGGCCATCCTTAGTTGAGGGAGCTGAAGGTTGTGGCCGGGAACCCTTGCTGACAGCAATGAATGATTACCTGCCCTGTTTGTGCCTTCGGTTTCTGCTCCTGAGTCCTGACCTGAGGCTCGGTCACTAAACATGACTGTAATTCAACCGCACTGTACCCTGGCCGGGGATCTAATTCTAGATTAGCTAAGTTAGCTAAGTTGGTGATCTGGTGGTAGCTTTGGTAAAGATAATAAAACTCCTTTCAACACTATAGTGAAGTCTAGACAAGGACTTTTAGCAATTACATTATTCTTGGCAAAAAGCTAATTACTTAAAGAGTACCGTAGACATTAACATTTCCTCCTAGCAAACTTAGTCTCTATTTCGTGGAAGTTAGCTAACTACCTATATTAGTCAAGCTTTCTCCATCTTCCTCTGCAATGCCTAATTACGTAGCTATTACCCAACTGAATTATAATACTGAATTTGTATTGTGTGTTTGGGTTTTAATTATGGAAACCTCTTCCGAATCAAGTTATACGCCTGAAAGGTACTGGGTATACTCCGAACTGGCAGTTAACTAAAACGTTGAAAATTGATTATTATATAAGTGTAACCGAAGACAGCAACTATATGCCATGTGCGTTGTACCTGTAGCTATTTTCAGCTTCTTTTAGGGGGGGTTTACATATCCTTTTGGGTGAATTGCCGCGCTGTATCTTGAAGATCGCTATAAATTTGATAATCAACAACGGTACTGGTGACCATACAACTTAAAGTCCCTGAAATGCACGCCCAAGCGGAGGAAGTTGAATGAGGTCCCTAAGATCACACAAGTTCCGTCCCACTCTAAGTGCTCCACGTCATATCAAACGCATTGGTTTTTACTGAGGGCGTGGTTGATCGCGGGAGAAGAAGCAACGTCCGGTGTGAGGTATTTGCAGTACGTGAGTCACGAAGCATGGAGACCGAAGCTTTGGTATTCACGACTCTTGTGATTACAAGCTTATGTGCTGGCATACCCACTGTTCGTGCATCGGGACTGGAGTTCTAAATCTCCGGATGCTATCTTGAGCAGTAGACGCAGGGCCAGCGTGATTTTGTGGCAATGCACAGGGAAACAGAGCAGAATGGATAGACGAATGTTTTCCAGTAAAATATGGTGATTTCAGTTGACGAGCCGATGCCGGAAGCCCATTCAAGCATGATACGTTTGTGCTCTTATTTGCTGGCCATTTATCAGACGTTGTAGTGGCTATTACTTCAGGAAACGCCCGTCACCGCCACTTTCGCTCCAGAGAGGCGTCCCAATCTGGCCTATCACTATTGCATTCATTGATTCAATCTCCCATTCATGCCTTGCATGGCAGTTGGCAATTTGCCACCCAAAGTCCGCTATATATCGGAATGATACACGTCGTCGGATCAATACTTCTAGCAATGCGGGCAATGTGCGCGGGCTGTCATCTCCCGAGTGGCCCAGATATCGGGTAGATCTCGAAGCGGAAGACTGCGAGTGTGCTCCATAAAGAAGAAAAGACAATTCTGTGGCTTGATTCCTTACCTAGTCGCGGACACGGACCGATGCAAGTCCCGGAAGTCGGAACTCGGGTAGTTGGTCGGCTTCCACTTTGCACTGAGTCATGATTCGACTTGCTCGACGGAGTAGTGATGATATGGGCCGTTGAACATGTGTTTTGTAGGATACGGCCGTCTCTTGTCACAACGCACTGCCGTGTCACAACGCACTGCCGTGTCACAACGGCGATGGCGTGCTCTGTTAAGATTATTACTTCGATCTCTTACAGCTAAAGGGGTTTGCGTGTCAATGTCAATTCAGCACCACCATCAAGTATTGGGTGAAGGCTAATCCGACGAATCCGGGAATGCGTCTCGCCGCCGTCTTTGTGGGGTTTGTGGTGGGGTCAGCCGATTTAGATGGCACGTCAACTACGATGAATCTAGGTGGGGGAGGGATGGGTCTAGGCGTGGACTCTTTCCTCTACGTATCGATACGTAGACCTCAAAGAGGCGCCCAGACCACACGTCAGTGGATCCGGGAGAAGGTAGTGGACCAGACGACGGCATTAGAGCACGCACAGCATGCTTAGGCAGGCAGCTTCGCATGGCTTCATTGTTGGTACTTGGGCTCGGCTCCGTTTTGACCCATACATCTCACCGAGACTTGAGAGGCATGGGGATGACCGGCCGACGAGAGAGACAGCAAAGAATAGGGACAGGGTGTACGACGATCTCTCAATCATCCAGAGCTTGAAAGAGGAGGGGGATCTCCATGCTCAGGCCGCAACCGTGGTCACACCAAGGCTAGATTGCCCACATTGCGGTCACACAGCGTGACAGAGGGAGGCAAGCCAAAAGAGTTTGGAGGCAGCCGCGACTGGCGGCTGTATGCAACTTCATTGTTGCAGGCGCACTACGCAATGTGTGAAGATGCCCAAAGCAGCAGCCGAGGAAACCCGTCTCTGACTTGTCCCTCACCGTGTGCCCAAGCCTGTGTCGGGGTGAGAGAGCCCAGCCCAGCCCAGCCCAGCCCGTGCCTTCCTCAGGTCGAACGATACCGGGGGGGAAGAGGCCTGCAAGGACAGCGCGACCCCATGGTGACCAGGGCGACAGAAAACAGTCCCTCATCCTACCAATTTGGCCTAGGACTCGGCAGCCAACAGTCTTGTCTGGGGTCAAACGGCGTGCTGCTGAGCCGGGAGGCAGGCGGCTCGCCCATTGGGTTACGATGGCATTGGGGTTGGGCATCCAATCCGCAATCTAGCCATGTAACAGCCAAGGTTGATGGAATGCTGCTATACGCGTATGTGTACACACAGCGTACATGTCGTGTTTATGGCCGGGCTGGCTCGCGTAGGCTCGAATGGCGTCGATGCAGATTTTCGCAAAAGACGGCTGCAGCAAATGGCGACAGCACAGCCGGGGGGCGGGTGGCTCTTGTGAGGGGCAGAAAGGGGGAAGCCCCAAATCGCGCAGGACCACGTCGGGCGTGTCGTGGCCCAACGATGCCCAACAGCGTGGTTTTGCGCAAGAGAGCCCCGCGATTGGCGGCCCCGAGCTTGTTCAGTGGTTCAGGTCCTGATGCGCGGAGCCGCTGACGTCTCATTGCCGTCTCTGATTGACTGGGTCAGCCGGCGGAAGTTGCATCGCGCCTCCGAAGCCCGGGCCGGGGGGTGGTCTGCTTCATGCAGTGCAGCAATTTACATTTCTACTTTTTGTCTCTGATGTCTCGTTTGCCGTCTCTTTCTTGGAAAAACAAGGGTGGCTGAACGCCTTCCGTCAGTTTCTACGGCTTCGTCATTCATTCGGGCAGCGCAAATCGCCGCTCCCAACAGAACACGGGACAACGCGAGACATCTCCTCAGGCCAGCAGAGAGCGGGTTTTTCGCTGTGGGCGCCGCTGTCTCTGGTGATTTGGCAATGGGGTGGCGAGCAGCGGAGGCAGTGCGGCCAGCAAATTGACTTGCCTGTCTCTCAGGGAAGGAAGGAAGCTGGCCAGTCTCTGCCCGACTCTCTGCTGCCGTCCTTGAAGGTGCGTTCTGTAGGCTGCCTTCCATTCCCGCCTCAAGCCAACAAACAAGCCAGCCCATCAACGCCCATCAACACTTAGAGGCGCTCCTTCCCCTGACCCGATTTGACGACGTCACCGTGTCCATGCCCAATGCTAGCCATCCAATTTACTGCCCCATCCCCATGTACTTACCCGATTGAGCACCCCACGAGGCTGACTAGCCATATCCAGCGTGAGTCATGCCTTTTCCATGGTGGGCGTTGAGCGCGGCGGCCTGTAAGGCGTGAGGGAGGTAGGTATGTATGTACATACATACCTGCATACAGTATGTACAGTACCGACCTGCGCGCCGCACCGAATGCACTAGCCGCAGCTGCCCGGGTCAGTGAGAGAGTGCGACCTGGAACGCGAAGGAAGAAAAAATAAAAATAAAACCGAAAGAGAAAAAGAAAATAAAAAAAGTACTCCTTGCCTACCTACCTATGAGCCCAAGGCCAAGGCAGTCCTGGCATCCGAGGAGGCCCCCTTCAAAACCGGCCCCATCCCCGTGCTTGCCTGCTTGAGCCTGCCTGGTCCTCCTCATCTGCCTCGCTCAATTCGCATCACGCCCAACCGTTCTGTCTCGCGCGCACGATCAGCACGATTCTCGTCTCCCAAGACCGAGAAGTCCTCCCGCCATGCTCGCCCGTGACAGAACGACCTCCAGCTCAAACCACGATCGAGATCCAGCTCCGGCAACCTGAGGATTTGCATTTGTAAACAACCTACTTGACCACGCCCCACAGACTACTTCACGCAGTCATCGACAATCACCAACCGCCTCCAGTGCACTGCATACCTTACCCATCTTCCATACCTAATTACCCTGCGGAGCCTTCCCATACCAGCGCAGCAGATTAGCAAAGGAGCAGGGCCATGGACAGAGACCGTCAGTACCTCCGAACGAGGATGGGAGGAACAGGAATCACCTCCATTTCGGACGACATGTACAGCATCAGCCGAGCGTCTGAGTGGCCCGAACGGGAGCGGGATAGAGAGCTGCGGGACCTCGAGTTTCGACCGAGGGAGAGGGAAAGAGAGAGGGACCGTGAGCGTGAGCAGCCTATCAAGTCTATCTTACGGAAGCCGGTGCGGCCAGCCACCCGGCCCCGGCGCAACTCGGACACGTCCATCACCTCGTCAAACACGCCTGCCGTGGGGAGCGACTCGGAGCTGGGTCGCCCTTCACCTCGCTTGAACTTGTCTCCTTTACCGCCTCTGCCACCCCAGACACCCTTACCACCCTCGCCGCCCCCCCCGTCCGCCTCGGCAACTACTCTCCCCAGGAGAGTCTTCAAGGCAAAGTTTCAAGGTGTCCCGGCCGAACGCCAAGGCGTCATCAACTTGCGGTCGTCCCGTGCGTCTACATCCAGTATCCCGTCCAGCTACCACGTGCCTCCGGTACGGACCGTGCTTGCTCCCCACTACATGCCCGAAAGCAGGCCCGTGGACCGCCACGGCCGCCGTGAGGCGCATGACCGCCATGACCGCCACGACTACCAGAACCAGGACCCAGAGCTTGAGTCTGTCTCCGAATCGTCAGATCTGTCAACTACGACTCAAGCAACAACCGTGGCCTCTGTCTCATCTAACTACGACGCTGCCAGCGATGTGACACCAACAGAAGCCAACGCCAAGTCGACGCCGTCCGTTCGCTTCACCCCCAGTGTCGTCGGCTCTGGCTCCAGTGTGGCTAGCTTGCCAGCTTCCGGTCGCAAGGTCAAGCCGCGGCTAGGCACCCGAGCAAGGCCCCCATCAGAGGCAGATCGCACACTGGCCAAGAGCGGCATCCGGACTATGAATGCCAAACTTCTTCCATCAAGCGTGGGCTCGGAGGAGTCTGTATGCCGCAGGGAAGTTGATCAGAGCCAGAAAGACCTAGAACGAGACTTGCTGCACAAAATCGAGCGGCTCGAGGCCGAGACGAGAGAGCTTCGCGACAGCCATGCCAAATTGGCCAGACAGCTTGACGACAGCTCGTCTCGGCTCTCGTCTTCGACCCTGGAGAAGGGCGCTGCCGAGAGGGAGCGCGACGTTGAGCGGAGCAGCAAGGATCAGGCCCTGGCCATACTGCAGGAGCAAGGCGCCGTTCTCGACGAGCTTCGCAGCAACACCGACCTGCAAAAGGGCATGCTCGACGAGCTCGAGAAGGAGCGAGATTCTGAACGTGCCCACAAGACAGAGTTGCAATCTGAACTTGTTGCCACCAAGAAAGTCCTCGATGATTTCAGATGCACCTTTGAGCTCCAGAAAGTCATGCTCATCGAGGCAGAGAAAGAGCGTGACGAGATTCTGGAGGCCAGGGACAGCTTTGAAGACAAGTATATGATGCTGGAGAAGGACTTCAAGAGGCTGCAGGATGATCGAGATGCGCACGAGACCGTGCTCCTTCAGCGAATCACCGCACTGCAGATCACGAGGGACGCACTAGAAGGGCAGCACGGCAACAGGGCCCAGGAAATTGCCGACTTGATTCTCGACCGCGACAACCTGGGATCGGAGTTGGGGGACCTTGTGGCCAAGGTGGCAACGCTTAGTGAAGAGAAGGAAGCGGCAGCGGAGGAGCAGAAGAGGATCATGAGCGACATTGACGACGAGAAGCAAAAACTTGTGGCGGAGGCTGAAGAAGGACAACGCGCCCTGGAAACCCGTGTCAGCGAGCTTGTGAAAGAGAAGGATGACCTGATTGCAGCTGAGGCGGCAGTCAGGGAGGAAAATGCAGAACTGCAGGGGAGGGCCGAGGCAGGTGTAGGCGAGATCAGCATTCTTAGGTCACGGGCCGAAGAGCTCGAGTCGCTTTCGTCCGACCTCAACGCCAAGATCGCCAGTTTAGAAGAGCAACTGACGACAACAAGAAGCGAGGCCAACGACCTCAAGATGCAGATTGAAGTCCTTGAATCCGACAAGGCAGGGCTTCAGAAGCAAATAGAAGAGCTCGAGGCCGAGAAGACAGACAAACAAGCACTGCTCGACACACTCAACACTGATCTCGCAGGGTCCAAGGCCGCCAACGTGTCGCTGGCAACGCAGAAACTTGACCTGGCGGGTGACATGGCCGAGACACAAGAAGCCTTGGACGCCGCTAGAGCAGAGATCGAGAAGCTCGCCGCCGAGAAGACCGTCCTGGCGACCGAAGCAGGCAAAATTGCTGGCCTAGAGAGCGCGGAGACTGAACTTGTTGGCAAAGTCGCGGAGCTGGAATCAACGATCTCTGACTTGGAGACGAAGATTTCGGATCTCCAAAATGAGGCCGACCGGATCCCAAGTCTGCTCGGTGAGAAGGAGAAGACCGAGACCGAGGTCGCCGGGCTTGAGGGAAAGGCTGCCGAACTCGAGGCAAGGATTGCTGAGCTCCAGGACGAGGCCGACAAGCTTCCTACCCTCGAAGCGGCCAAGTCTGATCTCGAAAGCAGGGTTGCCGAACTGCAGGCCAAGGTCGCTGGGCTCCAGGCAGAGGTTGACCGGGATCCCGACGCGGCGGTCGCAGCACTGAAAGCTGAGCTCGAAGCCAAGGGAGAGGAAATCACGCGCCGCATGGATGAACTGACGGCCATGACCGACAGTAACTCGTCATTATCAGCACAACTGGGTGCAACACGGCAACAACTCGACACATTGCAACGCAACCTTGACACCGTGACAATGTCTTACGATTCTGCCACAGGCCATGTCATTGACCTCCAGCAGCGCGTCGAACAGTTGGCCGCGGGTTCTCGCAGGGCCAGCCGATCACGCACCTCGTCGCCACAAAAAAAGGACAAGGATGCCAGCAAGCGGGACAAGCAGCTCGTAGCTGTGCGGAATCCGGGTGACAGGGGGGCAGTGTCAGTCATGCTCCAGATTGCAGCGTGCATTTGAGGCGTCCGGACTAACGAGGATGCTACCGACAGGCAACTCGTCCGAAAGTGTGATTTGCACAAACGCGGCTATCGATTCAATAGCACGAGTTCGACCCCCGGGTCATCGGCGGCTTCTCTTGTCTCACAGGCTGACTCTGACGAGAGTTAACTGCTCTCGACACGTTCAGCGTACGGGGGTGACGGCCAAGCATGGATTCTTCAACACCCTTGTGGCCACATCAGACAGTTGACACTCCCCCCCCTTGATTTGACGGCTAGGGCGGGCTTGGGAGGAGCATAATAGGACTGGAAATCGTGGGGGATATTATACCGAGAATATGGATTGCTGTTTTATATTTGTTTACTCTACACATCATGTTATATTTTCTTCTGTACCCTGGTTGGCTAATCCTGTCTCCTTTCGATTCCCCCGTCTCTCATATTGTCCGGTATTGTCCCTCACCACGCCACACTTGCAACCTATGCCTCAGTTGCCTGCCCGTCCGATACCAATCTTCTCTCTATTACTTCGACTTGCATTTTACTTTCTGGTTCGGATTAGAAAAAAATCTTAGGACAGTCTACATTGGGTCAAAAAGAGATAGACGCAGGCAAGGGATAGGGAATGCACGGGCACACAATGTAAGGTAGTTAACGATATTAGACACGGGCTGGGACACGTAGCTTGTCATGTTTAGATAGAAGTACGATGAATAATAGCATAAACGAGAACCGAACGCAAAGAAATCAAGAGAATAAAAAAGCTAGCGTATATTTTTTATTCATGCTAACGATGGCGTGGAAAGAAATGAGGACATAGAAAAGAAAGATGGCTGATGACCAAGGCCCTTTACAAAGTCTTCGGCACCCGCACCTGCTAGCATACAAAGTTCTTTTTAGACTCCGGCTGCATTCCAATTCCAAGCCTAAGGTAGGATGCACCTCGTGTTCATGGGTCCAGTGACAAGCGTGTCACTGCCACCTCGACCTACCGCAATTTTCTTACTACGCCTCACATTTCATTTAATTAGTTACCAAGAGAAAATAAAAGATACCAGTTTATACCAAGATATTTACATACTCATTTTTATTGTCGCTATAAACTTTCACCTTGGGTACGTGATTCGTGGCGATGTCGCTATAGAATAACATGCAGATTACAGATGCTCGGCCACCAGAGTACGACGAAACAACCATCATTTGGCAGCCTATACATCACGGTCAGACAGCATCTATATGGGCAGGTACTATTATTCCCGAAAGCCACCAGACGAGCACGGTCCTAGTCGTAAAATACATGTCCAACTTGGGTCTTCCAATTGCCATTATATACGGCATTGACGTGTGACATCACAGTTAGGAGCGATGCATCTAGTGGCGCGTTATATGGGAATCGTGGAATCGAGCCCACAGACTTGGAGACCGGAGGCGTACTGGCTATGTATGAGCATTGCTACCTGAGCTGAATCGGTTATAACAAGCCCGACTCCGCGTGGAGAGCCCGCGCAAAGACGGTTGTGCCTCTGCTGAGAGCCCCATTGTCTAGGGCAGAAAATTACAGAGACAAGGCCAATATAGACGATGAATCGATACAAAACCAAGATGTCACTGGTTGGGTAGGCATTCTGCCACTCTAAGGCTCGCCAAATAGGTGGGTGCATGCATAACCCTACACTCACGGTTCTCCAAGATCCATCCTCTTCGCGAGCACGAAGAGGACGATCACGGGGGCTGTGCGTGGCTGGAGAAGCAGCTATTCCGGCTACGAATGCCGTTTTTACGATGGCAGCGGCATGTAATATTGCGTGGGGACAACTGTTGTAACCAGACTACCACGCGACTTGGTCTGAGACACGATGCTAATAATTAAAGCTTGTGGATTCAGCCATATCAATAATGGTGGCAGCGAGACAAGTACTGCGAGTACCCGGGCTGCGAAACTGGGCATCAAAAAACTACTGGATCACTATCGAGGTTGATGGGTACACTGTGACGAATAAGGAGAAGACGGAGCCTGAAGTGAATATAGATTAGGCAGGCCACAGGGACAGTCTGAATTCACCATGGGTTTGCTACCTGATGACATGAACACCGAGAAGACTCACGCCGTGCCGTGGTGTCAAACTCAATCGGCCGGCACGAGTAAAAATAGAACAAGAATACTGCAATTGACGAAAGGGTCTTACTTGCACACACCTCCCAGTCCTCACCCAGATCCACCAGATCAACCAAATCCATCAAATCAACCACAACCATATACTTGACGCGGCCCAACTGGCACAAGCGATACGTTCCGATCCATCGCAGGCGGTTCAGACGAAGCTCACCGCGAAATCTAGATCATGAAGACATATGCCGTACCAGTGCGCCCTGGGCGCAGAACGACAACAATCGCCCTGCTGTGCAAGCTGCCCTGAATTCACCATATGAGTCTAATTATATATTGTATTGAGAGCTCCGCTGAAGAAGCCCTGTGCAACTATTACGAGGACCCGGGGATAGGGCTGAGCTCTAAAGCATGCTTGAGCTACGGGCCAGAGCTGCCAGCTTCAGTACACATTGCTCTTAAAGGGAACTGTTAGTTAAATCATCATATGTTTAATCGGAAGTAAAAGTTTCAAGGTAATGAAACTACCTCGCAATCTAGAACCCAAGGAATGAGCTGACCGCATCCAACATTCCCAAGCAATTGGCATTGCCGAGTGCGGTACAGTTTGTGAAGCTACGAGCATTGGGGGGCCGGTAATCAATTATTATTCTTTCAGAGCTAGCCGCGGGGGTCGGGTCTGACGTTGTGCGGCATGCCTAAAGGGTGTGGGCGTGGGCGAGAATTACATGTCGACGGAGGTGAAGGAAAAAGGAAGAAAAGAAAAGGAAGAAAAAAAAAGGGCCATGGCGGATAAGAAGCGTATCCCGAAGGAACTAGGTAGTCACGACGACGGCTATGACTGAAGGATACACGTTGATGGATGACATATGATGAGGCTGACGGCGGTGTTAGTGGGGGCGGGTGTCGTTGGTTTGCGCAACGGATTTTGCGGGTGGGCCGGATGCCTTGTTTAGGGAGGTCATTCAGGTTAACCACAATTAGCGTTTGGGATACAGTCAGCACAACCATGAGGATGACTACGATGATGAGTGTTGTCTTCAGGCAGCGAGCGGTGAATCACTAATGGGGCCGAGTGTTGACTGCGCAGTGTAATTATGCGACAATGTGGCGCGCCCAAGCATTCGGGACTCGCAGTCCTCAAGCCATCCCTGCCAGGCTTGGCTCTCCGATCTCCGAAAGGGAGGCACAGGCAGTGAGAAGTGGTTGGTGACTTGGCTCGGCAAGATACGGTACGGTAGTGTATATTCCTGATATTTAGTGCAGATGCAGCAGCGTGCACGTAGACTCACGTTGGGTACCTTGCATTACAGTGCCTAATAATAACAGAACCGATCTTCCCCTGGGTCGGAAATAGCACGCTGCGATTCTTTTGGGGCCCACTGCCATGAACGAGGATGGGTGTCGTGCAGGATCACCTGCAGCTCGGGAGTCACCGTGTGACCGTGACCGTGCCGGCGGGTTGCTGGGGGATATTAACAGCACCAAACAGCAGGCGGGGAGCCCCGGGAGACTGGCGGTCAGTCGGCCGCGGTGTGTCTGCACGTTTGACCTGGACGTCGCGAAGATGTGCTCAATTCACCGTGACAATTACAGGTAGGTAGCACTCCAACTTCCATGAGACCAAAACTTGCAAGCCCGGGCACAGACAAGGAGGCGGGCGTAGGGCAACTACCTTGGGCAACTACGGTAGGCACGTATGCACATAACCAAGGTAGGTGCATAGCGTGGGTACAGCACTGTACCTAGCCTTTGATGCCTTGGATTGGTAGGAACTTGACGTGCCACGCATCTCTGCTTGGGGTATTCCGAACGGCGGCCGTATTTTTGACGTGTTACTTAGGTCATGCAGCACCTGAGCACTGAGAAAAGCTGGAACGGCTGAGAGAAATGGCGGAGGAAGGGCGGGCGTTTCCCCATCGCCAAGATCAACCAACCACTGCGGTTTTTCCTGGGCATCTTGGCGGCACCATTACCCCCATACAGTCTGTATTGTAACATACCTACTGCTATGTATGTAGTACCTAGTATGTAAGGATATAAGGCACCTAGCTTACGTACATGCAGTCCTCGTCCTTGGTTGGGGGATTGGGACGGTCTGACAGGCTTGCACGCGCGGGAGAAAAGAAAGGAAGGAAATAAGAAAGGAAGGAAATAAGAAAGGAAAAGGAAAATGAAGAGGAAGAGGAAAAGGAATGCGCGCCTCCTCTTTCGGCGCCCACGCTTCCCAATTTCCCAGACCGACCGGCCAGCCGTCACCAACGCATCTCCTTCCAATTGTTTGCCCAAAACCGCTCCGAAGCCCGTCGCTGTGGAGCAATTGGGAGCGGTCAGCCCGCCAGCGCAGTCGCCTCGTGCCGTCAAACCGACAACGGCGACAAGGGTACCTGCATGGCCCGCAGGTGTCAACTGGGAGTACGCTGCAGCCCAAGCCCAACCTATGGAACGAGGCTCTGCTCACCGCAGTGGGTCGGCGGCCAGCGACGGCGAACTAGGGCATGCGTGCCTTGGGATGCTGGCTGCCAGACTCCTACTACTCTCCCGCTCGTCGCACCCGCTCGGCTAAGCCACGGACCCATTTGCGGGCAAGTGCGCACAGGCTACCACTCACTGTGTTAGTCCGGTGCCGGGACCAGAGCCAATGCCAATGCCAATGCCTTTGTGACTCAACCCTTCTTGCACTCGGCATGTTGTCCACACGAGACTAAATAAGAAGCAGATGATAAGGTCCGTCCGACAGTGAAGGGGTGCGGGTAGGGGTGAGTGAATGCGAAGAAGAAAAAGAAGATTTGATGAAGAAAGGAGGTGGGATGGTGGGGGGCCGAACCGGCAGCGAGAAAGTGATGGCAACCCGTGTTTGCTCTCGGGCATGCACGGTTGCGGCCCGTCGTCCCACATGGCCCCTGGGGTCTTTGGCAAGCACCCTCTTACCTCCGAACCGGCGATGACGTGGTTGCATCCGACCGATCCGCTTCCTTTTCCCTTGTTTGTGCCCTGGGCTACAAATCGCACTTATTCCTTCTCCAAGCCTGCGTGGCCGACGATGCCAATTAGTCCTCTCAGCTCTCACCGCGTCGTCCCGAGTCCTTCAAGTCTCCACAAACACTGCACAAAAGTCGCCTGATTTCTCTCGTCGCCTTGCTCCTGGCGAATTGCCGCTAGCACCGGAGCTGCAGAGCCGAGCCACTAATCCCTAGCTGAGTCTTCTCAGCTTCTCCTGCATCCACCGCCGTCATGGTCATCAACGACTCTGATATAAAGGAGACATGCTCCGCGGCGGACCACCTGCCAGACTCGCCTCGCCTCGACTTCACCACACAACCGTCCCGCACCACGCCACCTTCTGCCATCTCCCCGGGGCCATCATCCTCCCAGTCGCCATCCCTCACCGTCCCAGCAACCATGACTTCACCGAGGGACCCCCACTCCAAGAGCTACTCACACGTCAACGGTTCCATGTCTGAGCTGCTCGACCGTCTCACCGTCACTGAGCTCTGCAAAGGCTGGCCCGTGTACCGTGATGCCTCCGAGTGGAAAAACTACCGCTCTCTCTTCACCGACGATGCCACGGTCTGGACGAGTAGGTAGCCCCCATTCTCTTTCAGGTGTCTCGTGAGGTGAGGTGGCACGACGTGCCGTGCGGTTTCCGAGTCGTGTCACGAACATCACACCCTTGGCTCCTCCACAGCGTCTCTGTTTTTGCCCCGGCTGACACTTGTCACCATGACGGCAGCGTGGAGTGGGCCCCGGCATGTCGACGACTTCATCTCCATCTCCAAGGCGGGCAAGGAGCAAGGCGTCTTCATCATGCACCGTGAGTGCGGCACGCTCGCAGAGCTTAGTGCCGAGCATGGCCGAGCCGTTGGGAAGATGAAGGCCACCATCACGCACCGCTTCACCGTCTCGCCGTCAGATGGCAAGCGGGACGGCAGCGAGGGCTCCCAGTTCGACGTCGACTGCGACTGCCGTTTCATCTTCTTCTGCGAAAAGGTTCCCCAGGGCGACGGCAGCACCAGTGTGTGGAAGGCGCGCTATGTCAAACTGTTCTACGAGAAGGACAAGGTCGTACCCGCAGACGGTTACACGGCACCACGCTTCACCAGCGATGAGCTGGCGCCGTACCCCGAGGGCTACCGCTACCTCGGCGCCGCGCAGGCGAGATTGGGGTACGAGATCGACCTGCGCTTGCCGACGGCCCGAGACTTGGACTTGTGGGACCGCATGTATGGGGAGATAGAGAAGTGGCTCGACGGAAAAGCCGTCGACCTCTTTTGGGAGGGCAAGGAGGTACCTACCCTGTAGAACTAATGATTCGATCGGGTATTGCAACCGGGGGGGAGGGAGGGAATGGGCGTGCCGTAGATCTGTCTCTGGAACCGGAATGGCGTTTGGATATTTAGCCGAAGCTCTTTCGCTAGAACTAATACTTTACGGAATCTTGGAGGGGAGGCGTGTTTAGGGTGTTTTACTAGCATTTGTGGTGTGATTTTTGATCGAAAGCTTTGACACTCTTTTCACTTGCAATCGTGTCTTCCCTCCTGACCACTTAGCACCTACCCGTTGCTGCAGCTACCGCTTTGCAGTGTTTAAGCCGTGGAAACCCCCTTTGAAGATCTTCCTTGTTTATTATTGGCCTTGTGGATTTGCGGTAAGATATAGGGGTCGAGCCTCGTCCCAGTTCCAACGAGATACGATCCCATCCTCAGCTGGCATGTCTTCAAGGTACGTTATGGCATGTCTTCAAGGTACGTTATGGCATGTCTTCAAGGAACGTTATGGCATGTCTTCAAGGTACGTTATTCATGCCTAGCTTGGTGGATACGTATAACGAGTTGTGAAAATATCAATGTCTCATGTCTCATGTCACTCCTACCCGGCTGTTGGCCAGGAATCAGGATGATGTAATTTTGGCGTCATGTGAGGCACCGGTTACGAATCTGGACTTGGTAAGAGTGGAGATGCAGTCACACAGCGGCTGCTAATCTTGATCCACGGCAGCTAATATGCGGTCAACCGTCTGCCGGGAAAGCTCCGAGTCCTAGGAACGCTGGCTGGGGAGCAGAGGGACGCGCCGCGTCCGAAGTCGGAGCTCTTGTCCCAACAAATGTATTTCGATGGGACGGTGGGAACAACTGAGACCGTACGCCATTAGATATGACTGCTTATTTGCATGCAGATGAAAGAATTAGCCACTTGCCCCGGTCGAATCAGTTTCCGTGTTTGAGGTCCACTGGGCGGCCCTCGTTTGGGCAAAAGGAAGCGGGCTGGCTGAAGACGATACTAGGCACAGGACGTAATAATAGATAAAGCCGAATAATTCAGACTACAATAGAGGGCAAGATTAAAGCCTCTAGCTATCCTATTTGATTCACTGAGGCCAGGTGGGTAGGCATGTAACATGTTGTGGGGCAGTCGTTGGTGCGCGCTCAAGCCTAGGTGAAATTGACTATTTACTTTCTCCCCAATTAATTAACCAAAGCCCAGCACGTTCCTCCAGGTCTCTAGCCTTCTGTTCAATGACAGGCCACTCCTCCCACTATAAGAGTAGATTATATTAAAGAATGAACGGACGACTTGGAGTACTTGCATATCAATCACCAGAAACCTGAGCCATAACACTTGGTCTCTAGGATGAACCGCCCCGCCAATCTTCAAGCAGTGAACTAACATCATTCCGTGACATTGGCACTACTTCATTAAATAGTTACGCTATATACCGAATACCATGGTTACGAATTGGGTGGGAGCGAAGACGAGCGCCGAGGCATTGGAATTAAACCCCTGCTACGGAAGAATTATTCTGGTTCGTCAAATGGGGGATTCTAATTCCCCGCACAGATATCTAATGAAAGAAAACCCCGAAAACACTCTGCGTCACTCTATTCAGTTCATCAAACCGTCGAACGAACTATTTACCTCCAGATCATCCGCATGGCGTCTATTAATTACTGATACGATAGCAGCTCCTGAGTATCCAGGCGGGCTGAATATCGAGCAAGTTCAGCTTGTTTTAACCCTCTGAAAAGTCTCTCGAATGTGTCGCGCTCAGCATCAATATTTTAATTGCCTTGAGGAACTAGCTTGTTCGTCATGGCGAACGATTCTTGCACAGGGACCGGGCGGCGAGACCAGTGGTATCTGGTATGTGAGGCTCGCCGGCGCGGTTCTGATGCGAATATTCCTGACAGAATTCTATAGCATGCCCAGAGAGCTCACCGACAGAGGACGATAAACGTCCCTTGCCTTTGGCAAATGGTTGCGTGGGCATTACGTCGACCGCTTAGGCCTAATACGTACGTTCCAGCCGGAGCCTGCCACCCAGTGACCCAACTGACGCCCAGAAGTTGCCAAAGCATCGATCAGATGGCACAATACTCCATGTCCAGACAACCGAGGTGTCACGGGTCGTCCAGTCGGTGCAGCACATGTTACATGGCCTTTATCCTTTGGGCACGAACCGGACGTTGTCCCCCTGGGACATTGCGATGCGCTCACGGCCCGAGGAGACGCTTGTGCCAAGCTCGGATCGTGTGCTAGACTCGCAGAGCTTACCAGAACATTTTCTCAAAGAGCTGCTGAAACGTGGAACGGAAGCGACAATATGAGCTACTTGTCTGAAAAGCTGGGCGAATGGATGCCTGGCAACAAAGCCTTGACCCTAGGCTCGCGGCCTCCTTTGTCGCTATCATGACTCATCATCGACACTCGCCCATAGGACCCGACACTCGTCTCCCCGACGAATTCTACGAAGATCGAGTACGCAAAGTCATCGCCGGCATCGTAGTAGAGGAGATGCTTCGCGGCTATGGCGTGTCTCGCGAGCTACGAATGCTTAGGATAGGCCAGCTGATGGGAGAGATGGTCCTGAAGATGGCCGACCAAGCAGAGTGGACACGGAGACATGCATGCATACTAATAGTACCGTACAGCCAAGCGCCCCACCCAAGCTGTCACTCCTAGGTTGCCATGATCGCACCATCGGTGTGGTGTTAGCAAGCCTTGGCTGTCTCGATAGCAACGAACGGTGGCCGCCGTTCACCAGTCACATAATCTTTGAACTCCTTCGCAAGAGACGGACGCCTTTCTCAAGCATCGACCAAGGTGGTCAGCGGTGGGCATGGAATAGTTCTACCACTACACCTTCAACCACCTCGACTTCAATCAATGATTGAAGAGAGACGGCCGGGTAGCGAGATACAGGCGTCAATCAGTCAAGAAGCCCACGACGGAGGAAGTACACGAACTTGACGGATGCTTTATAAGAGTCATATACAATGGCCGCACCATGACCATACCCAGATGTCGAGCAGAAGAGAAGCATTTTGATAGAGATGAAAGTCTTTGCGCGTTGGTAAGCCCTCCCAGAGCGCCTGCATAATCGTAGCACCGCCCACTTACGTGCTGTTCCGTAAATTGCTAGTCAGCATTCAAGTCCACTGTCGACAAGTTTACCCCTAGCAACTGGAAACGCGCGTGCAATTCTAACTTGGGCGATTCATCGTTTACAAGGGGTAATGATCCGGCTGGGCATTAGCATTAACTAACACAAACCTGGAAGTAAACAAGTAGTGGAGTATTCTTTTTCTTCGTTTTTCTCTTGACATGGAATGCCATTGAACCGCGCTCGTGCTACCCAAAGTACTCGGTAATATGTAGAGTAGTGTAAATTAGAACTAATTAATTACGAGTGCGTAATGAAATTACGAAGGACAGTCTGCCGCGGGATGCTTCTGGAAGCCTCTCCACTTGGGCCGACCTGGTTACTGGGATTACTAATTTGTGGGCTGGTTTGCCCCACCACGACCCCGGTTTTCGGCGCGGTCACGGTTGCCTCGCTGCTGCGAAGCATTTACCACGCAGCAGCATTTACCACCTCGGGCCAACCTCTGTGACGCCGTTGCAAGCAACTCGAACTCGTGCGTGTAATATTCCCACAGCTCCCTCACCGACCCCCAGAAGCCAGCCAGCAGTTAACAACGAACAGCAACCCACTAGCGCGGCAGCCAGATCTCTCAGGTCCTTCCTTTCCTTCGCCTCTTGCCCACCATGAGCGAAGACGCGCTGAAGCACATCTCGACCAAGGCCGAATTTGACTCCCTCCTGTCATCCACGCGATATGTCGTCGCCGACTTTTACGCCGATTGGTGCGGGCCTTGCAAGGTCATTGCGCCAATGTACGCCCAGCTTGCCCGACAACTCTCCATCCCCAGCTATCTTGCCTTCGCCAAGATCGACGTCGACGCAGTACAGCCAGTTGCCCAAGAATACGGCATCTCTGCCATGCCCTCGTTCCTGTTCTTCAAAGACAGCAAGCGCGTCGCTGTCAACGGCTCTGCAATCATCCGGGGCGCGGACGCCCAGAGCCTAAACGCTGCAGCCTTGAAACTGGGTCGTCTAGCAAAGGAAAAGTCAGAGGCTGCTGCTGCTGCTGCTGCTGCCGCCGCTGCTGCTGCCACTGAAGCATCCGCCGAAGCCCCCGCCACACCCACCGTGGATCAAGAGTCATAAAAGGGGCAAGAGCCAAATAAATCGGTTGGGCGCATGCCTGAGAATATTGCAGCGGCCTAGGAGGCTTCACCAGAGGGCAATCTGCCCAGGCTGGTGGTTGCCGTTTGGTCATGGGGAGGGCGGAAGCAAAGCAATGTCCCGCGTTACCTCACTCGGGGCAGGCCTGGGATCCGACCGGGCTTGTATCTTTATGGATATCTAGTTGCTGGGAACCGGGTAGTGCCGTGCCGCCTTCAAAAGGCCAGCGCCATGGTTCGGATTTGAGGGCTACGCGGCAAGCGAGTCCTTGGAAGTCGATCTGGCAGAAATTACAGTACCAGGGGATATGCAGGCAAAGACAGAGACTTGCGCTTTCCCCACACAAAAAGGACATAGCCATGGACCTACCCTTGAAACAACTCAAATGTTTGATCACTTCGTTGCCACGATGGCAGTGGTAAAAGTCCGTATGGATTTGTATTCATCAATACATTTTTACCTGTCCACCACCTACCTCATCTACAGATGGCTAGGTAGATGCGTTTGCTTTTGAACGAGACAAAAATTGACTCCCTTCCTAGTCCGTCTTGCCCAGGAGCATCTGGTTCATAGATACGCACTGTACCCAAGTTGCTTTGCTAGTGGCTTGTGACCAACACCGTCAACACGAACTCTTATCACCTGGCGCCTATTTCTGGCCACCTACCCAGCAATATTCCCACCATGACTTCCGACTCACAAGCTGCCCTGGGAAACCTCCACGTGACTTTTCCCTTGGCTGTTCAGGTACTGGCAGTCATCGCACGTGTCGCGCATGGTGGGTTTCGTGTCTCGGTCGCGGCAATCACGCGGCCCCCCACAACTGACTCCAACAATCACAAGCATCACATTCCGAACCCCATGCACAAAAGGAAGTGAAAGGCAAATCTCCGAAGCGCGACACCCCTTTCTAGACAAAAACAAGCTCTTCGAGATGTACAGGGCCGTGGCTGATCTTCGTCTCAATTTATCCTAGTATCATTAATTAATACTGGATACTGTGTCTCCCAGCTCTCTTTACCTCCCTTATCTACTTACCACCTAGCTACCGATCTGCGCAATCATTGACAACTCGACTTGAGAGACCGGTGAAACTTATAATTAGGCCCAGGACAGCGAGACCATGCGTGCCCGAAATCCCCCCCCACCCAAATCGCGGAGTAAATCCTCAAACAGGGATCGCTCGCCTACCGGAAAAGCACGAGAGTCGCCCGAAGTGCTTCATCAACTTGGCCGTGCTGTTCTTGCATATTCGCTTAGAAAGATTAGCGAGCGCACTCGAGATAAGAGGAGGGATACGCATTCATCTCGCCAACCGCCTGGTCGAAGAAAAGACATGCCCGATGAGACTGGCGCCCGGGAGGAAAGCAGCCGCGGGCCGAGCGCCAGGAGCGATAGCGGCGAATTGCACAACCTCGTGAGCCAGGTTGCTGTGGGTGTTTTGGCTTTTGGAATTCGGCACTACATGCATCGCCGCCGGGAAGCTAAGAGAGAGGCGGCAGCGACGGCGAGAACACCGCAGAGACCAAAAGGCCCAAGCAATCATCGACAACCGGACCAACAACAACGGCGCGCACTAAGATCCGCTGCCGACCCAGAGCTTTCCACTGCCATTGATTCACTCACTAAGGAGGTGCAAAATGCCTCGGAATCGATACGACGGTTGGCGTACTCGGCCCCTTCCCACCGGGAGTGCGCAGTCCAAGAGGCACTGATCTCCGACGCTGACCGGCTCCAAGCATCTCTCGCGAATATCCAAACTAGCGCCAACAATATGATGAACCTTCACCCCAACTTGAACCGGCCGCCGAATCCTCCCCACAAAGGTAGACGGCGGGAAAGGACGAGGTTCGACGAAGGACAGAGGCAGAATGAAGAGCCAAGGAGTCACATCCCGAACCACCATCGTCGACGTCGGCCGTCATGAACCGGGCTGGGCTGCGGCGGATGTTGTTAGTACGATATGCGAGCTACGACGCCATATCCATGTTAATAATAGCATCAGCTAGCAGGAAGGACTGGGACTACGTGAAAGCTGCTGCGATTTAGTTATCTCGGAGGTTGAGAGGTCGATGAGCCTGCCTTTTTGACCAATTCTACGATATGATACTCAATATTAAACGAAACCATGTCTCTTGAACGACGGGGCGAAGACGGGGCTAAACACTCCTAGAAGATAGCAACCGTAGTTTAACCTAAATCCCTATTTCCCATCGTGGCTTGAGATTATTAGAAACAGCCTAGATTCATTAACACCCCCGACTGCACCGGAGCACCACCTTGCAACAGCATTATCGTCCCCAACATTAATTTCTGAGGAACGAATCATAGGCACCTGAGGTGTGTACATCAAATATGGTGCTTTGTGGCCCAACAAGTCACGGGGTTGTTGGAGGGACTGCCCCGTTGTCCGAAGCAGACCGCGAGTCCCTCGAGGTGCCTGACCGTGAGCTATGGCTTCGTCTCCGTTTCTTGTTGGCGAGTCTGATCGAGGCGTGATAGCGGTAGACGAAGTAAAACAAGACGGCGAGGAAAACAGTCAGCGAGACTCCGACAACAGCACCGATGGTTGCGTTTTGGGTTTGCATCGGCGTGTCTCGCGTAATTATCATTCCTGGGTTTCGAATATGCAGCCCCGACACGGATGTGGAGCTAGTTGTTGGGGGACATGTTCCCCGGGGCGAAAAAAGTCGGGCAGCGACTTGTTTGAAGAAGGATATACTTTGTTCGTGCTGGCGCGAGGCGTCTTGTTCAAACCTGTGCAGGTGATTGGGGCTTGAAGATTGTGAGATGTGGAAGAGAGAAAAGAGATGAGAAGCGGGCTTGTCCGTATTAGGCTTCTCAAGGGGCAACGCCCGGGGACTTTCAGAGACGAATGGTATGTACATTTTAACAGACTGAAGGGTTTTGTCGAGTATTATTACGAGATGTAGCAGTTGCAAAAGAGTGGTGTTGGAGCAAAGCGCCTAAAGGGTCCAGAAGAATCGGCCTAACAGTAGAGCAACCATCGCCGTGGTGATAATATTGAGGAAAGAAAATGGCGAGAGTCGTGGGTAATGGATAAATGCAAGCGACCAACAACGTACTATTCGGTGAAAAGAAGCAGAAAGGAAGAGGGGGAAGTGCGCTATCCTGCCTGGAATCGGGCGCATCTAGCGCAGTAATGAGGAATGGGGGGTTTGCAAAAGACTCGCGTGTGCCGACGTAAATGTTCTGATTGACCGGGGACGCTCTGTCGCACAAATTATTCGGGATGATGCACTAAAAGGGTAGAGTCACCAGGGATTGTCTCTCTCTGCTAGCCCAAGATAAGCCAAAGACTGCATCTGGGGCTGCGGGGGGTGCATTGCAGGCATTGCGCAGGGTCGGGTAATGTGGAAGACAAGTCACGGCCGTTGTGTGGTGACGGAAAGAACTAGAAGCGAGTCCATTCATCAGGACATGCCAATTAAACCACTGCGGCTGCAATCCTTTCATGTACGGGGCAAGGTCAAATACCTGTGGCTGAGCCGTGCTGGCTAGCATTTCTGCACTTCTGCATTTCTGCATTTCTGCATTTCTGCATGTCGGCAGATTATTTCTCATGAGTGAGCAGCTATTGTGTCCACAGTACTGTCCAAATATACCTGGCAGGAATCTCCGGTTCCGGGAAGGCTTGGCTTCACTGATGAATGGAGCATCCTCTTAGCTGCGTATTGGCTCATTAGACTTTGGGAAGGAAGATGGACGATCCCGATATACAAAGAGAAGGAATGACCCATGGGCGCGAGGTTTAATTGCCATAGCAGCTGATCAAATCATGTTCTCTTGGGCCCCCTCGGTGTATTGGTGTAATACCCTCGATGAACTTGCTCTCTCGACGATGCGGGGTAAGCCGTGACTGGAACAATATGTTGGAACTAAGGTGTCCTGCAACTGCAGCTGCAAGCTCGAAGGTTTGCAGATGCGTCCTGTGTTGCGATTGGCAAGTCTTCGGGATCATTGAGCCCCGCCATTTAATACGAGGCTTCCGAGCTGTGAATTCTAGGCCACTCCTTGCTTATTGATATCATGGAGAACCTCGGCGGAGTACCTCGGTGAATGTTGGCCCCTACTACAGGAACTGCACTGATTACCTACCTACCTAGTTAGCTGCCATTAAATCATCGGGATTCCTCTTTGAAGAGCACGTAGCTCGCCTGGAAAGTTCTCGAGGTATCGCAAGAAGTGTATTAATGATCAAGAAAAATCTCTGCATCTCTACTAGTTAAACAATCAGGCAGTTACTTCTGATGTCTCGAAGCCCCTGCAGCCAGTTTGTTGTCCCGAGTTCTGAATGATTCGAAGAAACGTGATCCCTGGCCGCCCAGATGTCTTGTAGCATCTGCATGGCTGTTTGGACATAGCCCCAGGGGCAAACCCAGGGACTTTCCGTCCAAACGGTATAAAGCCGGTCGGCGCACCACGCTCGGCGCAAAATATCATTTGTCTGTGCGCCCGCCATGAAGGTAGGCCACACGGTCCCCTTGAGGAGGACGTGACCGACTGGGACGGATGACAGGCTGTCCAGTATCTCGCCAACCACGCTCTCCAACTCTGAGAATGGCGGTGTTGACTGTGCTGACTGTGCCTCGGGAACTGCAAGGAGGATATAAAGGCAAGCAGCAGCTCGATGCGCGGCAGCCAACTTGACACGGACCTCAAGCTCGTCGTGGGCCGAGAGGCCACGAATTGCATGCACCCATCCTCGCACATCCAGTGCGCGAGCCTGATGCAAGAGAGAGAGAGCAATCTCGATCCTGTCCGTGCCTGCCTCGATTCCGGTGGCACCACGAGTGCACAGCCGGCTCGTGGACAGGATGATTTGAAGAATGGGGGGTGGGCAGCAGTGGTAACTGTGGGCCTCGGCTCGCTGGAGAACGGCCAATACGTCCACGCCATCTTGTATTGAATCGGCCATGAATCCGACGCTGCTGATTGTCGAACCGAGGATGCGGTAGGTGAGGCAGTCAGCGGCCATGGCGTCTGCAAGGTATGTTATTGAAGAGCCCAGTCTCTGGCCGCCACGCTGGAGGGAGGATATTAAGGTTCCGGCGGCTTCAATATGCGCTTTCCAACCTCCTTTACCCGAGTCGATAAGGTCAAGATTGACAAAGAACACAATGGCGGCTAGCACCATGGCTTGGTTGAGAGGAGACGCCCGACCAATGGCCGAGCCAAGAAGCCTAATGGCCCTGTCCTTGGCAACGAGGGAGTCTAACAGCTCGACACCAGCAGGTACACCCCGGTATCGATGGAGAGTCGCCAGATGCATTGCTGACGTGGCAATCACGACGGCCTCGAGGAAGTCAAATGTCCCTATCAGAGGTATCATTGCCCGAAAGGGATTTCTGCCATCTTGGTCGATCGAGACCAAGTCTCGGCAGACCGTGGTCGCAACTGTGTTGCCGTTAATAGCCACCTAGATGCATTGTGCAAGACCGGGGAATTTATTTGGAACGGGAGAAACCGAAGAGGACACTGCGCGACATGAAAGAGACGTACAGTGGTTGATGTAGTGCCTTGACTCTCTGTGGAGGTGATTTAGGAGAGGGTCGACGAGAGACAGACATATGGAAGTCGGCGCAGGCACCGAGGCACCCGCAATTTGTACCATGGCTTCTTGTCCGGAACCCGGGGGGGAGACGGGCGGCTGGATGCCAGGGGCAAGCTTGCCTCGTGTAGCAGGGCCGTTGGCCCAGCGCAGGACTAGACCATAGCCAAGACATTGCTCACCATTGATGGTGCATTTATGACATGACGGATACGACCGGTCGCAGCGGAGCCGTCGACGTCGGCAGTTATAACACCGGTCTGCCGTGGTGGGCTCGTCCCGGGCCCGGCCCGGTTTCGTCTTCGTCATGCCAGATTTGGAGTCGGCACTGTAACGCTAATTCGCCGGTCCGCGGAAGGGTGCTTTGGAGTGTGAAAACGGCCGCGAGTCTACATCGAACGACTTGAAGGGTGGTCGCTATTTCCATATGTTGGGGCCGCCTTATCCAGTAGTCCTCGCGATCCGAGTTCTTAATGTTGACAAGACCCGGCAACGTACTGCTCTAGCGCCCAACCTTTGGTGAGGATGCGGTGGAGGGGCACTGGACTCTGGGATGGGACCCGACAGACACACTAGTGTAGCATGGGTGGGCGCCACCCGCCCCGACGAGTGGAGCTCTGGGGCTAAACCCAAGACGGAAGCAATTCAACACGTCTTGCATCAAGCCAGCCAAGCCCCTGAGCTCACCTGGCCCGCTTGTTATGGAGTGAACGATTCTTGTCCAATCAGCAACCGAGAAGTGCCTAGAGTTGGTCTTGGACGGTGAGCCGGCTGACACGGGAGGCTGACAAATCTTGGAAGCCGCTAAAAAGGAGAACGCTATCAAGAAGATAAGTTCTAGAATCTATCGGGACCACACAATAAAGAGCCTTTCCGCCCAAGCCACACCATACCAGATCGGGAAGCCGAGCCGCACATGCTGCATCGCTGATCCACTAGATACGCAATAGGCACCAAATTCTCATAAGACACTGTGACTTCCGATACATAGTATTAGTATTTGCCATCGTTGAGTCATCAGCCCGTCTAAGAGTGTCCCGGAAACAAAAGGAAATCCCAAAAGCTATGTGGAGACGCACCGAGAGCAGGGATGGATAGCATGTCATCGGTGAGCTAGCAAGCCATCAACTAGGCATATGCCTAACTGCTACCGCTTCCCTTGTTTTATATAATAATTCACTCCCTTGTGTCAAACATTTGCCAAAGTGGTCGAAATCCACCAGCATCATTAGCCTCCCCCCACACCAAGGCACTTTGTCTTCATTGCTTGCCGCCTTTCAGATTGGGTTGGAATTGCTAGTTGTCAACCGCCTCATAACCACCTCATGTCACCCTGATCGCCAGTCACCTCCTCAGCCTCTCGTCATGGACAAGTCCGAGAACTCGGGAGGCTCGCCAAGACCTGGGGACGTCAAGACTCTCGATCTTGAACGGCTCGGGCAACACAGGCAACCGGCATTCCCGAATCTAATGTGCGAAATTATGTTTTGCAGTTCGCTGCTAATCTCTATGCTGATGGCGGTTCGTGTAAAACATCTTCCCTGTCTATTGGACAGAACTGCACCGCAGTCGCTGACAATTTGTGAAGGAATATTTCATCTCCGGGTTCAATATCGTCTTACCGGAAATTGTTACTGCTCTTTCTATCCCCAAAGGCTCTCAGACATGGCCGGCAAGCGTGTTTTCTCTCGTCACGGGATCATTTCTCCTCCCGTTTGGGCGGCTGGCAGATATCTACGGCGCCTATATTGTCTTCACGTTGGGAATGGCTTGGTTCTGTCTCTGGTGTCTCATTACCGGTTTTAGCCATACCTACACCATGCTCATCGTGGCAAGAGCGCTGGGTGGACTTGGCCCAGCCGCCTTTCTTCCCGCCAGCGTCATGCTGATTAGCAAGACTTACTGCCCCGGTCCGAGGAAGAACCTCGTATTTGGCCTGTACAGCGCCTTTGCACCTATTGGTTTCTTTCTTGGCATCATTACGGGCGGCTTGACCGGCCAGTTTCTCTCCTGGCGCTGGTATTTCTGGCTGGGATCTATCGTCTTGTTCCTCGCCTCTCTGATTTCTTTCATTGCCGTCCCCAATGACAGAGCGGAGCTACAACTCGAAAACGAGAACGTCAAAATGGACTACTGGGGCGTCGCAATGATTGTACCCGCGCTGGTCTTATTGACATTTGCAATCACCGACGGCAGCCACGCACCAAATGGTTGGGCCACTCCGTACATAATCGTTATCTTTGTCTTGGGCATATTATTTCTTGGCGGCGCCGTCTATGTGGAGGGATGGGTTGCGTCGCAGCCCCTTCTCCCATTTGACTTATTCAAGCCAAAGTACATGAAAAGATTGGCAGTGTCGCTCTTCTTTGCCTACGGGGTGTTCGGCATCTACTTGTTTTACGCCAGTCTGCAGTAAGTCGTCCTATATCGAGATCCCAACTTGGCGGGCTACTTGTCATGTTGCTAACGAAATTGTGCCGCGTTTCAAGCATTGCTAATGTAATGGGAGCCTCGGAGCTTGTGACCGCCGTTTGGTTTGCTCCAATGGCAGCCGGCGGAATTATCCTAGCGACGATTGGAGGATTCACATTACATCTACTTCCAGGCCGGATTTTGCTCATCATATCTGGTGTTGGTAGCGTTGCCAGTGTCCTTCTCTTTGCCCTGATCCCCGAAGGCGCCAACTACTGGGCATTCGTGTTTCCAGCCATGGTCGGGGCGACCGTGGGCGTTGACATCACCTTTCTCGTATCCAACATTTTCATCACTGCCAACGTGCCGAGACATAGGCAAGGCCTTGCTGGGGCACTAATATACAGCGTTTTGTTTCTGGGAATAAGCTTCTTCCTAGGTCTCGCAGACCTGGCGGTGTCCGAGAGCGAGAAGCGAAGCATCAAGGACAGTCCCAGGATTGCCTTTATGTTTGCAATAGCATGCGCCGTGGTGGCGTTATTAATATTTAGCACAATTAGAATTCCCAAGGCCGAGGCGGATTCAACACCAGAGGAGTGTCTCACCAAGCCGGGGGACGATAACTAGGGGCTTCGAATTTAGTAGTTTCCGCATTTCATTTAGACTTGGTATATATGTTGCTCGCACGCAAAATCTCAATATCACCACCGCTGGTCAGAGTTCGTCTTTGATGTGCCCATCCTCGATTTCCTTTTTTGCCTTTAGTCTCTCTTCCTTCTGGAGTCGTCGCTCATTTCTCCTCACGGTACGATGCAACCGCTCCCACATTAGACGCGCCCTCTTGCCATCTTCGGTCTCCGTCACAGCCATTGCTTCAATTTTGAAAGTAATGTCGCGCTTCCCGAGATCCCGTTGCGGTTTTGTATGGTCCACTGGCCATGCAAGAATGGAGTGGTCTACGGCCTGCGGCCTGTATTTGTCGAGATTATTGAACTCACCTGGAGGAAAATGGAGTTAGCTTGTAATGAAAGCGTGCTTGAGTGAGGTGCGGGGATTTAACTTGCGTTCGCATCGGCTTCCCTCAGCTACCCATAGGGGCAATATCTCGTATATTGCTCCAGCCGGAAACACCACAATCTTATCCTTATCCTCGATGACGGGGACCCCTTCCGCCACGGCTGTGTGGTCGGCTACAGGAGATGCTGGTTGTGGCTTCACTGTGGCGAGTATTTTGTCGCCCTCCTCCTTTGGCTTCTCAAAGACGCCATACAGCCATTTATTATCATTTGTCACGCTGATGTCTTGCTGCTGAGCCTCGATCCAGTGCCTGACGTAGCCTGGAACTGCGCTGTACTCCATGACGACAATCTCGCGGTCTTTGCCCTTGTGGTCGACACCGTCCCAACTACCCACAAAGGCCCTCTGGGCAAGGAAATACTCAATGGCCTCTTGCCAGGGAGCCAAGCCAGTTGGAGGTTTCTCCGGAAGATCTGTGAGCTTGTATATCTTGGCATGGAACTCGCGCTCAACCCTGCAGTTCACGTGAAACCCTCCGGGATCCGATCCGTCGTCTGGGAAAGGGCGTGACCACTTGAAGCTGTCGACCACGCCATGTTCGAAAACATCCCAATTGATGGCTCCTAGAGCGGGCCTGGCCAGGATTAAAGAAAGTGTGGCGGAAAGCGCGGTCTTCATGGTGAGCAACAGTGTCCTAAAAAGTTATCGCGAAGCCAGCCCCGATGTCGTAAATTTCAGCCGGGAGGGCAAGTGCACCTGGTATTTAAGAGCGACCAAGCACCTGGGTACGCACACGGTGTCCATAACTCGGTCCCGGCTAAGCATATGGCTGCACACTAGCCCTATTCTTCAAGGTGATATGTCCCGGTCTACAGCCTAATTACCGGCCACCGATCACTACCATTCGCTCCAGCCCCCGGCACTTACGATGAGCCTCTAATTAATCCTTGAAAACACGTGTCCCGTTTAGGTCGGGTCGTTTTCCTTGGGGTCTTCTCACGCTACGCGGAGGTAAGCAAATGCTTTGCATATAATTTCCCTAGACTAATACGTCTTTGTTTGCCGGTTTTGTTTCGTCACTTTAGTAGATCGATATTCATCTAACCGCACCAGCAACCTTCCCCCCACTCCCTCCAACCCCCCCCTACGCTCAAGACCCAACTCGTTCTCTCAGCATGATGTTCCTCTACGCCCTGTCAGCGGTGCTTCTCCCGCTCCTGCTGCACCCTGCCTCGGCAGCATCCGCGGCATCGAAGCCGCCGCCCTCGGCGTGAGGCTGGTCTCGGCCCGCCGTCTTAGCCCAGCCTCTCTGGATTCGAGCTCGCCGAGGCCCGCCACGCGCTCTTCACCACCAAGGAGGCCCTCGGCGCCTAGGGCACACTGAACGTCGTCGCGCCGCAGTTTGATGCCGCCGACCAGTACTGGAAGGGCATCCTTGCCGAGTCATCCGGCAACCCTGCGGTCATCGAGGTCGAGCTCGTCGCCGACGTCTCGCCCACGCTCTTGAATGTGACCAGCTTCCTGGCCTGGTATTTCTTGTACGCCGCACAGGCTTCCCCGAGCCGACTGGTATGTGCCTGAAGGCTCTTTTCTCTTCCCCCCTCCCTTCCCCCTTTCCTCTATTTCGTTTAATCTTTTCATCTTCTTTATTTTTTATCATTGTTGCTTCCAAGGGAAACAGCTCACCCCTCGCAATCAGGATCAAGGGAACCCGCAGCAGTGGTTTCAGAACGACACCGAGTCGGACGGCTACGTCATCATCACGTAGAATTACGTCCTGGGCTGGGGCAGCCTGCCGGCGACGTCGTACCTGCCGGTGCAGGTGGCACGGCAAACCTTCATGCCCGTCTTCGCCAGCGGGACTCAGAGCTCGCCGGTGCAGCTGACGCTGCACGACGGCACCGTGTTCACCTGGGCCGTGACGGCGGCCAGCGCCGAGAGCTCTAGCCGCGGGCAGGGCGGCGTCAACCTGCACGACTACTTCTACGTGCCGTCGGCCACGCCCGCGTCCGCCCGCGAGGAGATCCGCCGCCACCTGGCCGTGCAGTTAGGGAATAGCCTCAAGTTTGCCTACGAGGACATCGCCGCTGGCGCGTTAAGCCGTTTTTTTCTCAAAGCGGTATGGAGTATTCCAGAGCTTGAAAGTTTATCCGCTTATCCCCATCTCTAGGTTTTGTGCTGGCTAATCCCTCCGTAGCCGAGAAACATCAAGGGGAATTGTACATGAGAAGGGCAAACTCGCTTCGGTGGCCTAGGTGGCTGTGTTTAGTTTTATCAGGCGGTTTAACGTCTCTAAGTCAAACTACCCTAGTTATATAACCTACCTACCCATTTCATTACCATACTTTAAATGATTGGAAACCCAGAGCTGCGATTGCAACTACTATGCGTCAAAAACTAGTTCTCTGAAAGCAAATGCCCTAATATAGCTTCCGTTCTCTCCCAATACACGCATCCTCGCCGTGAAGTACAGAGACAAGCTCTAGCACCCAGTCCCATATCACAAGGCGTGTCCCCATTAATTACCTTGGGTATTTTATATAGCGGGCGGCTTATAGGCGGCTTGGCGCCGTGCAGTTACGGAGAGTGCAGTAAGCATGTCTCAAGAGGTGCTATGGCTACCCCTTTTAGTTAGATTCTTGATGCCTGACTCTAGCGGGGACTCGCGAGAACTAGGATGGTTAGAGATAAATCCCTCTGCCAATTGCGCTCCCTCTGCCAATTGCGCTCCCTCTGCCAATTGCGCTCCCTCTGCCAATTGCGCTCCCTCTGCCAATCGCGCTTCTTGCAGCGTCGACCGTGTGACCACCCTCGGGCTGGACAGTGACAAGAGTTTTTCCCGCACGTTATGCTGCTAGGGACCCTAGGTTAGTTCAGCCCGAACCCTCGCAGAAGCGAACCACGCGAGAAACAAGATTTACCAACGTAACCAAGTTCGTAAAACTTGTCGTTTGAAGTACACCGCGACTGCAGATCGGAATACTCTTCTTTTTTTTTTGACTGAGCGGCATTTGATCGACCCGAGTACTAGCTTGGCCACCATGACAGACCAAAAGCCTTGGGAAGACAAGGTGAATGAAGAGTACCACGCCAATATCGCGTTATCGGCAGCACGACCGCCGGCACCGTTCTCGGTTAACATCTTGATCCCAAATGATGATTGCGATGGCGACGACGTTGACGACGGCGGCGGCTACAACAATAGAAACGCGCGCGGCCAAGCCAAACGCCAACTGAAATCCCACCAAGACGAGCTCCTGATGGACCAGTTTCCCGCGTCGTACCGCAGCGACGGCGACGACCTGCACGCGCCGACGGTGCCCAACGCCGGCCTGATCCTGCGCGAGCTCGACGTCAGACGGCTGCACGACATCGTGCACCTGCTATGGCTCGCCGGCCGCCCCGTGCCGCCCCGCCCGCTACACTACCAGCTGTCCGTCGGCCGCGACATCGTCGTGCGCGAGCTCATGGAGACTCACCTGGTCTGGGGCTCGGGACACATCTTCGTCAAGCCCATCCCGCGCTACCTCCTCAACCCGCGCTTCTGGGCGCTCCACCTATCCTGCGACCCGTGCATCGCGCCCGGAGGACGAGATGGCGAAGAACCGGGTGTCGCGGCTGCGTCAGCTGGAGGGGCAGCTGCGGCTACTACTACAGCTACTACTATCACGGCTCCCTGCAATAATACTAACAACGCGATACCCTGCTGCCAGCAGCATCGGCACCTCCGCCAGTGCGCCCTGGGGTTCCTGCTCTCGTACGTCGCGCTAGTGGTACACGAGAGCGACTTCGCCATCGCCAAGGACAGACGCCTAATCCCGGAAGAGGTCACCTGGCCGCGGTGGCGGACGTTTGTGCGGCAGATCCTGGCCGGCGGCGGCAGCGCAAACGGCTTGTACGGCGACGCCGGTGCCGTGGCCCCGCGCTTCATCTACGGTGAGCTGCGCCTCAACCGGCTCAACATCATCCTGTTCGCCCTGCGCGGCCCGCTGTCTGCCGGCTTCATGCCTACGTGGCGCACGTACGGCAGCTTCCTGCGCGACAACTCGGCTTGGATCATCGCCGCGACAGCCTACATCGTCGTCGTGCTCTCGGCCATGCAGGTTGGTCTATCGACGGACCGGCTCGCCGACGATGCCAGCTTCCAGGCGGCATCGTACGGGTTCTCGGTGTTTTCTATCCTAGTACCAATCGCTATGTTCTTGTTGCTCGTCCTATTCTCGGCGTTCTTATGGATATACAATTCTGCGCGTACGAGGCAGTTTGAGAGGCACCGGGCTAGGGTTTTGGGACGGACTTGGAGTGATAAGAGGGCGAGGGGCGAGGACGGTCACAGATCTGTTGCTTGATGGCAGGGCAGGTCATGCTGGTGATCTTATTTACACCTTGGATTGAAGAGCGGTTGTGGAATATATACGTCATCTGGCCTCTCTCCCATCTGCCAACCGAACTTCTACTGTCCCGATAGTTCAGCACGCGAGCGAAATAACAACCGTGAGGCTCCGGGGTTGCTTGTTGATTTCGGCACAGTGTGCAAGTTACCGTACAGCTCCTCATCGTACATCCTGGAGGTTACCGAAGCCCGTTCTGATTGACGCTGCTCGCCCAATTCGGTACTCCCTAACGCAGCCGGCTGACCACTCACGATTCGTGAGTCACGAATGTGACCCTCCTTCAGCACGGCCTCATTGCTACCTAACTACCTGGGCTCTGTGCTAGGATGGCAATTACCGGAGACGCTATCGTGAAAGAGCATATTTAAACCGTACGCCCAATGAACAAACTCAGGATGGTGGGCAATAATTATGCAGTACCACCATCTCTGCACGAAGTGCGTTCTGGCAATCGGAAATCAGCGCAGAAAACACCACCATTACGTACGGCTGAGGGGAAGCCCGGTTTCATTCGCCGATTCCTACAAATCAAATCCATAGCGCTTATCTCGCCCAAGCCAGCGCACTTGCTTCGAATGACACCTAAACGTCTTAGGTACCTGCCCGCACACCAGCACACCCTCCGGAAAACGCCACGAGCGGCTCACAGCTAGTGAGGTAAGGGTGTGTCAGGAAGTTCGTTGTTCTAATAGGAAACGACGGCGCGAAAATTTGGAGGAGCAGTCAGGCAAGGAGCTCCATAACATCTCAGGGCTATTGCGGGTGTTTGGGAGTGTCGGAAGAAGTCGAGGCTCTATATAAGTCCTGTAGTATAGTTTAAAGATGAACCTGAGTAAGCATCTCCTTAGGGACTAACTTCGGTATTAGTTGAACTGCTTTATTATATCTCACTTTTATAAGAAAAACTACCGTAACTACTAAAATTAATATTATAATAACCTTTTTAATATGTCGTGTAATAGCTCGTATAAGAAGCTAAAGATTAAATATAATAATTATTAAACGAAAATAACACACTTTAGTAAAAGTAGTAGTCTATAACTTAGATAAGTACTGGTACAAGTAGTACACCGAATAATAGGTATAAAAATTGACAATTCCTTACGCCTGTACTCTTCCTAGATTCCTAAGCAACTATTGGATCAAAAATTCCTAGCTGACAAGGTAGTTTGACCGATGCCGAGGTTGGTCCCTAAGGAGATATTAAGAAGGGTATCTAAGCCATGCCCACCTCTGTTTTTTCTAGGCAATACAAGCACCCTTTTTGCTTACTACCTACGTGCCGCTATACGTGACAGGGAGCTATACCGCTAGAGGGTAACCACCGAGCTCCTATTTAGTCCCATTTCCGATTGATTCCACTTAATTAAAGCACCACGAGCTTCCAGCCGCGTGTCTCGTCATCTCATCGGAGGTTTAGTTAAGATACCTCTACACCCTCGACGATTGTTGCACGATGGCCACAAAGCCGATCAAGGAAGGCGTGGACATCGTCCTCGATCCCCCCGATGCTACCGTGGAGTAAGTGCAAATCGAGCACTGCCACACTAAGTGGGATTTCCACTGACTGCGCGCAGTATCCTGGCCATTCCCGGCCTCGGCGCCAACCCTGCAAAGAGTTGGATGTGGAATGAGAAGGAAGAAAACAGCTTCAACTGGCTCTCGAGCAGCGATGGCCTCAAGAAGGACTTCCCCAAGGCCCGTGTCCTGCTCTATTATTACGCCTCTGCATATCGCGGCTCCTTCAAGATCAAGCAGTACATGACCAACATTGCCAAGGTCATGCTCGACGCCTTGCAGCTTCGCAGAGAGGCACGTGTGCCGTCGTCTTATTCTCTGGTTCTCCGCTGACAAGCTCATAAAACAGAAATGCCCCCGTCGGCCGATCGTGTTGATCGGTCACAGCATGGGAGGGCTGGTGGCCGCAAAGGTCCTCTTGCTCGCCGAGCAGCGCCGTGACATCTACCCCGACATGTACGAGAGCATCGTGGCTTGCCTGACATTCGGCACGCCGTTTGACGGCGCCCCCGTCGCTGACATCGCTACCGAGTGGACCAAAATCAACGAAGCGCTGGGCACGGCCATCAGCTCCAAGCTTCTCGACCTCTTGACGCCCGGGAACGAGAGCTTGCGGGAGCTAAAGCACGAGTTTGTGCGTTCTGCCGGGAAGCTCGGCCAGAAAGTCGAAATCCACTGCTTCTACGAGGAGCTGCAGACGCATTGGGAGCCCATCATCTCCAAGCTCGCCAGCACGGATTTTCCCTCCCAAAGCTTGAGCAAACTCAAACTCAAGGTTAGTCATGGCTGATTTGGTCGAGCGTTGCGGCAGTAGCTTGACGACGAGTCGTATGTCTAGGAGTATCGCGACTTCGTCTCTAGAGACTCAGCCACCCTTCCCGGAGTCCTGGAGACCGGCCTGGCGCGGACCCACAGAGACCTGGTGCGCTTCGAGGGCTTCAAAGACACGCAGTACCAGCTTGTCAGAGCGCCCCTGAAGCGAATCATCAATAGCGCGCCGCTTAATGCCAAGGCCCGCTTCAACTTCACTCGCCAGTCGACCATTGATAGCGCCACCCTCGCCTCAGTTATCAACGCGCTAGAAGGAGCCGACATACAGAAGAAGTTTAGGGCCCTGTCGCAGCGGCTGGCGTCCGAGTCCTGGATCGTCAAGGAGCCAGAGTACCTGGACTGGCTGCAGAGCGAGGGAAGGCGGGACCAGTATCTCTGGATCTACGGCCCGGAGGGCAAAGGCAAGACCACGGCTGTCACGGCCGTTATCAGGGAGATCGAGTCGCGCATCAGCGAGGACGAACTGAATCGCGCCGACCAGTTCCCGACTCTCCTCGCATACTTCTTCTGCGACCAGGCTCCCGACTACTGCACGGCCGAAGACGTGGTCAAGTCTCTCCTCCTCCAGCTCTGCAAGCAGCAGGACGTCCTGGCCACCTACGCCAAGCAGTTCACAGGCAAGTCCAAGACGGCTACTAAGTCGTCGGCCAAGGACGAGCCTAAAGACGGCGCGAACGCGGAGGACGGGCCCGGCGCCTCAAAGACAAAGGACGAAGCCGGCGGTAAATCCAAAGGCGACTCGTCGGCCCTGGGCATCGAGAATCTTTGGCAGAGCCTCAAGGACATGCTAACTGAGGGCTCTATCGGGACCGTCTATTTCGTAATCTGCAACCTGCACGAGCTGCCCGAGGAGGACGACTCGACGCGCAAGCTCCTCTCGTTCATCCAAGCGGCCATCCAGGAGGGGGGCTCGGCAGCTGTAGAGAGCAGCAGCGGGAAGCGTGTCCGCACCAAGTGGCTGTTCGCCAGCAGGGACCGCCTCTCCATCCGCAGGGTGCTGGGGGCTAGCCCGCCCGTGCGCGGGATCGACCTCGACGACGCAAAGTACGGTGACAAGGTCAAGCTCGAGCTGCAGCGGCACGCGTGGGCCAAGGTCGACGACCTGCAGCGCCAGAAGGGCTACAACAAGGCCATGGCCTACTTTGCCGGCAGCGTCATCGGGAGCCGCGCCGAGAGCACAAAGTGGATAGACGTCGCTATCGTGCAGCTGGCGGCCCTGCCGGCCAAGGCGAACGATATCAGGGTCAGGAGGATGTTGGAGAGGGTGCCGCAGGACTTTGCGGCCCTGCTAGATAATGCCTGGATTGCGGTACGTAAAAGTAAAGGCCTTCCTGAGCAGAAGCGGACGCGACTAACCGAGACGACGGCCAGATCTTGAAGCCGACTGACGACGACATGGACACCATCAAGGAGCTGCTCCGGGCCTTGGTCCTCGCCTACCAAGACCCGACAGAGAGCGAGCTGCTGGTTCTCGCGGGGCTGTCGTCCGAGGACGCGGGCGCCAAGGAATCGCTGCGCAAGATGATAGACAAGTGCCGGCCGCTGCTGACGCTGCGCAAATCTGGCGATGAGGCCGAGATCAGCTTCGTGAACGCCGACGTTAAGAAGCACTTGCACCGCAACTCGAAGAAGCTTCTGGGTCTCGAAGAGGACGCCATCAAGCTGCAGCACGGCATCCTCGCTCTGCGGTGTTTCTCGCATGTCGTGGACCGCCTCACGGCAGCGCTTCAGAACACGTCCAAGGAAGAGCAGCCGCAGCCAGCCGAGACCCGGCCAGCCAAGGACGCCGCGGACGATGCCGCCGAACCAGCAGCGAAGGATTCCGGCGACGGAGGAGATGACGACGCCGACTCGGGCTCGGACTCGGATGATTTCGACGAAGAGTTCGACGAAGAATTCGACTCCGACTCCGACTCCGACTCCGACGACCACCTCCCCAACCACGCCAACGACGCGCCGGAGCCAGGATCGGGGAAACAACAACAACAACAACCCCCTCCTCTGCTCGCCCTGCGATACGCAACCAAGTACTGGCTGCGCCACGCAAGCGAGGCGACGCTGGACATTGCGCAGCGGCTCAGCCTCGAAAAGACCTTTTGGGACGCCGACTCCAAGATCCGCCGCCTATGGCTGGCCGAGTACGAGCGGCTGACGGGCGCGTTCGAAGACTTTGACGTCGACAGCCTCAAGGCGTTGCACGTCGCCGCGGCCATCGGGTTCCCCCACCTCGTCGAGACGCTGATCAAGGCCGGGTACGAGCACGAGGTGCGCGAGTATGACTCGTTGTCCAACTCGCCGGTACGATCTCTTTCTCTTCCCCCCACGACCCCTTAAATCTCACCCGAATATTTGGGTATCTTTATCAACAGCTAATGACGGCCCCACCACAATAACCAGTTGCACCTAGCCGCCTCGTTTGGCAAGACCGAGATCGTCGAGCAGCTGCTCATGAAGGGCGCGGCCATCGACGACGCGGGCGAGGACGGCACGTCGTGCACGCCGCTGAGCATGGCGGCGCTGAGCGGTTGCACGGCCGTCATGGCCAAACTGATGAGCTGGAAGGCGAACCCGGACGCCGTCGACGCCGAAATGGGCCCCGTGGTCAACGCCGCCATCCTGTCGGGCAACACGGACGCCGCCAAGATGTTAATCGACAAGGGCGCGCGGCTGAACTACGATGACGACGACGGTAGTGACGACGAGAATGAGAGGGAATGGTCGCCCCCGCTGGCGCTGGCCGCCGAGTACTCGGACTTGACCATGTTCGACACGATCCTCGAGGCCGGGGCGCAGTCGCTGGGGGGCGACGAGTACGACAAGGCGCTAGTGGCGGCGGCCGTGTCGGGGCGCGTCGAAGTCGTAGGCCGGCTGCTACAGTTTAACCCCAGCGAGGCGTCGTTCCAGGACGCGCTGGAGGCGGCGCACGCCGAGAGCAACTGGGACGTGGCCAAGGTGCTGCTGCGCAGCGCACCACAGCCACTAGACTGCGACGACCTGTTCGAGACCGCCGCCACCGACGCCGAGAGCCTAGAGAGCGTGCTGCAGGCCGTGTGGGAGCACACGCACCACGGCGTCGCGCAGCCGCTGCTCGACGAGTGCCTGTATGCCGCCGCGGACAGCGAGAAGGAGGACACGGTTAAGGCGCTGCTGGCCATGGGCGCCAGCCCGGACGCGCCGGGAGACGAGTGCGTCCCCAACCTTCATACTCTTCACACGCCAATGATTGTGTAGTAATTACGACTGCTGACCAACGTGATTAGATACGGCAACGCCCTGACGGCAGCCGCTAATGACGGCACGTCAGCCATCGTCGCGGCGCTGCTCTCGGCGGGGGCAGCCGTGACCTCGTCCGCGGGCTTCGCGCTGCAGGCGGCCGCGGCGCAGGGGCACGGTGAGGTCGTGGCACAGCTACTTGACGCAGGGGCGCAGATCGACCACGTCTCGCCGCACCACAGCTCGGGCACGGCGCTGCAAGCGGCGTGCGACTACGGGTACGCGGAGATCGTGTCCCTACTGATCTCTCGCGGCGCCGACGTGAACCTCGGCAGCGGCGAGAACGAGCTGCCGGTGCTCGCGGCGACGATGCAGGCGGAGCCCGAGATCCTGAAGCTGCTCCTCCAGGCGCCTGGCATTGAAGTAAACCCGCCTGACTCAGGCCCGCGCCGGGCGTCGCCGCTGCACCACGCGGCGTCACTGCTGCCGGAAGAGTCGGTGCGGGCGCTGCTAGCGGCCGGTGCGCGCGTCGACGTGGCCGACGCCGACGGCGCCACGCCGCTCATGGCGGCCGCCGCGTCTGGCGACGACGAATGCGTGCGCGTGCTGTTGGAGTATGGGGCGGACGTCATGGTCGTCAGCCCCCACCTCGGCACCGCGCTGGAGGTGGCGGCCGCCGAGGGTAGCGAAGAGTGTGTGAGCCTGCTGCTGGCGCGCGCGCTGGTCGTGCTGAGGGAGCTGAAGAAGGCCGCTGACGCCGGGGGCGGCGCGGCGAGGAGGATTATCGAGGCTGAGAGAACGGGAAGGAAGGAGGCTATGGCTGCGGAGGCGAAGAAGAGGGCTGAGGAGGAGGGGGAGAATGCTAGCGTTAGCGGAGCGGCTCGCGAAGATAGTCATCACGACGAAGAGGATAGGGAGGGGGAGAGGCAAGGGAGTAAAGATATAGCCGCGGATGGTGAAGGGGACGTGGATGGGGAGCTGATTGCTGGGATGGAGAGCTTACACGTTGATAATCAGCCGGAAGAGGGTAGCCAGGCCGGGGATGTTCCCGCAGAGGAGCCAAATTCTCGGGAAGTGGCGGATGCGCCCCTAGATCTCCCTTTCCAGGGGTATGAGGGAGATGAGGGAGAGCTTCCTTTTACCGGAGACCTTCCTTTCGGGAATGACTCTAACTCTGAGGCTGGAGATGAATATCCGGACGAAGACAGCTCTGAAAGCGGTCCTGGCAAGCAAGATTCAGATGACGAAGGCGGATACTACGACTCGGATTAAGGCGACTTTGATATTACGAACCCCTAACCATAATTCCCCTTTGCAGTGAAGTACACTGCAATGAAAATGGGTGAGGGAGCTTGACCCACATTTTCGGACAGGGGGTTCAATGCAATGAAATCTTTGCGAGTACACTGCAATGAACTTTTCGGGGTCAAAACTGCTGAAAGTTGTATGCATAGAAGGCGCTCAATCTGGCGCATCCCAATACTAATTTCTAGCATTGTAAGACCAAAATATCGTGATATTTTAGGGGGTGTCGGTTTGCGCAATTGAGGACGATGGGGTTGGCTTGTGCGTGGGGCTGGCCAATCCGGCGGTCGGCAGAAGGCGGAAGGGTTTGGACAGCTGGTCAAGGTGAGCGTGCCTCGAATCTTTTGAGAGGAAAAAGCAAGTATCAAACGGGGGTCTTTTCGCGTCGCGCGGTGTCGGCTCTTAATAGCTTACGCGTCAATATACTTGATAAATTGAAAGATAATAATAGTACTATTATGGATCCGTTCAAAGTCTTACGGCCATACGGCGTTCTTATATGTTTATCTTGCTAATATGCTTATCTTATACAAGAAGTCACAAGCTACCTACGTACGAAGCATTGGCACCTCAGCGCCCAGCAGAGAGCAAACATCCAAAAGGCCGTCGGACGACTCCCCAGCTTATTCCACAACCAAGACTCGCTCAAGTTCTTTACGTTACCAGCAGATCCGGTTCCAGTTATTCCAGAGCTAGCCGGGCCGTATCTTGACGGGTTAAAGTGCGATCGGTGCCCATATATAGTACGACTCGGTCGGGTTATGCGGGAGCATTGTCGTACGACACACGGCTGGGACAACTGTCACGGCACGGCGGTAGGCGCTGAGGCCCTACGGGCGCGTGACCATACTATAACCTACTATAGAATTGCAGCCTGACGGCTTGTAATTCTGGCATCCTTTTGGAAGGTGTGGTGCAGCGGTAGTGGGTGTTGCCGAACGCCGTCACACCGGCCGCGCCCGCGCAACCGCCGGCCGCGCCCGCGCAACACAGCCGGCTGGCACCCTCGCTCCAACCACTGTACTACGCAATACGACACAACGTGAAGACACTCCTGCCTTCTCCGAGCTCTTGGCGGATACCTTAACCACCTCAATCACTGGTGGGATCGGGGATATCATCCCCGGCCGGACATACAACCCCGCCGGCCGCATTCGTGCAACTCGGCACCCATCACCGGGTGAAAGCCAACGAGGACTTGTAACTAGGTATTACTCTCCGAAAATACAACTATTAACACATATATACTTACTTATCTTTGCATCCATCCAGGTCCCGGGAAAGGCGCCCTCCACCTACTAATCCTGAGCCGGCATCGAAGAAGCAGAGAACAAGGGAGGGCCATCGCGGGGCCACCACGGCCGGCAACGAGAACGGGGACCCAAATCCTGATGAGCATTTCAATGGCTTTGGCAACCATTTTGATCCTGAGCAGAGCAACCCGGCGGGCGATCCTGAGCAGAGCAACCCGGCGAGCGATCCTGAGCAGAGCAGCCTGGCGAGCGATTCTGAGCAGAGCAGCCATTCCCTTCGGCAGAGATCTGAGCCACTAGATGACGAACAGCAGGAATTCCCGGATCATGTCTCTGAGTGGCTTGATGATAACAACGGCCCCGTTAGATGGCAACCACGGCTTCCACCAGCTGCCTCCGTACTGGAGTGGATTCAAGGCGCCCGGGATGGCCGGCGCCGGCTCGCCCGCCGCATCATTTACGCACTTCATGTCGGCATAATCCCGTGTCCGGCTCCGGCCCACGCTCGTGATGAGGCGAAACACTTTGGATCATGTAGGCGCCACCGGGGGCTACGTTATACCTATGATATCGAAGGCAGGAGCCTCCCCAAGAGCGCTGCCGAGATGGATCTTCAACTAGGAATCCATCGCACAGGCGAAGACATCCCAGGCCTTTGGCTAAATAGGGATCGTCTAGCCTTCCCCAGCCCAGGCCGCCTCTAGACCCTCTTCTCCGGACCACTACAAGAGGGCGAGGAGATATGCCTTCACAAGGATGCGCCCTGCAAGCCACCGCTGCAATACTCGCTCAAGGACGTTGATAGCTCTATCGCCATCTTCTCGGACCTGAACTCCTTCCGCGCGTCAATCAGTCTTCTAATCATTGCACAGCTTGCCTCACTCTTGCAAAGTTCCATTCACCTCCAATACGAATTAGAGGTCGAGGGGAAGATGACTGAGGTCCCCATTCATGAGATCCCCCACATCTTGTTTGCCACTACCGGTACCCGGTCTCACCCAATCTTCGCGTTCTTCCCAGCAATGTACGAACCCAAGTGTTCCATCTTCCTCAGCGACAAAATGTATGCGACGTTCTATGACCATCTCCTAAACCCCGCCCTCGAACAACTCTCATATAGGGCACAGTCAGCAAGGTTTTCCGGCGATGCAGATTCCCAAACTTCCCAGCATATCCCCCCAAACTTCATCGCGGCGCAGAACGCTTCCATGGCCAAACTGGAGAAGTCTGGCAAGGGCGGTGGCGCGCATGGGAGTCCGATTGGCCTTGCCATTAACTCATCGAAAGATACCATGGTCTGGAACCACGTGGTGCAGGAACTCGACAACGTCCACGCGTCTCGGGAGTCCACCCTCTTCCAGTTCACTGGCATGTTCTTTCTTTACAATGCCAAGGGTCTGAAACTCGAAACGCAGCGGCAGAGGGTCCTCTCGGGATGTATCGAAGACTTTGCATTCGAACAGGCTGAACGTTTCAACGAGGTTTTGTCTATCGAGAACCAGAATCGGCAGTATATATTGACGTCGCAGCAGAGGTCATGTCAGTCCCCGATGGGAATTATCCGCAAGGCGCGACGCTGCTCGCCAAACGCTGCTGTGTGTACAACACAATGAAATTTGTACTAGACGGGCAGCTCAGGGAATCTCGCAGAGCCAGCAGCCGTCGGTCGGAAAGCGGAAGCGACTCTGACGCCGGGGAAGACGACCAGGCAATAACAGCGGCTAGGGGGCCTCGTGATGCGGCGTTTCAACCACCCCACATACCGAGGGCCACTGTGACCGAATACCCTATCGGCCTCCTCAGGGATACCGTAACACTTACGGCCGAGCCCAAGCGCAACCACCCCCACACCAACGACGGGCTGATATACTTATAGTCGTATAGCCCGCTCAAGGAGCGAATGGACGCAAAGAAGATCTACCCCTTCTCCCACCCCGGCATCGCCAACCTGGGCTATAGTGGGGCCGACCACAACAGCATCAACATCCTCCAAAGGACAAATAATAACCGGTCAGAGGCAAAGAGCGCAGACACCCGATCCAGAAAGCGTATCAAGGAAGTTCTGCAGCATACCAGAACCGAGAACTTTGGATGGCGTACTGAGTTCCGGGTGACCCTCGGTCTCGCGCACGTCATTTGGGAAGAAGACGAATGCTGGGCAAAATTTCTTGGCGAATTTTCCCAGGAGACGCGAATCTAGAACTCCGGACTATCTACTAGGGTTATCTCCTCAGGGCAAGCGCAGGCTGACGTGAATAACATCACATTCCCCTCGGATGCTTTCCACATCTATAGGACCAACGAGTTCAGGAACTTCTTGCAGGGTAACATTCAGAAGCATCTCATAGTGGTCGACACCATCAGAGCTCTGTATAGTCCCAACCAGGCCACACCATTGGAGGTTGCAAGACTGCATGGGCTGCTTATCCTTGGTCTACGCCACTTCGTCTCGCATTTCTCGCCAAGTGAAGACTGGATGCTCAATAACCCGCTACGCCGTTCCAACCTTGAGACTAGGAAGCCCGGCTTCGGATTACGAGAGACAATGGACCGGTTTGGCTTCGGGTTCTTCCACCACGGTATAGTCGATTGGAGAGAGTTCAAGATCTCCAAGGAGTACATCGATAGTGTGACTCTCCCGGGCTTCTAAGTTGTCACAAGATATCTGCCTGTCGTCGAGTACCAGGAAACCCGGTCCTTCCTCGACGAGCTTCTAGAGATCGACAAACAGACGTGTCAGATTAGCCACGTGCCAAGTTACGTGGTTGACCCCGGTCGTAGCGCCGATCCACCGCAGGGGGTGGCTGGTGCGCCACAACAAAGACTTCTAGAAGAACGGGCGAGAGCCAGGAATTGAGGGGACAGACAAGAATACACACAATTGAACCTATCCAATCGTGCAACTGACTAAATCCAACACGTGGCATCCTTGAAATCATCGACCTGGATAATCGGCCCATAGCACACTGTTTGCATGCAGGTTTTTTGTGTTACACAACGGATTCATTGAGGCAGCAATCTGCAGTTTGCCTCATCGGTGGGCCTCAACTAGGAGGCCTACCACCACATAACAGCAAAATTGACGCCCCTCACAATCACACAACCCGATTGGGTAACTCCAAAGCCAACGCATCACACTGCAGCATAGCACACTCATCATATAGATCTGCTTGTGCCTGTCCAAAACTCACGCACCTTCGCTGCTGACTTCTGATAAACTGCGTGAATTCTCGCCCAACAACATTTCGGAGTACCAGATCCCGAAGCACCTGCCTCATCTAATCTATCTTTTTAACGCCTACATAATGAGGGGCACTTTGCAGCCCATCCAGCATCTAAGACTAGAGTCGCTCCCGAATTCTCCCAGTGAAGAAACCAAGCAAACAGAGTCGGCCAAGGCGCTCATCCAATCCTACCTACGACAACACCTGGCGGTCTACCGAGAACTTTGTGAAGTCCGAGAGGCCGTAAGTACCAGATAGCAACCCTCCCCCTCCTGATGTCTTGTTCCGCAGGCCAACGATCCCAGTGCCAAGAAAACGAAGAATGCGAAGCGTATTTCCAGAAACAGCGCAGCCGAGCCGACCACGCCATTGCCGAGGTCCAAAAAGGCTTCTTTAGCCTCATGCGCACCATAGGCCTCGAACTCGACAAGGCCACATCGGCTCTGACAATTCAACGCCGCGGCAAGCCTCGGCCAGCCATTCTCGACCTCTGCCTGGCGCCGGGTGGCTTCTCTCTCGCTGCCTTGCAGCGAAACGGCTGGTCTACTATCGTCCGCGGTATCAGCCTACCCCCTGAGCAAGGTGGTCACAAAGTTCATCTGCGCAATGTTTCATCCGAGGATAATACCACTGCAACTAAGTTTGTGGACTATCGCGACATCACACTGCTTGCGGAGGAGATGGGTGTTCCGCTGTCTAAAATCCCCGCCTCGCATCCTGATAGGGATTTGTTTTCGTCCTATCGACCGTATTTAGGACGGAAATTTGACCTCGTCTTTTGCGACGGGCAGGTTTTGAGGACGCACGAGCGTGGAAAGCGTAAGTCTTCCAGTTTCTTAACCCCCCTATCCCGTCCCCCTTTGCTAGTAACATGCAACTAACATCCGCCAGACCGCCAAGAAGACGAAGCCCTCCGCCTGCTCACATCCCAACTCGTCCTCGCGCTTCAACGCATCCGATCAGGAGGGACTATGATGATTCTTTTACACGGAGCCGACAAGTGGCCCTCTGTCTGTCTGATCTACACACTGAGTTGCTTCTCGAATACAAGATGCGGTCCTCGTTCTATCTCATCGTCAAAGGTGTCAAGCCAGGGCGGGAGGCTGCTGTCCAGGCCGTTGAGAGGTGGAAGGTGCAGTGGAAGCTTGCGACGTTTGAAAATGAGGTGATGAATGAGAGGGAATGGGAGGTTCTTGGAGGGATAGAGGGCTCGGCGATGGAGGCAGAGGCTGTGCTGAAGGAATTCGGAAGTGAGTTGTTGAGGTTGGCGGAGCCCGTGTTTGCCGTGCAGGCGGAGGCGTTGAAACAAGCGCCTTGGATGAGTAGTGCGAAGGGGAAGGGGAAGGAAAAGGAAAAGGGCGAAGAGAAGAACAAGACTCTGGATGTCAAACAGGAGGATCTGAGCTAAAGAGAACAGAGTCAGACGCCTAGGAGAAACGACGCGGCAGAGCCCGGCAAACCAGGTACCCGGCTTGAAGTCGGTAGGGACTTTCTCTTAGCCCTCACCGAGCCTGTGATGGCTATGGACGATGGAATTGGGGTTTGGGTCATTAAAAACCAGGACCGGTCCCCATTTCATGCGCCAAACTAACTTAAAACAAGCGGCGATAGTAGCAGTAGCGGCAGCGAACGCTTGGTCACGCCGTGTCATCCCATCTCGTTGCCCCGCCAAGGCGTGCCTAATGGCTGGACATTCCCTGCTGATGTCGCGCGCCGGCGGTTGGTCCGGTAGACCGGCTTCATATACTTGGTCGTATTGCAAACGGACACGAACCCGGGCGCGCACGCTATTATGGTCGGCGGTGCATAGGGCGTCACGCTCGGCCACGGCCTGGTCGAACCGTTAAATAGTTAGAGCGGCGCCGAGCGATGTTAGGGTACACGGCTTTTTCGAAAGCCATGATGCCGTCATTGGGAGCCTAGCTAGGCTACATTGCGACCGCAGCGGGCTGGTGTACGGCGGCGGGGTGCATCGGGACTCGCGAACGGGGTTTGTGGACTGGTTTAGGCGGGCGTCGGTAGCCCAGCTGTGAGGTTAGTAGAGGCAGGACCCCGGAAGTCGGTTAAGGCCTAGATCAAGCCCATATTGGTGTATAGCGTGGACTGCATATACACAAATATTTTATGGTAGTTAGAGACTTCTCCAAATGTTGATGATAAGTGGGATTGTCTTATTGATTTTCTCCAACACGGCATCCCACCCCCGCAGCGCCTCTCACCCGAACGTAAATTCTCGAATGCCGCCACAAGGCTAAACGTTCCTCACACTACAGGGCAACGCGGAGGACCCGGTTTCAACTCAAGCTTGTAGATTCTTTCTTCCCATTTCCGAGTTTGGACTTTAGGCGTTCTCCTGAATCAAAGAAGAGCTCATGGGGCCGCCCCTAGAATACTATTCAAAACCATCCCTCCGAGAAAAGTCGAGGACTATTGCTATTATTGAGACGTCGGAACGATCGAAGCTCTCGACCGGCGCATAGCGGACAGTGCCCAGGTCTATGTCGTCCTGCGGACTAGCGCTGAACTGATGCATCTCCTTCGAGTAGCAGAGCCATTTGCTGTTACTGGCCGCAATCCGACAACCAAGATATAGAGCACGTTCTTCCTATCCTCGCTCATGGAGGGTAGCTCAAAATACTTCTCATCGTCGTCGATGTCATGCGACGAAAACCATTCATCGGGGAAGTACGGGCCAGCCCAAATTAAGCCCCTCATGGCGTAGTCTTCCGGTAAAGGCTTCCTCAGCAATCCAGCCGTGTCTGATGCAGGGAAACCTTCGTCTTCGATGCGGCTATAACACTTATAGTTATAAAGTAACGTATTCAGCATCAACGCTAGCGGCTCCCAGGGGAAACCTGCCACTACGACAGCCATGACCTCCGGGACAAAGGTCAAACGATAGAGGAATACCAAAGCGACGTGAAGATACGGCATGGTATAGTCGTTGCCGAATCGTTCAAGAACGATCTTGTCTGTTTCGTTGGCAAGTAGCCTTCTTCTTCAGCTTTCACTGGGCCACGTATTACTCCGTCCTTGTCGTAATTACATAGAAGTCTAAGGCCATCAAACGGAGGTCGAGAGAGAAGTCGAGAAACGTTATAAAATATTTATTACTACAGACGTTCTCCACTTGAACAGATGAGACCCGCTTCCTGAATAAGTACATCATACATGTTAATTTGCTTCGCTCCTGCCCCTTAATTACGCCGGAGAAGCTGCTCCTCATCCTCATCTTCCGAATCTACCACAAAGCCTCCAGCAAAGAAAGCTGTATCACATGCGGGAGACCGTCTCTGGAAGAGAGAGAGATGCTCATAAGGGCAGGTGAAACAAGCAGGGAAACAGCCCAGTAGCTGAACGGGATCCAATCCACATTTCTCCGAAGCCGAATTAATTGACTTGCCGTTTTCGACAAGTTTCAAGACGAATACAGCCTCAGATTCAGTATACTAAGGCATCATTGGAAAAAGGAATGACTAACAAGTATTTCTAGCATGATCCGGTGAGTATTGAAGCAATATTGACGTTTTTTAATTTCTAGATTGAGGCGAAGTTTTTGGTACGGCAGTCAAGCCACATACACGAGATGCAGCACGATAGGGGGCGCTATAGGTGGGTGTTTTGGCTCACGTATTCTCGAGACAGGCATTCAGCCCCGGTCTTGAATTTATTATAGATAGTCGCCCACTCGTCCCTACCGCCCCTAACTTATCCAACGACTTTCTCCCCGACACATTTTTACCGCCCATCTAGGTGCAAATGTGACGGCGCCAGCCTGCAGCACTCACTACCACTGCGCTAGAACCCCCAAAAGGATGCCAGAATTGCAAGTTGACAACTTGCAACCTGTAGTAAGCTATATAGTACTGCTACGGCCATTGCGCGCCGTGACAGCAAAGCTCACAACCGCTCTTCGAGCTAATATGGCTGCCGTCAACCACTCCTCTACGGTCAGGCTTTCCACCAGAGAGCCCGCCTCGGAGCCGCAAGAGAGATGACTCTCTAACCTTATCGTCCTTATTACCATTGCAATTTTTATCGCAAGCTTCTTTTGCCCTTTCTTCGGCACCCATACTATCAATATCTGCCCGAGTTGCGAGACCCGCGACCGCTAGGTACCCCTCGACACCGAGTGGCCTGTGTGGGCCACATGTTGCTCCCTGCAAACGTGCAAACCCCAGACGATCTGTTTGGCCTAATTCCACGACGAAATTAACCGACAACATATCGGGTGCCCAGAGGTTAACGTCGCCTACAGCGCCGAGCAGGCGCTACTGGAGCGTCAAGAGCAGCTCATACGAGATAATCTTATGCCGAATTATTAAAGATTCCGACATGACCGGTAGGGTCTGGGCGACCTCGAGAAGAACATCTAGAATAGAAAGCCGAACTTGGAGAGGAAAGCGCGAGAAACACGGGTTCTATAAAGGGTAATATTCTCGCTATTAGGGTAGTTAGCTAAAAGACACAAACCTGGAGTAGGGAAAATACATTGGCTAACGAACGCGAATGTTGGAAGCCTCTTGCAAATATCTCACAGCGTGTATATATCTCTCGCGATACCCCCAGCTTCGGCGAGATCCAGCCTGCGATTGGGCAATGGCAATGAGGGTGCCAGAAATATATTGAAGCTGGCTGGGAGACTTAATATCGCCATACTACTCTATTTGAGGTAACTTGTACCTTACTCTGCTGCTCTGCAGGTAGCTCTTGGCAGATCACAGAGCGTTGCTCTGTGGGAGCCCCCTACTCTCTCGCGGAGCGTCTCTGCCAAGACAGAGTAATATCTAATAGGTTGGACACCCAGTGCGATCTCACGGGTTGAGTCCTCCTTCCGCACCGCCTCTTCTGCAGGCGACACATCGGTGTTCTCTCTAGTTGTTTGGATTCGACGCTCAGGATCAGCGGGAGGAGCATCTCGAAAACAAAAGCGCATTGGCAGACACATCTTGGCCGACGACGTTTCGAGAAGTGGTGGTTATCAACGATTACAGTCGCCCTTTTCTTTCGGTCGGAAAAGCATACACCGTGTGCTCACCGAAGCACTGGACGCCGGTGATGCTTCGACGCGGGCTGTGCTGCCCTCGCAACTTGATGCCTGAGTGAGAAGAGAGCACGCTGGGCTGCAGATGACCCCATCAAGTCAGATGGAAGAGGGGTAATCGCGGGGAGTGGGGAATCTGCGACGACGGAAGGCTGCGGCGCACTCGTCACACCATGCCATGGGTGCCTAACACGAGCCTAACCGACGACCTCGGAGGTGCTGCAACCAAAAATTTTCATCTTACTCTACTTCCCGTCACTGCAATTAAGCCATCCGAAGTTTGGATCCCTGGGAACTGGGTTTGACTGACTCGCCATGAAAACGAATAGTGACAGAGGCAACTCTCTCTCCGGCATTGCACATCAACAAGGGCGGCCGGTTGTCTCTCTTCTAGTTGACATCGAGAACAAAGCCGGGACAGCGGGGAAAAGAACCTTGGGATTCCTCCAAAATCTCGAATGTCTACAACTTCCTCAATACTCACGTGGTGATATAAAAGCGACCGCCGGACGAGTCGAAGTGTTACGAGAGACCATTGATGCTACTCGGAATTCCCAGTATCTGGCTTTGTCATACACATGGAGCCCCTCAAAGCACGAGAGCAAGGAAAAGGGGTCGTATCACGTTCAAGAGCGGGACAGCGAAGAGTTCAAACCTTCTGAAGTCCGAAACTGCGCCCTCGACCGCATCTTCCACTACATGCTGGCCATCAATGTCAACCATCTCTGGATCGACCAACACAGCATCGTCTACGAGACCGGCAGTTGCGATGATCCTATTTGCGTTCAGCATCCAGCGTGCATCAAGAGGCGAGAGGGATTCACTGTTATGGACCTTGTCTATAAGCTCAGCAATCATCCCATCGGACTGCTGGAAAGACTAATTAAATCAAGGTGGGAGATGAACCTGCTCTCAGATATCCTCCAAGGCAACCTTACGATGGGGGACAAGTCCAACGTCCAACTATCACCGAAGCTAGAGCTATGGAAGGTCTGGAGGGCAGTCGATCTGCTGCGTCGAATTACTAGCGATGATTGGTGGCGTCGAGGATGGATCTTTCAGGAGAATTACAAAGGGGGTACCGACATGAAGCTGCTCATCAAGCACCCTGAGAAGCTTGAAGCCCTGAAACGTTCCCGGCACCGGGTATTTGGAGACGTGGACGGCGAGCTCTGCATCCTGTCTGTCCAGTTCTTTAAGGAGGCGACACGCTTGTGTTTGGCGTATTTGAGGTGGATTGACGAGCATCAAGGCTCCCCTGTCTCCCAACGGACTTTGAAGAAGATGAAGAAGACCAAGAAGACGAAGATGAAGGTGCTCCATCGGATTCTTCACCAAGCTGGAAGATACCAGTATCTCCTCACATGCTCGCAACCCATGACGCTACGCATTATCTCTGATATCGACCAGAAAAGTATCACAAAGCCTTGGGATATGCTGGCCATTGTAGCTAATAGCTGCGGGTACGCCATTCGCTTCAACGCGGAGAAACTAAAAAGGAGCGAGGCGAGCTTGAGCCTCTCCATCCTCGCTCAGTGCTTACTGAATGGAGAAGTCCTGCATAACGGACGCCATAACGGACGCCCGCCAATTCCTAAGGCAGCCGACCTTACTGTCCCAAAATACCTGGAACGAGCCCTCTTTTCCGGGTTTTACCGAAATACCCCCAAATATAACCTCATACTCAACAAAAGCTGTCGCTTTATTGACACCAGCTTCTCCGAATCCGGGATTCACACCCATGGACACATCTGGAAGCTCAGAAAGGTCATCGACACCTGCAACTGGCCAGTTCAGGACGCATGGGTGGACGTCCCTCACGGGAAACTTGAACTAATCCAACGCAAGCGACTCACCTATATGGCGAAGTGGTTGGAGGGAGAACGTTATGGAAGTCTTGCTGATAGCATCCGCGATTATCTCAGCCGCGATACTAAGCTCGCTGGGGTCTCAGAAGGTCAAATGTCATTCACGGAGCGGTACATGCACGCAATGGCCGTGGAGTCGCTGACGTTATCGAAAGGGGCGACTCGCTGGCTCTAGGCTGTCTTTGGGACACTAGCAGCCCTGAGAGATACAGCCCCTACATGGCCGTGTTCATTTGCGACGATAGAGGTGGGTATGACAACGACGGCGAAGCCTTTGCGTTCACAGCTTCACGTCCTGAGGATGCTAGCTCTGATAAATTTGATCTCAATGACCTGGATCGGCACGTCTCATTCGAGGTCGCTATGGAGGGAAAGGTCCAGGGCCAAAACCGGCTGGTACCAACACTGAGAATCATACGATGGCTTCCTGGCATGTGTTTCTTCAGGGGGGTACACAGGGAGGAAGTTGTGTTTCCGTGGCCGAGTGATCTGAAAGGGATCGTAGCGTAACGTTTCAACCGCTCTTCAGTACGAGGAGATTTCGACTTTGGGGGCTGCTCGCAAAGCCTGTACCATTTAATCTATCTTGGTCAAAACTATAGGCCAATCTCTAGCCAGAGGTCGAGTAGCATACAGGTGGTAGAAAATCACAACTGCTCCCGCAACACTAGAGTCCCAGTGATTGTGATCTAAGTGATTCCACTGTAGATTAGCGCCTCAGTGACTTACAGTGACCGCTGAATCCCCTGTATTATCTGTCTAACGGCCAATAAAGTCTACTCAAACTCAACACCTTTGTAACGTAGTGACTATAGTAGGTTATTATTATTCTTATACGCGCTTAAGCTTAGTTAGGAGGACTATACCTTTCACGCTTATATTGGGCAGGTCGACTTGGGCTAGGCCGTGTTTGATGGCACTCGTCCCCCATTCGTCCGTCTTCCGTGGAATTTTGTCTAGTCTAGGGCCCCCTTTCTTATGAGTCTTCAGTGACGACCTTTGCAATAGTCTCCATGATATACGAGAGGTGTGACGGCGTTTAGCAACACCCACTACCGCTGCACCACACCTTCCAAAAGGATGCCAGAATTACAAGCCGTCAGGCTGAAATTCTATAGTGGGTTATAGTATGGTCACGCACCCGTAGGGCCTCAGCGCCTACCGCCGTGCCGTGACATCACCCCCCCCTCGGCCCCGCGGGGCGCGTAGAGGTCTGACTACCCCGGAACCTCGAGCACTACGGTTCGGGAGCTCTACGCGGGCTAGGGCATACTATAGGGATCCCCAAACTACCTTTATTCACAAAAGGACTCATTTGCAACTGCAGGGCTCGGACCCGCAGCCGTAGGGCGGCTTGTAATTGTGACGGCGTTTAGCAACACCCACTACCGCTGCACCACACCTTCCAAAAGAATGCCAGAATTACAAGCCGTCAGGCTGAAATTCTATAGTGGGTTATAGTATGGTCACGCACCCGTAGGGCCTCAGCGCCTACCGCCGTGCCGTGACAAGAGGGATATCTAGTACTACATTAAGTTTAGTGCGATAGTGTGACGGCGCCAGCTCACAGCACCCACTACCACTGCGCTAGAACCCCCAAAAGGATGCCAGAATTGCAAGTCGACGACTTGCAACCTGTAGTGGGTTATAGTGTGCTACGGCCGTTGCGCGCCGTGACAGATAGGAGCTTTGTTCTCGGTCATGGCAGTTTAATAAATGTACTAGAGAATAGTCGTTGAGTTCGCGACTGGAGGCTCACGACAAAGTCTGAGAAGATGAAGCGAATTATCGGCCTGTAGTAAGGGCTGTTGCTATTAACTCCGAGTTCCTAAAGCAAGCTCACCAAACATCTCTCGGATATTTTATTAGTAGTTCTACACTAGTAGAAGGAGTTTTTGACGAGGCTATGATCCCGCTCGTAGATTCCTTACCCGTAGTTATGATCGCAGGACACTTCAAGTTCAGTTAATGCTCAACTATCCAACATGCAAAGCAAATCTACCACAGTCCCCAAGAGCGAAGGCTTTCCCAAACCCGTGGTGACTCCTTGCTCGCCCGTACGACTAGATTCTCCAGATCCCTTGCCCATACCACTTCGCAGAGACGTTTAGCGAGGTTCTGCGAATAAACCGACAATCTTGTCCCGAAGTCCGTATTGGTTCCACTGTAACTCAAGGCTTCGCGGTGATTCCACCCCAGCTCATGTCTTCGTCATGGAAGCGTAAGGGAAAGCTAACAGGGGCCTGGACGCAGACGCCGCCGTCGTAATTGGTCCGGCTATTTCCAAGACACGTTCCTTAAAGTGCTCTACCCAGGAAGTTCGACCCTATTTCCCGGCCTCACGCAATCCATGTTGCCGTAGAAGCTTATCTTATTTGATGCTTGGATGTCGTCGATTGCCTGATGCTCGCAGAACAATATCTTGGCGATACGTAGCCTGATAGGAACTTGCCTAAGAACTGGCTGAGACCAATGGGTGTGTAGTCGTATATGTCAGCCATACCCTGGTTTGAGTCGTCCAGGCGCTGGCTATGTTCTCAGTTAGGTGGATTACCTAGATGGAGAACTTGGAGGCACCACCCGTCACCAGTCTGAGCTCGGCCGTGAGGTGGTTGAAGTCGGTCTCGCTAATGTCACCCGCCGTAATAACGGTGATATTCTGCTTAGAAACGGCGCCCGTGTTGTCCTGCGTACGCTCGTGCCAGTCTGCGCGCTGGCACTGGATCAGGCGGATGATGTTGTAGCTGAGGTTGCTGTTTAGCTTGGGCTGTTCTTTAACGTCCTCCTAGGCTATTGCATAGAGAGTAATATGGTGGAATGCGATCTAGGCTTTTTCGCCTTCTTGGGAATAATTCACGAGGTAGTATAGCGAACTAACTTTTCGGTTAGTGGACGAGAATTGGGATCGCTTGCGATCCAACCGGTGATGGCGAGCCGCGTAGACGTAGGCGCCTGATCATGGAGTTGGGGGAGTAGCTAGGTACGATAGAGTGGAAGGCAAAATGGGTATCGCGGGCTCTGTTATTTAAGTCCTTCAAATAGCTATGTGTTGTCTAGAAGGTCGTGGGAAGAGTTAAAACCGGTGAAATCTCGAGGGTAGTTGCAAGGCCTTGGTTTGGACGCCGATAGTGACTCTGGGACATTCTACCTTCTCAGAAGGCCGGTTTTGCGAGCGAAGTAACCTTGGGTCATCTAGGTGACTGATCGGGTGACCCATATTTGGTCTTGAGTCGTGGTTCCCGAAACTGGTCCTCGGGAACAAAAGAGTGCCCTCTGCTTTATAAGCCATAAAGTCTCCGAGCCCCGAGTCTGTTCACTGAGTAGGCCACGGGTCAGATTACTAATCATTCTAATGAATTGGCAGTGGAGAGTTGCTCCGTTGTGACTGTATGACTGTAAAAGCAAGTCCCTATATAGTTCCTCAAGTAACAGGCAACCTCAACCAGCAACCATAACTTGTATTGTTTGTAGACAACCGCCTGTGGTGGCGTCCCAGAGCTTGATTGTACAGTCGTAGGACGCCGACGCGAGCTACTGGCCGTTTGGCTAGAGGTGGAAGGCAGGGAGGGCCTTTTGATTAATGCCGTCACTGTCCGCATGTACTGGTACCCTACTTTTTGTTGGCTGCGTAAACTAATATATGCACTTTTCTTCCCCCGAGGTCTAGGGTTACACAAATATGGGACATTATAATAGGTTGTTGTTGTTGTTGTTGTCAAAGGTAAAGGTTTGCGTCCAGTTAAAGCCGATGTCGACGTCGGCCATGGACGACCAATCGCCGCCGAGCTCTCCCTCCAGGCTTCCAGAAAAGTGGACGAGGTCGAAGGGGTTCGCGCTAAACTCGACCGTGCCAAAGGGAGAAGGCGCTGGCTGCTGCTGCTGCTGCTGCTGGCAGCACTCGTCCCATCCTTCCAGATCGGCCGTCTTCCGGCCCCGCGACAGGGCAATGGTGATCTTGCCAAAGTACGGCAGGACGACGTCGTACCTGTCCGGGCCGGCGTAGGCGCCACGCGCCGCCTGCGTGAGGAGGCCCAGCACGTCGGCGGCCTGGCTGGCGACGTTGCACCGCATCAGGCTCGCCGTGCGCCGCAGGCTCATGGTCAGCGCCTCAATGAGCGGCCAGTCCTCGCCGCTGTTGTCATCGTCGCCTGGCCTTCCCCCGGACGCAGGCGACAGCAGGCGAATCAGTAGCGTGATGCCGGCGCTAAAGGCCTGAAACTCGAGCGACTCGCACACGACAAACAGGCCCGTGGCGCAGCTCCTCAGGCCGAGATAGGCAGCTATCAGGCCCCGCGACGCGGCGACGGCCGATGCGCGGCTGAACTCGTACCTGGGGTCGGCGCTGAGCATAAAAGGCAGGTGCAGCAGCTTGGCGATGAGAAAGTACTGCACCTTTGTCGCCTGTTGGGCGTACAGCTGCGCAAACGGCTGGTCCGGCGGCGGCGGCTCGTGCCACCAGCTGTCGGACATGAGGGCCCGGCACCCGTCGAGTTCGTGGGCGATTTGCACGGTAGCGAGGTAGCTCGGCTGCGGGCTCTGGTTCCTGGCCACGACGGACGCGGCGAGGTTGCACATTCTGTGCTGGAGCGTGCGGAGCGGGCTTTCGCAGCCGCTGCTGCCGTCGTCGTGGTCGCGCTGCGGCGGCGGGCCGGGGCTGGGGGTGGGGGTGGAGATGGTGCTCGGCAGGCCTAGGATCAGCGCGAAGCTAGTCTCGAGATGCCAGATCTCGGTCCAGATGGCTGCCTCGCGGCCTCCTCCTCCTCCTCCTCCTCCTCCTTTTTGGTTTGGAGTGCGATGGAGACGCAGGAGCAGCGCCCCATCGGCGGCGCGGCGGACGCTAAGCCAGGCCTGGCGCGGCCAGCCCATGTCCATGTAGAGCTTCTGCTGGATGAGCCGGGCCTCGATCCCGTGTAGCGTCTCGCCCGTGCCGGCCGACGTCAGCAGGCTGTCGGCTGTTTGCATGTACGAGGCGAGAAGAGCTTCCCGTGATAATTCACACCGTGACAGCTGCAGCGTCTTTGGCGCCTGTTGAATACACAGTGACAGCCAGAGCAATGCCTTGGCCGCGATGCAAGGGCTGCTGGACTTCACCATGTGAGACAGAAACCGAGCGGCAAATTCGACCCCGCCGGTCTGGAGAGTGCGCATGGCCGGAGGCAGGGTGCCATACTGCCAGGGTGGCCAAATGGGCCAGTATTGCACCGTCGCCGCAAGGACCGTCAATAGATCGTCGTCCTGCAGCATCGGAAATTCGGGCAGATAGACAGCGTCACTGGCCTTGTTGCCGTTGGTCGACGGCTCGGAGGAAGAAAACTGCAGTTCTTCCGTCATGCTGGCCGCCTTGACCAGGGCGAGCAGCGGCGCGTCTCGGAAGCTAAAGCCGTTATCCGCCATGTCGGACTCGTCGGGCATGGTAGCGTGGGTCGCGTTCTCGACGTCGAGCATCGACTCCAGCTCGACACCAACATGGTCTTCCACGCTAGGCGTCGTGGATGGAGCCCCTGGAAACAGCCCCGTGAGCGACGGAGAAGCGCCCGTCAGACTCAGGCTAGCCCAGATGTCGCGCACGCTGATTTCAATATCGGCGAGCCGTTGCTTCAACCGCTCTTCTCCCAGGGACGACAGGCCCCCCAACGACCCGATATCCTGCCTTGCTGGCTGCTGAGCAGTGCACGGGATGCCGCGCAAGCCACACTGCTGGCATGGCGGATGTGCGACCGGAAAGACGCATCGGACTTTCCGCCTCCGGCACTCGGCACAGCTTCGCGTGCCCAAGCGCATTGGTTTCGGGTAAACGCTGTCAGGCATGGTGATGTCGTTTGACTGTACCGGCTTGGCGGCTGCGAGGGTCTGAGAAGAAGGCGCGCCTAGGGGTAGGGATGGGGTGTCGTTACGGGCTCGCACGAGCTCGGAGCGCATCAGTTCGGCCGAGCTCGCACGAAAGTGGGGCTCAAGGGCTTGTGCGCCTCGCCCTTTTTTCGGCATCGAGGCGAGTGTCGCTTCGTCTACTCATACAGATATTCGTCAGAGCTCGGACGAGTTCGCACCAATATCTAACCCGTGCGTGCCGTGTTCAAAAGCCAAGCAGCCGCATCTGTGCGCACGGTACGGCGGCGTCCACCGTAGCCCAATTTTGCTCGCTCTATATAAACGGCCAGGCTGCTACTCTTTGGAGAGCGTAGCCTTTTCTTGACACAAGCTAGAAACATTTACGGCAGCAACCACCTAGCAGCAGACGTCCACTACTTCCAGTATTACCAGCAAGGCATCGCTAGAAGAATACACATGGAACATTCGATCGGGCTCGTCACCGGCGCCACCTCAGGGCTCGGTCATGCGGCAGCCCGCGCTCTTGCCGGAGACGGCTGGCGCGAGATCATCGTCACCGGGCGCAGCCTGACTCGGGTCCAGGAAACGGCCGCTCAGCTCGCGGCGAGGTCCGGGAGGCAGGTCTTCACGCCGCTGGAGCTAGATCTAGACAAGCCGTCCAGTGTTCAGTCCGCCCTCGCCGAGCTCGTCAAGCGAGGTCGGCCTATCGATTTCCTACTGCTCAATGCAGGGTTGCTCCCAGGGAACAAGCGCGTGCTCACTACGGCCGGCGTCGAGCTATCCCAGGCCCCGCTAATCGGCCATCATCAACTGACTGTCGGGTTGCTCCGAGCCAACCTGCTGAGTCCCAACGCGCGGATTGTTATCTCCGGCGCGGAACCTGCCCGAGGGGACATGGCCCTGTTCAGCTTGACAGACGTGGCGGACTTCGCGGCCAAACACCACCAGGGTGACCGAACCGCCGCTGTTGAAGCCCTGTTGCGCAACGGGCCGAACGTGAAGTACGTGCCCAACCGGGCGTATGCCGATGCGAAGCTCATCATCACTTGGTGGGTCGCGGCACTGGCACGCCGGCTACCCTCCGGCATGGCCGTATACGCCGTGGCGCCCGGCAGCGCGCCCGACACCAAGGCGCCGCGTAACGCTGGCCTGGCCGTGAAGTGGGTGATGATTCCGCTGCTGAAGATCATCCCCGGCATGACGATGACTCCTGAGACCGCCGCCCGTCGGTACCTCCAGGCATCGGAGTTCGGAACCGACGTCTCAGGGCAATTCTTCGCCTCGGCGCCCAAGAAGCTTACCGGCCCAATCGAGGCGATGCGCCACCCACACTTTCACGATCGCGCCAACCAGGAAGCCGCGTGGCAGGCCGTCGTCAAGGTCTCCGGCGTCGACCTTTCCGATGACCAGCGCCCACACTAGAACACCAAGACACAAGACACGTAAGCAGTGAAAATGCCCGGCGAGTAGACCCCAGGCCTACCACCAAACCTCTCTCTGCCATCCCCCCCTCCTCCTCTCGGCAGCGTAGCTGCTGTAGGTTTTTGAGCTGGCAGGAGCGGGGCGAAGCGGTAGGCTGGGTCTCTGTTGGCGGACTGTATAGAGGGGTAGATTAGTTTCTAGTGGGCTTGCGGTAGATATTCTTGCGATGAGAACTTTAAGGCTGGTCTGAGGTGATGTGGCTTTGCGGAAACATACGCTCCTCCGTGACTTGGATGCAATAGTTAGAATTAGCGAGCACCGAAAAGCTGTTCATAATAAAAAATGATAGAGCGTGTAGGCATGGTAGCTTTTAAGCTAGGCTCGTAGTCTTCATCGCCGTAAGTATAAGTCGCCATAAGTTCGGCTTCCCGCCAACTCGCTGAGGATTAGAGGTGTGCCGCTTGCGTGTGTGCTAGGAGTTCAGTACTGTGCGGGTCCTATGTGCCCGCCCGATAATTATATATGTACTTATTGAGGCGGCCTTGACTGCTGAAATTTGAGGCCACGCGCCCGCCAAAAACAGCAGTCCAGACTGCGGCACATATAAGGTTACCTATATGGAAAAGCCTTGCAGCATGCTTCAATGCAATAGAACTTTATACGCCGCTGTTAGCTACTCAACCTTCTCCCCAGGGTCTAGGCTCGAGGCAGCTAGCGCCTTGCACAGCCTTCCCCGGGCCTTGGCGCATATTCATAACGCTTCGACTCCCCCATGTCTCAATTCCCCCACACTAGTGAATTTTTTGGGTGGCTCCAGTGTCTCTGTCGACAGCCATTGACGACAACTTGAGCGGTGGAGCAAAAAAATATCGTGTATCCGTAATTATTTGACTAATTGGCGCAATCATGCCTTTCGATCGGACTCGGACTCGGACAACGACATCTACTTAGGAACCTATGCCTTCTCCAGCCATGGCGAGCTCGTCGAGGACTATTTTCCTGGCAGGGCTCTCGAAGCCGTGCCGGGTAAACAGCCCTTGGTTGCAAGCACGGAGCTGGAAGGCGCGAGTGACGAAAGACTGACGCGCGAGTGGGAGGACATGGTTTCTGGAAGATTCGCCTGAAATTCCGACGGAACCCTCAAGCAACGCCGGTGCTGATCCTAATCAAGCCTCACGGGTCGACGCCCCCTTGTCTTTCTATCCGAGGCTTCTGAGGTTCGTTGGACGGATCAAGTGGGTGTGCGTAAGTCGACGTCGATGATTGCCTACCTAACACCCAATTAGTGATACAAAAAGCGAGGCTGACGAGTGCTCCAGAGCTGCGGCAAAGAGCTGTATGCCGACTTCAGAGAAGCGCGGCCCGGCTCGCTCAACGCATTCTCCGAGAAGCTGCAGTGCCAAGGCCAAAGCAGGACCGCGACGCCGGGGCAGAGCGCAAGCACCCCCCCGAGGTTCGCATGTGCACGCGCTGTCCGGGGCGCATGTGCGGCATACGGAGTCTTGGCTCGTGGGCTGGACGGCCCGGCCGGCACGTTTTGTCGCCGAGGAGGAGACCGAGACGGCGTTCAACATCACGGTAGACACGAAACCCGACGACAGCCGGCTGAAGGAGTATTTCAACATGTGCGTCAAGATGAAGCGCTACTCGCAGGTCCTTGAAGAGCCTGAGGTGGATGGTGCCCGGAATGACGGCGCGCTGCTTCAGGACATTAGGCGGTCGTACGGGGCCAGGTGCTTGAGGTCCCTGCCGTTCGGGTTCAGGCTCAGCCAGCCGACAGCAGCTGTCTACGTCAAGGTCAGTGACTGCCTTCCCGGCCTGGAAATCCATCTAGAACAATCCCACCAGACTATCAAGTTGCAACTGGACACATCCCCCTACTCGCTCTCACGCTCTGCTCAATCTCATCCATCTCGCTCTCCCCCTTCCCGACCAGCCGCGCCAGCCCGACCTCGCGGATCTTGTACCCGTCGGGGTGGAACCTGTTTTCTTCCTTCACCCCGCCTCGCGCTGTGACGGCAACCCGGAATATGGTCTCGTAGTGCGCTGGCGGAGGGGGGAGCCTAGATGAATGAATTTAGCCAAGCCCTCTTGTCCGTACTAACCTTATATATAGTTAACTTACCCTGTTATAGTCGTTCAACTAAGGCGAACCTTTCCTTCGCTTAAGCAACTTGATTTTCGAACCCTAATTAAGGAACTACAGATAAAGCAGATCTTCTATCTTCATATTTTAATCACCACCAGCAGCCACTCTACAACACTTCACAGTGACTAGATTAACCAAATAGATCACCTTGCTAATGCATTGATATGATCCTTACGGCTATCAATCTTAGCAGACTATCATCTGAACTGATATAGTGGAAAAGTAAAAGCGAATTTTCTCCTTCCTAGTCTTAGGAAATCATTAGTCAAAGCAGGACACTCACTTCATTATCAAATAGAGGTGGCAATCTTGAGCCACCTTCACCTTTAGCAAAGCGAAAATTTCTTCTGAGTAGTGCTCGACCTACACCGGCTTGGAAACCTTATAGAACACCGACTCCTGAAGAACAGATCAATAAATTATAACGAGAGAACGAAGAGCTGCGTCGCTATATAATTGATCAAAAAAGACACGAAACAGAGCAAGACTATTTCATAACGCTCTTACAACAACAAAACGCTAGTTATTTACGGAATTCCCATCAACAGAACGAGATTATGAGGCAGTTCACAAATACTCTAAGTGTAGCACTGGATGAGTTACGAGAAAGTAGGCAACAGCTGGCTGCTAGTACGGTTCTTAATGAAAAGCGTTTAATTACAAAGCCTGACGATATCGATGAGATAATAAAAATATATAACCAAATAGACTTATAAGAGGTATATCATAGATGCAAAACAAAAGTTTATAACTTTAACGTCCGAACTGTCTCTAAAAAGGCAAGTTTGGCCCCTTGCTATAGATAGCGTGTCAAAAGAAGAGGTGTTGCCATTAGAGTTAAACAATTGTAATAGAGCGATATTTGCCCCGTGTTCTTCAGAAATCCCAAGATATTGTTGGACAATCCGCTATACGCTTGCGATAATAGATTGAAAATATTTGCAAAGCGAAAACCTATCTAGCATCTCGTGTAAGAGGACAACCGTGCGCAACCACGGAACCACCGAACGGTAAACCGTGCATAACCACGGAGCCATAAGATAAGAAATGATGATCCACGGAACTACGGAAATCCGAACGACGGAACAAGGAGACGAGGTGAAGCAGCTTCCTGTTGCGACTACCACTACTGCTGTGATATCTTCACTCAATACAATCTTCCTTCCAAGACCCAGAGGTCCTCTGAACATCTAGTCTCACATCCTAAAATTGTATTGTTTTTTCAGCTGCTTCAGTCACTTTGCACATGCCTATAAATTAGAGCTTTGATGTACGCACCCACCACTTTTTTCGTCGCACTTACCTGGGCATATTGGCAGTTGGCAACGCAGGGACCGCTTTTTATATGGTAAAATGCCGTATTGCATGGCAGCCACCCAACGCCCTACCGGGCACTAAGGAAGCTCGGTAAAGTAAAAATGACACTACTTGCGCCTTCACATGCCGGGCTTTTTGCGCGCACTTGGTGTTTTAAGGTCTGTAGCGGCCAGGTGGCCTTTGCAGGCCTTTGTATGCATATGTTCGAGGTAGCCGGGCCGAGCCTAGAAGAGCGGGACGAACAGAATGAACAGGATGAACAGGATGAAGAAGACATGGAGATTGACTCGGACTGCATCGTCGTCAGCGCAGGGCCAAAGAGAAAGGCAACAACGCAACAGAGAAAGAAAGGGAAGAAAAAAAAGACCACGAAGAAGACGCCTTCTTCGATTCCGGGGATGAAGATGACCCTTTTCCTAGTAAGGCGGACTTCTTCGGTAACTAAGTTGCTAGATTGACGGGCTCAAATCCAAGGAATACATCACCATATCAACAAACTAGGTTGTCATTAGACTAGATTGCTAGACTCAACACCAAGGAATTACATCACTATGTCAACAAATCAGGATTCAACGCATTGCTCGGGTAGCTGGGCGCATGCCATGACATTTGGCTAATTTACGTACAAATCCGGGCCTCAAAGTTACCATTTGCAAGTTGCCTTTATTTCGAGGCTGACTCAACAACGAAGAAATCGTCAAAATGGAAACACCACGGTAAACGCGTTTTCAGGGCTTTTGAAGGTTTTGACGGCTTCAACGCCGTTGACCCGGGCTGCCGGGTTGCATGGTAGGCATATGGGGGGCCAAATGGTATTTCGCGATTTTACCGGCCTAAAATAGGCTCTGAGTATCTCAACTGTCAACAGCTGCCAATATGCCCAGGTAGGTGCGACGAAAAAAACGGTGGTTGCGTACATCAAAGCTCATAAATTAAGCTATTCTATCATCGTTTAGCTATTAGGCGGCCGTCGGCAACAGATACAAACCCCGCCTCTACCCAGAGAAGTTGAAGGATTGTGATCCCGGATTTAGGCCTTTATCCTTAATTTTGGATCGCCTTCAAGACCTCATTCTGGGACCCAGCATACCGTATCCAAATTAATTCCCATTTCCCTATGTAACGTATTATTATGTAACGTTCATAATATGCGAGTTAGCCATGATAAGCGAGTTGGCCACCTTAACGAGATTTGGTGGGGCACAAGCAAAAAGATGTTAGTAAATTGTTAGTGATCTTATCAATTTCTTATCGCATTTGGCTGCGCACGCTACCCGGTCTCGTTAAGGGCCTGATCTTCTCAAACTCGGCAAGTTGCCAACTCTTCGAAAAAAGGACTTCCAGTGGCTTCGTCAAAGTGGATCTACCAAGAAGTAGTGCATTAGTGCCAGTCAGCCACACTATACCGTAACAGTAAGGCGGTCAGAGCGGTATTCTCACCGCCTTTGGCCACTGAAGTTGATCCTGGCCATGTCCGAGTGCGATGCCCGAGAAGTCCTTTTTTGCAGCCAAAACGACGTACAATGGCATCTTCGAGCGACAGCCAATTGGACCTCGAGCCAGTGATTGATCTTACTGGCGCACCGGGAGCCCCCGAAGCCCCTGAGTCGGCCAGCGACTGGCTTGACAACCCCCTTCCAGAGCCCCGCCTTTCCGACTTGCCAGCAGAGTCGCCGCTGCGGTTTCCAAGCCCAGGCACTATAGTAGCCATAGTCGACGACCCAGGCCGACGGTCGACGGCTTCCAATAGTATTTTGGCGGCAGAGTCGTCCAGCGAGTCCCCCCTTGCGTCCACGGCGCCCCCTAATGCCGGTGCATCACGAAAGCGCCCGGCCCCGAAGAAGGAGTCTACCAATAAGCGGCGCGGCAAGCAGTTGGTTGATTTAACCGATACAACCGACGACCAGTCAAGCTCATCAAGAAGGGCATTGCAGCTGAAGAAGGTGGTATTCAAGCCGCATATGACGGAGCAATTGATGCTCTGGTTCCAAGAGTGCAAGTCCGAGGGCCTGTTCAATAGCAGCAAGAAGAAGGATTACGCGCAAGTCTGGCAGGACGTCTGTACTCGCTGCAAAGAGGCCTGGCCGCAGTATCCATGGACCCCTGCTGTTATCTCGACGAAATACAATACCGAGCGCTCTCGATATCGCGTATGGAAGGCTCTGTTGGAGTATTCTGGGGTCTCTTTCAACGAGGAAAGCCAACTACCCGAAGCGGCCGAGTCAGTATGGGAGGCTTTCTTCTTACGGCATAACACTCCCACCAGGAACCATACCTGGCTTCAGCACACACCTCTGGGGGATCCAGAGGTCTACTCAGCAGTCTTTTGGCGGGAAAAAGCGACAGGCAACCATATAATGGAAGCTGAAGATATACCTTCCCAGTCCTTTGACCAGATTCTCGATGACGGCGAAGAGTCCGAGAACGATGAGGCTGAACCTAGCGGTAGCGAAGAGGCTGGCAGAGCAAAAGCATTACGAATACTACCAGTTACGCCTGCAAGGAAGTTGACACCGGCACAGCAACACCGTCGTGATACTGACCCTGACTCCAACCACCGCCGTACTAGCGGTTTGTCGGTCTCTGAGGATACAATTGCCGTTTCGCAAGCCTCCCAGCAAAGCAAGACTCCTGATGCTTCTGATACAGCCTTGTATAGCACTCTTTGTAAAGCGGCCTCGATTATGGCCGCTCCGAGGACCCAAGGCGCCACCGATCTCACCGAGGCTATTGTAAGCTTGGAGGCTCTGTTTTCGCAGGATCTCAGCCGTCAGGAGAGGATAAATTGCCGGAAATACCTTCAAAACAACCCTCTGGCCGTAATAGTGTGGAACGCGTTGAATCCAGAGTCAAAGAGAGAGATGGTTGACGAGTGGAAAGTATGAAGTTGAAGTGGTGGATTTGATGGGAGTCAAGATTGTATTCAATATTCAGCTTCGCCAGCCAATTACCATAGAAATCCAAAATCCAACCTCGGCTAAAGCCACCCTTTCGCCCCACCTTATAACCCCTCAACACCAAGGTTTTGGCCGTTAAATATCACCATTTCTATCCTCTTGATTGACGGTATCTACTATACTGAGCCCACATTGCGTCTGCAGCGGTATGGCGAACCCAATCTGGATGCCGCGTTCCGACCGTCCGCCCAGCTCTGGCTGCCGCAAGCGATATCAATTGCCGCTGTTCTGGTCCAAGTACGTCCTCGTGATTATACTGAAGAAGGAAGTTATGTAACGCAGTCACAGCGTATACGATAAATACTTGCTTCTCAAAGCTGTACTCGATTGGGGCGTTCCGAATAATTCTCCACATCCTCTTTATGATACCGAAAGCCTGCTCGACGACGACTCGGATACGGGCGTGCCTTAAGTTATAGAGCTCTTTCTGTGTCTCTGGCGGGTTTTGAGCATCTCTCCAGTCTTGTAGGTGGTATCTAATATTCGGAAAAGGAATTACGATGCCTTGGCGAGCCCCGAAGCCAGCGTCTGCCACATAAAACCGGTTCTCTGGTACACGAAACCTCCTTCCAAAGGCCTGGGCACACAACATCGCGTCGTTAATCGAGCCTTCGGCACCAGCGAGTACGTAACTGAACGAATAATCGCTTCTGACTGCGGCAAATACGTTCTGAGAGACTCCTCCCTTTCTATCACGCCAGCGGGCTTGATCACGAGTAGGAAT